TCCTCCTCCTTTTCCTCCTCCTCTTAGTCGGTAAAGTAATTAAATAGATTATATTAGGTTCGGCGAGAGAGTTTACCGTATACTATTAATAACTTATTAATTAATTTAGATAGAGTTATATTATTTAATAGCGTACCTTATTATATACCGTTACGCTTATAACTCTTATATAGGTGCCGGATATAGGGATAGTGCTTATAGATAGAAGCTATTATAGTAGTAAGGTTTATCTAGATATTAATAAGCCTATTTAATCACTTAATAATAGATAATAAATCTATTTAAACTTATTATAGTAACCCCTCGAAGGGTTTTAAGGGGGAGGTCTAGTTTTAGCTACGTAGCACGCCGGGCTTTATAGGTAGCTATAATCCCTTCGAACCACTCTATAGGTTAAGACTATTAAATATAATAAACTACTTAATAATACCTTTTTAATATTTTATATATACTAATAGATTCTTATATAGCCTTATTAGATAGGCGTCTAAGGGTATTAAACGTAAGATTACTATAGATCTCCGGATACTTAGCCCGATAGTAGGCTTTAAGGTTCGTAAAGTTCGAGAACTTAGTCTATAAATATATTAGTAATATATTATTCGAGTGATATAATAAGTATTTAAAGGAAGTAAGGAAGAAAATATACTATTATAGGATAGCCTAGGGCACGGTAGTATACTTTATCGTAGTAAAGGAGGTCCTAAGTGAGTACCTATATAGGGTTAATAAATAATAAATATATTATTATAGTATAAACTAATATTTTAGGAGATATTAGGGAGTTATAAATCGGCGAGGTTTATAGCTATATAGGCTTTCTAGGTATCGGAATTCTTAATAGAAGGTATAGTAAGATATTAATATAATAATATTTATTAATAAAACTAGAGATTAGACTAGATATAAGATACCCTTTATACTTTAGTATCGAGGGGGTAGTTATTTAACTTTATATAACTCGATAAAGGACTAAATTATAAAGAACTATATTATAAAGAGGTATATTTAGTAAAAGGTGCTAAAAGAAAGCGTAATCTATTTCTTTTATCTACTAAATTATTAGGATAAAGACGTATTTTTATCTTACGCTATCTTCTTTATTATATCGAGTTAAAGAAGGTAGGATACGTATACTAAAGGTATAAATACTTAATATATTCGTAATATATTAACCCTATCTACCTTATACTTATTATTCTATTTTACTTAGAAAAATTAAATATATTCGTAATATATTAATCCTATCTATCTTACACTTATTATTCTATTTTACTTAGAAAAATTAAATATATTCGTAATATATTAACCCTATTAACCTTACTCCTATTATTTACTATAATTAGTAAAGATATATTTATTTATAATATATTAAGGATATTACTAGGTTACCTTATATACCCTAGCTCTAAAATAGTAGGTAGTAATAGGACCTCTATACGTATTATAATTAAATAAAAGATTATAACGAAAGTCTATATAGGTAATAGGTTAATAACCTATTACTAATTACTCTATAGCTACCTATTAACTATAGTAAAGTCATTATCTAACTCTTCTACCTCTAGCTTATCTTTAAAGGGCGGTAGGTTAAACTCCTATAGATAATCGCACTTATTATATTAGGCGAATATTCCGCACTCTATTAATAAATTAGTAATATATTAAATAGAGTGATTATAGGAAGGATAGACCCTTAGAAGCGTTATCTAGCTTATAAGCGATATAAGGGAACTTCTTTTTAGGGAACCTCTCTAGAAGTACCTCTCTTATATAGGTTATATTTACCTAGATAGATTAGTTAAATATTAAGTCCTTTATAATAAATTAAACTTATAGATATAATACCCTTAATAGTCTTAAGGGGTAGGTTAAGTTTCTATTACTCTTATATAGTAATTCGGGCGTTAACTATATCTATAATAGATTAGTAGAATACTAATATTAACTTTAGTAATTATTAATTTATTAATTCTAAATTAAACTTACCTTTTAATAGCTTAGTTACCTTAGTAAGAGGTCTTCCGCTAGGCTTCTTACTATCTTCGGTTTTCTATATAAGCCTCTTATAGACTTCGGGATACTTATTTTAAATATAGAACTTTAGATTAGTGAAGTTTAAGAACCGTATCTAATTTATTATTAATAACTTTACTAAAGTAAAGAATAGGAATATAAAGACTCACTTCGTTAGGATAGTTAGTGACCCTATAGAACGTTTCGCCGTAATATAGTAAGAATATACTCTCCTTTAATATATATTATTAGCGATTTAAAGTATTAATAATATATTAGATAACTCACTCTCTCCTTAAGGTTAGGTATAAGCTTTAGGTTAGTTACACTTAGCTCCTAATAATCGAGGTAAGGTTTAAATTTCTTTAGTGATAATATGATTACGCTAGATAAGTAATTAGATTAATCATCAAATCCTAATACGCAAAGGGTGTTACCTAGGTAGTAATTGGTTAGTGATGTGGAGAGGAAGGGTGGGGAAGAAAGAAGGTCCGGTATGGCTTAGAAATTAATTACTTTATATATAATATTACATGCTATATGTCATGTGATTGTAATCTAATTTTTTTTGCTCCACTTTTTGGGTGGGTCGTAGGTGAGGTCAGCTTTTGCGTCGTAGCTAAGCCCACCTACCCACTGTCTGTCGACCACATTCGCTTTTGATACCCCACCTCTTATGAATTTCTCATTCTGATTTTCCTTGAATTCCCAATTTGGAAAGAGAACATTAGGATTTGAATGAGCGGGTGCTGTCCCAGGGCCCCGAGCCCACATTTGCCACTCCGAATGGAGTTCGGCCAAGAGAAGGGCGTGTGCCCGGCCAAGGGGCCATCAAAAACAATAGTTCGTAGAACAGCTCCCCATCGTTCACTCACCTCATTGGCTTTGAATCCATGCCTCCCTCTTGTCCAGAAATATCGCTCTCTGAAAAGAAAGATCTTCAGTGCCACACAAACACAAAAGGCTAGAATTTAGTCAAACTACACCCAGTGGCCCTCATCTATCCGAATCATTTCACATGGCAGTCTGGGGCCTATGTACCCTGTAAATAGTCCGTATGTAGAGCTGATGTTGGGTGTGTTAGGGAAATTGTTGCCGAACATGGGTGCGTGAACAGATACGAGAAACTAGCCCCAGAACGTACATCATGCAACCGATTTTGATGAAATTTTCAATCAGGGGCGATCAGATCCCTCTCCCAAGCGATCGCCGGGATAGTGTGTGCCAGCGCACTGGGGCTAAACCAACGATGAGGTTCGAATGCCACGTGGAAAGCCCGCCTGTGGCTGATTACCCTTAACTCCGTACATCCATATACGGAGTGGTAGAATCATCTCTACACTGTAGCTGGTATACCGCATCTTTACCCAAATCATACCAGGCATATCGTATCAATTTGGAAACAGGACCTTATCCAATATAATATGCCCTACCAATTTTAATGAGAAGCGCCTTTTTTAACTCATGTTTACAATGCAGAGCATGACTTGAACAAAGTGAAAATGCAAAGTAGGCCGGAAAAGGGGCTACAAAGGTAATTGACATTATGCATGTCGTACGGGGTCCTCCGTACTCCGTACAAAGGTACCATTCCGGATTGGAACACGTTGGGGCGTTGAGATGGATCGCGTGTAAGCAGTCATGCATGGAATCGGCCCCGAGCAACTAGAGCTCCGGTGATCGCTCGGATCCACGCACACAGTGTACTCCGTATCCCGTATGAAGTCGAACCCGGGTGTTTCCCAAGATAGGTAAATGGAGAACCACGTACGCTAGGCTCCTAGTGTTGGTTGTAAACATCACAATCGCCCCACAGAGCAAAATCCAAAGGCCAAAATTCGAAAGCTTTGAATCCAGTACAGAATTCGAAGTACTATCCGACTACAACATATTACTTACATGAGAAGAACAACTGTAGATTCTTTGGTTTCTAACATCTCATCCAATCGGAAAATTTATTTCTTGTGTACATGATATTTGACCTGTCTACTCCGCGCTCCGTAAGGTCTCGGGGAATTGCATGGTTGTGGTTCCGTTGTGCAGGTACCGATTTTCAGGCCAATCAAGGGTTCGGGATCACCGTCCCTGCGTGCATCTTCCCCCTGTGTTTCTTACTGTTAAACACGACGCGTTCGGATCATTATTGCTTATGATTATCTACTAAGTTTCCGAGTCTGCTTGTCGTTTTGTGGGTTTGTCGTTTTGGCTCCATTTTTCTGTTACTTTTTTCCTTTCTTTTTTGTTTTAACCAAAAAAGAATTTTACATTGTTTGATGGTAGGACACGACTAGGGTAGTAGAAAAAAAGGAATGGTATGGGGTATGAACTTGAATGTATGTATCTTGTAGGTCTGTTAAAGTGCAAGTGCCGTCGAAATTAAAGTATGATAGCAGACATTCTTTCATCGCTTCCATGGTTATAATCGATTGTTCCACCAACTTTAAAACTTTATGTTGTGGCAGTCAATGCCGAATCCTTGGAAATTCCACTGGCATAGATAACACCCGTATGAATGCCAAGTGTCCAAGGTTCCAAGATTGTTTTATTCTACCAAAGACAAAATCTAATATTATGATGTTAGAGGATATGTTACTACGACATACACGAACGGATAGTTAAGCTTAGTAAGTTGGAGATCGAAGGTACCCCAGGGCTGATCTCGACACAACTCATCATGTGATTGATCCTCAGGAGGCTTAGACCAGCTAGATCTATACGAGACATCAAGCGCGGGAATTCAAGAAATGATTGCTACCTAGAGGGTGTTATCTAGATTGGGTATCCTAGCTTTTGAAAATCGATAATATTGCGCCGTGTTCCATGAGAAAGCAAAAGACTCTCCCTGTAATGAATCCCAATGCACCGTGACGACTCTGACCTAGGAGGAGGGGGAAAAGAGAGAGTTAAAAAAAAACCATGAAAATGAAAAATCGGCAACAAAATCTCTTGGAAGCCCTCAAGATCTAACCAAAACGTTTGTGGGTCTAGGCTCGCCAGCCTTGCACGAAATCATGCAGGCGATCAATCACAACGCCGAAGATAGCGTTAACGCTATCCGCAATGAGTTGCTCGAAGTGACGGATAGCCTCCTCCTCGGTCATTTCGAGATGGAACCGTTCTTTTACTTTGAGGACAGCTTTGTCGGGCTCCACTCGAATGTCAGGGATATTGGCATCCACCATCAGACTGAAGAGGTTGAGGATCAGGTTGGCAGACTTGCGCAGCGTGGTGTAAGCGGTGTAGCAGTACTGTTTGAACTGCAAATAGTGTGGCGAAGTTGTACCACCCATTCCCTCAACCATTTCCTTGCAAAGTTTCATCATGGGTGCAAAGGGTTTCGGGTCACGACCGAGAATGAAGCCAAAGTCGGCGTGGAAGAAGTGACCATCCGGCGCTAGAAGTAGATTTTCGAGATGCCGGTCACCAACACCGAGAAGGTACGTGATGACACAGTATCCCGCGCATGATTTGATGTATGTGTCCATTGTCTCCTTGCGGACGCCAAGAGGCTCATTATCATCTGGATTATTCACCTGTAGATAGGCGAGAATGGATTTGTACTTGGCGGATGCGGCAGAAAGGGAAATTGAAGGAATAAATTGCACAGCGCCGGCTGTTGCGCTGGTGGCAAGAATCCGATAAGGAGTCAATTTCAGATCAAGATTCTCCTTTTGCAGAAGACGATCCATCAAAATGATAATCTGGATGACCAATTGATCCTGGCGAAGATCATCGCCGACTTTGAACAGCATCGGATAACGTTCACCGTCAGACGTCTTGAATGTGATAAGCAACGGAGAAAGCGTAGATTTGAAGACGTTTGATTCATCGGGGTATAAGCCAACCACTTGGATATCGGGGTTTAAAGGCAATGGCAGGGGTGGATCAATGTTGACTAGGTCGTTCTCAGGGTCACGGAGATACTTTTTCAACATCTCGATCTTGCCGACTCTGTTGTCACGCGAGAACCGGACATCCTTGGCAACCTTGGAGAGCACTGCCACCATTTCACCTTGATGTAACAGTGTCTTTCTATGCTCAGGATGAATCTTTTCCAGTTCGACCATGAAATAGTATTCAACTCGCGCAAATAGACGACGCTGAACTGCATCAGCATCATCGAATTCGACCATAAGATACCAATGTAGATAATTTCCAAGTTTGAAGTTATTAGCTGCGCGTGAAATCAAAAAGTGTGCGAGTGAAGACTCTTGAGGAGCCGCGTCTGGATTATTATCAGGAGTCGCGTCATATTTCAGAGCCTGCACCAATTGAAGAAGATATAAAAGCAACTCCTCATCATCCGCTTTTCGCAGTGTTTCCACGGCGTATGAACGGACAGCAGGATTGTCAAAAGTAGGACCGAGAATCTCCAAAGCATCATCCACGTCAATCTCGGTCCACTTAGGGAACATTTCAACGGCTTGCCGTGATTCCCCGACATCCCGCCAGTTGACCGATTTGACGAATTTGGTCAATGCCTTCTTCTCTCGGGTGAGATGATACCTGAATCGCCATATTAGATCCTTCTCTTCGGCAGTGAGGTCTTGCGTCGGTTCGTAAGAGATAATCATATTGAGATCATCTCTGATTTTAGGGTTAGGCTTCAGATCACGATCCATGATACCAGTTCGATGGCTTCGTATCAAACGCCGATGCTTGTCCTCACAGGGATTTCCGATTTGACCAACCTCGGGATCGTAAATTTGAATGACGTTGTGAGGATCGGCATAGGCAATTCCTGGTCCAAATTGAACCTCTGGAACCGGTTTAAGAGTCGCATTAGGATGTGGAAGTGCATTTTGGGCCCAAGATGAAATGGGCGGAGGAGGATACTCATGATCAGCCCATACAATTGGATGATCAAAGCGTGGAAACTCGACGTAGAGATTGAAATACTCATCTTCGAGGCTTTCTTCGTCAGAACTATCGTCTTGGCCTTTGCCGTGCTTCGAGCCCTTTTGCAGGATTGTATCAAGTTCAAGGGCACGCTTTTGAGCCGCTTCATCCGCGTTTAACTTCAGCTTCTCCAACTCACGGAAGAGCAATTGATCCATCCAGTCAACACGGGGGATCTCGCCCATTTCATGTTTCTTGATCAAGACCTCCACGCGTTCCAGTTCTGCTTCTTCGGGTGACTGCTGAGAAATATCACGAGTATTCGGTTTACGACGCTTAGGCGGTGGGACAGAGGGGGTGGAAGTCGAAGCGGACCCATCGGCATCCTTGTGTAGGTGAACCTTGCACTTCTGTCTGCCCATCTTCAATTTTCCATCTTCGTCAAACAAAGTGATAGTAGTTCCGCCAAATGGGATGTGGGTAATCCTATCAGCGGCGAGTGGAGACAAATCAACTATGGTAATTGCTAGCTGAGCATTGCGCTCTGCATCCTTGATCGACATGGGCAACTCGAGCCATTCATTCCATACTCGATTGGCTTTAAACGGCTTGTATTTGGTTTTCATTGGCACGCCCAATGGCTTTGATTCTGACCATATCTGAGCGGTCACGTAGAGGTCAGAGACAGAGTCTTGCACAGAGGCTATATGCCGCAACTCGGCATTTTCATCAAGAACGGTGTACGGGATCGGCTTCTGCTTCCCCTCTAAGGAGCCACTGTAGTTGCGTTAACGAGGCAAAGGTCTCGAAATCCCGCCCATGGAGAACATACATCTTGATTCGTATAGGTATGTCCACTTGGGTGGTTACAGCAAAGGTAAAGGCTTCCATCTCTGGCGCCTGTTCGGAGAGTGACAGGTTCCATCTGCGTCATGGCCGATAAGCAAGCCAACGCGGGGGGTCACGTGTATGATCTACGCGACGCGACAAAGTCAATCATCCCGCGATCAACGATTGTTGCGACAGATCTTTTTTTTTAGAGAGCACAACCGTGTATTCCTTGGTTTTATTTTTGGTCAGACAAAACTGACTACTGTGTAACTGTCTTGTTCCATTATTTGCGACTTTTTCTGTTTGTTGAATTTTCTTTGTCTCTAGCGCTCTCTCATCTGGCACTACGAGTGCTGATCGAGTATGGCTCGTTTCACTCACACACAACTGGACGAAGCGACCACACCACGTCGAGTATCATCAACCGACGCGTCTATCATCGATAAAGAAAATCGCCCGCAGAGCGTTGATAAGAGATCGAAAACGGCGATGCCACTCTCGCACCAGCAGGGTAAACGGCGGCGACTGGCCGACCGTGATTTGAATAGCCAGGTCGGGCAGTCCGAGAGTGACAAACGATACTATGATCCCGATCAGGACCCCGAAGAGCGCAGAAATGTTAGAAGAGGACTGAGAGACCTCGGAAGGGAGCTGAACGGTAAACTGCTCTATCTGTACCCGCAGAGACCCGACCATGTGCTAACAGCTTTATCATAGATACCCGGGGCGAGCTTATGCAACCTGGAAATGATGGAATCTTCACCATTGTCGAACAAGCAAATCAATTTTACGCCAACGTGAAGCAGACCTCGGACGCCACACTCGATTCGCGCCTTTTGGTCAATGCCGCCGACCTATCGCATAAAAAGGCCGCCCAGCTCGCCCTCGGCGATACCGCCGCTGGCATTGATGTAGACGAATTTGTCTCCAAATGTGTGTCCTTCATGCGTCGCGGTCCAAACAATGCGACAGCTTCTAGCAACGGAACCCAGGGACGCCGAGGGCGACTTGGTTGGAGCCAACGCGATCCGGAGGCCAGCGACGAAGATGATGCTGGCGATGCGATGAACTGGGACACGCTCGGACAGGCTGCCTGCTTTCCTTATAATTCTCGACCAGCCGTTTCGGGGTGGTTATTGGGGCCGCTATCACTACAGAAGCGTACAAGGCAACTCACACAGCGGAGAGCACATGATCGCATCGATCGGACGCAAGCTATCGCACCTCAAGAACTGGGGCAGGAGGACCTTGGTCAGCAAGAGAATGCAAACCTCACTGTGGTGTGTTCCCAGATCAATAAATTGTTGGCACACCACCAGGACGAGGGCCTGAAACTTGCCGAAGATGCTCTTTCCGGAATGGAGGACATTACTACGGAAAAGGCTCAGGAGATTATGGACAAGTATAATGTCGCAGATGACGGGGGAATTCCTCTCTTCCGTTTCTGCATTAATCCAGAGTCTTTTGGGCAGAGCATTGAAAACCTGTTCTATGTCAGTTTCCTAGTTCGTGATGGCACAGTGGGTGTCTCTACTGATAGTCGCGGGCTGCCGACTCTTCGTAAGTGTGTATTTTTTATAATTCATTGGTCAAGTACTGATAAATTGACAGACGCGGCGGCACCATTTGCTCCCAGCGAAGCCCAAAAGCAGGGTATACAGAAGCACCAGACTGTTTTCAGCTTGGATCATGAAACGTGGGAAGAATTGACCAAAGTGTTCGGTATTAAGGAGTCGCTCATTCCTCACCGGGAGGAGACACAAGCAGAGACCGGCACAAGTTGGTATGGCTAGGCTTTTGATGATATTAACCCATGAGTCGATATGTTTCTTGCAAGATACCCCTTTTATTTTTTTCGACTTGCATTGATAGGTCAATTCGATGATTTAATATTATGCCGTGGACATCACATTTCGCATTTTATGACATCTAGCATACATGATCTTAGGGTGATATTAAGCGTACTCTTAATCCCATTAGAGCTCAATCCAAGTCATGGCAACAAGCATAGCTGTTCGGTGAGTCAGCACTGGCAATGACCTCGGGACCTCGGGACGCTGGTAGAGCTTCAAGGTTAAGAAGTGCATGTACATAATTCAGCAGCCTACCAGATTTGTCATGTTCTAGGCCTAGCCCCCACGGGTCGTGAAAATACCCACAGACTGTCTAACTAAGCATTTCCTATAGCCCTGTCTAGATCGAAAGCTCTAATACCCGATGTGCATAAGTTTACGCCTTGGTCAGCGTGGATGATAAATCCGGCCAGGCCTGATGCAAAGTGGAGAACAATGTGGCAGATAAGCTGCCACGACGTCATCCGATCTGGTCTCGGAACTCCCTCAAGCCAGCTTTTCAATCTTCATTCATTTTCTAACACAATTGAGCTTCTCTCTTTGATATCTCCGCCTCAGCATTCAACGTGAGAACCCCAGCTACATACGACACACTCTTCAACGGAGATATCCAGCCAGAGGGCGCAACTCTCATCCTCAAAAAAGACAAACAAGACCCAGGAAAAGGGAAAGGTGGTTCAAAATGCCACAGCTTTTTCCAACCAACCCTTCTGCGACCATGGTCATCCGCCATGTGACGCCAGAAATCGTGACTATGAGTCTACCATTCTCGCGGTTCGGACACCTGCAGTTTGGTGGACGAGGGACGCTGGGTAAGTGTCGATGCTCTCAAAGCCCACCTACTAAGCGCATATCAGCACAAGTGACAGCGTATGATGTGCAGCCATGTCAAGTCCACAGAAGCTCCTTTATGATCTCACACTGATTTTTCTTGCATGCGACAGTCAAACTCTCCAGCGGATCCCTTGCGGTGTTCTCGCCCGTCAGCCTAACTCCCGAAGTCCGCGAGACAGTCGAGTCTCTCGGTGGAAACGTCAAATACATCGCTGCGCCAGATCTCGAACATCATCTCCATCTCACACCATGGAAGAAGGCCTACCCCCACGCAGAGATCCTGGCGCCGGAGGGCCTTTACGAGAAGCGGCAGTCAAATCCGGAGTACCAGGATACTCCGTTCAAGCACATATTCAAACAAGATGACAAACTGCCACGGTCCATCTCAAAGGAGTTTGATGCCGAATTTGAGAGCGAGTATGTGCATGCCCATGGCTCGCGAGAGCTCGTGTTTCTGCATAAGCCTTCGCGCACGCTCATCGAGGCGGACTTACTCTTTAATTTGCCTGCTAAAGAGCAGTATTCCAAGAGCTCCGAAGGTCAGGGAATGAATTTCTTCACCAAGCTTCTTTTGCCGCTGATGTCTGTTGAACCACCGGCTACATGGCAAAGACGGTTTTCATGGTATATTCTTTCTTCAAAGAATCGGACAGGTTTCAATGAGTCTATGAAAAGAATTGATCAGTGGGACTTCGATCGCTTGATTCCCTGCCATGGTGATACTATCGAGACTGGTGCCAAGGGAGTATTCCGTGATGTGATGGTATGGCACCTGAAACAGAAGAACACCCAGGATTGATTTATCTCTTCACCCTCACTTTAAATTCGCTGTATGGAGCATGTTGAATTTTCAGGACTTACAAGAAGCCTTTCGGGCCGGGAAATATATCTAAGGGTGCTAATACGGCAAAGCTTGCCGTCTCTAGTGCTCGATTTGTAATAATAGTGATTGGTCAAGCTCTTTTGTTTCAGCTAGCGCACAATAAAAACAAGTAAATTGTGGCACCTCGATATTGTACTGACACTGAAACCAAATCCCCCTTTGGATACCCTTGCACAAGCGATCACCACCAGTTTCTGCGCCCCCATTTTAAACTACCACGAACTGTGAACAGAATCTTTGGGGATGCCTGTCGCTCAAAGACTAAAGGTAGCTGTACTATTTTCGCAGATTTTATTATATAATACAGATTATGGGATAGTGCGAATAGGGTTGTGGTGATGGATGAAGGACGGGCCTTGTCCAAAGTGGCAGCATTATATAACCGCAGGTCGAGGTCTCTTTTGGTTGCTGGAGTCTCAAGTGTTACAGCTCTGGCATTGGTTGTTCAGCCTATGGACCAGGCGGCACGGAGCCAGAATGCCGGGGAGATCTTAAGCAGAAATCAGGCACTGCATGGTTCGGCATCAGTGAACCAACGGGGAGAAGAAGACGAGATGAGAGAGTTCATTCAGCTAACAAACCTTGAAGATTTTGAGGCCGACTTGTACACGAGGAAAGACGGTGAGCACGGAAGAAGCATATTTCCGCGTACCAACGCTGACCTAAAACGAGAGAGAAAAAGTTGATACAAATCGGGAAAAGAAAACTTATTCGAATTGACGGATCAGGCATTCCAAAGGTCAAAAAGGTACCTGAAGACATGTAAGCAAAGTGAAGAAATCGAGTTACTTCCATTTCTCTAATTCCTGAATGACTTCCGAGTGATTCGACATTTGCGCATACTGCAAAGGTATACGACCTTTTGTATCTTTAATATCCTGGTTGGCACCTTTGCTGAGCAAATAGCGAACTACATCGACTTTTCCTAGTTCAGATGCTCTGTGCAGGGGTGTTCCGAGTCCCATAAATTGGAATAACGCCCAAGATGCGTAGTCTTCGTGAACGGTTGCATTGATGGGTGCGCCTTTCTCTATGAGAAGCTTCAGAACTTCGATAGCATCTGATCGCCGTTCGATGGCATGATGGAGGAGTTGGCCTTTTTGAAAATTTCCACCACGACCGAGTATGAGATGAATGACGGAAATAGGTGCGCTTTCGACAGCAAGCGAGAATGGTGTGAGATCAACAACACATTGTCGATTGGGATCAGCTCCATGATCAAGAAGCCAAGCTGTCATTTCCTCATCCGTAACAGCATATCTAAAAAATGATTGTAGCTGAGTTTATTAAAATCTTAGCACATATGGGGATCATTAGTCTCACCCTAGTAGCGGAGGTTTAAGCTCGCTAATCGGCTGATTGATATCCCACCCATTATCAAGGAATGCTTCCAGGGCATCTTTTGCCTTCACTTTTATTGCTTCAAAGGCATATAGTGGATCCACTGGCATGCCGCGACGAAGGAGCTCCTTGATGAATTGAGTGCTGTTTCGTTTGACGGCTTCAATCATAATACCAGACAATTCGCATATGTCGAATTCATCCGAAAAAGAGCATGACGAGTCAAGAACTTCCTGGAATTTCTGCAAGTCTCCACTAACGCAAAAAGCGTTCATTTTTTGAAGCAATGCGGGTAATATTCGGGTTAGAATTTGAGGGTAGTCGCTGGATTTGACAGGAGGGTAATCTGGCGGAGGCAGGACGTCCATAATGAAATAGGTCAATGAAATAAAATTCTAGCAAAATCTGATAAGGGTTTACTAAAGCTTAGGTGAAGTGTGAAGTACGTATTCTGCACATTAGAAGGCGGCGCGGGAAGGGGTATTTATGTCGTCCTAGAGGGTTTATAGGGTTTGTATCCTCTCTAAGGGCCTTAGGCTGGTAGCTCGTGTCGGAGCAAGAGGTCGGCATACCGGAAGATCAGTTTATCATATATATAGCATTTGTGATATTAGTAGGATCTAGTCATATTTCCTACGAGAATACTCCGTAGTGGATATAGAAATACAGAGTTTTCAATATTATTGATTGGACCCCTATGTTACTTGATACGACATCAGTTGACACACTATGTCTGCCTAATCCTACGGTGAATCCTCGCTTATCACGAACGAAAAAAACGGCTGTGCGATGAGTGATGTTACAATGATTACAATCAAGAATAAATTAATTTGTTCCTAACCCGATATCCAACATGAAATAGGTACGGAGTACGGAGCACGGAATAAACAACATCAAGCTTGCAAAGGTCCACATCATGGCCCCACGTCATAGGGCTGATGGGAGGGCCAGGGTCATATGACCGAAATGAAACATGATGTCAGTGTCGTCAGAGGTACAACATTTCGCTTCAAACCGGATCTTCATTGTCAAAGTAATATCCAGAAAGAATCACCTCGCACCTGTCAAATACCTAGGTACAGTAGGCTGCAACGATCGTCCCTCTACGTAAGTGGATCCAAATTCAACCCTAGATCAAATCAGCGCTATCGCCAATAGTCAATGGATCGACAATGTTTTTTTTGTCAACGGGACCACCGATCGCTGTATTCCCGAGGCCCATACCTGAGTATTCATAGAGCAAGCCACGGAAGTATAACACGTTCGGTGCAGAAGACTCGTATTTCGGGCCAGCACATCGTATCGGGTTGGACACGCCCTAGCATGGGGAGGCTGGGTCCGGGGAAGACAGGGATGCGACACGAGCAACGTTTGCCGGGTGTCTAAACTACCACGGGGGGCTGTGCAGCATGTACTTTTGCGATGGACACTCTCTGCCTAGCAGTCTATAGGCCCGCTCCTTGCTCCGATCGGGTGTTGAGGGGCATTCAGCCACAGTCCGCATCAGCGGTCAGTCCGCCACGCAAAAGTAGATCTCTTACCCACCCAAGCCATGGAAAATGAGTTGGGCACGTTGAGTTTCCCATGCATTATGGCCAATGAGAATCCTGGTTAGTTCGAAGAAACTCGTTGGACGAAGCATCTGGAACCGGCCTGACAACATGAATGAGGCTTGGATCGACTCGACTAGTCGTGTCTAATGCAAGCTGGGCTTGGTTTTAGGTTCCTTCAAATTGCATTTTGGAATTATTATTGGATTTTCACGTTCGGCCCTTACTTTCAAGACGCACTGCTCGGAGTTTGCCTGTCTGTGCGACCTTGGACACGTTATATAGCTTCTCGTTTCCCCCATCTCAGCCCACGCTACATCTTCCACGAGCGTGTCGCATACTGTTCTTAGCCAATCATATCCGTTGATACCATTTCATCAATATCCAATTATTCTGACACTTGAACCATGCCCGTCATCTCACGTCTCGCGTCTATCGTTCTCCGCGTTGCGGAAATTGGGTTCGCAGCTGTGGGTATTCACGGGTTACATGTGCTCAAGAACAGCATCTTACTCTTTGACAGGTCGTCGCGGGCATTATTGGACACTATCTTGCTCAGCTCGACAACAGCAACGCTGATATCGACTGGTGGCCTCAGTCACGATGGATCTACACTGAAGTGATTGCCGGCTTATCCATATTACTGGGCCTCATATGGCTGATACCGTTCTCATCTGGATTCTTTTCTTGGCCATGTACGTGCTGGACACAACCCCTTGTCAATCATCTAGTACTGACCAATAACTAGTCGATATCGTCATTTCACTCGCTTGGTTCGCTGCTTTCGGTGTTCTGGTCGACACCATCCACAAATTGCCCTGTGGCAGCATTTGGTCCTGGCAGTTTAGAGGCAACGACACTTGTGGTCGATGGAAAGCAGCTGAGGCCTTCAGCTTCCTTTCCGCTATCGTCTGGCTTGTCTCCGGCATCGTGGTATGTGATTAGGGTGTCCCTTCCACATGAATCAAATCATTAACCAGGTTATAGGGCATTTGGTTCACTTTCCGTGTCCGCCGAAGCAACACTGACGCGGTGTAAGTGATATCGCGTGGTTTCCGTTATTTGACACTAACATACTGAACAGTCACCGCCGCCGTTGGGGCCGTTCCGCCGTCTAAACGACATCGTGCTATCTAGCTGCAAAGGTCTACACATGAGCAAGGGTCACCACAATTTGGCCATACCCGATCAATTATGTGGGTCGCCGGCCATGTCTTACCCTTGGTACAATGCCAGTGAAGACTCGCAGTGAGATTTCGTGCCTTTATGATTGTCATGCTTTCTCGCTCTTTTGTCGTTTGGTTCCCATATTCAGGAGACAAACGAATTACGACTTACGTTGATACCCTTGGTCGAATACTATTTGGTGCTTCGGGTGTAATTTTGGCTTTGCTTTTGCTGTCAAGTCGCTCATTCTGGAACTTATCGCCAATACACATAATTCTTTTGACATAGAATACCCACTTCCGAGGCTTCAGGGAACCATTATATCAGTTTGTATAGATATAGAAACTTGTATACGAAGACTGAAGCTGGGGATGCCCATGTTGCTCAACGACAGAGCGGGATTGCGCAGGATCCTCAAAGTCCTCGCGCTGTCTTCGAGACTCCCTCGCACAACTCATCACATGGCTAGACGCGCAAGATCGCCCTGATGATTGTTTTCCTTCCAGTCTTTTGAGTTACCTGCTCGCTTCTTTGCCATTTATCTCTGCTATATGATTTATATTGCTTTTGCGCCCAGGTAGCTATCAAAGGCCTATCTTGCCCAACGTAATACCACTTGCGTTTGCTTCGCCTTTTCTTGTTCTTCCTTTGATCTCCAAACCTCCGCAATAGACTTACCATTGTCTATAATTTCCGCTCTATGGATATTCCTTTGATCGTTTATCAAGCTTTCAGCTATCTCCTTGCTATTTCAAATCAGTACTACCTGGTTCGTGTAACAAAGATCGCGAACAGGGCCATTGTGGCTCCTCTCTTTGCTGTCTATGTTCTCTTTGTCAACTTATTGCTTTTGATACTTTATTTTCTTTCTTCTCTCTATATTTGCATCGAAGGTCTTATTGATAGGCAGAATAGCGGTAGGAAAGCAATATAAACAGTCCAAGTTCCCCGGCGCGAACCACTCTCACCACCAAGAAATCTCCCAGCCTCAAGCGTCCCTGATTACCTACGTTTACTGACTTCCAGCTTCGCAATCCATCAGGATTCACCAATACCGTTTTTTCAAGTATCCACAAGAAAAGATCTCCGCCATGCAAGACAACAGTTCGGTTCGGCTCTTCGAGGCCGAACGCCGCGCATTCAAACACTACTGTCACGAGCTCAAGGACGACCTCTTAGAAAATAACTTGGCATCCCAGCACGAGCTCAACCAACGGCTATATCACATTCAACTCTCCTTAGAAAAGCTCCGCCGTGCCGGGCAGATGATGGCCATCGATTGCCCAGCGAGCGAGCTCTCCCAATCTGTCCCCATTAACTTTTTCACTGCTCTTGTCGAGCGTACCAATCAAGTCCCTATGACGGAGTTTGATTGGGCCTGCTTCTATACCCAGGACACTTTGAACATGCTGACCAGTGATTTCATGGAAAATTCAGATCGCAACGTTATTGCCCGCCACATCGAGAGCCAGGCAGTGCTTTGGGATTTGAACCTGCCATTTCCTCCCACCCTCTCCGGCGCCAAGTTCTCTTTCCCGCCTGTTCCTGTTAATGAACACCAGATTCCTTGGCCCGGCCGTTTGACGCCGCGTGTTCGCCCGGTTATTGATCGCCTTGAGACTATCCATGAAGAATCTGAGCCTGAGTCTGAGGGCTAGTTTCATGGTAAGCTATAAATTCCGGTCGTTGATATCATCGGTTTTCGCCATTATCCCAATCTGGTTAAGTATTCCCAATATCCTCTTTTTGCATTTGATCTCATCAATCTTATTTTGTTTTAGAAAAAGAAAGTCAACAAACACACGAAGAAACGCTAACAAGATAGCCTTAAATACTTGCCTCTAGTGATCTCGCTCGCGTGCTTTCATTTACATATTTCCTTGTGTCTCGTTAAAACAATACATTCTTTGGATATTACTTCTGCTCCTCTCGAATGTAGAGTAATGAACTTCTTTTCGTTCTAACAATTCGTGATTGGCCATATAATAAGTTAATAACTAGTTCGGGATATTAATAGGACTACCTATATGCATCATGTAGTTAATTCCAAGTTGGGCACCGGACTTGGTGTGGTGATCGACGGGAACCTCGGAAACACCTGGGCAGCAGCCTTCAAAGTTAAGTTGCGTACGTTTAAGGTTTGTCCTCATACCTGTATGCATTAGGTATACCGTATACACTAGATATAGATATATTTACATATATTCACGCTGGGTTTCTTCAGACTGTACTGAGAGACGAGGTGGGCAGTTTAATATGGAATGGATGACTAAAAGCCAAGACATCTGAGGCCAAATGGTCGCCAATCGCCAAAGAGGCATTCCGCACCTTCCTGAGGACTCCAGTAAATATAAAAATGCAGTCGCGACCGGGATCTCCTGGGGCAAACGCCCGATCTCCCTCGCCGGATCAGCAGTCAACGTCCAACTATCCCTTGCAGGAGATCGGGTCGCACTACAAGGACGAGGCACGCGACAGCGATGAACTGAGCCTGGACCTAGAATTGGGCGACGTGCCACTTCTGCCCTCGGAACGGCACGGCATGGAAGCCCCTGAGGCTCAAGAGAAGTTGACGCGCGATCCGCCGTTCTCTTGTACGCCCTCGGGATTCTGCGCATGGCTGCGGGGGCCGAAGCCGCCGCATGTCTATCACATTAACCCTTGGTTCCCTCGTTTACAGGCTGCGCCGGCGCGTCTGATTGATCGGAAGTTTCCACGCAGGAGTTCGAAAATTGCCCTGCTTTTTGGCGGTCTGATTTTTTGGATTGTGGTCTTTTTTGCATGGTTGAAGGCTTCTGTTGCGGGTCAAGATATTCCGGGGTATGGGCAGCCTGTCAAGCTGTCGTGTCACAATAGCTTATGGTGTGTTTCTATTTTTACCTCCAAGCAGCCTTATCAGATCTAAACTGAATGTTCAATTTAGGACCAATGCGACGAACTGTGGATTGAATGGCGATCTTTGTCGCCCATTTGAGGACCAATCCTTTGCATTCCGCTGCCCCTCTGGCTGCGCGGCGGCGATCCTGCTGGAGCCATACGTTATTGGTGATCAGGAGCTCAATTACCGACCGCTAGTTGTCGGCGGTAAACCGTTCAAGATAGATGGTCGAAATAGCGGCCTTTACCGCGGCGATTCGTCGATTTGCGCCTCCGCCTTGCATGCTGGTCTAATTGATGATGCCACAGGCGGATGTGGTATCTTGCACCGCACCGGGGAGCAGGAGAACTTCCATTCCATTGAACAGCATGGAATCGAAAGTATAGAATTCCTCTCGAGCTTCCCGACGTCGTTCCGACTCACCAAGGATGCCTCATCCCCAGACTCGGATGAGACAAAGTCGGTCGAGTGTTCTGATGTACGCTGGTCGCTATTCGCCTTCACACTGATCTATACTACTTTCCTTTCATTGGTTGTGACATCAGCTCCGGCATTTTACAGCATGATATACTTCATAGTCTGGTTCCAAGTCGCCATGGCATCCGATCCGCCCATGGGGAGCTACTATGATCTCGTCTCAATTGGGCTCGGCCGCTTCCTTCCCGGCGCATTTGTTGGATTCGTGTTGTATTACTTCTGCGTCCGGCATACCCTAAACAATCTGGATGCGCACTGGGACAAAACCGTCCTGTGGCTGGGCGGGTGCTGGGTCGGCGCCCTGAACACAGACACATTCGATCGCATTCCGATCTCTCGTCTCACCCCCCACGATATTCAACAGCAACCAGGTGCCGTGACAGCTCTGATCATCATAGTCTCATCCCTCATTGCCATTGCATTTGGTCAAGCACACTGTTTCCGTCGCGAGGGTCGCTTCTTTCCTACGATAAGCATCTACGGCGGCCTTGTTGCAATTGTTCTCATTCTCGTCGCCGTTCCGAACATGAACCTACGCATCCACCACTACATTCTCTCCCTTCTCTTCCTGCCGGGAACAACCTTGCAAACGCGACCCAGTCTTCTATACTCAGGTATCCTTATTGGTCTTTTCATAAACGGCATCGCCCGCTGGGGCTTTGATTCTATCCTTCAAACACCAGGAGCGCTCCTTGATGGTGCCAAACTTGGTACCATCCCTCCAAAGATTTATCCCCCCTCTTTGACAGATGCGAACAACCTTGTCTTCTCGTTCCCGGATCTCGAGTCCCATGCCGACGGCCTGAGTGTTTTGGTAAATGACGTTATGCGCTTCCAGGCCTTCCGGCCTAAAGATGGCGAGCATCTACCGGACTTCACTTGGTCCCGTACTTATCCTAATGAGGTGGAGTATTTCCGTTTCGGCCTCGTACATACTAATGCCTTGGGTGGCCTTTGGTACGAAGACTTCTCCACTCCTGCCGTTTGGGGCAATGATGGCAACTTCGTTTTCCATGATCCTGAGATACCTACTCCCGAGGATTCTGAATCAGAATCCGAATAGAGAAGTCCTGTATATGCCATTTGTATATATCCTCTGTTGTTCGACATACTTATCCCTAGATTAGCGGCGCATCGGCTTTCGGCTTTTTGGTTAATTTTATCTTTTATTCTGGTTATGTTTATGCCTCCTTCTGTCCCTAGCCATATTTCTCGGCCAAACATTCGGAACATAATTGCTGCCTTGGATCGGCAAATAGTGCATTGTCGATCGTTCGCTTGTATCTATCCACGGTGCGTGAGGCTGTTAACTGTGTTAAAGCTCCTAAATCGACTACTTTTTTTTGCATGAAGTAGGTAGATATGGTCAAAATAAAGTACATGTAGGTAGGTATATGTAGGTCTGTACCATACTGTTACTGACTTTGAATACAAGGAATTTTACTTCACCCCTCACACTCCACACAAAGGCGAAATAGTAAATCCCGAGTATTGCCACGTTTGCCAAAGAGGGTTAATAGCAGATTGCCAGACCGTGAACATTATCTCATTGAATTACATATATCTATAAAACAGCGACTGTGAAGAACTATCACTATCATTCCTTGAGGTAGTTCCGACACGAGACCTGTACAATACTTTGCTTTCCGCCATTCTCGATAACCAAAGCTGTGAGCTTTCCCCCCTTCACACAACCCGAATCAAGACCCTTGGTAAATGTGCGGATAGAAAGGGAGGAAGAAGCGTCATGCCCATAGACAACAGTCATGGTTTTCGACCGAGGGTCTTGTGTAGAAGCCTCGAGGCGCGAATATAGTACGGATTGATGCTTATCAAACATCTAGATCAGAAAAGCGTCAGTTTCACAGCAGAATAAAAGAAAACGAAGAACAGATGACAACTCCTCACCTTTGCCCAATTCATGCCCTTCTTTTTCGGACTCGGAACATGCGTATCTAAATCAATAGTCCGCATGGTCATCACGCTTAATAGATCCTGCTTCTCAAGCTCAACACCTGGGACCAGTCCAGCATGGACAACGACCACCTGGCCCATTTTTGGCACTGGCCCGACGTTCAGAATCACTGGGCAATTCTCCAACCACTGGACTTGCTCGTCACTCAGAGACCGTGCGAGCGCACGCTCGTCACGCTCTTGTGATGAAAGAGACGATTCCTCGCCAGCGGCGGCTGCGAGAGTTCCGGACTTCACCATTTCATTTCGAAGCAGTAGTATCCTGTCCTCGTGGTTCCCGCGAACACTAGACGCCGAATGCTCTCGAGCTAGGTCAACGACTCCTGCACTGTCTGGTCCCTTGTTGATCATATCACCGACAAAGATCAGGTGGTCGCCACGCTTTTGGTCGAAGGATACTTTTTTGAGAAGTAGCATCACTATTGCGAGCTCGTTAGTTCGAAGTACTCCTCGTTATAGACATATAACGTACATTCTTCTTTACAGCCATGCACATCGCCCACAATAATAAGCCGTTTCCGCCTCGCTGCTCCGGCGTCATGGCTCGTAAGGTCTGTGGGTACTAACTTTGAATCCAATGTACGGATAGGAATCAAGTTGTCGAACAGAGGCGACGAATTCGTCCCAAACCACCGTGTCTTCGATGTCGGATCAAGCGACTCAGTCAACGCACCCTCCTCTTCTAACCGCGGAGATAGAAACCTTCGCCAAGCAATACATGCGAATAAAAACAATGCGAAGTAGATCAACACATAACGCCGGAATCGCGGCGCAGAGGGTATCGCAAGGGTCATCTGGACCCATCCCGGGGACTTGGTGTTGTCCGACGGGGAGCTGGGATATCCTTCATTATGTTGCGATTGCCATGCATTTGGGGTGGAGTCAATCAGCGGGCGGGAATGTTGTGAGAGCTTGTTTGTGTAGGGATGGTGGGTCGTAGTCGCGTGGAAGCCGTTATCTGCGCTGTCTGGCGCGGAGTCGATTGGGTGGGAATGTTGAGCCATGCTTTTGCGCCCGAGTCGGGCTTGAGATGTTTGGATCGGCGTGTATGCTTTATGCGTGTCGCAGTGATCTGTAATAATGAGTCCAGGACAATCCAGAGGGAGATATTAGGCAGAAGTTAACCCTTGCGGATCTGACGAGGGTATGTATACCCCGGGGTCCGCTTTCTGGTAGTGTGAGACCAATTGTTTAGCGTCACGCTTCTAGTGCTTATTTTTGGGGGAAATTTTTCGTTTAATTCTCGTGTTCATGTTGTGCTTTATTTTGGTTATTCGTATGGCTATCCCCGGTATTGCTCGTAGGCCTCGGCTTCTTTCATCCGGAGGTTAATACGCTGGAGAACAGTCTCATCATACACCTCCTCTACGTTTTTGCCACCCTTGAGCACCTCTTTCTCGTGTCGGAGAGCCTCCTCTTTAGTCATGCAGACCATGTCATTGAGGTTCATGGGGATAAGCTTTTGACCCTCCTTTTCTAGGCTCAAATCCATGTTCCATCCGTGAGCTGGAGTTTTCCAGGGAACAAGAGCCAGTCTGTTAGATAGGCCACTGACCGCACTCTTTCCCCGATACACTTCCTCCACAATGAATGCGACCTCATCTTTGCTGAGGGGACCGCGGAGTCCCACGGTATCTTGGCCAGTAACCTGTTTGACCATTCGTTCGTGCAAGGTTAGCAAAGCAGCCATGATGGTATCGTAAAGTTTCTCGCGGCCCTTAGCGCCCATGTTATAGTCAAGTGGGTAGCCAGTAATAGTGCAGATAACGTGGTTGGCTACAGTGTAACCAAAGACAGCAGGCATGGTTCCCAGTACGGGAAGGATGCGGGCTCGGAAGTCAGGAAGAACTCCAAGCTCACCAACTTGACCCTTGTTGAACTCATCCTCAGGGAGGGGAAGAAGAGTAGCCTTGCCCGGACCAGGCTTTTCGGTCGAGAACACAGCTGCGATGCCAGACGAAACACCGAGGAGCTTCAGTCTGCGGCGTGTACTGCGGGAGAGAGGATCTTCAGTGCTCAGGGAGATATCGCCGACCACAACGCGAGTAGGATCCGACTTGCATCCAGCGCCCATTGACGAGATCACGGGGAGGGAGTTCGAGTGGCAGTAGTGTAGCAACTCTACCTTGGAAGTAATGTTATCGATACAATCCAAGACGAAATCCGGTCGACGGCCTTCTCCATCGTGGGTCAAAGACCACGGACCAAGGAGGTCGTCAGACGCTTCCTTTCCATAGAGCTCGTTTCGACAATCGAAGATGACCCACGGTGCAATTTGTTCCAATCGTCTCCGGATGCAATGAACCTTCGGGGTTCCCACATCAGCCAATGTCGCAAGAGCGTGTCGGTTCAGCGATGATAGCGTGACTTGATCGAAATCGATGAGTCGGATTTTAGACACGCCGGATCGAGCCAGCGAGGCAGCGGCATGCGAACCAACACCACCACAACCAACAACGACAACAAACGATGATCGCAGCTTTGCGAGGCCCTCGTCCCCGAGGAATACACGGTTGCGAGCGAGCTGTTCAAGGATCAAGTCTGTCGCAGCGGAACAGGCCGAGTGAGAAAGGCTCGTAAAAAGTAATCATAGAAGGGCCACATACCGTCATCGTAGTCTCCCTGTTGTGCCCTGCGAGCCAGAGCTGCACTGCGCTCATCTTCCTTGCTCAGGGGAATTCCATTGGATGCAGCGCCAAAATCAGTGAGCTATAGTCCGACAAATCAGTCTCTTGTCCTCTGTCTTGCTTGGCATTCGATGCATAGCCTCACTAGCTCAGCTTACCATCTCTGCGGGATGTAAATCATCGATACTTGGGATCGAAGCTTTCAGGTCATGAACAGCTTCCTTGCGCCTGTATGACTGGTACCCAAAGATAGCACCTGCGACAGCTGCTCCCGACACGACAGCCGCAGTCGCAAGCTGTCCATGGGCTGAGCCAGCTTGACGCTGGAGCCAAGAAGACATAGTTGCAAGCACACCCGTTCCGCCCTTATCCTGACTTTCTATTGGTGTGGCCTTCTGTCGATCAGCTTCGTTATATCTGGTGTCCAAGTCGTCAGAGTCGAATCCATAGTCGAGGTCGGCGTCGCTGAGCTCTTGCCACCACTTCGATGTTGAGGGGGCCATTCTGTATGTGGGAGGTACTTACCGTCGCAAAAGGACTAGGTATCTGGCTTGGGCCGCTTATAATGAAGTGTATATGCAAGCCAATGCGTTCATCGGTAGGACCAAGATTGCTATCACGTGCTATAGGCCTTCTGCCGGCAGAAAAGTGTCCTCGATCGGACCTCTGGCGCACGTGAGCAGCACCACCTGCCGTAAAGATGAGGCGGTAGAAAAGGCGGTAGCATGATAGCTACCTGTCGCACCCACGCGCTTCGCTTCTCTGTCAACATTCATGCGGACCTTTCATTGGCGACAACCCGGTCGATTACTGCCCTTTTTGCGTCTCATCTGCTCCTATATCCTCTCAGGCGACAATAAGTTGTTTCTGGCAAACCGATGCAGTCCTACGGGCCTCGATGTCAGACTGCGAAGACAACCGCGGTCCACACGCAGCTTGACATTGAACCCTGGGCTTCAATACTGGTCAATGACAGCCCACTTACTCTCGCTTAAGGTGACATAGCAGCATCCGGATGCATCCAACAACAGCGCGTTTGCTAGCCCTCTTTGCTCCGCATCCCAAGAGGTATGTCTGTCTAATGTTTCCCCGTATTTTTCGTCCCTATGCAGCTCCAGTGGAACATCCTGTGTCAAGTCTTGATGACGATAATCCTCACAAGAGCTTCTCATGACATGTCGGTTGAATCAATCCGTCGGACTGTGGACTTCATCCCCCTGATGCTCAGAGTGGAAGAAGACATTGATCCAAAATTGAGTGATTGAGAAATGAACAGAGATCTGAAGAGACTGTGCATTTGATATTTCCTGTTATGTTGTATTATGCGTCAGTGCTTGAGTGCATCTAACTAACATCCATCAGCATTTCTGTACATATTCTAGATCTCCCGAAATATCACCCATCGTTCGAAATTTTCTTTGCCTGGTGCCATATTCCATTGTGAAGGCCATGTTTATCATCCGTTTATCCTCGTTCTCATCTTCAGGTGCTGGCCCAATGACGAAAAAATACTGTTGCACACTCCGAGGCCCTGTATATGTGCTTTGTCTGTATGCCTTCTAAGGAAACGACAAGCATGCCGATGACGAGTGACAGTTTGGTAGTTTTCAATCCGAGGGCATGTTCTAGTACCACTTGATGCTTGAAGGTGGATTCTGCACAGAAACGATGTATCATGGCTGTTTCCCTTGAGCTTAGGTTCTGATTTTTGATGAAGAGCGACTTCTCTTTGATTTTATATAGCAATACATATAATGAATTCGACAATCTCAGTCAAGTCCATTTGCTTTGGAGGAAACACCTCCATAACAACTAGCACATTTCGATAATTGCTTTTTTTGCGAAAAACCACCTGAGGAATCCCAAGTGTTGTTGACGCGACCCTATAATCCCCCTGCCCAAGCCACCAAAGTCTCGAGGCCACGTTATGTCGATCAAATGTCGAATTTCTGTTCTTAATTGTCGCCTGGATCGGTAGCTGAAGCCTTCTCCTCTCCTGTAGAAGTGTCACTGCTATCTTCGTGCGGCGATCGTACGCCCTGTTCCGCGGCTTGTCTTGCCCCGTATCGCTTTCGTAAGGCCGCAAGTCGTTTCAGCTTGACTGATGTATTGATGTATGTGGCAAGAAGAAAGACTACAGCTAGGAAACACACCGTCCATGTCGGTGGTGGTAGCAAGAAAGGTGCAATTAGGACACAAATTGGAGAAAGGGCCCAGGAGAGTGTCAACGCAGGCACTAGTCCAGCTTTAACCGTCGCCTTGATTTGATGAAATGTGCGGGCGCTGGCAATTAAGGAGAATGCTGTTTGGTCAGCTATGCTCTGGAGGAGCACGATCTGTATGAATCAGCTAAGCGAAATGGTTGATCGAGGAGTATCGTTGGTACGTACGATAATGTGGCTGATGATAATCTGCAGCAGTCAGGTCTCCAAACTGGTGCATCCTTCAAAAAACTGGGAGATTAACCAAGTGAGGGCCTGGCCGATTGAGGCTCCGATGAGGCATCTTTAAAAAGCTGTTTTATAGACACGAGAGGAGAAGTAGCTGCCGTCTTTGTTGAGGTCATGAGCCAACCACGATGCTGTAAACTCTTGAAGACCGCCAAGAGTGAGAGGTGTCAGTCTGTTCCTTATTTTCCATGGCATACCGTGAGATACAAAATCCAAAATGTCTGGAGACTCTATGGGCTCTCCGGCCAGTGGATGGCGAGAGCCAGGGACAGGAAGGTCCAAGAACGGGTCTAACACATGATTATGTTACTGACAGGGCTCGCTGCTTTCCCCTAAAAGGTAAGTAAGTACTGGGCTATAGTGCATATGTCCTAGCTTGCAACAGAATCCTCAGTAAGATGTGGAAGTTGGGATCGTCGTGTGAGTGGAACTTGTTGAAGCCACGGTGGTACGTATGCGGCGGGGTTAAATGTCAGCGAGGCTTACGCGCAAAGCACCTTGACTACACGAGGTTTACAAATCGATTGATGTCTAGAGCAGGGTGTGTGATGTGATTGGAGTTCAGAGGAAGTTCTATATGCATGCCTATGGTGGGGATAAAAGACAATTGCCAGCGTGGATACCTCATCAATTTGTTTAATCTCTGCACGCCAGAGGGCTCTCCATGGTCGTCTCCTCACGCACAAACCTCCGTCTGCCTGATGTCCTCAAGATTCATGGAAGCCAGCCGTGGTTGCTGGAAATTTGGAGAGCGTTGGTGGAAAAAGATCAATGGAAGATCTTCGATAGAAGATGTCTCATAAAAGGAAGTTGACGGAAGAAATTCCAATGGAGTGAATTGTTGTCCAGACAGTCTGGACTCATTGTCCTGAATTTTATGGAAGTCCACTGTGGCGGGGCGGGTGAAAAGCTTCAGGATTGTTGATGGAAGAAGGTGGATGGAATAAATTTTGAAGTACACCGTACCGGTTGTCCTGAGGTCTCATGGAGACCTGCCATGATCACAGTTGGTGAAAGGGGCTGAAAATTTCGACAAATTGAGCATGGATGAGGAAATGCCAGTGGGAGAATGGGGAGGCAATAATGGGCTTAGAAGATTCGGAGTGGAGGAATTGCTGTCGAAGCAGATTGTGCCGACTTTGCTGAAGTCTGCAGAGACCCACCACGGTCACGGTTGCTGGAAGGTTCGAAAACCGGGTTGGAAAGGTCCGAGAAATTTGATGGAAGCACGTGGATCGAAGGACGCAAACTGAAGGATGTGATATGTAGGAATTAGTCGGACCAGGCTATGCCAATTGTCCTAAAGTCTCATGAGGACCCGCGCCATGACCACGGCTGCTAGGATTTGGGAAACGTCGGTGAAATGGGCTGACGGCTTTGATCGACGGAATCGTGGGAGCCAACTGTGCCGATTGTCCTGAAGTTTCATGGAAACCCGCCACGGTCACAGATGCCGGAAAGGATCGGAAAACGTAGACGGAAGAACGTGAATCAAGAACGCAGAACCGAAGAGATTGTCGAAGCAGACTGTGCCAATTGTCCTGAAGCCTCACGGAGACCCGCCATGATCACAGTTGCTGGAAGGGGTTCGAGAACGTGGGTGGAACGGTTGGAGAACGTTGGTGAAAGAGATTGTCGAAGCAGACTGTGCCAATTGTCCTGAAGTCTCATGGAGACCCGCCATGATCACAGTTGCTGGAAGGGGTTCGAGGACGTAGACGGAAGGGTTCGAAAGCGTGGTGGGAAGGAATTGTCGAAGCAGACTGTGCCAATTGTCCTGAAGTCTCACGGAGACCCGCCATGATCACAGTTGCTGGAAGGGGTTCGAGGACGTAGACGGAAGGGTTCGAAAGCGTGGTGGGAAGGAATTGTCGAAGCAGACTGTGTCAATTGTCCTGAAGTCTCATGGAGACCCGCCATGATCACAACTGCTAGAAGGGGTTGAGAACGTGGGTGGAACGGTTGAAGAACCTTGGTGAAAGAAATTGTCGAGGCAGACTGTCTCAATTGTCCTGAAGTCTCACGGAGACCCGCCATGATCACAACTGCTAGAAGGGGTTGAGAACGTGGGTGGAACGGTTGAAGAACCTTGGTGAAAGAAATTGTCGAGGCAGACTGTCTCAATTGTCCTGAAGTCTCACGGAGACCCGCCATGATCACAGTTGCTGGAAGGGGTTCGAGGACGTAGACGGAAGGGTTCGAAAGCGTGGTGGGAAGGGGTTGTCGAAGCAGACTGTGTCAATTGTCCTGAAGTCTCATGGAGACCCGCCATGATCACAGTTGCTGGAAGGGTTCGGGAACGTAGACGGAAGGGTTTCGAAAGGTCATTGGAAAGGTTCAAGAAACGTTTCTAGAAGGAATTGGGTGGAGGAATCAGTCGGTACAGGCTGTGCCAATTGTCCTGAGATCTCATAGAGACCCGCCATGGTCACAGGTACTGCAATGGTTTGGGAACGCGGACGGAAGAACTTGAATCGAGAACTTAGATGGAGGTAACTGTCGAAGCATACTCTGCCGATTGTCCTGAGGTTTCACGAAACCCGCCACGGTCAGAGCTGGTGGAAAGGGTTCGAGGACGTGGACGGAAGGGTTCGAAAGCGTGGTTGAAAGCGTGGTTGGACAGCGCAGTTGGAATTGTCGAAGCAGACTGTGCCGATTGCCCTGAAGTTTCCTGGAAACCCGCCACGGCACAGTTGCTGGAAGGGTTCTAAAGCGTGGTTAAAAGCGTGGTTGGAAAGCGTGGAAGGAACTGTCGAAGCAGACTGTGCCGATTGTCCTGAAGCCTCACGGAGACCCGCCACGACACAGTTGCTGGAAGGGTTCGAGGACGCAGACGGAAGGGTTCGAAGATGTAGACGGAAGGGTGGGAAAGCGTGGATGCAAAGCGTGGTTGGAGGAATCGTCGAAGCAGACTGTGCCGATTGTCCTGAAGTTTCCTGGAAACCCGCCACGGCACAGTTGCTGGAAGGGTTCGAAAGCGTGGTTAAAAGCGTGGTTGGAAAGCGTGGAAGGAACTGTCGAAGCAGACTGTGCCGATTGTCCTGAAGCCTCACGGAGACCCGCCACGACACAGTTGCTGGAAGGGTTGGAAAGCGACACTGGAAAGGGTTCGAAAGCGTGGTTGGAAGCGTGGTTGGAAAGGATGGAAGGAATTGCCGAAGCAGACTGTGCCGATTGTCCTGAAGTTTTTTGGAAACCCGCCACGGCACAGTTGCTGGAAGGGTTGGAAAGCATCGGTGGGAGGGAGCATGGTTGGAAGGAATTGGCGAAGTAGACTGTGCCGATTGTCCTGAAGTTTCCTGGAAACCCGCCACGGCATAGTTACTGGAAGGGTTGGAAAGTATCGGTAGGAGGGAGCATGGTTGGAAGGAATTGCCGAAGCAGACTGTGCCGATTGTCCTGAAGTTTCATGGAAACCCGCCACGGCACAGTTGCTAGAAAGGGTTCGAAAGCGTGGTTGGAAAGCGTGGAAGAAACTGTCGAAGCAGACTGTGCCGATTGTCCTGAAGTTTCATGGAAACCCGCCACGGCACAGTTGCTGGAAAGGGTTCGAAAGCGTGGTTGGAAAGCGTGGAAGAAACTGTCGAAGCAAACTGTGCCGATTGTCCTGAAGTTTCATGGAAACCCGCCACGGCACAGCTGCTTTAAAGCGTTCGAGGACGCAGACGGAAGGGTTCGAAAGCGTGGTTGAAAAGCGTGGTTGGAGGAATCGTCGAAGCAGACTGTGCCGATTGTCCTGAAGTTTCCTGGAAACCCGCCACGGCACAGTTGCTGGAAGGGTTGGAAAGTGTAGTTGGAATAATGAGGGTGAGAATCCTATAGATGACAGAAAAATCAGCAGGATAACACACAACTTCATCAACATAACATACATGGTATTGATAAGATGTTGTGTGGATGAAGCAGAGACGAGTGGACGAAGCAGAGACGAGTGGACGAAGCAGAGACGAGTGGACGGAGCAGAGACGAGTGGACGAAGCAGAGACGAGTGGACGAAGCAGAGACGAGTGGACGAAGCAGAGACGAGTGGACGAAGCAGAGACGAGTGGACGAAGCAGACGAGTGGACGAAGCAGACGAGTGGACGAAGCAGAGATGATTGGACGAAGCAAAGATGATTGGATCAAGTATTGAAGCGTGGACAAAGCAAAGGATATATGGAGAAAGCAGACATTCGAGGACAGAGACGGATCAACAAAGCAAAGACATGGAAACAAAGCAGACATGTGAGGGCACAGACGGATCAACAAAGCAAAGACACGGAAACAAAGCAGACATGTGAGGACACAGACGGATCAACAAAGCAGAGACACGGAAACAAAGCAGACATGCGAGGACACAGACGGATCAACAAAGCAAAGACATGGGAACAAAGCAGACATGTGAGGACACAGACGGATCAACATGTGAAGAAAGGAAAGATGTGTTGACAAGATGAGGACATATAGATGGGGCAAAGAAGTATGATGAAACCCAAGATGTGTGGGCGAAGCAAAGATTTATCGATATGGTAGAGGCAAGTCGATAAGGAAGATGTGTCGATGATATGAAGACGCAACAACAAAATAGAGAAGAGTCGATGTGGAAGATGTATCACCAAGGTGAGGATGTGTCGACAAGGTGAAGATGTATCAGAGTAGAGAGGAGTCGATGTGGAAGACGTGTCAACAAGGTGAAGATGTGTCAACATAAGAGAGAAGAGTCGATGTGGAAGATGTATCACCAAGGTAAAGATGTGTGGACATGGTGAGGATGTGTTGACAAGGTGAAGATGTATCAGAGTAAAGACATGTCAATGAAGAAGACACATGCCAACAGGGCAAGGCAGGGCAAGGCAGGGCAAGGCAGGGCCAGGCCATAAAGCAGATGTATGGAGCATGTAGTATAAGAAGATGTATGGAACACAGAGTATGAGAAGATGTTCCAACCTGCGGGAAGTCAGGTGGGTCAGGTGGGTCAGGTGGATCAGGCAGAACGTGGAAAGATGCCTGAAATGAAGTGTGAGTTGTGAAGAGAAGAAGAAAGAAAAGAAATTGGGGGGGGAAGAGGTATTTATGTCCCAGGGGGAGGAGGGTGATGCGTTCAAGATCACAGACTACCTGCCAATTTAGGAAGTCGCCCTAGATCAACCAATAGCGCGAGGTAAATCCGTTTGGCCTCTGGTCTCTCACTTCTAAGCTGTGATCCAGGCCACAAAGTGAGAGCTTGGTGCCTTCACAGTCTTGATCTGCGAGATTATTGGTGGATAGGTCGTGATCTGCAAGATTATTGGTGGACAGGTCTTGATCTTCGAGATTATTGGTGGAGAGGTCTTGATCTCTAGTGCTTGATCCCACAGCTAGGCCCCAGGTCTAATCAATAGCACCGTGGGCACATTGTATGGTCTTCTATGGCTCATATTCCTTCAATGCTATTCAGGTAGAAAGCCCTGAGAGCATAGCACATTGTGATATCTTGAGCAGATGCATAGATTCAATTGTCGATACTACATACTACCTCCGTGTGCTCACTAGTTCTTATATCCCTTCAAGTAGCCATCCTTCAAGATGCTTTGTAGGTTCATGATCACCTAGGTAATCACCGATATCATGGCAGAGACATCATCAAATGCAATACTGGATGTAGCTTTCTTGGCCACGACATGGGCGAGCCACAGACAGAGCCTTGCCTGTCCAGTGACAGGATCTGTCGCCATTGATGAACACAGATGATTTTGATGGCTTGTGTAGACAGAACCTACTGATAGACACCTATATGAATTGAGAGTTGAAAGCACTGTAGCAGCTCCCTTTCCATTGAATAGTATCGTCTGGATTCAAAGTTTATCTCAGGGAGAGGTTTACGTGGCCGTTGGGCCAGTAGCTCTACGGGTACCAATAGGAACACACTGGGAGAAGTCGAGAGGCACTCGATGATCCTCAGAGTAACAGCTTGAAATGTTACGGCGTCCAGCTCTAGAAACTCGAGACAAATCGCAGTTTCGACGCAACACCCGACGAAGGAATCTGAAGCAAGACAGGAATGGAGCTATGTGGTGGAAATGGTCATTAGCATCTTGATCTTCTACGCATCGTGTCTGTCTCGGCAGATTGCTGACAGGACCTGGCTCTCGGGGATTTTGAACCCAGTATCATGACAGTGGATTTCGGTGGCCCGGAAAAGCTCCTCAAGACTATGACTACCATCTTCTCGGTGACAGCCCCCGGTTTTGGCTTATAGGTAAGGATCATTTTCATCACAGCTGCAGGCTTGTGGACGGACTAACAGTCTAATGATATTCTAGGGTCTCATGGACAGCCTGTCCTCGAAGGTCACTCGAAATACCCTCTTGTCGTCTACCGTTTCCGTCGTACAAGTCTCGGAGATAGGAATTTCTGGCCAGCGCACTAGCGTCAGTCGCGGCTTAACTACATACAGGCTCAATGGCCGCTTGAGGAGGGCACAATGTTGCTGGAGCTCGGTCTCGGAGCTCTCATAAGGACTGGATGCTGACGCATTACTTGGCCGTCGCAGCCCATACCACCCCTGTCTGGGATCTTTTGCGATGGATTCGAGGCTATTGAAATCTGGAGAACCGCGTCATTGTATGGGGTTTCCGTCAGGACTACAGCGAAGTCGTCCAGTCAACTGAGGACTTCCGACTGATCAAGAGCTCCAATAGCTTCCTATTCGTCCAGCGGCTGCTAACGGCTGCATTTACTCCTCTCACCTCGAGGTGCGTACCACAGTTTAGGAGGGTCATGACCGTCTCATCGACATCATCAGTCCATGGGTATGGAGCCCGAATACGGTCTGAATGTTTTACTATTGGCCTGAAGAGATTAGTTACGGCGGGAAAGGGGCCACAACGGCTCCACTGGGATCTTTGCAGCCATAGCTAGTTGCATTACGAAGTCCTCGGTGACAGGCATACATGGATCTAGTTTGACTACATGCATCTTAGACTCTCCAATAGCATGAGACACCTGTTGATCAAACGGTCTGTGACTAGCAGAGCGTAAAGCCTCGATAGCTTGATGACTTCGCTTGGGCTATCACTGTACGTAGCCAGATAATCTGGCGTCTCATCACTCAGCGCAAAAGATGAATGGTCCATGTGTGTCCAAAACACAACTTTAGTACATTGACCCCCGAATAAAACTGCTACAAGGTTTACCGATGAAGATACTAGAATGCATGGATGGTTTATATTGACAAAGCTAAGAGCTATGGGCTATGCACTTGGCAAAGAAACCGACACCCCCAACTAGTGAAGGCCAAATTAGGGAAAAGCATGTTGGAAATTCGTCCCCTCTCCACGAAAGCCACTCGGTGTCGATGGCATTAGATGAAACCTGAGTTTGTGCGGGATTGTTAATGAAAGCCTCCTTGATAGACCGACCCTTGTTATTTTGGAGGAAAACAGCAATACTGTCAAGCGTGTGAGTCCTATTGGCCTGGCTGCTTTGTAGAGTTGTAAAATGCGTTGAACAATCCCAAACCACGTCGATTGTGACGATTTGAACCGAAAGATGAATGCTCGCTTGGTCTCGTGCGTGGTAAAAGGCAAAGGCGTTAGCTCAGTCGGCGGAGTTAGGAGGCTCTTGGGGTCGCCTAAGTGTTGTGTGCGCGCTGAGAGGCATATGGTGGACGTGGACGGAAAGGTGGATGCGCTAAGAGGCCTTTTTTCAGGCGTAAACGGAAAAGAGAGATGTCGAGGTCGATGGTGGCGATGGCAACCACACCGAGAGGGCCTTGTCAGTCATTGATGTTGATGATATTGACATTGATGGACTTGAAGATGAGGAAGTGGACGGGCCTACAGGGACACAAAATGTGTTGGAATATCTAATAATGAAGACATCGAATACCTGTCTCAGATTGTCAATATAGACTGTGGACTTTACAGGCAATCTAACAGAAGCATTTCTACTACAATGGGGCCAGTGATGTGGAATAGAGAGGTATGTCTATCCTTGCTGAAGGATGAGGCGGCCGTTCCTTGGGAAAAGAGATCGGAGACAAGGTCCAGCTGCTCATCAAAGCACACAGAACCAGGCCTTTCAACCCATCAGATGTTGGACGATCAGTGGTAAAGTCACTTTGCAAGACTCTATACCTAGATGGGCAGTCTCATCCTTGTTCGGGTCCGGTGCAAGCATCATCTCACGTCTCTCTCGAACTCCAGCAGCATGGAGAAAGTGGACCGTCGCCAACCGATCGGTCAGAACAACGAGGCTATACTTGTTCTGCGAGCTCTTCATACTCTCCTTTCGCCAGATGGTAGGGTCGATTTTGTCCAATACCTCCAATCCCAAACAATCAACAAATCCACGATCATGCTAAGTCTCTAGTCAACGGTTTACCTGCGCCAATGCGATCACCCCCGATCTACAGCCCCATATTCCTACGTACTGGTATGAAAGACTCGATTGGAGGCATTGCATGCAGTCGACTTGGGTGTTGGTGAAAGAAACTCGTCTGAAGAGAAATTGCCTGGAGCACGATGGCAAGCGAAGTGTCATAACTTGGCTTTCGATGACAGAACCACTGCGACAGCCTCTACAAAATGCACTCACGGCATTCTTTTTCTCGTTCGCAACATGGAAAGACTAACGTGAATCATACGCCAAGAATATTCTCTGGAACAACCCCATCTGCCATTTCCCAGCACTCGAAAGCAGAATCAACGTTTCTCGAGAGACAAGCGATGACACTATGAATGCTACGACGATACCCTCGAATCTTCATCGCTCTTTCGGCCTGATTGGTCTGGCGTTCGAAAAGACTTCATTATCCTACAGATACAAATTGAAGAAATACCGGCTCCCGAGTACAGTGCAGTCTCCATCGACCGGGTAAATTTGTACGGCAGGTTCTATCAGATACACTTGATAGGGTCTAATCAAATCAGTGCCTCTAGGTAGATACCAATTCAACGGCCTTCACATCTGAAACCAAATCATTGTTGTTGCTCTGGGTCCATGCTTGTTTCAACGCGACGAATGACTCGGGCGGGATTTCCCGCAACAAAGTGGAAAGGAGGAACATCCTGTCAAGGTCAGCCTGAGGTTCTTCCGCAGAGCGCGAGGGCTAAACGTTGATCTGCTAACCTTCGTCACCACTGAGCCAGCTCCTACTGTGCTACCCTTTCCGATGCGAACGCCCGCCAGCACAACCACACTACCGCAAATCCAAACATCGTCCTCGATATGCACCTCCTTTCCACACTCCGGTCCCTTTAACCCCTGTCTAACAGCCGGGTCCATGGGATGAGTTGCGCCGTAAAGGCAGACATTTGGACCGAACAAAACTCGTTCTCCAATGGTAATCAAGCAGGTATCGAGCACGACAAGATTGAAGTTCAGAAAGGTGCCTTTGCCGACCTTGAAGTTCTGTCCATGGTCAACCGAGATTGGTCCGTCGACAAAGGGGTCTGTCTCCTCAAAAAGCGCATCATCTTCTTTTGGGTCAGGGTTCACTGGTGGCATTGGACGAGTGTCGCAGATAATACTGAAGCGGTCAGCACGAAAGTCACCTACAATGACCATTGACCATTCTGATCATGGATCTTCAAACTTACTTTCTCCACAGCTCTACCTTTCGACGCCTCGATTCAGTTCCAGCAGCATTGAATTCCTCGCAGGCCTTTTTACACCTTGTTCGATTCGCCTGTAGATCCTCGTCTCCTGCCCAGTATAACTCACCGCGGAGCATCTTTGGCCATTCTTTCGACTGCGCCATCCTGACTATCTGAGGGGTATCAGTCTATCGAGTCGAAACAAAAAAAACGCGCTCAGAGGATTATGGGAAACAAATCCACAACGCCAGTGTCTTTATACGTGCCGGCTGGAGATTAGCATGACATCGAGTGGGGGTCCCGATGGGAATAGTGGGGAAGTTTCAAACTTGGCGGCGCTCTCCATGTCTGGATTGGGAAGTTCGGCCAGCAAGCACGTCGATGCTGCTGGGCTGTAATAAGCAGATGGTTCCTTTCATTACCCATGCCCATAGATACTAGCTACATGTGCGTAGGCAAACAGAACCGATTCCCAAGGTGATTATCATCCATAGACACATCGAGAATTGGGAAATTTGGATGGAGACACTAATGGAGGGCTTTTCGGTTTTGCAAAGAATGATTGTATGGTACGTTGGGCATCAGCATCGGAAGTACAGTGCATTAGTTGGCCGCGAATAATTCCTCTCCGTAGAATGCAACGCAGTCTCAATGGCATCCCTAGGGGAGAGTTGGGAGAATTGAGTGTTATCAAGCGATATGCATGTGTGGATATATATATAGAATATATGTGTGTGTGAACCAGCAAATAAGTGGCGAAGCTACAATACAAGAGCAAACCCCCTAGGCCATCTTGCCAAATCATCCTGTCGCATACAATACGGGAAATCTTGCAGTAGACGAGGCCCAGGGGCCAGGGAATGAAGCCATTAACATCTCAGGCGGTAAGATGTACGTTCACCGGAACGGAGGAACCTTTGATCCCCCACCGAAAACCACCTCTGTATCTGCCGTCAAGAGCGAATTTCCATTATATTCCCGATGAAACATCGCTCAAGCTCAATTTGCTATGTCAAATATTTGACAGTCAGCCATTGCTACGATTTGCGTACTGCCTGACTCTCATGGTGAGTCTGTGGATTCAACAGCCAACAGCGACACTTGTTCCACGGGACTACATGTACCAAGACGATCCGACAGCATCTGCTAATCTGAAGTAAACTCGTCATTGTCCAATGTTCTACAGCCCATAAGTCCAATGGTCTTATCAAGAGAGGCTACCAGACATATTTTATCCTATCAACAGGTGGGATCAATGGGGGATGTCAGACGCGGTTGCTCATATTCTTTTCGCTGGGAGTCATTGACAACATGACGCGTTGGTGCCTATTCATTCAATAATATCATTGTTTGCGAATGAATCGGTGCGCCTTCCCTATCTGGCATTGGTGTCTGCTACTTTCCCTATTCTGGACACAATGACTCCTACCATGTACTTTCCCTATTTTGGAATCGGTAGTTGCTACTCCTTCCGGATCCTGTGCCCAAGTGACCTCCCCAAATTATAAATACCTGCATCTCCCCTCTTTTCCTCTTCCCTTCTTCACCCTTCACACCGAACACAACTCCAGGCCGTGTCGATGCCCAGTGAGTGACGCCCTTACGGACTCCAGGCCGCGTCGACGCCCAGTGAGTGACGCCCTTTCGGACTCCAGGCCGTGTCGACGCCCAGTGAGTGACGCCAAAGGCCCGGTGACCTTATACACCTATCAGCAACCCGAACGAAGCGTGGCGACATCCCACGAATACCCAGGGTGGCCACTCTAAAGGACCGGGTTTTCCCGGTTCGCCTTGACGTGATTCTTCGGAACTCCCGATGTTTTCACCAAATACCCTAGCTTTCTTGTGCTTTGGTATTTAAATCTGTGGGCTCGAGGGCTTCCTGGGCGATGTATCTTTCTTATCATACTCGCTCCAGTTCACCAAACGTTCTAGGTTATCCTGGTTCGTGTTTATCTGATTCTTTGGAACTTCTTCACCAAATATCCTAGCTTTTGCTTCGGTATTTGACTCTGTGGGCTCGAGGGCTTCCTGGACGATGTATCTTTCTTATCATACTCGTTCCAGTTCACCAAACGTTCTGGGTTCTCCCGGTTCGTGTCTACCTGATTCTTTGGAACTCCTTCACCAAATACCCTAGCTTTGCTTTCGGTATCCAATCAAGTTTGCTTTCTCTCTCTCCCTTTCTCTTCCTGTCCCTCCTAACAGCATGTAGACTTGAGAGCCTTGTAGGATCCTGGACATTTAGTTGTTGTGCTCTTTTCCTTGTTTCCCCCTAATACTCGCCCTGTGATGAGTTTGTCTACGAGACGAACATAAGCCAATACTGCAGGCATCCGCTTGTCGATGTCTCCGCACCATGGCATTTCATGGGTGTGGAACATGGGCAGCTGGAAGTCAGTTATGAAAACCGAGAGCAACCTGAGGGCGAGTTTCCTTTCCACTTTTGCACAAATATTCTTCTTGTTGATGTGGACACAATCCTGTCACCCTTCTTCATCTGAGGTTCTCCATGAAATCCAACAAATTAAATTGAACAATCTTGCTTATACTCGTGCCTTCCAAGATGACTTTCGTCGTGGCAATTTGTAGACTGGCTTGGGAATTCATGAATCAACTTTTCTTGGATCTTTTATCTCTACCTAGGTACTCTTCTGCAAAGGCATAAGCCGGGAGCATACACTTTCGATCAATCACACGTGATGCGATAGGCTCCACATTTCACGCTAGTCAGCCAGCAAAAGAGCAAAAAGAAATGCCCTCGTCCAGGATCGAACTGGAGACCTTCGGATTGCAATCTTGTTACCAAGATCATCATAGGAATATATATGAGACCAACGTCATAACCAACTAGACCACGAAGGCTTGTTATGGAAACCGTGCCATTCTCATGTTACATAGACCAATTACTGGCAACATGAAATTAAAACAAATTCATGTCCTTGGGTATGTCATTTTGCAAATGTGAAACGCCTGCTAAATGCGATATTGGAAAGTCACACGCTTCACAAAATAATACTATGTACAAAATGAAAATTATTTGTAGTGCGCCAAATATGACTAGCGCAAGAACTTCCCTAATGCACCTCCGATGTTCTTGAGGTCCAGCAAGAAAGTGTCGTGGCCGAAGAGCGACAGGTCGTCGCCGAGTTCAATGTGTTCCACGTTCTGGTTGCCTCCTGCACGAAGTGTCTCGGCAATTTCCCGCTGCTGCCATGCTGGGAAGAGGATGTCGCTGGCAACGCCCATGACAAGGACGGGGTGGTTCTTCAGTGGTGCAAGACCGGCTACAAGATCGCGTGGAGGACCCTCCACTGAGTCGGCAGGGACGGACTCATCCAGCGGGGTTATATTGGAGGTTGACCCGGGTTGCTCCTCGTAGGGCTTATCCGGGAGGGTCAGACTACAAGATGAGTCCGAGGCGTTTGGTGAGGCCCCGCCCTGAGCAATGCGCTCCTCAGATTCCGCGCGACGTTTCAGAGTCGCTGTCTGGTGATTATGGCCGAGGTCGAACAGGTCCATGGCCTTGGAGACGTAAAGGAGACTGTTGGGGTCGTACTCGAGACAGAACTTCTCGCCGGCATGGTCGAGGTACGTTTCAATGAGGAAGTCGGGACACAACGCTGGCTGTTTACTTTGGTCTGCACGCTGACGACCGAATCGCTTTTCCCACTCTGGTCCACTGCGGTATGTGACCGTCGCGATCTCACGCGCAAGCTTCATACCAGAGTGGGGTGGGATCGCATCATAGTAGAAGCCGCGTGCCCAGTTCGGGTCCATCATCAGCACTTGTCGCTGTGTGTGTCGCATTGCGATACTGTATGGATGACTACGAGCGCAACCGCTGATGCTGACAATCTTGCCAACTCGTTCCGGGAAGAGAACGCCTGCAGCGAGACTCTGCATGCCGCCCATGCTGGATCCGACCGAGGCAGCAAGTTTCTTGATGCCAAGGCCATCCAGAAGCCGGAATTGCGCACGCACCATGTCATCTAAGGTCAGGATCGGGAAGCGGGTTGCGTATCGCTTTCCGTCGGACGGGTCGAGCGAGGACGGGCCTGTGCTGCCGTAGCATCCTCCAAGAACATTGGTGCAGATAATGTGATATTTATTGGTATCCAGAGGCAAGCCAGGGCCAATGAACTTCTCCCACCACCCGGGCTTCGGGTTGGATGCTGTGCTATGGGCATGACTTGACGCAGACAAGCCAGTGTGGAGGAGGATGGCATTGCTCTTGTCGTCGTTCAATTTCCCCCATGTTTCGTATGCAACATCAAACTCGGGAAGAACACCACCCCAGTCGAGGAGTAGTGGTTGCTCGCAGTGATATGACTCGTGTTGACCGGTGGTGTATGAGGGCTCGGGGCCGGATTGCAACGACCGAGCGGAAAGCTGAGCTGACTTGGCTTCTTGGGCATCAAGGCATGGGAACGCCATGGCGGGATTAGAAGAGTCCCGTTCGGTTGATTCTGCGGTGGCCAATGCTGACTTTCGCGGTGGTACGGTATGCAATGGTCGTCCAGTCTTCCATTGCACCGATAAAGTCCGATGCGGTGCCGCGGGCTTCAAGAGGGAGTCACCTTGCCGCCATGGCGAGGTTCGGATTATGCGTGAAGCGACTCGAGCAGCGCCTCCAAATGATCGCATTATTAAGTAGTGAGTTTCGTTAATCAGTCAGAGGAGAGAGCAAGTTGAAACAGAAGGCTTAAGAGCTATTGGGGGGTAAAAGAATATGTGGATACCTCAGGCATAAGCCGTGGCGTCATCACCGACATCGGTGATTGGCCAAACCCCGATGTACTCCGCGATCTGTACGGCCATATTCCTCGACGAAAACCGAATATGGGGCGAATTAGGCGATTAAAATCGTCATTAGTTGAGATTCAGAATGGAATACGAGCTCTCAACTGAAGTTATACCTAACATATTGGTCAATGATGAATGTTGCTGTCTGTTTCGTAGAACTGTGTCAGATCACCACGGTTATTCCTAAAGAGGCTGATTACCATATGGCCCCACAATATTTCAACTGTACGCTACTACCTACCTAGGTAGGTAGGTTGATACTTACTCCGTATTTCTTTTCTCTTTCCTTTACTCTATCGATCATCATCATCTTTTCTCAGTGATAAAGTCTCATCCGCGTCTGATTTCATCATGGCTGAGCACATTTCTGTTGATGATCACCTCATGTTTTCCGAGTTTAAAGACCTTGAGCGCAAAGACCTCATTAGGCGTATCGTTCAAAGTGATCCTATGTGCTTGGCGACGATCAAGCTATGCAACTATCTCGCACTATGGCTTGCAGATATTTAGATGCTTCGCGATGCTGTATCCTTCCTTTCAATCGGGGGGGTGGTAGTCTCCTTCGAACGCTGAATAACACGCTGATCATGTTATAGGATTACAATATGGCTGGGAAGATAAAGAAGGCGTTTAAAACAACACTTACTCTAGCGTTATATCGACGCTTCCAGGTAGCGCGCCTACGCTACCAGGCGGTCTTAGTAGTAGACTGCAGTGGAGTGTGCTTTAGCCCCTATTACGAAAGAAAAAGGAGAAATGGTAAAAGCAAATTAAATCCAATCACCTTTTAGTCAGAAACGTATATTAATGGTAGAGGAAAAAAGGAAGGGAAGTTAAAGAGTAGTGGGAGAGACATTTTTATAAATACGTGCCTCACTTAGTAGGAAAATATGTTTACACTATCCACTTTAAGATGATTTCACTAAATTGAATGATCTTAAGAAGACCTCACTTTACTCTCACTTCACCTTAAGATGATCCCACTGAATGAAATGATCTTAAGAAGACCTCGCTTGACTCTCACTTCACCTAAGATTCATTTAATTGCGGAGCGAAGCGAAGCAATTAAATCATGGGCTTCGTATGTCACGTGACTGGGCCCTTCTACTGGGTCCCAAATCCATAGCAAATAATGTCAGGTGATATCTATTAGGCCTAATCCGAAAAGAGTATAGTATCTTAAAGTTTGAAGGTCACGTGATCTACTAAGAGTAGGGGAGAGCGGGCTAGGGTGTATCGGATCACGTGATCTACTAAGAGTAGGGGAGAGCGGGCTAGGGTATATCGGATCACGTGATCTACTAAGAGTAGGGGAGAGCGGGCTAGGGTATATCGGATCACGTGATCTACTAAGAGTAGGGGAGAGCGGGCTAGGGTATATCGGATCACGTGATCTACTCAGAGTAAGGATAGCGGGCTAGGGTATATCGGATCACGTGATCTACTAAGAGTAAGGATAGCGGGCTAAGTCGTACTATACCTAGCGCGGAACCCCCTCCGGATAGAGGGTATAATTTAGATTTCTTAACTAGGAATACTAAGCTTTTAAAAGAGAAAGAGTAGAAGCTATATAATCTAAATATATAGAAAACCGCGCGGAGCGCGGAACCCCCCGGAGGGGCCCCCCCCCCGGGTAGGGGGGTATAATTTAAATTCCTTAACTAGGAAATACTAACCTTTTAAAAGAGAAAGGGTAGAAGCTATATAATCTAAATATATAGAAAACCGCGCGGAGCGCGGAACCCCCCGGAGGGGCCCCCCCCCGGGTAGGGGGGTATAATTTAAATTCCTTAACTAGGAAATACTAACCTTTTAAAAGAGAAAGAGTAGAAGCTATATAGAGGATAGTAGTAACCACTTTAATTTACATTTAGTCTATATAACCTCGGACCTAGTCGCTTCGCTCCGCAACTATTATCCGACGGCCGTAGGCCGTCGGATCGCTAGTATCTCTATTAAGATACGAGTTCTCTTCTATCTCTATGGAGCGAGGCTGGCTGACTCGACTGACCTTATGTCCCCGGAGATATCAGAGATTTGATATGTTATGAAGATACTTTGTACGGTATAAAATTGGAAACAGCAGACATCTAAGTACTATTGCCATAAGTAATTTAGAGTTTCCTCCGGGCCTCATATATACACTATTTAAGTTCCTTTAGCCCATAAGGTGATAATCATGCCATCGCACGACTCAGATAGAGCACGTATGATGGGTGACTAGGTAGGCCACCTTTCCCCACTGGATGATTGCACATGTTTTGGGTACGAATGCGCGAGATACATCTTACTCCCGCGTTACGTAGAACGACACACGAAATAAGTGAATCTTGGAAGGATTCATTCAGGGTATTTTTATCCAGAATTCGAAGCTAGGATTTCCAGCCAACTTTCCATACACTCGACACAGATCTTACAGCAAAGAAGAGAGGAGAGTAACTTGGGGCTTGGTCGCTGGTCCTTTACGTACACGTCTTCCAATTCTCCTAGCTAAAGCCGAATCGTAATAGGCCAGCGTAAATGTGTATCTCGGCAGGCATTGCGTACATGTACTTTGCCTTCGCAGAAGTATGTGAGATTAGGACTTGGCTAGCGGAACGGAGTAAATAAGGCTTCCTAAGCCACGCGAAGCTTGGATGTTGAACATCGAAAATCAGCATTGGCCTGAATTTGTGCACCTAAAACACAAGACGAGTGAACAAGTTAGGCCATGCATATCTTCGGTCTAAACTTAAATGCAACATGCAATGATCAGATCAAGAGGTCTTAAAGGTATCGAGAGTGCCAGATCTATGTTGTAGGAAGTAAGTGTCTTCGGATGATCATCGCCCATTCTGGATACGTGCGAAGAGCGCCTCATGTGGGGGGAGGATGATCTCAGCCTGACAACACTGACCTCGGGAGGTGTGGATTACATGGATATAGTAGCTGTCAATGACATTAGATTAATATAAGGGAAATCCTAGGAAATCCCACAAAAAATCCGATGGAAGAGTGATTCGAAATTGCTTTTCGCATGTTGAAGACTAAGGCCACGTGAGTGACTCCACCCAAAGAGGCTACAAGCTGTTGCCGGCACACGCAGCCCCCCAATCTTACTCGTGTACGCCTAACAGAACGGCCAGAAAGTCATTAAATCACTGGGCCGCGTGGCTTTTCGATTTCATTGCGCTTATATCGCTGTTCTGTGGTACACTGGTTAATTCGCGATCCTTAGCCTTTTTTTCCACGCCTCCTATTCCCATTCCGGATTGACCGTATCTCCGAGTGAGGTCACATCTGAGCAAGAAAACTCGACCCATGCAACAGTTCGACTACCGAAATGTCACCATTTCAGTTTCTTTGATTTAGCCCTTCGGATCTCTCTCTAATTGTCACACCCACAACGGCTACACGAATCGCATACCAAGAATCCTCAAATTCCCCGAACTCGCGGATCCGCGGAACACAAAATTACGGCGATCTTGATAGAATAGTTTTGAGTCAATTCACGGCCGTCGCAAAACCAACAAGTCCTTCTTCCGGCCGTGCCGGCTCCATCGCCTGCCATGATCACCCCGCGCAAGGTCCTACTCGCCCTGATCGCCGTGGTCACCTTTATACTCGTTCTTCGCTCGTTTAGAGATCCTGAAGTTCCGGGGGCGCCCGGTTATAGACCAGTGAAGAAAATATCCGAAGAAGAGGAGGATGCAGTAGCAAATCCAGCACGGAAGATGCCACCTCAAGGACGAGCCCAACTCCCCCTCGGCGCATATCCGACAGCACCGCTTCGCGAGCGTCTCCGCTATCAATTCCCCTACGAAATCGAAAACCGATTCCCCGCATATATTTGGCAAACATGGAAATACACACCGTCGTCATTCTGGTTCGATGAAGACCTTCGAGGCCCCGAGGCCAGCTGGACGGAGATGCACCCCGGCTTCACGCATGAAGTCATTCCCGATGATACGCAGACACATCTGATAAAATACCTGTACGCGTCGGTTCCGGACGTTTTCGAGGCATATAATTCATTACCGCTCGCAGTGATGAAGGCGGACTTCTTCCGGTACTTGGTGCTTCTGGCGCGCGGCGGCGTTTACAGTGACATCGACACTTTGGCGCTTAGACCCGCACACACGTGGCTGCCAGAGGAACTGGATCGCTCGACCATTGGATTTATTGTCGGCATCGAAGCTGATCCGGACCGTGATGATTGGCATGAGTGGTACGCGCGCCGACTTCAGTTCTGTCAGTGGACCCTTGTAGCAAAACCGGGGCACCCAATCCTTCGGGATATGGTGGCTTTTATTACTGAGCATGCTCTGCGAATGAAGAAAGCAGGTATTCTCAATGTTGGAAAGATGGATAGGACTATAATGGAGTTCACTGGGCCTGGTGCCTGGACTGACGCCGTCTTCCGTTACTTCAACAACCCGGCATACTTCAATGTACAGCCTGGGGACAAAAACATTACCTACGAAGATTTCAGCCACCAGACCACGCACCGCAAAGTTGGAGATGTGGTTGTTCTCCCGATCACCAGCTTCAGCCCTGGCGTGGGACAGATGGGTGCGGGGGATACTGATGATCCCATGGCTTTTGTGAAACACAACTTCGGAGGTACGTTCTTTATTTTTGAAATAGGTTCTCCAGTTTTATTTGGGAATAGCACTGACATTTAAATTGACAGGCACATGGAAGACAGACCCATCGCTCTGATACTCGGCTTGATCTCGCACTGTACATCATGATCAGAGACCTATTACAGCCCCTTTTGCCTTTGCAGGCCTTCTCAAACTTCGCCCTCAACTTCGTTACATATACCTTTTTACTACATATCCCGGTTTCTCCTGCTTCCATCACTAAACTCTCATATCCTCAACATCACTTGTCATCAGTGCCTGATGGATATGACTGAACCCAGTCAAGCTTCAATCCCGTTCCATGTTTTATGATACCTGTTCATATGATTCCCCCATTTTGCTTTTATCGCCTTATACACTTTTTTCCTCTCGCATGTATTGCTTGGTGAGTGGTTTGCTACTCGCTGCTTGATAGATTTCAATGTCATTGTTGTCATAGCATAGTTAGGAAGAATTAACTTCTCAATCTTTCGAAATTGGCTCATTGCCTATATAGGGATTGGCACTTCTTGGTCTTGACCTGTCATCCGCTCAAAGTTCGTTAGGTGAATCCTTGGAGTAGTGGTGGGTGACTTACAACAGGTAAATGTCCAGGGCAAATAATGCAAATAATGCAACGAAGGAAAATTATAATTTTTGTACTTAGGTACTTTTCTTTTTGGTCGTTCAACATCTATAATCTTCCCAGCGCTCTTTATACTCAACGCCACCTCAAAACCATGGCACCAGGTTTTACCGCAAACTCTTGAGGTCACGTACACTCTCAGATCTTCATCGGCTAGTATATGTTCTTCGCTCTCGGCATCATTCTATTTACCTCCCGACCGAACGGAGATGACTTGTTGACCCTCTGGCTTATACACTGGCTTAAAATTCTTTCCAAGCATTGACCCTGTCCCCGATTACTCGCGGGATATCGCTGTTCGGATGTCTCGTGGAGGTTGTATACCCAGCCTATGATCTAGTCATTGCATCTTTAATAGAAAAGGAGTGGACAGGAGCTTGAAGGGGATGTGATCTACGGAGTCCATATTCGTTATTTACATGAAAAGAAAAGGCTATGTATATACTTCGTGCACTAGGGGCTGAGATCCGAAAGTCAATTCCCGTTGGGGCGCTTCGATGGACAGGGGTGCAAAATAGACTCTGCGGATTTAAGTTCGAAGGCTGGCTTGGCTCGGCTGCAATGAATCCAGTCAATGCGAGTGTTCCAAGCTAGGTACTCCCTAGATCATCGGTAAAGATGTACGGTTACATGCTCGGCTGTCATAGCTCCCGACCAAAAAATCGATACCCAAATCAATATTTCCCAGTATTTAGCAGTTTCTCTAAAACACAACCTGCCTCTGGACCCATGATCCAGTCCAAAGAGTTCGAATTACGCGATCTCAGCCCAATGTCTTGGATGTCTCAGTTAGGGTTCGATAATGCACGTTATCGGGTGGGGCGCGGGAGGAGCGGCTGGCGCCCGCGGTTTCCAGGATTGGCCCATGGGAGAAGTTTGAAGAGCCGACGGCATTTATACATATTACTTTAATATCGCAATTGCCTTTTCGCCAGCATCTAGTGCATTAGATTGCTCATGCATAAATTGCTTTAGTCACTTTAATTTAAGCAAGGCGCCCACTCCTGTCGGTAGCTCGTGCAACCCGGAATATTTAAGAGTTGGACTATCTGATACCCCTGGGAGAGATTGAGCCAATCCACCATGCTTTTCCGTACATCCCTCATTGCCTCGCTATTGGCGATTCTGCCTCATGCCTCAGCTACGGAGACATGCCGTTGCTTCCCTGGCGACCCCTGTTGGCCCTCCGACGGTGAATGGTCTGCTTTTAATGAGACCATTGACGGCCGACTGATCAAGACTGTGCCGCTCGGTACCCCTTGCCATGCCCCCAACTATGATGCTGCAGCTTGTGCAATCTTGAAGGAAGGATGGGTGCTTCCGGAGGAGCAGTATGTCGCTTTGCAATATAGAAATCCTGAGTATCGGAGCTAATTTTGCGTTTCCCACAGCTTTGAGTCATCTTCCTCTATTATGGCCCCATTCTTTGCTAATGCAACCTGTGATCCATTCCACGATGTCTCTAAACCCTGTGAATTGGGCAACTATGTTCGCTACAGCGTGGATGTCCGTACTGCGGCTCAGATTTCAAGCACCGTGAAGTTCGCAACAGAGCACAACATCCGTCTTGTCATCCGTAACACCGGTCACGACTATAATGGTCGGTCCACCGGTGCCGGATCTCTTGCTGTCTGGACCCACCACCTCAAGGACCTGAAAATCCACTCTTACACAGATGATCACTACACGGGCCAGGCTATTACCATGGGTGCGGGGATTCAGGGCCACGAAGCCTACGAGATCGCCGAGGAGACCGGTCTCCAGGTCGTCGGAGGCGAATGCCCCACTGTCGGTCTCGCCGGTGGATACACCCAGGGAGGCGGTCACTCTGCCCTCGGGTCCCGCTACGGACTGGGTGCCGATCAGGTGCTGCAATGGGAAGTCATCGATGGCGAAGGTAACTTCATCACTGCCACTCGCGACAATGAGTACTCCGATATCTTCTGGGCTCTCAGCGGCGGTGGTGCTGGTACCTACGGTATTGTCTGGTCTATGACCTCCAAGGCCCACCCGGGCACTCCCGTCTCTGGCCTGAACCTGACCTACACCAGTGAGGGCATCTCGGCGGATACCTTCTACGACACCATTGAGACTTTCCACGCCACTCTGCCCAGCATCGTGGATGCTGGTGCTATGAGCGTTTGGTACTTCACCAACGCTTTCTTCTCGATTGCTCCTATCACCGGCCCTAACATCCCCATCGCTGACCTTGTAGATCTTGTCAAGCCCTTCACTGACGCCCTTGACAATGCTGGCATCAACTACACCATGGTCGCCAACCAATACGACAGCTATTTGAGCGAGTTCCACGACATGCAGGGCGAGATCCAGGTCGGCACTGCCCAGTACGGTGGCTGGTTGGTCCCGAGATCGGTTGTCGAAGAAAACAACAAAGGTCTGATCAATGCTTACCGTGAGATCACCGAGGCTGGCGGAACTTTCATCGGTGTTGGTCTGAATGTCTCCCACGCGGTTTCTGGAGACGTTTACAACGCCGTCCTCCCCGCTTGGCGCGATGCCCTGATTGATACCACCCTGACCACCCCCTGGGAGTGGGATAACCCCGATCTCATGCTGGAGCGCCAGCGCCAGATGACTGAGGATTTCATTCCCAAGTTGACGGCACTTTCCCCTGACTCTGGTGCCTACATGAACGAGGTATGTTTAATGATATCCATTTCTTTATCATCTCTTTTATCTCTACTACGTGAGCTCATTGTTTCCTTTTTACTCTTTAGGGTGATTTCCAGCAGCCCAACTTCAAGAAGGTCTTTTACGGTGACAACTACGATAAACTGCGCGAGATCAAGGCTAAGTACGATCCGAACGACATCTTCTATGGAAGAACTGCTGTTGGTTCCGATGAGTGGTCTGAGTCCGAGGATGGCCGCCTATGCAGGGTGAACTAGAGGAAACTACAGCGGGCCGAGTTTGGGTATTGTATATAAATTCAAGCCCGGTCGTGCACAAGCTCATAGATCCTGACCTACGCGAACGATGGGGTCAAGACATGCTGAGTGCTCACTTTTGTCGCCGATCATTCTGGTAGCCCCCAGGGCTGCTGCCAGAAAGGATGTATTTCTACTAGGTATGTATGCTGCCTAAATAGATATATAAAGTCTTTCAAATATTAGAGCTGAATTACGATTTCATAACGCTTAGCGACAATATTTTCGGAGCCCATTCTAAGGCACCATCAACTGCTACCAGAGTTGGAATCGATGTAATGTTTGGTGGTATACCTAATACCTAGGCACAAGCTTGCCCTAAGAACGGCGAGATAGTATGTTCAAGACAGAACTCTTTATCCGGCATTCTTTCAAGATACGCCGCCCAGGGCTAAGTACGTAGTTATCACGATACCAGAAACAGAGAAAACGTCACTTGAAGGCTCTGCATTTACATAATTGCGCCTGCGAATAGGCTTGTGGGTTGCTATAATGCTTGAGAAAGAACATGATTTCCGGGTGATCAATCCTCAACATCAAGGCAAATTTCCTGCAGAGGGAAGGTAGCGTATGTGAAAAGGCCAAGTACTGCCAGAGTGTGCTCCCCATACTATTTATTGTATAGGTTCGAGGGGATTGAAAGATCAGATTGTGGCTGTGAAACCAGTTCGAACAGCATGGCGAGGCGTTGCCATTTCCTCCGAGGCTAGGTTTGCCACAGACATACATCCCAAGGGTTATCAAATGAGATACCCATCTGGAAGCAAGAAAAAGAAGTAAGGATGGACCGCGGATGCTCGCGAGTACAGCCTCGGTAGGAGCGAACATTCGTTCACGCGGGGAAGTGTCCATGTGGGTTTTGTGGGGTTATGGACAAATGGCCGTCGTCTGAGAGATTCTCAAGATCGAAGTTTGAGCTAAAGCGCGATGAAGGGTCGTAGCGGACAAATGTTTCAGAAATCACTGAATAACGCCTCATACTTCTTCTTCAGGTCCTCGGTGTAGATGTTGGTGTTTCTGATGTCGGGAGGATCCGGATATTCCTCAAAGTTACCGGTATCTGCAGGGTGTGATAGGCGGGGGATGATGGGGCCTTTTACTCGACGATAAAACAAGTCATCCCAAATCACATTCTGGAAGAACGGATGGGACTTGACTCGGGTCGAGCCACCCGAGATGTGGCCGAGTCGCTCCGATGGGTTTGTCTTGCAGAGTAGGGAGACGATATTTTGTGCTGCGGGTGGCATATTCGATGGGAAACGCACGCGACCTTCAATAATCTGTTCGTAAATGCGCATCGGGTTCTGGTCCCAGAAAGGAGGCTGTCCGACCAAGAATTCGTAGATCAGAATTCCAAGAGCCCACCAGTCCACAGCAAGTCCATGGCCACTGTTTTGGATGACCTCAGGGGCCAGGTATTCCGGTGTGCCACACAATGTGTATGTCTCGCGGTTGTCAACTTGCTTCGCAAACCCAAAGTCAACGAGTTTGATGTGGCCATCGGCATCCAACAGAATATTTTCCGGTTTGAGGTCCCGGTAGGCAACACCGTGGATGTCGTGCAGGAATTCGATTGTCATTGTTATTTCAGCGGCATAAAACCTCGAGGCTTCTTCGCTGAATCGTCGTTGTCGTCGTAGATACGTGAATATTTCACCACCGGGACAATAGTCCAGCTATCAATTAGTTAGCACCTAGTAAGTAATCAAACCACAGCTCATACTACACTGGGTATCATACCAGCATATAGAGGCACTTGTCATCCGAAAACGACGCGATAAGGGTTGTGATGAAAGGATGGTCGATGACCGCCGCAAGAGCTTTCCGTTCGTTGCGCACATGTTCCACTTGCTTGAGTTTGATCACTTTCCAGTCGCAATCAGCACAAGCTGTCCCTCAGCACCCAAAAGACCGTACAAGGTAGCGCTTACCGTCGGCCTTTCGAAGAATTTTCAGCGCATATACTTGGCTCTTGTCTTTCTGGTCCTTTAGTCTTGCGAGCCACACACGAGCAAAAGTGCCTAGATATCGAAAAAATTATAAACAGTCAGAGACAACTCTTGCAAGAAACTAAACATGGGGTATGGCATATGCTCACCGGTTCCAAGGGTCTTGACAAGCACAAAGTCGTTCACATGGAGACTCCTTGACGAAATGCAAAGTTGCTTCTCGTCCTGGCGCTCGGTGACAAGGAATGGGTTCGAGGATCGCGGAGAAGAGCGGAGTGACTCAACAAATTGCTTCTCTCTCTGGTGCAAATCGCCGTTTAGCTTAGGAAAGACCATGTTGCCTGGCGCCTCATTAGGCGAATGTTGCACTGCTCCGGTCGCCATTAGAATCCCTAGAGAGCATGTCGCGGCAAAGGGGAAAAAAGGTGTATGGAGACCGCGTTAGCGCGCCACCAATCGGCAACTGAGCTTAATCCCGAGGCGGGTCTCAGATCATAAAAAGCATTGAGGATGAAAAGCCCTGAGAAGTCTGGGGTTTAAGAAAAATCGCGGGGCAGAGATGTGAAAGGGAAGTTCTGCCTCTGACGTATTTGCTATCGGGGCGGGGCTGAACGGGAAGAAACTACGGTGATAACCCGGACTGAGTAAGCTCTTAGCTTTGATCTGACCCGACATCTATATGCGATCCTTTATTGTACACCGGAAGTAAGAATGTATTTGATTCAGAAGTCACCCGGTCCGGTCCATATCTCAATCCAGTTGGTCATTATCTGCTTTGAGCCTTTCATACACATCAATGTATTTCTTTGAGCGCAAAGTGACCTATAGCAAGGATGAAAGGTCGGTGGAAACAGTTGTCGCTGTGATAGGGAAACGCGCGGTGTTCAAGACTTGGAGTTCAAGATCAAACCAACAATCAAGCTGACCATCACGTTAGTAAGAGTGATCTGGCAAATCTGACTCAGAAACCTACCCATAAAGCCCAAGAACTTCACCGAAAATCAGAATGAGAATCATTCCCACGTAAACCCGAGACTGTTGCATGTATGCTCGAACACCCTGAAGCAGCCGTTAGAGCTACATAGTCCTTCTGTGTTGCCATGGGTATAAAGGTTCTTACTGCATCACCCACAACTCCAATCGTATAACCAGCAGCCACACCTGTGAGACCGACCGACATTCCAGCGGCGAGATGCATGAAGCCTCTGTGCATTGTCAGCTTCTGCAAAGCTCCCATATCCACCTAGCTCCTGGAACGTACGTATATAGACTCATGTTGGTTGTTGGGCCCACCGCTTGTGCAATGAGCACGGCAATCACAAGACCGTAAACTGCGATAATACCGGACATAACGACGGGAATGAGGGACTGCAGCCATGGATTCCGTTAGCTACCATCCTATGCATCAAAGCACCCACAGATTCTCAGAAATGTGATCTTACCTTCATGATAAGATCGGCCCTGAAGGTTCCCACACCTGCAATGCCAATACCGGACTTTGCTGTGCCATATGCCGCTCCTGCCGCTGTGAAAGGGTGAGCTAAATTGTCCAAATACCGAGGACCTGAAGGGATCTAGCTCCATCCATGCGAGATAGTTCACGTACACCCGAAGATCATCTTCGAGAGACTGTTAGTGTATTGTCAAATGAGGGCAAGCTTGTCATAAACTCACTGCAGCGGCAATGCCGGCCTAGTATAAGAAGCATGTTAGTCTATCAGCTTCAATGTTCTCGGGGCTTGCACTCACGAAGGAGAAGAACGGGGCGAACTTCGGCGCAAGCTCACTCTCTGCCATGACGATGATAATGCAAGATCAATCTTGCGGGACCAGGGATGTAAGAGGAAATCGAGAGCTGTTTTGATTCAGGATCAAGGGCAGAGAGAGGATTCGACTGATAGGTTTCGGGGTTTGGGTGTTCCACATGGCCACTTCGGCCGCCGTAGTCCACGCATTGTTCTATCCTGGGCGGTGACGATACCGTACCAACTGTATCTCACCTTACACGCGCTATCGCCGCCTGTTTGGTGGTGTCTGTATTGGGACTTACCATACCGGCCTCGCCGTCACTTCGCCATCCTCGTTCTCCTGGTCCCTCCCCCCCAGTTTATTACTGCATTTTCAACATCTAAGCACCACACCCCCCACCCTCGACAATTTCCTACCTTTCCTATTCACCTCAAGTCTCGGAGAATGCTGAGGGCATGAAATCGAAAGGAGCCCTGATTTTGTTGCGCTCGCGGCTCCTGGCGCTTTCCTATTAATACCGTTTGATATCGCCTTGAAATTCCCCATCCAAGCTGAGGGGAGTTATGGCATATTGAGTCCCATCAGTGCCTTGAAATTTATTAATTCCTCGAGGGAATTGCCTGCGGAATATCTTATCCCATTCCACGTCTATCGCTTCTTCCGTTGCCTACAATCTTGAACAGACCTCTTGCGACGCCCTGAACGTTCTCCACGATCAACCCCGGATACCCCCTTTCGCCTTCCTCGCACCCCGGCATAGATAGATCTTGCATTTCTGACCAAATCACCGCTACTCCTTTCTGATCGCTGATATCTCGTGAACATGGCGGATTTGGGGGGCCAGCGTAGCCGGAATTACCGGCCTCACGGACCCGCCTCGTCCACGCAGCGGGATGCAGCGTATTCTGACATCTTTGGCGGCGCGCCACCTGCAGGGCGCTCCCAGACGATGAATTCGCAGACGCCGCATTTTTCCCAGGGTCGCGCTCACACCATGTCATCGCATGTTGTACAACCCCAATTTCAGAGACAGCCACCGCCGCCAACACGGCAAATGCCAAATGGACACGGGCCGCTCTCAGGACCACCAAATGGATATCCTCCACCTCAGGCATCTGGGCAGTATCAGGCCTACAGTCCGGGCGCCTCGGCAACCATGTCTTCACATATGCCTCCTCGACCCCTCCCTGGTGGTCAACAACGCTTTGCTGCTTATCCTCGACCTCAACGCCTCGAGTCAAGGCCAAGCCCTGCTCCGCAATACCCAGAGGCTAGAGATTTCAACCGCCCTCTGCCTCCTCCTGCGCTCAATTCCGACTCAACCCGGTCAAGATCAATGGCAAAACTGAGCGGGCCGCCTTATCACAACCCGCCAAGTAACTTCAATCACACCTCCGCGACTGCCTCCCGGCGTGAACAATATCATGCTGGATCCCATGTCACTCAGCTCGGGCGTCCTGTCCCTGAGAAGCATGCGAACGAACGAGCTATGTCTCTGACATCCTGGTCAAGTGATCGTGATCCGCACATTATGAACAGTGGGAGGTCAATTCCTTACCGCAGACCTCCGTCAGGCCACGATCAGCAGTTTACAATGAGGCATGATTCGCTAATGCAGCCTAATCCTGACGAGTTTGTCACGCCTCGTCAGCCAAGTGATGCATCGCAAAGATCTCGGACTATGTCAATGGCATCCACTGCTGCGCCTGATCGGGCGATGAGCGTCCAAAGTCAAGCTACACAAGGATCCTCTGGGAAAACAACCCTTGTTGCCAGGGACTCGCAGCGCAAGGTTCCCGTGGTCTATCCTGCGATGCTTTCTCTTGTCGCAGAGGTTTTCAGGGAAAAGATTTCGCTCGGTGAACGGCAGAAGAACGGTCTCTCCTACCAGAATGCATTCTCCGGTACCGATTCGGTGGATTTAATTGCTTCCATTATCAGAACAAACGATCGCAACCTTGCCCTTTTGCTCGGCCGTGCGCTGGATGCGCAGAAGTTTTTCCATGACGTTACCTATGATCACCGTCTCCGAGATGCTCCCGGAGAGGTATATCAGTTCAAAGAAACCATGGGAGAAGATAAGTCAACAATCGAAGTCAATGGTGTGTTCACTCTCTTAACGGAATGTTACTCTCCGACTTGCAACCGAGATACCCTCTGCTATTCGATTGCTTGCCCACGACGGCTCGAGCAACAAGCCAGATTGAATATAAAACCTCAGCCGGTACTAGGAACATCGGAATCCAAGACTGCTTTGCCTCCTGATGACGACGATGACAATGATAATCAAAAGCTCTGGATTAGTACAGTCCCGAAGGAGGTTTCAGACTCTGTTGACGATCATGAGAAGAAACGACAGGAAATCATCTTCGAGGTTATGTACACGGAACGTGATTTCGTCAAGGACCTGGAATATCTGCGCGATTTCTGGATGCGACCATTGCGCGCTGCTGGCACCGCCACTCAATCGCCGATCCCGGAACATCGGCGTGAGAAATTCATCCGAACTGTCTTTGGCAATTGCTTAGAAGTCCTCAAGGTCAATAGTGCCCTGTGTGAGGCATTGAATGCTCGACAAAAAGAGAGTCAAGTCGTCCAAACCATTGGTGATATCTTCTGCCAACATGTCCCCAATTTCGATCCGTTCATCAAATACGGCGCCAATCAACTTTACGGAAAGTACGAGTTTGAGAAGGAGAAAGCATCAAATCCCGCATTTGCCAAATTTGTTGAAGACACAGAGCGTCTCAAGGAGTCTCGAAAGCTCGAACTGAATGGTTATTTGACGAAACCTACAACTCGTCTTGCAAGATACCCTCTTTTGCTCGAAGGTGTTGCCAAAAACACTGCAGATGGCAATCCTGACAAAGAAGATATCCCGAAGGCCGTCAAGCTAATTAAAGATTTCCTTTCGCGTGTCAATGCCGAAAGTGGAAAAGCAGAGAACCATTTCAACCTGGTCCAACTAAACGCTGCGCTGAAGTTCAACGTCGCGGATTATGTCGATTTGAAGCTTACAGAAGAAAATCGACAAATGCTCATGAAGATGTCATTTAAGAAGACAACGGCGGATAGCTCCGATGTCACTGCATATCTCTTTGATCACGCTGTCCTGCTTGTTCGCGTCAAAATGGTGAACAAGCGCGAGGAATCTCGAGTCTACAGGAAGCCCATTCCTTTGGAGCTGTTGGTAATCGCCCAGATGGAAGAGGTCATCCCACGGCTAGGCATTGCCAAACGACCTTCATCCAGTCTCCTTTCCAATAAGCCTGTCGTCAACAATCCTCCTCCTGCCAAAGATGGTGGACTGCCAATCACTTTCCGCCATCTTGGCAAAGGTGGCTACGAGCAGACTCTATATGCCACAAATGCCGCCACCCGACGAAAATTCATTGAAGCGGTAGAAGCTCAACAACACAAACTGTGGGAACGCAACAGCAATTTCTACAACAAGACGATTCTGAGCGAGAATTTCTTCGCGGCGGTCAACCGGATCAACTGTCTTGTTCCCATTGGTAAGTGAACATTCTTTGAATCAATCCAATACCCACCTACTAATTGCTATCAGACGGAGGTCGAAAATTGGTCTACGGGACTGATAATGGCATCTTTGTGTCAGAACGATGGCCCAAAGACAAAACAGCTAAACCAAGAAAGGTTCTAGAAGCTACTCAAGTCACTCAGATTGATACTCTAGAAGAGTACCAACTGCTATTGGTTCTGGCAAACAAAACACTTTCTTCGTATCCCATGGACGCTCTTGATCTGACAGAGGGCCAAAACACCATGGCCAAACGCCCCAAGAAGATTCAGGGTCATGCCAACTTTTTCAAGGCAGGCATTGGTCTTGGTCGCCATCTGGTTTGCTCGGTCAAGACATCAGCGCTATCAAGTACAATCAAGGTCTACGAGCCTATGGACAATCTAGCCAAGGGCAAGAAAAAGTCTGCTGTCAGCAAAATGTTCCAAGGTGGCCAGGATACCCTTAAGCCATTCAAGGTTCGCACTTCCTCTTCCAATTTTGTAGATACCTTCATGCTAACCCTTTCACCCAGGAATACTATATACCTGCTGAGTCCTCTTCGATTCATTTCCTGCGTTCTACTTTGTGCGTTGGCTGTGCGCGTGGCTTTGAGGTGGTCAGTCTAGAAACGACAGAGACGCAATCTCTACTTGACCAGGCCGACACGTCCCTTGACTTCGTTGCACGGAAAGAGAATGTTAAGCCCATCCATATTGAGCGCATGAACGGCGAATTCCTACTTAACTACAGTGATTTCTCATTCTTCGTCAACCGCAACGGATGGCGAGCCCGTCCGGACTGGAAGATCGCCTGGGAGGGCAACCCGAACTCATTCGCCCTGTCATACCCTTACATTTTGGCGTTTGAGCCCAACTTTGTTGAGATCCGACACGTTGAGACAAGTGAATTGACACACCTCATGACCGGCAAGAACATTCGTATGCTGCACAGCTCCACCCGCGAGGTATGTTGGTTTCCGAGTCTTTCTCATCCGAGAGGATCTCATAAAGTCTTTCATCTATGATCAAACGCTGACTGATTTTGATAGATTATCTACGCCTATGAAGATGAGCAAGGCTATGACACTGTGGCCAGCTTAGACTTCTGGACCAACAAGCCACAGCAAGCTGTGTAATTTATGTGTGCATACCGCAGTGAACCCGTTCTGACGTTTCCACTTCGACACCGTCGTTCGCATGTCTTCTCGTAGAGCAATAGGCGCTCGTCTACCTAAAGCTCTCAATACCTCTCCACGGCATGTGTTATCACAGCACACTTATAATTTTAAGGTTGTGTGTTTTGTGTTGTCTTTCTCCAACAGTCCAGCCGTCCCTCAACTATTTCCCCTTCGATTCCCCCTCTTTCGATATCAATTGCAACAAATCCAGGGACTTTCCCGTCTTCTCTTTTCTACGCAATGTACAATGGAGCGCAAATACCACTTCTTGCGTGTCTGCTTTCTTGATTTCCACTGCTTTTTATCCTTTACTTCTTGCGGATTGCATTTGGTCCTTTCACTTATTTTAAAATTATTACCTTTCTTCTCCAGCTACCTTTTATCCCCCATACTTCTGTTTCCTTTTCCCCTTGGCCCTATTCTCGAAACGTCTTCTGTCTACCTGTATCGTCTTGAAATCGAGGTATCTTGTCTATTATACTTAGTAATTTCATTTTGATGTGGGTGGAATCATTGTGCCCCGAATGAGAAGAAGCGCAGTAGCTCTGAACTTAGTACGTTGATATCATTGAATCAGATCATGGATATCCTATCATTCCTTCTGATTTCTCCTTCTGATCTCTAACCGTCTAGCTGGATATTGAAGCAATATAACAGAAGCAATACAAATATCCATAGTTGGAGTATCTATTCTAGCAATCCGAGGTATCTATACGTTGACTCCCATTGACATGGGGAGATATGGAACCGACTCTATATCCAAAACCAAGTGCATATAATATGTGTTCTATACTAGTACTCAAGCCACCCTTCTCTGGTAACCTTTTCAGTATTTTTTCGGGTATTGTTTTGGCATTCGTTCATTCCACGAGAACTGACGAGCTATAATTGTGAGTTCAACAAGGTCCGCGTAACGAACAACATTGTGGTGAAACGACGTACTTATTAAAGGGTTCAAAGCAGAGGGCGCAAGAAAGCCGGTTTAGCTAACCACCATTTTTGAGGTAGAAAAGCAGAGCAGTGATTGAAAAAGATTGGCCAAACGAATAACAACTTGCCCACCCAATGGCCATCTCTCGTGAAGGCTGAAATCTTTTCTTCCACGCTGAGCGGTAATGCTTTCGGGACAGTCCTATTTTCGTTCTCCCAGACTTGAAGTTGACGAGTAAGATTCGGGCTCGGTTTGACCTTTTCTTTGGATTGGTCAAAATCCAATGCGTCTACTTTCTGGATGCGGAGTTTGCGCTTGAGATAGGGGGCAATGACCGTTAGCGAGCGTGATGTGCCAAGGTCACGGTGGATTAATATCGCCTCCAAAGGTATGCCGTATGGCTTGGCATTTGTAACATGTTTGTGGTCGATATGGTTTGCTCGTGTCCTATTCTTTTGATACGAATAAAGACAGGTGATGATAGCTGAGGGGACTATAAGATTGCTTTTAGGGTTAAAGTGGATGCGAGTACGAAGGACGGGGTAGCGTGTTCCAGGGGCTCAGAGCAGACGGTTCTCAGTTCAACCGATCAGTGTAAGACTATGTAGCTTTGGAATTTTGCCTTTCGTACTCGGTACATATGGGTTTACTGTTATGGTCTACGTCAACGCGCGAGGCACATGCTTCCTAGGCTTTAAGCAAACTGATGGCATTCCCTATGTGGCTTTCACTAGTCCAACTTTCGGCGTGCTTTTCATGGGCCCTCATGGGCCCTCATTGTCCAGAAAATATAGAATATAAATATAGAACCACCTCGATATACACTAAGCTCGGGCATATACCTCTTGAACTGCAGTGTTTACGATTCATTGGCATCAGAAGCAACACACTTCTCTCTCCAAGAGACGGAGCTGAAGTGCAACCTTATACGACAAAATGTATTGAAGGCCGGAATCTACAAACGTTAGCATTTTAATACAGGTACGATGAGCAAAAGACTAGTTTCAGGATCAAAGCATGACGGAACAAGCAAACAAGCCAGTCAGGTACTTTTTCGTCCTCAATTACTATCGGGCATAGGTAGACAGACGAGGAGAAAGGATAGATAATGAACAAGACATGAGCCACGAACGCATAAAAAAAAACAAAACAAGAGAAGAGGGAATATTGCTGCGCTGCGGACTTTGGACGAGAACAGGAGAGGAAGCAGAGAAGAGGGAATAGAAATGATACAGCGACACGTCATGGAGGCAGCCGGGGTGTGATGGAAGAAAGAAGAAAGACAGGATGACCCACACACGGAGGAAAACATGGTGCTGGAGGGCAGACAGTCACCGGGTGGAACGCGAGGGAGGTATATTGAGGATGGGGATACCAGAAATTGGCGAGAACACTCCCCAGCAACTCGACACAGTTCATTTCTCCCATTGGAAACAGGACGCGTTGTGCCGATAGTTCATGACTGGAGCGCTGTAAGCTATGTTGAGGTGGCCCATCCCCGCGAAGGTAAGAAAAAAGAAGCAAAAAGCTATTAACGTGAATAAACAGTCAATATTATCCCATAAACAAAAACCAACTTGTTTGTGCCATAAAAGTCAATGATGGCACAAACGGTATCACATTGCAAGCCGGCGCCCCGCTGAATGAGCCGTATCTTCGACAGGGTGTATCTAGGCCTCTCCATTGGGTGCTTCGCTGACATTACCCATGCTTTGCTGCTCGCGCTGCATGCGAGCCTCGATTTCTCGGAGCTGGCTCTCACGAGCCAACAGCTCCTGTCGCTTCTCAGCAATCTCGCGCTGTACCTTGATTTCAATCTCACGAAGCTTCTCCTCCTCGCGGCGGAGCTGCTCCTCCTTGAGGCGGACGGACTGGGAGGCAAGATCCTCAGGGTTCATGGCAGAATCGTAGCCACTGCTTGTAAATCCATGTTAGCAATTTCATCAAGACTTATGAGGTCAGAATAAACATACCCAGAAGCACCATCGACACTCTTGCTGAGCTTCTCGGTACGATAGTTTTCGTAAAGGAAATCGTGGGTGATCTCCTTCAGGTCGGCCAAATGGCTGTGCAGCAGGGCGCTACGGATAGCCAAGAAGTCCGAGTGACGAGGGTTCTCAACCTCGACAACACCCCATGGGTACTGGCGCGCGCGCACTTTGCGGTTATCAATCTCGACGAAGTCTTCCGAGCCGACAATGGCAAAGGGCATCAGTCCACGGAGCTCGGCATTCTCCTCGACGGTGTCCTCGTCATCCTCCTCAATATCGTAGGGGAAGTTGTAGACGGGGATGCGGTAGTGTTCGATGTCCTCCATGATCAGCTTCTTCGACTCGGCCAATTCGGCGGGGGTGAGAGAGTCGGCCTTTCCAATGACGGGGATGACGTTAACGCGGGGGGAGAGGCGCTTCATCAATTCGATATCGAGTTCACGCAGACCGTGACCAGTGGGTGTGATGAAGTAGAGCAGGACGTGCACTCGGTTGTCCCTGAACCGAGGGTTACGCTTAATGCGCGACTCCTCTGCAAGAATATCATCGTATTGGCGCTCGAGGTAGCCGACAATCTCGCCGAAGCTGTTCCCAAAGTTAGACCGTGAACATCTGCGCAGCGGATGTGCGGTGTACGTACCTGGCCTCGTTGTCAATCTGGTCACCGAATCCGGGGGTATCGACGATGGTCAAAGAGATACGGGTTCCTTCCTCGTCCAATTCGAGCTCTGTCATCCGAGGGTCAGTATTGATGGCTTGTTGTAAGCATCGCGCAGGGACGGTTTCCACTGACCGACAGTGACGGGCTTGATGCGGACACCCTCCTCAAGGTGGGCGTTGGCAGCGTCATCGGCATCCTTGCCCTCCAGAACTTGTTTTCCACAGAGAGTGTTGACAAAAGTTGTGCGGCCTGTCGCAGAAAGGAGATATTGTTAATCGCTATTTAGAAGCCGAGGGATTCGTTTCAACATACCCGTTCCACTGGCGCCACAGACCATCAGACAGAACTGGATACCCTTCTTGACATTCTTCTTGCGACGGATCTTAAGCTACCCGGAACGAGTACGGGCCTGCAATTAGCTTGGGTAACTTTTCAAGAAGCACTTGCGGAAAGCTCTCAGGAGAAGGAGGATGAACATACCGCGTTCAGGGCTGACGACATTGTGAGCTAAAGAAAGATTAAAGAAGTGTAGGGAAAAAGAAGCCCAACGCAAGGAATTAATAACGAGGAAGAAAGGTGAAACTTGGCTCTCCTGAGAGTCTGGAGAGAGTAGGGGGGAGGAAAGACAGTTCGCGTTTCCCCCTTTCCCAAACAGGTGGCCAATCACAGGACCGCTTCCTTCTCCAGTCTTCTACTTTTACTCTACTCCAGAGCTCTAGATCAGTCACAATTGACGAGTGAATATGAAGAAAAAAGAAACATATCAAATTGTCAATTATACACGGGCCATTCCCCCTATTTCCTGCAAAATATCACATTTCCTTGAAAAGGGCCCTTCAAGCAGCACTCAGGGGTTGATCGAGTGGGTCGCTGCTGGCAACCGTACAATTACCTAACCATGGGCCTGAGGTGTCAATGTGGATAGCTTGCCCGCATTACTTCTTATCGATTAGCAGCTCTTGGCGATAGACATCATTTGGACATTGCCCCGGGGCCCTTGAGGCGAAGCCTTCGAACATTACATCCTATTCAGCTCGCTATCTGACACTTCCTGGTAGGTAGCCGCTGAGCATACCGTACAGAGTCTGCTATTTCAAGGTTTACACCTCATTTGAACAAGCATTCCTTTCCAACTATGCTTCGTTGACGTTCGGCGATGAATACCCGTCAATCTATCGATGAGTCCATCGGGCCATATTCACTTTCAGCAACATTTAATCATGACAACAGCTGTTTCTCGGTGGGCCTGGACACAGGATTCTGTGGTAAGACATGCCCGGGTCTGCTTTCAGGTGAAGCCTGGATCATGAACTATGGAGCTCGGGCTAATAATCGAACCGAGCAGTATATAATGCCAACCCATGCGAGCTGAAAGTCTTGAGAGGTAAGCAATCGATTTCGGTCCCGGAAACTCAAGTTGAAAGAAGTGTTGCTAACCGCTTGATTCAAGATTTCAATGCGGGCATCGGAATAGCGGAGATGCTTGGCCAGTCGAACTACTTGGCTATAGTTGGGGGTGGAAAGAACCCCAAATTCCCTCAGAACAAGGTATTCCATTCTTATTGATGCATTGGATAGTGAGTGCAAGCTAATGCATACCCTCAGTTGGTCATATGGGATGATGCCAAACAGAAAGTGGCGATCACTTTGGAGTTCCGCACCTCGGTCCTCGGAGTTCGTCTTTCGAAATCCAAGATTGTCGCTGTTTTATTGAATAACGTTCATGTATTTGCATTTTCCAATCCGCCACAGAAGCTCTCGGTTTTCGAGACCTCCGACAACCCTTTGGGACTGGCCTGTCTTGACCAGAAGTTGCTGGCTTTTCCTGGTCGATCCCCTGGCCAAGTCCAAATGATAGAGCTGGAAACTGGGAATATCAGCATCATACCCGCACATAGCACTCCGTTGCGTGCTATGGCGTTAAGTCCAGATGGTAAATTATTGGCAACGGCGAGTGAGTCGGTACGTCACTTGTGGCTGTGATCATTTAGGGGTGGCTCATTGATATCTATACAGGGGACATTGGTTCGTATATTCGCTACAGGGAATTGCACGAAGTTGGCAGAATTGCGACGCGGTGTTGACCACGCAGTGATATTTTCGATCTCCTTTTCACCATCCAATACTTTGCTGGCAGTAACATCGGACAAATCAACTTTGCACATTTTTGACCTTCCCCACCAGCAACCGGTCTCTCGCCGCAGCCAGTCACCAATACCAGCGTCCGACGAATCGACTTCCAGTCACAAATGGGGAATCCTTGGCAAAATTCCTCTGCTTCCTCGTGTCTTCTCCGATGTTTATTCATTTGCCAATGCACATTTCGAGATTGGCGAGCAAGCCAACACGGGCTCGTCGTATGTGCCACCAATTGGAGCATCATTTGGTCGACCTCAAAAAGGCCTCATAGGCTGGTGTGATGACCAGACTTTGTTGGTAGTAGGGTCTGGAAGAGAAGGGCGCTGGGAGAAATTTGTGATTCGAGATGGCGAAGAAGGAAAGAGATATTGTCTGCGGGATGGCTGGAAAAGATATCTTGGTGGTTGACCCATCTGGCCACTAGGATCAAGCCCAACTCACTCGACTGCTGCTTGGGTTAGACACAGCCTGGTTTGGTTACGGTGACCCAGATTTCATGGAGAAAATCTTTTCGAGGAAGATGTATAGTGCCTTAAATAAGGATTGATAATAATATCCCATTTCTTCTTCAACGGCGGCGATCATGCCTATCCCGATCACTTCGATGTCTCCGAGACTCAGGCGAGCGGGATCTTTTAGGTGACCGATCTCGTCTCGATTTTTCTCCCCTTTCAGATGACCTGTAGCGAGATCGTCTCTCTCTATCCGGCGAACGATCATCTCGATGTCTTCGTTCGCGAGGTGAGCGGGAGCGGTGTCGACGATGGTGTCGGCTGGATCGTTCTCTGCTATCGCCGCGTCGCCGGGACGATTTCTTGGTGCTGTTCCACAGCTCGATCGCACGCGCGACTTCTTCTTTCTTCTCCTCAACGAGGAACTCCTTCATCGGATCTTCCTCATCGTGGTTCCGAATCAGTTCCTCCAGCTCTTTTTCCTCTTTTAGCATTGGTCGTCTCTCTTCTCGCTCGGTGTCTTTTATCTGGCCAATCTCTTTCCCCTTTCTGGTCTCACTGATAGCTGACTCTCCCATCAACTTGGCGACATTGTCCTCCTCTTCCTCGTCATCCTTTCTCTTGTAGCGCGCATGATCCACCCGAAGCAAACGCCCCATGACAGTCGCACCACCAAGGTTGTCGACGGCGAGATCGGTGCTTCGCTGATCCTCGTATTTCAGAAAGGCAAATCCCTTGCTCTTGCCGGTTTCCTTGTCGCGAACCAGGTTGACATGGACCGGCTCTCCATACTGGGAGAAGATGGTGATGATATCACCTTCAGATAGATCAAACGGGAGTCCTCCGATATAGATATATGCTGTATCTCGATAGTCTGCATGCCATGATGCCTCTGGGGGTCTATAGAAGGTAGGACAGTCGGTTAGAGAAGAGCTTCGCGTGAGCTTCGCGTGAACTTGGTGGACCTCAGACTTACATCGCGTGCTCGAGCTCGCGCTTATTGAGCGCCTGGACCTGGCGAATGGAATTCATGGGGAGATGTGTGGAGAGAGGGTTTAACGTCGGAGCGCTGAAGTTGGAGAGAAAGAAATGTGGATCCCGCGGAACTCTGACCTAACTGCCCTAATATACATAGCTACGGAGTATAGGTACGTATGTAAAGAAAACTCAGTGTGCGTTTGATATTTTTTAGTATATTATTGTATTAAAATTATCTTATTGTGTTAGGCTAGGATTGAGCTTTGAAACACTCTAGCCTTGCCCGAGAATCAGGGACTGTTACTGGTGCTTGCTGGATACCTATTCCCAGCGCGTGAGCCAAGAACACCAAGTGAACTAGTGGCTACCTATATGTAGGTACCTACATGTAGTTAGTACATGTAGGTATTGAGGAAATGTCCGTACTACCATCGTGGGCTAGGATAATTATATCCCCAAGATCACAGAAACACTTTTCGATGTACTCTGCTGAACCAGAGGCGCGAAAAATCCAGGTAAGAGCTGCATGAACCTTTAGGAGCCGAGGACTTCGAAGGTCGTAGCTTGAATCATAACAGCTGAATGTCACTGTACGAGGGAGGTTTAGTAGCACTCGAGGCATATAGTTCCCGAGTATATATTTGTGCGGGATGGGAGTCTTTTCAAAAGCAAGCAGAGGATGAGCGAATGTAAAGTGTAAATCACGAGACATTGTCATAGCGTTGAGCGTGTCATTGATATTTACCTGGGTGAAATTGAGATTTGTTTGGATTGCTGGAAAAAATCGTGTCAATTTTGTCCAGATGACATGTTTCGTGGATTTCTCAGACTCGTTTGTCCACATTGCGAGCGAGAAAGGGATAATATGGGCACACTCAGTGAACGTTCCCATCGTCGTGTCGTTAGGATTGAGCGACTCAGAGTCGAAGCGCCGAGTGACAACGCATGTATATCCATCGCGTTTTAAACAAAGGACTTTGAGAGAATGTTCTCGCCTCAGTGGCCCATTCAACTGTGATGCGATGTTGTCTATTGAATCTTCCCTGCCGGCCCGTGGTGAGATTGTGGGTGTGGACCGTGGAAGCCTCACGGGGGCGAGAAGGCCATTCACCAGTGATCGAGCGTGATTGCAAATGCCTTTGTCAGTGTTCAATGGCTCAATATGACGGATAAAGTTGACTCTCCCATCGGGTGGAAGGTGTCAAATGCTTGTAGGATACGTATTGTGTTATCATTCGGATTGATGCTGTGATAACGACGGAGTCTCTCCATGTTCTTGGCAGTGAGTCACGTGCTGCAACCAAACTTGAAAGTCAGAAAGATGTGAATTTTGATGGAATCATCAGCATCTTGATGAAGCTGGATGGAAATGCATGGACAGAGGATCATTAAGCGCATACCAGGAGAGTGGACTGGGAAGGGTGAGGCGAGAAGAAGAAAAAAACAGTGCAAGCTACAGTGCGGTTTCTGGATGGTTTCTGCCTGACTTTTTCAGGCAACCACATCTCCAACTAGCTCGCGGGCTGCTTCACCTACCCTCCGCCTCGACTCGACTCAACATTCCGACGCGCACAATATTCCCACGTGCTACGGCAGAGACATAAAATTTGAAGGGTGAATGCCCTCTGAGGCATGGTGGGACGAGAAACCATGACATCAGGAGCGAACAGTCGGCCGTCTAGCAAAGATGGCTCCAAGAAGAACATCTGGTCCTCGGTGTTAGATACCGTTGCCAACGGCAAGCGCTTGCCCGAGAAGAACTTGCTAGTGCTAGGTTCGTTTTGATCTCTGAATATTTCAGTCCCTCTTGCTGCGAATCATAGTCTTGTCTTTCCGATTGTCAGGAACAGGTCGCTGATAGCTCAATGATAGGTGGCACGCCAGACAGTCAAAGGGAGTTTCTAGATACTTTCTCCGCAGACACATCGGGAGATCCTAGCTTAGCGAATGACAAACGGAGAGGCAAAGGAAAACCACCGCCAATTGCTAATCAGTTCGCGCTTGGATACACATATCGAGATGTCCTCGATGCCGATAAAGAAGGTATATGCAGTAGTCTGCCACTTTCAAGCTTCTAACGTGCTAATAGCTCTTCACATACAGATACTCTGGCCCGCGTCTCGGCCTACCTCTTATCCGAACCTTCACCGTCATTCGCACCCCTCCTTAAACCCCTCCTGACTCCGAAGTCCGTCCCGGAAACGCTGGTTGTGATCCTGATGGACTGGTCAGACCCATGGACATGGGTTAGGAGACTAAGAGAATGGACTCGTCTTTTACGTTCAGTGCTTGTCTCACTCGACGACGAAACCAAGTTCGTTATGGAAGAGACCATGACTGAGTGGCGCGATCGCAAAAGGGGAGTTGATTCCAGTTCTGGAGCTACAGGAGGCATTTCAACCTCGGGCGGTCCGGTCACAATTCCTCTGGGACCCGGTGAATGGGACGAAGGCCTTGGAATTCCGATGTGTGTTGTCTGCCAAGGGGTATGCAAACTCACTCAAGACCTCCGCGCTAGGGTATCTTTGCTAATCGCAAACATTTACAGGCGGATAAGATTGAGAAATTGGAGAAAGACCACGGATGGCATGAAGAGCAATTCGATTTCGTTCTCCAATTCCTCAGAACCATCCTCCTAAAGCGTAAGCATTCCATATCACCCTGTGTTTAGCCACGCTGAGTACTTTTCTAACCCTCCCAACAGACGGCGCATCGCTCATCTATACTACTCCATTCCTTGCAAACTCTCTCCAGGGCTTGATACACTCTTCTCTGGGCATACACTCTCTTCTGAAAAGAGAATCATTAAAACACAATGTGATCGACCGAGACAAGATCCTGGTGCCAGCCAACTGGGACTCATGGGGTAAGATCCGAATCATTCGAGAAGGATTTGACATGGAAGGAGTGTCAACAGCATGGTCAATTGAGATCCAGGACCCTCCCGAGTCGATCTATCAATCCACAGACGGCAACCAACAGAGCGAGAACGACCTAGCAGAAGAGGGCACAAGTGCCGTGACCATGTTTGAACAAACGATCAGTGATCCCAAACGAGGCACAGCCAACCCCCACGGCAACACGACTAAAATCGAGGTTGAGACCACCGATCTCCAAGATTTCTTCGCAGTCCAAGTAGAGAAACTGGAAGAGCTCAAAGCCAAGGACGAGAAGGAAAATTCGAACCAGCCAACCCCACAACTGGAGATGTCCCCTATGGCCGACGAGGGCAAAGTCAACGATCACATCGGCCCTGTACAATTCAATATGGGCGGAATTCAAGTGGATGCTGATGATATGTTGAAAAAGCTTCGAGTAAGTACTCCGCCCATACTCCATCGCCACCCAGGACATTGCTAATCTTATTTCCAGGATCGCGAGGCTAGCCGCAGCCAAAAGAAAGAAAGTCCATATGCAGGTACTGGTGGCAATGACGAGAAAGCACACAACCAAGCCCTGGCGAACTTCTTTGCTGGGCTCGTCAAGAAGCCTGGCTCCAGCCCTCGTGGGAGCCCCTCGGCTTGATTCAATCTTATTTCGTTGTATTTTAGTTCTTTGTGCGTACATAATACAGAGGCCGGAACTCTCGCTTTGCGCGATAGGCTGGGTAGTTTGATATATGGGGAAGAAGTGACCTTGGGAGTCTTTGGGCTGTGGAATTGAAATGGTCGTTCTGTGTTTACCCCGGCAGTGGAGGTCCCATGAATGGCTTTTCGGCAGGTGTTGGATAATGATACCAATATGAAGTCTGAGATTTCTTATTATAACCGTTCACCAATGATCAAGCGCAACAGCTCTAAAGTAAGATACCCTCTCTTTTGGGATTGCAAGGATTGCAACAAGAACAGTCCAACAACATTCTATCTCAGGACCAAAAACTGTATTTTTTTTATAATTATTGTAGATTACATAGATTGCTATTATTTGAGCCCATCTGTTACCCTGGGGTAGACAGACGGTATAGAAGCTAGAGTTAGGGCAATATTCGATTATCGAATTTTACTCTGCTCGTTTTCGAACGCTTCACCAGTTCTCCCACACGGCATCAGGCATGACATTCCGCATGATGGACCAGTGCTCCAACGCACTGCGATCCTGGAACTTGTCAAGTCGTCCGACCTCCTTCGCCACCAGAATGGATCTGCCAGTCTTGGGGTAAGAGGAGAAAATGGCAGCGTCGAGTTCGTGATGGGGAACAAGGTAATTTTCCCGAGACTTGCTGCCAAGGAAGTCTGCCGGGACAGGATCACGGAATTGAATCGGGGTGGTGGAGCTCTTCTTGCAGAACAAGACCATGTTGGTGAAGCTGGAGTTTTCTTCATCTCCGAAGGGAGCTTCGCGGAAGATGCGGCAGGATGGGAAGACGGCCTGGACGGTGCGGACAGTGAGACCGGTGGGGTAGAGGTTCAAGTCACCGGCATAGTTCTGGGATTTTTATGTTAGTTTGATCTAAAATCAGGTCTGTTGCTTGGTAGAACTCACAATGGCAATGACACCGTCTTCCTTGAGGAGCGCGTGGAGGCCGGACAGGAATTCATAGGTGAAAAGTTCGGCGGGCTCCGCACCACCAGTGAATACATCGTGGATGATGTAGTCATATTTGGGTGAGTTGGGCGAAGATTCGGCCTTCTTGACGAATTTCACGGCATCTTGGATGACGGGGATGTGGTTTGCTGGAAGGTTGAAGTACTCGGTGGCGAACTTGTGCACAACAGGGTCGATTTCGACGATAGTGGTCTCGATACCGTGCTTGATTAGGGCAGATGGTGTTGTACCAATTCCAAGGCCACTGTTTTCAGTCAGTAAGTTCCGAGTCGGGGGATTCTTGTGGGGATCTTACACGACTAGCGCCTTGCTGTCTGCGTCAACACGAGAAATGCCGTGATCCGGCTCAACCAGACGGACAGCCTCGAGCATGGCAAAGACTGCGTAGATAGGATCTTCCACCTGGGGGTGGTAACCTGGTGCCAGTTTAGTCCACTGTCCACCAAGCAGACTGTGGTCACAGCGCATGACTCGGAATCCGTCGTTGTCGTTTTCCAAAACAGAGATGTAGCCAGTGTAAGCTTCCTGACGTGCCAAGAGAGTGTATCCTTCGTGGGCAATTGCCGAATTGACACCACTCATTCCAGCAAAATGGACATTAGAGGTCACTGAGAAGATTATCGAGGGGATAGCCAGGGCCAGCCATTTTGACGGAAGGACCGCGGAGTACAAAGCTGCAATGAGCATTTGCATACCCACACGAGTGAACAAGAAAGAAGTTCCAACAATCCAAGACAGAATAGTCTTGGCAATGTGCTCGCCGATCGAATAGAGGATATATGTACCGATCAGGGGTACATGCTCAACGACCAAGTCGCCCTGTGCCTCGAGGCGTAGAGAAGTTTGGATTTGTTTGCCGGCGTAGGCAACTGTCAGCAGAACTAGAGGGTAGTAACCACACATTTCTGTAACCACTGGACCCGTGGGGTTACCAATCTTGGAGCTCTGCTGCTTCATGAAATACTGGAGAGTCGGGACCCAGAATGCCAACACAGGAAGCATGTAACCACCCAAACGGCCCAGGCGCTTCAGAATCTTATCTTTGAGAAGCCATCCGATTCCGCCGGAGATGGCCACTCCAAAACTATGGAAGATATGCGAGGGGAAAGATCCATATGTTGGAGACATAACCAGCTTCGAAAGGGGCGAGTAGAAGGCAATCAGGACTAACAAAGCCACGCCGGTAGTAAACCGGCGGGCGTCGATATGCCGCAAGTACTCCTGAGCAGGCATTTTTTCCAGCTGCTGCAGTCTGGGGAGAGATAGCTAGTACGCGCGAATATCAGTCAAGACAGCGCATCTGCAAGCTTGTTAGTAACCTGGAACTGTGTCCTTTCCCTTTTTTTGCAAGAGAACTCCAATAAATAATAAGATTCGAGTATTTTGGATCAGATCTTTGACTTACATATTCAGACCAGACACATATCAAGCAATCTTCGTCAAGGGAGGAAAAGTTATTGCGGAGATGAGCGCGCTTTTGCCGCCGATTTCCGCGTTCCCAGCTTCTTTCTCTTCCCCACCTCCATACTCTGAAACACACCCAAGATGCCACATTTCCCCAAAGATTCAGGGGTTATGACTAAAAATGCATCTGCCCAACAAGCTGTTACAGTCAAAAACCGTCGCAAGCGGTATCTGGACTTAACCCCAGAATACTTCTCGGCGGAGCTTGAGCTAGCCGGTCCGCCTGCTCTCTTCTCTCCCATTGCCAGTTGATTATATTACACAAACCTGACCGGAGTTATCGCTGGAGCCAGCTGGCTTTGCACACAGAAGGAAAAAAAAAATTCATTACTAATCCTGCTCGATTTCTCTACAGACCCGTTATTATACGATCGCTTGATCCGTCGATTCCAAACACCAGAAGAAAGAGAGGCCGCGGGGCGTGCAAAGGGATTCTCGGGCGTCCTGGAGACTGACCTCATGCGCTCCGAGGCCAAAATGGAGGCTATAGCGAACCCAGATCCCAACTCTATGATGAGCTACACTCGCGGTCCAGATGGGGAGATTCTCGCTGAGGATCTTGATGAAATCCCTCCAAACAAGGAGGAAGGCGAGCGACTTTGGAAATGGGAGATGGGATTGCGATTCATACGGGGCAATGACCCTGACTTCGATTACAAGGCTGTTGATGAGAATGAGAAATACGATGATGAATCAGATAAACAAGACCAGTATTTCGAGGATCAGGAGCCTGAGTGGGTGGTTGATAATGGGAGTGATACTCGTGCGAATCTCCAGGGCGAAACGGGCATTCAGGATTTCTAAAGGCGGAGCATGTTGTCACACTTGTGACTAGTGTGAGCTACAGTGAAACTCGCTCGCAGTGATGGAAGTGTCGGTCTTCCCAAGGCAGAGCTCTGCTCTGACCTCTGCTCGCCATGAGCTGCTATTCAGTTTATAGTAAATGCTCAGAACTGCCCTCTACCTTTGATCTTATCTCGAATGCTAGTGGTGTCTCGTCGGTCTCAGTTGGCAATTGCTGTTCACAAGACCCGAGACTGGACATCAAAGCTTCATCTGGGAGGAAATGTTCCACTACTATAGTACTTGAAATTTTTCTGGAAATACCCAAGACACAGAGTACTGATTACTGAAGCTCACTTCATCTCATGTTCATTGTATGGCCATTGTCTCAAATAAGCAATGCAAATGGTTCCAATATGAATGTGCATGCTGGACTGTACAGCAAAACCAGGCATTTGTCGAGTTATAATATGTACAGAATCCCCAGATTTACATGCCCAGTAGGTCAATATACTTGCCATTTATGAAGCACTTTGAGCCAAAAGTGCAATGGCCTTCTCCTTAAGCTTGTATTTCTGAATCTTTCCACTCGCTGTCTTTGGGGGAGGGTCCAAAGGTCCCAAAAAGAAGACATGTTTGGGAACTATAATCAACCTACAATCAGCTCATTCCAAAGTAATATTGTCGGGATCAGACACGACCAATCAGAAAAGAGAAAAAGATGACATAGGAGTCTGGATGATCACTTACCAAGATGATTGCTGAGCTTTTCACGCACCCATTGCCGAACATCCTCAGCGGTGATTGTATTAGGGCCTCGATCTTGAGCGATAACGAAAGCAGCCACAGCCTCGCCATATCTCTCATCGGGAACACCAACAACAGATACGTTAGCAACGCGTTCGTTGGCTAGCAAGCAATTCTCGATCTCTAATGGGTGTATATTTTCCCCACCACGGATGATCAAATCTTTGATCCGCCCAGTGATGGTTATATATCCATCAGGGGACATGGAAGCCTCATCTCCAGTCTAGAACCATAGGGTCAGAGGAACAGCTTTTTCCTTGGGGCCAAGGTCAGAATTTGAACTTACATGCATCCAAACCTGTCCGTTCTCATCTGGAATCATCACCTCAGCAGTCCTTTCCGGGTCTGCCCAGTACTCCTTCATTAGCAAGTACCCGCTTACTGCCAATTCACCTCGTGTCTCGATAGGCAGGATATGCTTCTGGTTCGCCGGGTGTACAATCTTTGCCTCGACATGTGGCATGAGTTTGCCAACAGAGTGTATTCGCTTATCAATGGGATCTTTTGTCGTTGTCATAGCGGAGACGGGGCTGGTTTCCGTCATTCCATAGCAAATCGTCAATTCCGTCAGATTTAGCACCCGGTGCAGTTTCTTCATTACCTCAGAAGGAATACTGCTTCCAGCAGCGATGCCTGTGCGAAGATACTGGAACCCTTCGCGAGAGATTTCTCCTTTCTCAATCATGTCCAGCTCCTCGAGGAACATTATCGGCACCCCGTGTAGAGCTGTGCATTTCTCTTCTTGAACAGCCTCCAGTGCAGCCCGAGCATTGAACGACTCACTGGGGAATACGATGGCTGCGCCGTGGGTTGCCGTCGCCATATAGCCCAGGATACAGCCAAAGCAATGAAATAGCGGCGGCGGGCAGCAGACAACATCATTTGGGGTGAGCAGCATACGATCACCAATCTGAGAGCCGTTGTTCAAGATAGAGCGATGACTGAGGCATGCTGCTTTGGGCATTGCCGTGGTTCCCGATGTGAATTGTATGTTCACTGTTTCATGCGGCGACAGATTTTGATGTGGAAGTGGACTACCGTCTGCAGTCAACTGGGACATGATGGATGTGTATGGTGTCAAGCTTTTATAAGATGATATATCGACACGTCCGTCCGAGTTATCGACCATGATGATTTGTTGAAGTGAAGGGACCAATGTGGATTCCAATCTTGATCTGTGGAGATCTTCAACCAGGTCATGGAGCAAGGGTAAATTGCTTCGTGGTTTCTTGCGGGGAAGATTGGACTCAGTGCTGATCAAAAGATGACTGGCTTCTAGATGACCTAGGGCCGCAATCACTTGTGCAGTATTAAAGGATAGATTGAGCGGAACCTATCAGATTATTAGACTCAGTGTTGTTTGCCACAATGAGCGGGCTGGCTTACCAAAATAGCCCCGAGTTTGAAACACGCGTATGTTGCCTGCCCAAGAACATTAGCTTTGTTCTCCGTCAGTTTTCCCCCTCGACAGTCAACGTACCACGGCGTATTCCATCGAGTTGCCAAGCATTACTCCCACTCGCTCCCCTTTCTGAACCCCCACTGACGCCAGTCCCCGAGCGAGAGCATTGCTTCGTGTATCTAAGGATGCGTATGTTGCGCGATCGTTCTGGTGTCTCGAGACAACGCTGCAAAAGAAAAAGTCAACATCTTGGGTCTTAGATGCCCATTATAGAGACGCTCACGCTGTTCTATCTCCACATTCCGCAACAATCTTGGCGAAATGGTCACCCACCGTGGACTCAATCAAGGGGGGCTAAATTGAAAACACCAGAGTCAGATATTTCTTACTCCACTTGCTTTGTCTTGTCTCCGATCGGATATTGAAGCTGAAGGAGTACTCACACTTGAGGGCCCTCGAGCATAGCTTTGAGTTAATAGTCCTCTCCTGACCAGAGACGTCTGCTGTAGGGCTTCCTTTCGGCCAACGCCAATTCGCCGGCAAGATAGACGGCCTCTCAGGCCAACCCCTGTGAGGATCCTGCTGTACCCCATAGTTGTGTTCCGATGCTTGCTGGTTATCAATATCTCATAGCCTTGCCTTATGATTCCCTGTAGTATGAGTAGATCGACAAGCACAGCACTGCAATAGTCGAGTCAAAACAATGTCCAAAACAGATGTCTTTTGGAAAGAGACTGAAGAACGCGGAAAAGCTTTCCCCGCATGCAGAATGCGGGGTTCGGGTCCTGCCGAGGAACTACCTCATCATTGACTCCATCGCCTTTATACATAGTACGATGGTGATTGTTGCAATATAACTGTTCATGCATTCAAGTAATACTCCATGCTATTGCTATCAAGGTTAAGTCTAACGTCTATCCTCCAAATTCCAAGTCTCTCTACGCTCAATCAATCCCGATGCTATTTCTTGGCTTTGTTGGCCTTAGGAACTTTTGTTCCCAAGGCTATAACAGCCTTCCTCCCCACATAGGCACTGCCGATCTGAACCAGACCAATACGCCTCACCATAATCGACAGTTAGCTCTTCAAAGGCCTGGATATCACGAACGGCTTCAACTGTGGTCACGACCCGCTTCCCAAGGGTGCGGGTCCTAAACACCGTTCCGGGCTGGCACGAGTGATTGACGAAACGGGTCCAATTGCCGAATCGGTGGGGTGCAATTGTACATATACCACGATTAGGCGCAAAGGGGCAATCGCTGGCTTGGGTTAGAGGATAAATCCAGTCCTCTTCGATGCTGGGAATGAGCTCGCCCACAAATACTCCGAGAACATCATCGCGACGGAAGGCTGTCAGTGCTCGAACACCGGTACCCCTAGCCGGGAACTCCATCAATTCGACTAGTTCTCCGGCCCGACTCTGCAACTGGCAGTCACATTGATGTGGGCTACCGCACAGGAAGCAAATTGATCCAACACTAAGAATGGGGTCGCTGGTCTGATGTCGACGAGTCGGGTCCGATTGCCCATTCCATTTGCTGTAATCAAAGATATAATCGTTGATGTGTTCCTGCAAATGGCCGTTCCAAATGGGTTCCTTTAGCTTGCCGTCGAGCGTGATCACGGTATGGTGAGGGTGGTCAACTTTCCAGTCCATATATGTTTGGATTACTGATTTCATATCTGGTAGGCCAGGAATAGAGCTCTGCTGGTGAGCCAGGAGAATGTCACGCCACTTTAATTCCCAGCTGTGGGCATAAACTTCAATGCTAAGGAAGTTCTCCTGAATCTTCTGGCATACCATACCCCAGACTCTATCGTTGGCAGGTTCGAACCATCGTCGGAATGCTTCGGCGTGAGCGCAGATGGCAAACATCTTCCATCCAAGTGCATTAATAAAATCAAAGAACCTACTGTCAGGTGCGACAAACTGGAACTCACCATGTTCTGACTTGAAAAATTCCACACAATTACCCCAACTGCTAATTTCATGCGCCACAAATTGCGCTGTGGCAGCGACCAGGTTATCAAAAGTCCCCTGGCTAAGTGAGTCTCCACTGTTCGCAATCCGCTCATAATTGCAGTGGGCATTAATGTCATGATAGATGGCTTTCACAATATCAGAAGCTTCCTTGTTAGCGGTCTGATTTTGCGCGGCCTCGGAGCCTAAGCGTGGGAAAAGTACATTCAGATTCACAGGAGGAACCTCAACGGCCACTGCAACGGATCTCTGTCTGGTTTTCTTCTTACTGATGGTCTTCTTGGCGGTGTTCTCAGCCGGCTTGTTGCCGGTGGTTTGGGTACGGGGTGTCTGATCGGCCATGGTGATAGTTTAGAGCGATGGCCTTGTTGTTCAAGATTTGGAAAAAATGATACTGAAAGGCTGAATGGTGTTGTGAGGTTTGGAATGTGTAATCACCGATGGATATGAAGCCGTTTAGCTGGCGAGAGATAGGCTCTTATACCTATCTCAGCCCTTGTACAGGGACCGTTGTTCTACTTCTACTTCTCTATCTCTGCTTTCCTTTAACCATAAATAGCGTAGTGACATAGAGACTCGAACAAGGACATTACAACACTTGAAAGAGACATTGAGTTCTCGAAACACATTGTATATATCCATTGTTAACATAGTCTTGTTGAAACCATTGAAACCACGTTAGTTATATTAGAGACGGTTTCTCATGAAAGCAATAGCCTATAACCTCGAAACACGTACATTTTATATGTCCGGCTCAAAGAACCGAAGCGGGGAGATGTAGGTACAAAGGGGCTTGGCGTCATGTGGTGGGGAAGCTCTCAATGCAAGAGCCTCCGCCTTCGCCTTTGCCGTGTTTTGCTTCACACTTTTCGTCCCCACTGCCATGCTTGCATGTTGATTTCTTCAGCAATATGGCATCCGAACCAGCCGAGGAAGCAATCGCTAACTTTGTCAGCTTCACAAGTACAACGCGCGAGCAAGCTATCGCGTTCTTGAAGGTAACAGTTTATCACTTGTTCTATCCAAGTTCCCAGCTAATATTGTTGCAGGCGAACAATCTTGATTCACAGAAAGCGATCAACGCGTACTTCGAAGATCCGACAGGACCCCAGCCTGAGCCGAAGGTAAATCTTCGCGACGCGCAACATCTCCAGACTACAATCTGACATCTTACAGCAACAACCTACCTACTACAATGATAAAAGAGGACCTTGTAAGTCATCTGCCTCATCTCCATTCAGTTTGGGAATTGACATAGCCATAGGGGCTCCGACGTGGGGTTGGGACCAACAAGACAATGCGCCACCAATACCAGCGACCGCGCCGCCCACTCGTCCTCCTTCCCGAACCAATATACGTACCCCAGACCAAAGCACTAGACCTCAGAGCTCTGGCATAACTGCTCCACAAGGTATCACAACTTTGGCATTTCATTTACGGTAGCCATACTGATGTGCGGTCATTTGGCCATATAGAAAGCTCTGAACAAGGCCTCAGCCTGGCGGAACGTGAAGAGAAAGAACTACAACAGGCGGTCGCTATGTCATTGAGCTCGGACATAGGACAGCAAGAAACCGGGGTGACGTTGAGCAGCCAACCGCAGTTCAACAAAGCAACCCGGGATCACTATGACGAGGGTGCCTGGGCGATGACACTGTTTAACACATCTTCCGAGGAAGTCATGATTAGTCCGGACCCAGAAGATCGCAAGAGGGTTGAAGGAGAGCCTGCATTTATCCGTCCTAGCCAAGACGGTATATACCTCGGAGGGCTTCTGACTATTCTCCATAATATTCCGCTTGCGCGTGAAGCGCTGCTGCTGCGGAACAAACCGCTGTTTGACTATGGCCATGAATCGCAGTGGTGGAATGGGCAGTCCGTCAATCTGCCAAAGATTGTCACTGTGAATGATCACGGAGACGTGGATAGCGACTGGGACGACATCATTCATGAGACCCAGCGACTTATGGCTTTCATGGATGGCACCAAGCGCGCTTTTGGCAGTGCTGACAGCCTGGCAAGAATCAAAAGTATGTCATCTATCTCGTCAGACTCGGAGGAGATTGTCGCCAGGTTCTTGGAAGCATGGCATGGCGCAGCTATTCGGGCAGATCCCGAGAACCCATTGACAACTTTGTTTACGTCACATGCATACAAAAAAGAACTTTTTGATGAATTTGAGGAGCCCATCAACAAGGAGCTTTTTGTATTTGAGCCTGCGGTTGAACAGGACCATGGCCAAACACTCTATGAGGTACTAGACTCGGCATTCTGGTCCGATAGACCAGGAGAAGAGCTTGACGACACATGGCTTGAACATGTAGCAGAGGTGCTGATATTCAAGGTTGATGCTCTTCAAAAGCCGAATCCTCTGGGTGTGGATATTCCTTCCGTTTTCTATCCAGATCGCTATCTTAGCAGCTGCCGGGAGTTTGCTCGGGAGTTCCGCTCAAAGCGACAGCAAATCCAAGGGGATGTATTGCAACTTGAAAGCCTCATATATCGCTATACCTTTCCACGAGACCCTGTGAGCAGCTTAACAATCACGGATCTCCTCGCGGAAGCTGCCAAAGCTGCACCAAAAGTTGTACCAGAGCAAATGGATGGGGTTGATCCTTCCACCCCTGGAGTGGCAGGTACAGAGACGATGCGAATTGCAGACCAATTGAGAGAGATTGCGACAAGGATAGAAGCCAAGCTCCACGGTAAAGAGAACCGTCGCTACTGTGCTGTTGTCCTTGGCTAATCATTTAACACAGAACTGGAACTGAGAAAGCAGAGTGCTATGGAATCTCTTCGTGAGATCTCAAAGATCCTTACTGAATCTTCCGAATCGCCTTCCGAGCCTCCTGTCCACAAGTATACCCTGCGAGGTGTGTGCACCGAACCACATGTGATTTACGTTCTATCAAACCCCAAGTCAACCGCCCCGGCTCACTTGATGGATTTGGACTCGAACACCGAGAACAGCGGTAACTACGAATGGTGGCGCATCAGCTTCTCCGCGGAGGACGGAAAGATGCGGCAAGCCGAGAAAAGAAAGGCCACAAGCAATTCCACGAATTCGGATAATGGTGACGTTATCGGCTACAATGTTCGGAAAGTCCATGAGGTTGAAGTGCTTCAAGCGGCCTGCGAAGAGGGGAGCTCCGCCTTGCTAGTTTATGCTAGTGAGAATGCAATGAATGCATCAGTGGATTCTGCACCGCCACAGTTACAGGTAAATACGCCGCCCCTCACCAAGCCATTTAAGACTTCCCATCTAATTGAAACCAGGGATTCGTGAATAGAGACAATGATGCCTTTGCAGGTGAATTCGAGAACACCCCTACGATAGTATTTAGTGATCAGGAAGATGCTTGGGGTGAGTCTAATAGCGGGGAGATCCAGGCCAAAGAGCAAAAGCCGGAAATGTCGACGAAAGCTTCTCAGGTAAATGTCTTTGATTACGAAGTTTCTGCGTTCGACGACGAGCAAAAGCCCAGCCAAGAGATGCAGGAGAGGAGCGGTATAAGCCTCCTAGGTGCCACTGCAACGAAGTCTGCGGTACCAACTACATCCCAGGCCGTTTCAGGTTGGAACAATGAGGTGGATGAAGACATGTCGAATCATCTTGAGCATGAAAAATAGCGAATGAAACATCCAGGAAGTCGATGAATGATGAACGAATGACTAGATACTTGTACTAGAGCAATGCCAAGCTTGTGCATACACTAAATGATCAAGTCCTACTCCGTATGTACTGTTGCTTCCGATTTCCAATTTGTCTGACAATACTCCATGAGAAAAAAAAGTCTCCAATACGGAGTAAAGACTTCCGTGTACTATTGAGGTCCTTACACGTATGTAGGTACATGTAGGTACTCCGTACTCCGTACCTGTAACAGCCCCTGGGGGCTATAACAGACCGATAAGCTTGTCCCCACATTTTGCCATGTTTGCATCGACCACTCCAAGCTCCTGGCATCGTATCTCAATCCTTCCCCTCGTAGATACACCAATTGACATTTAATCTCCACTATGACTCTCGAAAGCGACGCAGTAGCTGGAGCGACCATCGAACTCCTTGAGGCGCGCCTGCGCCGCCTCACCTACCTCCTCACCGGCACCACAGACTGGACCGGAATTCCCACCACCCCCGAAAAGCCCGCATCACTCGATGAGACAGTCTCCCGTCGACTCGCACAGCTAGAAACAGAACTGGCACGCCTTAGCCGGAGGGTACCTGCCGTAAGGGACATTCTGCAACTTCGTACGTAACCAATGTGGAGGGTTGCTTTTGACACCCATTCGTACCTCCCCTCCTCTCTCTTGCCTTTCCCCCATCTATACCCTGATCTCCCAATACTACTACTATTAACACCCAATTGTCCACCCCGAGTCCTTACTAGCCTTTTACTAACCAAAAATTAACCAGACGACCGCAGCCCCGACCTCTTCCAAACAACACCACCCCAAGAAATCCCCGAAGGTCTGACAACCCAGACCCTGGCCTCAATAGTCCTCTCCTACGCCACCGCTTTCCCTGAAACTGCCTCACGTCTCACATCACTTAACGACCTGCCTGTACCAGACGCAGAGAGCTCTGCAGCACTGATCGAGCTGCAGCCGCAATTAGACCGAGTCGCGCAGATGCAAAACGAACAGGCAGCTGAGATTTCGGAACTGCGGATTCGCACAGCACGCGTTTTACAGCGTTGGTATGATGTTGGGATTGTTGGGAGTGGGGAGTGTTGGGCTGAGTGGGAGGGCAGACTTGAAGATGTTGAGAGGGAGGTTAGGAGGAGGGAGGTGACTAGGCAAAGGAGAGAAGAGGAAGTATAGGGGTCAGGTCCTATGAAATATTTTGGTACTGCTGGTATGCGAGGAGGTCGAAGTAGGTAGTGACTGGCTGTTGCTGCTCCTATTTTTTTTTTTGCATTTTTCTTTTTCTTATTTACCCTCCGCTATGATACCTCTGATTTGGGCGTGCAGTGTTATGATCTTGAACATTAAGACGGGACTGAAGGTCTCCAGTGCAATGGTGCTCTAGCCTATGCGTCTTGGTACCAACTTGGGTTTACTTAGTAAACGCTGAAACTGTGAATTGCTATTTCAGTTAGTTCTGCATTTTCAGGGTTATATGGTTCTTTATTACGCTGAAGTCGTCGCATGACTACCCCTCTACCAGCCCAACACCTCTATTCTCCATTTTTCTTGCACCTCCACCTCTCCACGCTCTGTCTTCCACCTGCCGCTGCCCACTTTCCTTCCTTCCTTCTTTATTTCTTTCTTCCCATCACCATGGACCACTATGCGCTGGACGGGCTACATTGTTACATGTCTCGGATTATGTGGACCAGGAGGCATAATGGTTGCCCATGGTTCCGTTCGGGTCGAAATGGAGAAAACAAAGTATTGGAAGGTGCCTATGTTTTATTCTGCAGTGATGCCAGCTCCTACAAGCTTCGACACCTCCTTAACGATACTAATTATTTACCACTTGCGCCGGATGAGGTGAGATAGCTCTGCATCAGACACCAATATCCAGGAATATGGTCTGTCCAAATCTTGCCGAAGCCCTCTACATCATTGCGCCAGTCGCGGTGGAGCTCTGCTGCCACTGCTGCCCAATTCAGAAGTTGGACGCCTGCATGAGCCATTCTAGTGTGAGCTGCTTCTCGGGTATGCTCTTTGAAGGTCCCTGATGCATCAGTCACAACGAAGACATCGTATCCCTGCTCCACTAAGGAGAGCGCAGGGAAAGCCACGCAGATCTCAGTCAGAACACCACTACTAAATTAGTGACCCCATTTCAGACAAAATACTCAACTGAAGGGTAGCATACCTGATCACAACCTGCTTCTTGCCGGTTGCTTTGACCGCATTTGCGAAGTCTTCGTTATCCATGGCATTGATTTGTCCGGGCCGTCTGATCAATGGAGCTTTGGGCAGTTCGTCAACAATTTCTTTGACAATTGGGCCATTTGGACCAGTGTCAAATGAAGTAGTGAGGACAGCAGGTGCCCCAAAGTAGCTAACAGTCTTGACAAGTCCTAGCACGTTGGTGTGGAACTCGGTCGGCTCGAAATCGCGCACCAACTGGATAAGACCAGCCTATCATTTGAATGAGTTGTTGATCGACCAGTTGCCCGCTAGACCAGAGTGTGTCTTACCTGGTGGTCAATAAACAAGAACACGCATTGGTCCTTGTCGAGGCGCTTGTAGGCAGGAGGCATATTGAGATTTAAGAAAGAGGATTCTTCACGTGGCCTTCAGGTATCTTGAAGTGTTAGCTACTTTTGACCACTTCCCCGGAACAAACATGTAGCTTTTATATCAATTGCTGTGCTTACAGATTATGAGAAATTTCGATGTATCAACTCGTTCCAAACTAGCGGTCTACACAAAGACACGTAGTATCCAATACCTTATTTCGAGGATAGTGATCTCAGATTTTGAATCAGAGCGTCATATGTGTGTATTCAACGCGTCATCAGTCCAATCATTGAGAAAGGTCCAAAGCAGATTGATTCAGCGATTTCATGGATTGGGGACTAATACATAGATTTATTATGGGTTTGTTTGACGGTTGCAATCCGTTCCAAAAAAAACAAAAAAGCGTATTAATGCATTCGAATCTGAGTTTCGCGATCTTAAAGGTTATCTAAAGATTATCTAAAGATTATACATCGGAAAGGCCCACCTGCAGGTGCTCAGCTGAACCTTTTCACTGACTAATACCCACCCGGGCCAATCATTTGCCTGACTAATACTCACGTAAGGCCGCCCTACGCGGCCAAATCGACTTGACTAAAGATTATCTAAAGATTATGCATCGGGGTAGCCGGGCCAAATCATACTTGTGATATGTATGACGAAAACATTGTAGCTTATTAGTTCATCTACGGAGTACTCCGTACTCCGTATAATCCGGTGATGGTGAATTACGCAAAGGAGTTTAGCGTGCCATTTCAGATTTAGCGCCTTGTTGCGCGTTACGCTCGTCGTGCGAGTTTTTATGAAGTCCCCTTCATCGCCGCTCCGACTTCTCGCTGTTCACGCCCTTCTGCCCATCCTTTCCCTCCATTCCTCCTGTGCGCCTTGCGAGTCGCGCCGAGCTGAAGTTCGGGCCCCTGACGTGTCAATCGGTCGGTTCGTCGTCGAACTTCTGCGCATCCGGGCGCCTTCACCCTGCGCTCGTTCTGGATAATCGTCCGAGTGAAGCGGGCGAGGTCGAGGGCGATTCGGAACTGAGGAAGGCGGGAATGAGACTTGTTAGCGTACACGAACGACCTGTTACAGCGGTTATACGCATCAGCCCTTGGCTGCTAAGTCCGCGAGAGTTGACGGGATGCTAACAGTGACACTCCGTCCCTCCAGGATGATTGTGAGGCTTCACGGCGGCCGTGTCGGAATTTAGGAACGATCTCTGAACCTGAATTTCTAACTAGGCGCCATCGCCAGACCGCGTACGAACAGCCATTCTTTTTCCTGTCATCATTCGTATTCCGGAGCTCCGCCGGCCCCTATCATCGAGTGCGTAGTGTCGCCGAAACGCCGCTGGTTTCATGATCGATCGGCGGAGAGGATAAGATGGACGACTGGGAAAACAATATCTCTCAAGTATTGACTTTGAGGGAATAGAATATCAGCAGGTAAAAGTAATTGTAGTAGATAACTTACTTCGGCTAGAATGAGCTTATATAGAAGAATGTGTCTTTTCATATTGGAGAGAGTGACAACCGTCCCTACCTGAGGATGCCTAGATTTAGTATTAAGACAGCAAACTTTTTTCTGCCATTAATTCTGCCCCCCACCAGTCAGCTCAACTGGCGTCTCCGTAGACGTAGTCACTGGACAGTCAGTTAACTAACTAGTTAACTATCCAGCTTGGTTGTCGGCTTGGAATTTTAGGCAATTTAGCCACCAGGTATCCACCCACCTCCCAATACGACTAGCGCAAGGCGCTGTAGCTACCAGTCTGCCCCACATAAGAGCCTCATCAATGCTCCTCCACTAACCTATCCAAGAAACACATCTCCAAAGCATCCAAATCAACTCCAATGTCGTCCTCATATCCTCATAATCAGCCTGGCTCCGTAAGGGCCCTGACCCTGGAAGTATCATCAGCCTTGACCAACCTGTCCCTTCCCGGTGGAAGATTCTTGAGAAGCTGAACGAGCATGACTACCAGGTTAATGAGGAGGAAAACGATGAGTATGGCTTCCGTTCTTTCGCCTCGGCTAAATATCTATGTTGTGATCCCAGAGCCCAGACTGGGGAAGCCTTTATGCGTATCTACATTCAAGTTCCCCATCGGAAGACTGAAATGGATGATGCGGATACCAGAAGCCGACAAGCCACAACATACAACCCCCTGGAACTGATCGCCTACCGGGATCTCACTGAAGAAGGCTCGAGTGACACACCAAAGCTTCTCGGATACAAGACCGATAAACAGGATCGCTCGGGGCTAGTTCCGGGTGGGTTCGTCATCTGGCTTGCGTGGGAGATCGTCCCAGGGCTGCGCCTCGGAGACGGCAATGGCGCTGACCCATATTGGGCTCTCAAAAGCTACGAAAGGGAGCAGGTTCGCTTGGCTTTCCTTGAGGCTCTACCGTAAGTCGATATTTCTTCTGTATTCGATACTGGACCTAATTATTATCGACTACGTAGTAAGCTGCATGAGAACGGGTGGTTCCCCCGTGTGTGCGGGGCAAGCAGCCTAGTTTGGCACGAGAAGACGCAAAGACTGCACGTTATTGCTATATTATCTCGACGATAAGGTGACGAACTTGTTAATTTACTCTATGTAGCTAATTTATCGGACCCTTTGAGAAGGCCGGTAGGCCCGAACGTCCGACTATCTTCGGTGCTAACTGGATTGCGCATTTCGATCTCGCTATGCCGGACCCGTCTACGGATTAACGTGACAGTGACTAGGATAAAGATATTTCACGCTGGCAATGGTAGCTGAGGAGGAAGTAAGATTGTTCGCTTGTCTATTTATTATGTTGAATTCGGTGACAAGACTGTGGTATTTTATAAGGGAGCCGTCCACTTCTGGTTCCGCATGCCTGTGCTAGTGTCAAAATTCGAGTAGATTTATTGATCCGAGGGAATAACCTTTGAGAACATCACGTGGTATTCCGCTCGGTCGAGCCGAGGATCCGCTGCATTGTAACCGTGGTAAGTCAATCTTAAATCAGATGTTAGGTACCTCATGCGACAGCCTTGGTGTACAATGGCATTCTTATTCTGATGTTCAAGGCTAATCGGAATGCACTAACATACTCAATGTTGTGGAGTTAGCATGCGGTTTCAAGATGTATCTGTCCAAGGCATTAGGTCCAAAAGTAAGTTGTTGAGTTGTATGGAGTGTTAGACAATGCTGTCCATGAATTGGACAAAGTTGTACGTGCTTAAGAACCTTATTAGAGCTCGATATTCATAATGCTATGGAATTCTCAATTTTCAACGGATTTGGGGCTGTGGCGCAATTGGTAGCGCGTGCGACTCCAGTTCGCAAGGTTATCTGGTCGAGACGGGTCAGCCTCAACTTCTTTTTTTTATTTTTTGTTTCTTGTTCAATCCTATTATTGTTGAAAGCAGGCTTTTCCCTCCTTAGCTGTGAAGCTATGGCCATATTATAGCGTTGGTATTAAGTTAATTTTCTTTGCTTTTTTTGTGGGAAAAACAGACGAGCAAGCGAAGAGGAAGAAAGCAGCGTAGCTCATTGGAATTAGGGCGGGTCCCTCTGGTTCGCAAGAGTATCTTGTTAAGATAAATCATTCATACTTAATTTTCTCTTTTGCATCTTAATTGGGCGTGCCAATAATTGTTGCCTTTTATCTGAAGAGTAATTAAAACAAGCTATGAGTTACTCATGTCCGCCATTACTAGAGATCAACCACTCTTTAATGGCCACAACAGTCCACATAGCTCCCCAACAAGTCTCTTAGACTATGCATGGACTCCTCGAAAAATCCAGAGGATTTTGTCAAAGCGAGATGCTCAACGTGCGTAACCCTATAACTTACCCACGCAGACGAGGACGACTTATAGGTTGGGTTCGGGGGGACAGAGCTTGCGAAAGAGAAGATGAGATCCGGTGTCACAAATTGGCCTTAGATACGGAGCACAAGTTTGTTTTAAAGTTCTTAGTGATGATAGGACTGTATATCATTTCCAATGGAACTAGATTCTGTCCTCCCTCCTTACTACTACTGCCGCCAGACCAGCCCTAATCTCGACAAATACAGCCCCAGGTACCGAAGAGGCCGGTAATGATTCTACAAAGTTGCAGCGGGTACTGCATGCAAGTACATAATACCCTAGCTTTTCCATTGATTTAGTTTCAGCCCGTGCCTTCCTTTTTGACATGAGCAAGACCCAGGCCCCCACGACTGCTCTCCTTGCACTTGGATCATGTCCGGTCCATGTAATGAGTATTGTCTATTTTTTTTTTTTTTCAAATTTTCAACATCTTGGTTTATTTTTAGAAGGATTTGAATTGTTTAAGAGGATATGGTGTTAAAATATGAAATTGTGGCAGAGGGTTGAAATCTACATGGATGTGCCTGGCTCTAGTGCCCTCATACAAGCAGCCACACCTGAGATAGATGGGAAGCCTAGAGGAAACACGGTACAAAGAGCCATCCAGATATACTATGTACATGTTTTCAGATAAATTATCTTTTTATATCGGTATGCATAGTGTATTTCGCAGAGTACTTGGGGAGTGTCAATGTGGTAGATCTGACAATAAACACATGCGACTGAGATACGATCGAGGCCCACTCGGTCCACAGCATACCATGAGCGTTGTCGCATGTGCTAGTAACTCTGACATTCTCAGGCAAACCCTCCCAAGATCCCGATTCGATAATGGTATAAGTGCGTACTCCGTACGTAGTCCCGAGTACATCATATGAACAAATGAATTCATGATCCGTCCAAGACCTGTGAAATCAATATTAGAGGTAGCCTTGTCTCGACCATATATGTGAGCTGGGATCTATAATTTATGCATGTTTCAAGGAAGAAGATGTGTTCACAATCTACGGAGTAAGACGCCCTAAATTAATGACGAAATAGGCACTGCGCGTGAAAGGGCAACGTAAAGCGGAGGTGACTAAGACATTTAGCCCCGATATTTATAGATTTCCACCAGATCGAGTCCAGTTTTAATTGTTTTATGTAGATATTCATGAGGTGACTGGGTTTTTTTGTTAAGCCAAATTAAAGTAGTCTAACGGTGGCTTCTGTCTAATCCACATCAATGATTGTGATGCCAAAACGGCTGGAGTGCAATTTCCAGTGAATCGAGACCGTCGATTTCCAGGGGCGTGTGTCCCGGGACTCCACTGTACCTGGGCACTTTGGCACTTTGGCACTTTTCCTCCCTTTTGTCGTTTCTCCTCTCTCACTCTTCTCTTTCAACTTTCGGTCTCAATCCGTCCACTCTTTTTTTATACGGCTTATTACTAACATTTTTTGTTCTCCCCTTTCCCCAGCCTGGTGCTGTTTTCGCCTCTCTGTAAGGGGTTGTTTCTTTGAGTCCCAACCTCGTCACCCCGCGGATTGTCTCTGAACCCACTTACGTCTTCGGTCTCAAGGTACTTTAATCCTATCCCATTCTTCTAGGCCCATCATACCTGTCACAATTTATTGGCGCATGTTAAGCTGCCCTCTTGCGCTCTTGTTCCACACTAACTTGCACAGTCGCTCCTTCCCGTCACGTCCGCCTCGTTTAGGACTTGGAAATCAACACTCTTATATATCACCCGCTCGACCCTGTACCTTCTTTTCGATTACATCCCATTATCATCTGTCAACAACTCCAGTTCAATATACAGAACCATACAAAATGGGCAAGTTCCGAGGCAGTAACATCCTCGGCGATCCGTTCGCGCTTGCGACCGTCTCAATCTCAATTGTACGCCTTCCCCCCAAACAACCCAAACAACACGGAATCGAGCTAACACAACCCCTAGCTGGCATGGCTCATCGCCTTCATAGCATCCATCATTGCAGATGTACAAGATACAGATTATCCTAACTACAATTGGTGGGCCAACTGCTACATGTTCTGTGTCATCGTGGGTCTGACTGTGACCTTTGGTACGGACACGGGCCACGTATATGGCGTCGCGGTATGACCTGCGAACGCGAAGATTTGTAAAGCACTATTACTGACAATGTCTCTAGATCGTCGGCTACCTTGCCTGCGGCCTCGTCCTGACATCCACGAGCGCAAACAACCTAATCTACAAAAATCAAGGCTCCATGCAAGCTGCCGGCGCAGGCTTCATTCTACTGTCTATGGTTGTTATCATCTGGATTTTCTACTTCGGCTCCACACCGCAGGCCACCCACCGTGGCTTCATCGACTCCTTTGCCCTGAACAAGGAGCGCCCCGCCGAACAATCCTACCGCGGTAGCCGCCCTATGTCCAGCGCATTCGGCGCTCGTCCAGAGACCATGGCAACCGGCAACACCCCGCAGATGTACACCTCTGCCCATCTAGGTGGCTTCGAAACCTCGTCCCCTGTCTCCGGATACCCCGGTGGCGCGCCCGGCGCCGAACGAACTTCTTCTGCGCCTCGCTTCGGCACCCCCAACCCTCAAAATACCGGCAACGGCGAGCAAGAAACGACCGAAGTACCCCAGCCTACCGACTACCCATATCGGGCCAAGGCGATCTACTCATACGACGCCAACCCCGAAGACGCCAATGAAATCAGCTTTGCCAAGCATGAGATCTTGGAGGTATCCGATGTGAGCGGCCGATGGTGGCAGGCTCGGAAGCAAAATGGAGAGACCGGCATTGCGCCCTCGAACTATCTGATCCTTTTGTGATCTCCTCGTTCGTATGCTTGATGTCTGTTTGCTCTTTTTATCCGAGTTTCTCCCCGTTTTCCCTGTCGCAAAATCTGTTTCCCTTTCCCTTGATACCCTTCGGATCCTACCTCGATGTGTGTGTGTATTTTTTTTGTTTCCTCTAACGTGATGTCTTGATGGCCTCCTTCTGTTTTGTATTGCATGTCCTTTCTTTTCTTGGCATGTATTGTTGTGATTTGGGTTTCCTTTTTGTGATTTTACTCCAGCGGGTGGTGATCCCGTGTCTTTCATCATGCTTTGCTATTCTCCGTGATGGAACCAGGTTTGGAATCGAGACATGATGGCCTCAAGGAAAGACTTGTTTTTCTCTCTTTTACTGGAAAAAGTAACATGTGAGATGATGTCTATATGTGGATAGCAATGTCTTTGTGCCAATGCAATTTCCAATGCAATTTCATCTTGAATCCACCGTAATTTAATGAAATCCACCCTGTTCTAGAACAGTCGACTCCATATTTGCGGCTCCTGACCATGGTTCCGTTGGCCTCCGACCCTAGCTCATCGTTGATTGTAACAATCTTGGTATCTTTGTCAAGAACGTCAAGTGATATATGTATCTATAGGAATGGCCTTGAAATGTGGGCAATCCCAAGGAGATCGAACACGTCAAAGCGGGTAGCCACGTGGTTTGTGCGCCGGAGAATTACTGAACCATGGACACCACACACACCCATCCATGGATGTTTGATATGCTTACAACACTACGTATACACAGATATCCAAGTCTAATCCATATATATCAGAACAAACACAGTCATCCTCTTGGCCATCTACCTACGGAGTAGCTACAACAGCGCTGTCAACTTTCCTCTCAACTGCCCCACTCAAAGCACGATCCACCAAGCCATTGTGTCCACTACGGAGTACGACGATGCACGTACCTCAACGTACTATCCACAGTCAGAAACAGCCATAGACAAATACCGAAGAAAATGCCCGAGGACTCGCCTTCTAGAATCAAGTGCGTATCTATCACATTCTCCGTCAATTGACCCATCTAGTCTTAGCCTCTGAGCCTAGGTCCCTCTTTCCAATTCGCATGCAAGTCCCATTGAAATTTTCAGTATGCACTCGAGCCCAAGGTTCTTATTGCTTTTGAAGCTCAAGCGGGGGAGCTATACGCTAAAAAAAAATTATCCGACCTATCTTTGTGAGTTCAGTAGTCGAGCCTCAAATTCCCACCTTGCCATGTGGACCATCACACTCCCGGCCCTGGGGAAAACGTTCCCTCCATGGTCTAAGGTACTAAACGGTAAAATCTACCGAACAGACCAACCAGGCTCCCCATAAACGTCAAAACCTCACCGCTGCATTGTATTCGCTCCTCAAGCTTTGCCTCCTCCCCATCTGATCATTTCTTGCCTTTAGCCTTAGTTCTGCATCGTACTTATCACCGTGCATGTGTATACTCATTCCCACAGCGAAAGCTTCTAGCATTATCCCATCTCGACACTCGTCGCCTGCATCTTCATGCATCTATCCCTAAGCCGTGACTGGTCCTATCATGGACTTAGCCCTCGCGCGCTAGTGCATCTCAAACTCCTCGCTGATTTGTGGCCTTCGATTTGAGATCTGCGTAAGGAAGCGAAGGATTCTGGGAGAAGTATTGATGATTTGCTTGAACTAAAGAGATAATACCCGGGAGATAGAGGGTCTTGAAAAAGGTATTGTGCCACCTATCCCTGGAAATGTTGATGGTCAAAGTCAAGGGCAACGAACAGTAACACCTGATATTGAACAGCATGTTCCAAGCGGGAAGTGTTGACTTGTGAATTACGGGATGTTCTCAGATCACGAGGCCAGTATATATATTCTCGATAAAAGATCCTATCACTGGAAAATAATAAGTACAATCAAATCAAAACATAGGATGTCAACCATGCGATCTATATAGCTTATCTGATATGTATACCATCCTTCTGTGGGCCAATGCCCAACATAAATTCCTCACGCGAAATCACAATTCTCAAACACCCGAGTCGTTCTGCGTAATAACTGCCGAATTGACATATCTATCCCATGCAGCACAGTTCTGATTGAACGGATGGTAATCAACAAGCTCCTCAATCTCATCATACCGCTCTATAAACTGTAGCGCCAGTCCCTCATTGACATGCCATCCAATATGACAGTGCATCAACCACGCACCGGGATTATTCGTCTGGAAAGCAATAAGCAAATACCCATTACCAGCCAACACTGCCGTATCCCGACGCGGAGGATTCTGCAGAACCATAGAACCATCCCACTGCAGGCTCCCACCCTCACTCTGCCCTTGCGCCAGTATCGAGAAGTCATGACCGTGCAGATGAATGGGATGCGTGATGTTAGTGTTCTGGATGAAAAGATAAACCCATTTATCCTTGAAGGGCAACTCGATCACGCCGCTTGAGTTGGCGAAGTACATCTCGTCGTTGTAGATTTGGAGTAATGTCGGATCCGCCCAGCTCACGTTCATTGAGGTGGCGTTGAACTGCCAGCGGAAGAGATTCTGCTCGTTTCTTGTGTTGTTGACGATCACGTTGCTGTTCCAGGCTGGGGAGATTGGTGGATCGACATCTTTTGGGAGATGGGGGACTAGATTTGTTAAGAGTTCGTCTTCGCAGATGTTTGTAGAAGGGTATGGGTTGGTCTGTGGTTCCGTAGGATGGTCATCGTAGTAGACGATGCCTCGAATGTTACCAGCCATGTCGTTCTTTGAACATGCACTGGCTGGTATAGCTCGCATCCAGAAGGAGTTAGCTACGGGCTCCTGGTTGGCAGTGATGATAACGTCGTAGCGTTGGCCTATATATCAGATATTTTGATGTTAGACATGTCTGCTGTACCTAGAAAGCTAAGAAACGTACCCATCCCGAGGCTAAGAACGCTCGTGTTGTATGGTTTAATGGGGACAAGGTCCATTGCAATGACGGTCATTATGTGGTTGTCAATCGTGAACTTCCAATGCGTGTCGATAGCTGGGTTCACTAGTCGTAGCCGGTAGGATTTGCCTTGGTCCACTTTCATATGGTAACGTGTCCCGGTGGTATTTGTGCCGTTACCATATATGTTTTGACTATTGATGAGTCCATTTGCAAGCGGTCTGGCGGGGCCACGTAGTTCGAAATCAAGATACCGTTCATCCACGGTGTCATGGGTCCAATCACTCAAAAATATTGCGCCCTTGTCCACATCGTAGTTTGCAGTTGCCGGTCCATTGATAATGATAGCGCCATATACACCTTCCCAGGCTTGCAACCCAATATGGGAGTGATACCACGATGACCCATACTGAACAGCCCGCCATTTGTAGGTCATGGTCGAGCCCGGAGCAATAGGACACTGGGTTATTGAGGTGACGCCATCGTTTGAATTCGTATAGTTTTGACGGATACCATGCCAGTGTATGCTAGATCCGTTCCTTGAGTGGTAAAGATGGTTGGTGACATGGACGATCACCCAGTCGCCCCAGTCTGCAACGAGGGGAGGACCGGGTAAAGTGCCATTGACAGTCATGACCAGACGTGGAGGCATAAACCCATCAGCAGAGAGGGTGGTTTCGGTAACCTCAAACCAGTATTCGCGTGTCACACCAGTGTCAGGGACGACATTTTCGTAGTCTGTGTCGATACTGTAATCACACCAGACGGATCTGTCGCTGGGTGAATTGCCTGCACATGGAGTGCCAGTCGGCGCACTGACATATTCGGGTTTCGATCTTGGAACAATAGGACGGAATGCCGTCGACAAGTTGTAGGCAGATTGGGTGTAGGCAGTTCCAACACCAAGTAGATTGGCCAAAATGGCAATGGATAGAAATTTCATGGTGACTCTATATCACACTTTCAAGACAAGGCTATTGGCATCTGCCTTTGAAGGGAAAGTTGATATCCATCCTGTCGAGCCAATGGACCAATATATAAACCTTCACTGGGAGGCTCGAGCTGAGATCTTACGATAGCCTCATTTCTGGTTTCCGAATGACCTCGTAAACAGCCAGAAAATGCAACCGTGCTGGCGTATCATGGAGACCAAAGTAGAAATAATAGCCTAGACGCTGATACATCTTGCCATTGGGGGAGGTTTAGGCCTTCCAGTTCCAGTTTCAGCATAGAGTAGGAGTCCGTGTTTGCCACGAATCAATGATTCAAGTGGGTATATCTTGATGGTTGATGCATGAAGCACCAGAAATTTTGTTTCATGAACAATCATGTGAGTCCAAACGACGCCCATAGCATCTCAGCCACCTGACAGCCACCTGACCGAAGCCCGTATATGTGGTCGAGCACCAGATTCGTGTGGGCTATGAATGGTTGTGGCTAGTTTCTTTCTTTTTCAGGTCCCAGGTGCAAGGCTCCTGGCCTCGTAAATTCAATCATCTATTATGGCTGTGAAACGTGGAATTAAGTGATATCAGTGCTATTCGTGGCTCTGCCGCGTGTTATGGCGTCTCTGTATCACTCAGAACAAAAGAGGGCAAGGATAATCGTTGTTTGATCTCGGGTACAAAGTAAAGAAGGGAGTGTATATGTGAAGTTGCATGGTACGACCGGGCAAACGAGCTCGGGAGTATCGGTTCAGCTATGTCAGCCTGAGAGGGGACTTTCGGGATTTGAAGCTGGAGATGACAATATGAAGGGTGAGCAGCAGTAAATGACAAAACCAAGGAGTTACCCTAGATTGCATAAGGCTAAGGTACTCATGACACTAGTTCTATAAATGACCCGGCTTATATTCGTCTTACCGTGAGTTGGAGAGCAAATGAGTATATCTAGGCGGAGATATATGGCGGCTGCAACCTCACAAGCGGTTCGATCCTACAGACATTCATAATATTCATACATAGCAATATATTCTTAGATTCTAGGCATCGATTCTGGAACATGATTTCCACTATCTTAGCTGTAGCCCCCTTTGCGGAAAAGGCCAGGCATAAATCAGTAATATGTCTACACTCGACTGGCTGGGAGGAATGGATGGTATATCCTGTGAAGTGCAACAAAAGATGCGGCTCTCGATAATATGCCGGTCACTCTGAGGACAATTGGGCCGGGCACTGGATAAGTTTTGGTATTCTAGGGCGAGCTAGGTCAGCCGTTTGGCGCACTGACTATGTATACGGCGTGTCTGTAGCTCAGCCAGACGTTTCATTTCTCTGACTTCTGAATCAGCGGACCTTGAGCTCGATAGACCCGTTCGCCTGTATTCCGTACGGAGTACTGGAATTGACATCATGTAGCTTCACCTATTATTGCAAAATCAGCACTTGGATAATATGTTGCTAAAAAAAAGGGGAGAAATACATAAGACTATTGCATGCAGGTTATGACTGGCGATTGAATTGGGAAAAATGAGGACCATCTATATGGAGTATTATTCTCGTGTCTAGCTGATATCCAAAGGTGGAAGTCACTTTTTAGTCCAGTGGGCTGCTCCCAGTCGCTGAACGAAGAGGAATTGGATACACTAATCATTAGTATAGACAGTAATTACACAAAGTATCGATTCGACAAACCCTGAAACACTGCTCACTCAGGATGTTGCGACTTCGAAGGATCAGCCTCAGGGGCTCTACGGAGTACAAAGTAGGGCTCTAGGCCTTCTAAGCCCAAAAAAAAAGAAAAGAAACCACTGTGATTCTGGAAAAAGAGCCAAAAAAACAAACATTTGGAATCACTACGAGGATAGGACGCTCTAGACTCCATAAACGAGCTTGGTGCTTTTTGACATATGTTATATATCAACTGGTGGGACTTGAGCTGCAATCCCGAGGTCGAAGCTATCCATTTATGTCCCCAGTGCTGTCGAGGAATCCCCATCATACCACCGAACAGATTCAGGTTCTGTAGGGAGTACAGAGTATGTACTTCATTGCAAGCCTAGCATTCCTCTCGTAATGGCAGCCCATCCCTGTACGGAGTAGCCAAAGTAACATAAGGCGGGTTGTTTCAGCATTATTACGCACCTGGGCAGGTAGCTCTGCTTAAGTACCTAAGGCCATAGCTTTTCGCCCAACCGGGGAGATCAGCAAAACACAAGACTGTGTGACCTTCATCCATATCTCTTGTTCAAGTTCATTGCTCCTTTGAAGCTGTTGGTATCTGCAAAAGGGGGAAAAAAGGTACCAGATCGGCCTTCTCCGACGCAGAGAGAACATCAGTGCTCCTGGTTCTCCCGCTTCCTCTTCCCAAAGCAGAATGGCCATGCAGTGAAGACTTTCACGATGCCAGACCGGATCTCACGTCTGAAGGCAAAATTGCTAGGACGATTATCTCCAAAAGCGGATGCGGACCCGAGTGCCCACCCCAAATCCCACCCCTCCTCTGGTCCGCTCTTCGTCTCCAACAAATCCCCAGCTTATAGTATCGTCTCGGCTCCAGCTCATTCGGTGGAAGAGATCCGTTGTCCTCGCGACCGTCAGGTAGAGGAGCCCCCATCTCCACAGAACAACCGAGCGCCAGATTCCTCTGTCTCTGCACCTTCATCAGAGCGGCCTCACACAGGGACACGCAATTGCACACCGTTGACCGAGCCATATAATTCGTCGCTGCCTACTCCTATCTCGGGCGACGTTCCGTCTCCTCTTGAAGCCCCTTCATTGCCGACTCCCCAGCATTCCGACAATACTTCCCTCCACTCCACCCACGTGAAAGCCCAAGCCCCGGTCCCCGTCGAGACCCCATTGACTCCGATCCTGAACACTGTGATAGAGTGGCCTCCGAATGATCGCCGACCGTCCGCTTCCTATTTTACTTCCTCCTCGAGCAAGCGCCCCAGTCTTGCGATCCGTCGGCAATCTCTCCTGCCCGCGACGCACCAACACTTGATTACTGGGTTATTGGAAGGGAATCTTTTCTCTTCACTGGAAGAGCACGGTGATAGCTTCGAACCCATTCCTCGCGAGATGGTTACACGTCGAGTTTGGGTCAAGCGACCCGGTGGCTCGGCGACCTTGGTGCCCTGCAGGGAGGATGCAGTGGTCGATGAGCTTCGCGACCAGGTAATCATGAAATACGTGAATTCATTAGGGAGAACCTTTGACTCGCCGGATATCGTCATCCGGATTACGCCACGAGATACCTCAAGCCGACAAGGACACCCTGAGCGCCTGCTGAGCCCGGAGGAAGTCCTATCATCTATACTCGATTCATACTACCCCGGCGGACAAAAAATAGAAGAAGCATTGGTGATCGATGCGCCGGCCCGCCGAACTCCGAAGCCATCGCCGCGCCATTCGATCTATCAACACCACCACTCGGAGCCCGGCGAGCATGGAGATTACTTCCCGCTCATGCCTCCGGTGAACGCGAAAGCAGGCACACCATCTGCACATCCGTCGGGGCCACCGGCAACGGTTAGTGCGCCGTCAATCTCCATAATCAACACTGGCATTGCTCCTCTGTTGCCATCGCCCGGAAGCCGTAGGACACGACATCAACAGCGACCGCCGTTGGTGCGAAACAAAACAAATTCACCCACAATTCATGGTCATCCCCCGGGCATAATAGGTATGTCCTTGCTAGCCGTGTATTGTTCAAAATTCTCTTACTGACACCCACAGAACCCGGGCCTACTCCTCATTCCCAGCCTCTGACCACCACCTCGGTTCCGGCAATCCCAACACCTCCTGCTGCAGCACCGCCAGTGGAATCCCCGCAGGTCAAAACACACACTCCACCAGCAGCTGCATCACCACGCGCACTCCGGAAATCCAAGGCCGCGACTTCTCCTGGTGCAATGTTTGGCGGATTGATTGATGGCACCGTTCCCCCAATCAATGTTCTCATTGTGGAAGACAATATCATCAATCAAAAACTTTTGGAGGCTTTCATGAAAAGATTGAAAGTTCGTTGGAAATGTGCAGCGAATGGTGAAGAGGCAGTACGGAAATGGCGACAAGGTGGATTTCATTTGGTTCTAATGGATATCCAGCTTCCAGTGATGAACGGTCTGGAGGCTACCAAGGAGATTCGGCGTCTTGAGCGGTTGAATGGTATTGGTGTCTTTCCCAAAACAGCATCTGGGCGTTTCAGTGCGTCCAACACACCCGGCGCAGACAGACGACCTGGGCTTCATCGGACGGTTAGCGCAGAGGATACTTTGCCAGATCTCTCGCTGTTCCGAAGTCCGGTCATTATCGTCGCGTTGACAGCTAGCAGTTTGCAAAGTGACCGACACGAGGCTTTGGCTGCTGGCTGCAACGACTTCTTGACCAAGGTATGTTTAACTCCCACTACACCCATTCTTCCAAATAGCATGCTCACATTCCTCGAATAGCCTGTCGGATTCCCCTGGCTTGAGCAGAAAGTAACCGAATGGGGCTGTATGCAAGCTCTGATTGACTTTGAAGGCTGGCGCAAATGGCGTGGGTTTGTGGACTCTCCTCGCCCTGCCTCTCCAGCCTTCGACACATCAGCCAGCCCGATGCAGGGTGGCCATCGCACAGAACCACCGCAGGAGGATCCTTCATCGCCCTCAAGCTCTCGCGTGGCTGCCAGGAAATCAGTCCAATCCAATTCTAAACCAAGCGCCCCAGACGCCGCTCAGATCATGCGGGAAGATTCGTGGGGTAGCGGTAGCCCCGATACTATAGACACGCCTCTAACATCGAGAGATGCGCCCCTCACGAGTGATGCGAGCGTTTCTCCCGTGAACGAAGAATGAAACCCCATTTGTCTTGGACCAGGTATCAAGCCTCGAGCACGGGGTTTGGTCACTACCTGTACCTTCCAATGATATCTCCCGACCTATTTGATTCGACTCTCTGTCTCTTCCATTGGATACCCCGCATAGCAGCGCGTCTTTTCTCTTCCCTCTCACTATTTCAGTTTCTTGTCATGACAACTACGGCGCGGTTCGCTTCGAGTTTTCAAGCCCTGTGGGCTGTTCCTCGCCGTCCCTCACCTTCTTCAGTCTCTTTTTGTTGCATGGATCTTTTGGATATTTTGGGCTCGCATACGCATCTGCCTATCGATCCTCTGGCTGGTTTCTTTTGTCCTTTTATCCAGTGTTTTGAATCCCCCACTTCCATGCAATGGACATCTTCATATACACGAACGAGATGTCCTTATGCCCAATCCTTTCAATGTATACTGTTTTTCTCTCTTCGTTTCGGCTCGGCTGGGGGTGTTGGTGTACCCCTATGCCTTGTATTTATCTCACTACTTCTGCTAGGAATGATGAATCATCTGTGTAGATACATCTCGTCGCATTGTGTTTATGCCTCCACCAGGCTCTTTCAAAGGTATACGTACTCCGTATTCCTGGGGCTATTCGGTCAATATTCCCTATCAAGCCTGGTCATATGACCATGCTCCCTGCTCTCCCTCTCAAGTCTCCTCAGCCATCCATGAAGCCTGGACAGCAACAAACCCCAAATCAACTCCGATTGGGCTTCAGACTGATAATCCCTTCGTATCCTTTCCCCACCCAACAACCTACCTCAACCCCCCTCTGGAGAGTGCCCAGACAAAGAGAATCTCTCACTAGCACCTACACCAAGCCAATCTACACTCTACAACCTCAAAGGTACCACAACAAAGCCCAAAATCCCACCCATAACCCCAACCCAAAACCATACTCCCCGTCTGGTGCCCAGCAACAGATGCACACATCCCAGAATCCCCATGTTGCACACGTCACATACAGCCAGCCCAACGCCAAGCTCCAAGCAACCCGCAAACGGACTCCCGTTTTGGGAACACGGAGTCCTTGTGCAGATGATCTAGATGCGGGCTTTGTCTCGTGTCTGCATGTGATGCTTCTCCTCTCTCTCTCTCTTCGCTCTTAAAGACCTCGACTCCCAGGTACCTCTACATCCCCGCACCCAACAATCTCACTACTCTTACTACCCTACTCTTACCTGCGCGGAGTTGTCTACCCAAACCAGACGCAGAGACCCAACTCTATATATACACCGCTACACAAGCTGCACAAGCTGCACAAGCTACACAGGACATATCTCGACCCTGCATCTCATGGCCATGCAGTCCCAAGCTACATCCCTTGCTTCGGTGCCGTCGACGGCCAATACGTGGTTCCAGGCTGCGTTGGCTTCGCTGGGGTCTATCTTTCACAGCCCCGGCAAGCAGGAGGAGTCTGAATCGGATGCGATCTCTGGATGGGTTGGGGAGAGGAGGAGACGGTGTCGGTCTGTTGGGGAGGCTCGTTGAAGGTGGGGTTGGGGTTATGCTATTTCGGTTATTTTTGGGGGAATGGAAGAGAGTGGATGTTGCATGATCGATATCGAAGCATGATGGTCTAGGGATTATTGTGGTTCTGAGCTTCTCTTTTTTTTCTTGTTGGCGAGGCGTTGTGCATTGGATTTGGGTATCTCGGTTTTATATTTTCGGCGACTTATGTGTTTGGGAATGGGCGGTGTTGGTCGCTGTTCGTTATGAGATATATGACTCTTTTTTTTTTTTACTTCGAGTATACGAATAACAGCCAATAAATTGGAGTGAGAATGATATAATGGTTTGGTATATAGGTACATAAGCGATCACCGACCTTCCTTCATACAGAGTATGCGTACAAGTAAAATTACAGAGGCCGTAGCCGAAGAAATTGCTCAAAAACAAAGATAAGACACGTCCGGGGGGACTTTCTCAAAAAAATCAAGCCTCCACACGGGTGGGGATCTTGACTTCACCGCGTGTGCGGTCACGGTGAGGGACACCGTAGCGACGGCCAGTAGCCCACGGAGCACGGCCATCGGCACCAGTGGTCTCGGGAGTGTAGACAGTATCCTGGATACGGTAGTCGAAGCGCGAGTCCTCAGGCGAAACAGTGGTCTGCTTCTTCTCACGGCGAGCCTGGGAGCGCTGGCGGCGTTGCTTCTCGATAGCATCCTGGCGCTCGAGTCGTTTAGCGTGGACTTCCGCGACAGCCAGACGCTCATTGGGGTTTGCAAGGCGATCGCGCTCGAGAGCAACCAAGTGAGGGTGCGGGATGCGCACGTCAGCGGGTTGCAGGATCTCACGGGCGTTAGATCCCTTGCCGACCATGCCGATGGACTTGGGGTCCTGGATGATCTTTTCGGCAAGGTCGGAGGGGTGGGAGATTTGAGCGGCCTCGGAGTGCTCCATTGCCGGAGCGCCGGAGAAGACGCGGCCGGCCTCAACACGGTTGAAGGAACGGGACTCGGGAACGGGGTAGAAGATTTGAGATCCTGTCAAGGGGTGGGCGGGAAGGTCGTTGATAGGTTCGTGGAATTGTTGGCGCTCGCCTTGTTCGGCGAGGGGTGTGGTCGGCACCATCTCGTGGATAGCGCGGGCATATGGCAGTGCTAAGGGTTTGCCCTGATTTTGAGATTCGTCAGTTCATGTCACGCGATCAAAATATAAAAAGAAGAATCCAAAATGTAAGGCAACACAATTCAGTTCAAAAAGTAAGGTTTAACCATGTGGGTGTCTTCAAGACTAATCGATTTTTTGTGACTCATCATATGCTTGCAAGGGTCGAAGGAAAGTCCAAAAGAGGAGGGAGATAGAGCAGGGGGAGAAAAGGAATGAGTTCTTACCTGTTTGCGCTGTCTCTTCTCCAATTCCACCAATCTCACCACGGCTGCAATGCGCTTCATATCGATTCCGAGTTCCACGCTGACAACGCGGACACTCTTCTTGTCCTTCACGACACGCTTATAGACCTCATTGCGAAGCTCCTCACTGAGGACAGACTCGCTGATGAAATTTTGGTTGTTAGGGAACGGACGGGTGTTTTCTGAGCCCTCATTGCCTCCACGCTGTTTTAAGCGAGTGAGATAGTTGGTCTCTCCAGGAATGTGATGCTTAAACGCGGCTCCATCATTGTTGAGCCATTCGAACATCTGCCGACGGAGCTTTGTTTGTGGTGCTGCCGTGGCAGAGAACTGACGGGAGAGGCATTGTGATGAGGTAGAGGGTAATGAGGAAGAGGAAGAGGAGGTAGATGTGAGGTAGGGAAGAAGGGTGTTAGACACACTCCGGCTCTGTATCCGAGGTGGCATCTTGAGGGATGTGATGGAGGGAAGGGGGAGATAATTTAGATTGAAACAAGATCAGAGACGCTGAATATCAAGAATCAAGGAGATCCAGCTGCCATTGACCCTTTCGCAGCAAGAATTGAAGGATGGGAAGATGTCGGGTTGCAGCGGGAAGCGTAGGTGTTTGCAGGGGAAGAAACTTCTCGGTAGTGCTGTCACGTGACCCCATCCGCATCTCCACTGCGTATACAGGAACCGAGTAAACATCCTCAGTTCCGGCTCTGGTTATATCCGGGTGTATTATCATCAATGATTCTGCTATTGGTTTTTTTTTGTCTCCTATATTGTATGTCAGCGTCAGCTCCCAATGATCAGATCTAGCATGTATATAGATATACGCTCTTTAGTAGAATGCAGCCTACTCCGTACATTATCCAAAGTTCCAAACGGGCTTCCAAGGCTTAGTGCAATTCGCTATAAGAATAGCTAACGTACATCTGCCTACCTTCAAACAGGAGCCCCAAAGGTTGATCATCCAAATACCCCAGAATTATGCTAGAAATCATATATAACGTGAATAGGCAGATATTCCAACAGTCAGACCCCATCCCGTGTTTCCACGGCTACTCCTATGTTTTTGACAGCCAAATATGCATTAAATTTCGTTCTCCAGGGGAGCTGGAACCAGTTCATTGTATCAAGTACAAATCGAAGCAAATGTATCGGTATCATACCCCCAAGCAAGACAGGGTAAATAGAAAGAAGAAAGATAATAATGGACATCACGCCTCGTTTCTCATTCTTCTCCTGGAAAAGCAGAGTAAGCCAGACCCAAAGCGAAACGAATGGCAATGCAAGCAAGATGAGAAGAGCTTTCGAGCAAAATGCATGGCCCGGACACCTTTGTCTCCGCCCGTATGAGAAAGAGATGGACAGGGGAGAAATGAAAACCAACATGAACGCCTGGGACAATATGTGGTCGACGTGAGCCGATGTCATGTCCTTCTGTAGCTCATGCCATTTGAGTAGAGAGATATTAGAAGAGAAGCTAAAGAAAGCCACATAAGACCCTTCTTTTCGAACTTGCATAGAAATAAAAAACACGCATTGCAATAGAGAAGGCAAGTAAATCAGCAAAATCATTTCCGATCCACGCAGACGATGCATCGAGAAAGATCCAGGGGATAGATGTAACAAACAGGGGGGAATCACGTCGAATAAAGTAGATGACAGCTCGTGTAGATCCTGATCAAGGCAGATAGCAAGCACGCATTAGTGTGTATTGCCTAGTCAGGATTAACAAGCCAGATAAAGACGAACACAGCAAGAAAGCACGAGGGTATGAAGGTGTGAACAAAAGGCAAGGGCCGCAGAAAACGCGCTGTTCGAGCGCCTCGCGCCGACCAGATAAGAATACAAACTTGGCAATGACCTGAAATGCAATCCTCCCAATGAAAAAAAAAAAAAAAAAAAAATAACAAAAAAAGGAAAAAGGAATGTAACAGCGCCCAGGTTCCCATGCAACAGAACGACGAAAAGCCAATGAACAAACTGGCAGAAGAAGGAAGATACGACGGGGAAAAAAGGACAGAAAAGCAAATCCGAAACAATACTCCCGAGAGTTATGCAGCCGCCGAATGCTGATCTAGCTCACGAAACGAAAGGAATCCCCAATGCGCCAGATACCCAGTTCGTTCAAACATGTCGGGCATTATCTCAATATAACGCTTCAATGGCCTTAGCGACCCATCATGTAGTCGGGGTAAAAGGAATTATAACCATTCAGGTTCGGCACCGCATTAGTGCCACCGGCACTAGAAGGGGGCGGCGGCGACGAGATCATCATCGGATTGGCTCCGTTTCGGATTCCCAGGCCCGAGTTGGGGTTGTATGAGGCGTTGCCCATCAGTCCACCGTGCTGATTGACGGGGTTGTGCATGACGGCACCATTGCGCATGGGCGGCGCAGGCATGGGCATGCCAAGACCAGGGGGTGCTGCCAGTCCCGGAGGGGGACCGTTGACAGCCGAGAACATGTTGTTGTGAATTCCACTCAAGCTGTTGCCTCCAGGGACTGCGCCTTGCCCAGAGACCGCGTTGGATGAGTTCATGCTGCCAGGTTGACCGGAGCGCACACCCAGGGGATTCTTTGAGAAGCTGAGACGGATGCCAGTCTTCACACTGTTCGACAGTTTGTAGCCGTATAGTTCATTGAGTGCTTTGCTAGCCATGGCAACCTCGTCAAATTCCACGAAGCACATGGGGCCGTTCTGCTTGTTTCGGAAACAAAGTCGCTTGTACCCACGTTGTTTGGAGAAAAGAGCTTTGAGTTCCTCCTCAGAAGTGTCTGGTGGCAAGTTGCCCACATACAAAGTGTTGCAAGGAGGATTCAAGTCATTGGGGTTTGCAGCGGGAAGGCTGTGGCGTGGTGTATGCTGGGCATTGTATGGGAAACCATGACCTTGGTTCGGGTATGCAGATGCCGGCGTTCCACCGCCCATACGCTGCGCATTACCCCCAGGGTAGTTTGGCAAGGGTGGCGAGGCCATGTTGGTCGACAGGGACAAGTTGGCGAAGCGGGTGGTAGGAATTTGTGGGTTGGTGGCGCGGCGGCCGGCGGAGACATTGGTAGAATGGCCATTCTCTGCATAGCCTACCGGATCCTTGAGCAACTCGCCGGTCTCCTCATCCGGGTCTTCATCGATCATAGACTTTCCGGTTATACGTGGGAGGGTATCTATGCCATTTCCGATCGGAGATTGTGGAGAAAAGAGGCTGTGCATACGCGAGCCTGACTCGGAAGTCGGGGGAAGTCCTTCGCCAATAGCCTGGTTGGGATTGGCGCCAGAGAGTCTCTCCAGGCTCTGGAAAGTGCCGTTGAAGCGTGACGACTGACGCGCAAGGGGGGCCGTTGGAGGCACCCATCAAAGCACGACTCGCGGTGTGATCAATGGTGTTACGACGCGTGTTCGAAAGATTCGGTCCCATCGGTGGGTACATCTCGACGACCATGTTGGCATCGTTCTTGGAGTTCGGTTTGCCATCAAGGAGAGATCTGGCCTCCTCAGCCGCAGGCAAAGTCATAAAACGGGCGATCGCGGTCAAGAACCCGTCATCCTCCGGCAGGTCCAAAGTCACGAAGTCTGCGTCAACAAAGTCCTTGGCGAAGAGCAGCATGCTGCGAAGCGCTTCGCGGCTGGTGTTTCGTGGCAGTTTTCGCATGAGGATCGCGCCTCCATTTCCTGCGCGACCAAGGCCATTCAGGCCCTGGATATTGCGATCGGTATCACCCAAGCGCATGTTGTTATCAAATGAGGCTGATGTGCCGATAGGAGAGAAAGGGTATGAAAAAGATGGATTCATAGATGATGGCGCTTGCGACGCATTCGGACTATAGACGTCGGTCGACATCGCATGCTGAGCCGTCAAAGGCGCCTGCGAAGTAGGGAGTGACTGCTGTGGGGGCGAACCAGACGAAACTGACTCTGTGAGCTGTGTAGTTCCAAAAGAGCCGGGACTCGTACGACTGGACTGGCTAGAGGTGCCGCTCATCCCTCCACAAGGTTCGAAGATTTGAAATTTTTTTTTCGCCTTCGGATTTGCGATCACACACGGGGGCGGAGGGGAAATAGCCCGAGAGTTCGTGTAAAGTGGAAAAAAAAGGAGTCGCAGGTTTGAGAGGTCGAAGTGAGGCGCAGTGATGGATAATGCGACAGAGATCCAGAATACACCAGGGAACGCGATGCAGCGATAGAAACGAGGGAAGGCGATTAGCGATTCGATCGAAAGTCGAGTGCACTCGAATGGTGTTTCATCGGATTTGCGACGGTTGGATGCGCGGGGCGCTAGAAAACGACTGAGATAAAGATGGTGAAATCGACAAGAATGGTAAGATGGATGCCAAAGGGAGAGAAGTTGAAAGGAGGGGAGAAGGATGAGGCAGGGGGGGAGGGGGGAAAGAAGAAAAGAGTCCGGAACGGTCGAGTGCAGTCCACAGGTGCCAGATCCATGGATCTGCTTCACGACGCGACTCATTAGGGAACGGGTATGTGACAGTCGGGGTACATGGGGTTATATATAGATCCCCGTACTGAGGGATGTACCCCAGCGTATATGACAGTACATGGTCACCACTTTACACCGTCTTACAGGTGGCCCTGGAACTTGACCGCATGCAGAGAGCCCAGTGCGTGCCCCGAGTGGAATGTGGAATGCCCCGGTTTTTTTTCATTTCTTTTGTCTGTTTGCTATAAACTGGATCGGATCGACCGGGGTGGATCATGAATATATGAATACTCTTCTGGAAAAGCACGGCCATGCAAGTGTGCCTATGCGGCTTGCCGTACCCCGGCTCTGCACGAGATTGGGGCTCTATGGAAAGAACACATTATACACAGGGATGTACCAGAGACTGGCAGCGAGTAGGAAAGGGTAAACTTGAGAGTACCGAATTCATCCATTTGCTGTCTTCAGACCATCGGACACATTATTGGGCCTCTACCTCCACATTCGCCGTTGCCGTTAACCAGCCCAGATCGTAAGAGTTAACGGCTTAAGATCGAACAGCTCATACCGAGATAGTCCCCAACGTTCCAGGGCTGTTCGACCTTTACAAGTGACATCTTCCCGTGTGTACATTCCACTGGGTATACAACATACAGACTCATACACAGGGCCAACGTACATATCCACGGAATCACCAAAAGTCAAAACCGGCGATCCTCCAGGCAACTGACCAATTGCCACGAGCCCAACTCTGGCGACACATGGGATTGGCTGCGAGGTGGAAATGACCTGGGCTTGTCGAGGGAGTGGTGGTTCGTTTGGTTGGGCCGTGGAGAGAAGCCACCGTTGGGGGGCTCTATTAGCACCTCTTCATAGTGTGTGCCTGAAGCGGTCATAGGCGCGTCAAATGTTTTGGCTTTGTAGGAAGGTTACCGATACATACAAATATCAGTTTCCAGGGTATCTTTCGATGAGATTCATATTTTACCTGCCCAGTCCATATATCTTCCCAAGGTTAGGATTTATACACGACTCTACGCAGATATGAGCAGTCTATCGTCGTGGACGAAGTGTACGTGTAATGCTCGACTACTTCGTACATGCCTCGGTACGTGTCTGCCTCGTCAACATGTGTTCTGTATGGGAGACAAGTTCAGGTCGTATCAGTAGATGTTTATGCTGCGGCTCATCTACCGCTTACATAGATTCAAAACAGCCAGGCTGCCATATAATGTACAAGGGTTCCCACAAGGCAACTCAATAAACGCCAAAAATGCCAGCAAAATCAAAGGGGAAAAAAAAGAAATACAGCACATCGACTTCCAAACCATGTCATCGATGGTCCCATGTCCTGAGCTTTCCAAGGTTCCAGGCGATGGTTCGGCCGATTGCACAGGGCATGTCGGAGAAGAAAGCTGGGAAAGCTTGATATGACTCTACGACGTAGTAGTCAAACATGCTACCTAGGTACTGAGCACGAAGCCTCGGACAGTCGAATAGCCAATAAGCGGACTCAAGCTTTGTCGTAGGTGGTGGGTTTTGGTGCAACAAGGCCAGCCTGGGAAAAGAAAGTCCAGAGTCAGCAAAAGTGGTCCATGGGGCCATAAAATGAGAAAGGTTATCTTCGTCGTCTGTCCATATGATGTTTTCTGAAAGAAATTCCCGACAATAGCCGTACGAAATTCCCTTGGATCCTCCAAGTTCCAAAACTCTCGCGGGTACAGAAAACAAGGATCCGGCTTACCATGCTCATAAGCTTCCAGACGGGGTCACTGGGCTGTGCACCGACACCGAGCCAGTACTTTGCACGCGCACGGTCGAGCGCAATCTCCTTGTATGGGCGGGCGTCGGCGTTCTCATCGTACAGGTTTGTGGGCTTCTTAGGGATGGGGTTGTAGGTGCCGATGACTTCGAGGGGCTTCGCGCCGCGGGCAGAACTGTAGAGAATAATGTCAATTTCAGTTCTTCCCGATGATAATATTCCTCATTTTGTTCAAATATGCACAGTCTCGCAACGTCGATGGTTGGCGGTGGAGGCCAGACGTATCGGGGAAACATTCATGGGGAAAAACCACATACCGGGCCTGCGCGACGACAATGTTGAAGAAGGGGTTGTGCTTGTTTCCGAAGCGAGCGAGTCTAATCCGAACAACCATTTTGGCGGATATGTAATGCGTTTCCAATTGACGAGGGCGCAAGACTGTTCTTTTGATGATCCCGAATGCCCTCCGCAAAAGTTCTGGGAGATGCGGATGAACTTTGATCCGCCACATCCAAATATGGAATAGCGCATGTGTATGTGATGTAATGGTGTGAGGACCTCCAGTAGATCTACTTCAGAGCTGGCTATGACTTTAATTTAGACAAGTTCTTTCACTAATTTCTCTTTGCTATCCAACAGAGTAGCTCTGGACTCTGAGCACGTGAATGATACGCTCCAGACTTACCAGCCTGTGCCCTCTATCCATTCGTCGCTACAGTAAACTAGCAACCATGTCGTTGAAGGTATAGTTCTCTGATATCAACTCCAATTGCAAACAAGCTGACCATCGGCTTAGGCAATCTCAGCAAAAGATGCTGCCTCACTTGACAAAGACCTCATGGAAGTGGGCGGCTGGTCTCTAGATCAGTTAATGGAGCTCGCGGGCCTCTCGGTCTCGCAAGCCGGTAAGCTCCCTAAAGTTTGAACATCTCCTTAGCCCGTGCTAATACAATGAGCAACTAGTTTGGAGAATCCATCCTCCCAGCGCAGGACAGAACGTCCTGGTTGTCTGTGGACCAGGCAATAATGGTAAGATGAAGCATCTAAATCAAAATATCAAGCAACAGCCACCTAACAATTCCTCAGGAGGAGATGGCCTAGTCGCAGCTCGTCACTTGGCCCATTTCGGTTATACACCATTGGTATACTATCCAAAAGAGGGCAAAAACGAACTCTACCAGGTATATATTTCCAAGTAACAATTGAACCAAGCAGTACTAACCACGCCCAGCGTCTCAAAATCCAACTCCAGAACCTTTCGATCCCCTTCATAACCGACTTCCCAACAGCTCTCAAGACAACAGACTTCCTTGTCGATGCTATCTTTGGATTCTCCTTCGGCGGTGCATTGCGCGAACCCTTCGGCGATATCGTCTCGCAAATCGAGTCTTCCACTGTTCCAGTACTAAGCGTTGATGCGCCCAGCTCATGGGATATCCAGAGCGGACCGCCGAAGGAAGGTCCTGGTGCGAAATTCATGCCACATGCGCTTATTAGCTTGTCTGCGCCCAAGCCGTGCGTGGCGTTTTATCAGGGCAGGCATTTCGTTGGTGGTAGGTTCTTGACAAAGGACATCGCAGATAAGTATGGAATTGATCTGCCCAAATATCGCGGTATTGATCAGGTATTGGAGATTGGAGTTGATGCGGAGGGAAGGTTGTAATTGAATCCATGAATCATACATGGGTAATTTAAGTGCTAAGTGATGCGAAAACGACAATATTTACGACTCATCTAGTAGGAAGTTGAATGAAAAGTAAAAAAATAGGCTTTGCATGGGAATTGCGTTGTCGTCGTTAGAAAGTGATGCATATCTGATCTATGCACACGAAATAAAAGATCCTGCGCTCTTAGAGAGCCCCGCGGATTTCGCTAATAATGCCCTTGATGCGCGGCTCCTTTCCAGGGCCTGAGGCCGAGGCTCTCGCAAGAACACCTTCAATCTCGTAGACCTCCTTGGCGGCGCTCTTAACTTCCTCCCCAAGAGCTGCCACGAGTGTACCGAGCGCGACGAGCGCACGGTAGACCGCTTCTGAGTCTTTCTCTCCGGTGATAATCCGAGTCAGTTCTTCCAGCAGCACCAGTCCCCGTTCCGCTGATTCTGGTGATTGGTTCCTATCCTCAGAGGTAAGGTAAACAGCAAAATTAATGTACAGTGTCGCGATGGCGATTGTAAGGTTGCGGTTTGGTGACTCTCCGCTGCTAGCCAAGGCGGACTTCACTCCTGCAAGGATCTGATCAAATGAACTCATGGCTAGGTCACGGCCCGCCGTGGTCTCGAAGAGGTTAGCGAATGTCCGCATGGCGAGCATCGCATTGTTGACGTTAAGTGGATGCTCGAAGACGCCGCTGGAAATCACACCAGAAACGACATTTTCGTCCTGATACTCGGCTGATGCTGTGAATGGCACAGCCGCCGCTAAAAGACGGAGAATATCTAGACCAGGGAGTCGATTGGCAGCAGGCCAAGTTGTGACAATCTTCAGAATCAATGGCACCCCGGATTCAACTTCCGGCGAGACTTCGAGTTGTGGAGTTGATTCTAGCTGACCGCACATGGCGACAACTGTTTCAACCTCAGAGGGACTCAAAGCTATATCCTTCGATCCGTCTGCCACGAGTTTTGCATTTAATTCCTGGAGCTTCTTCGTAATAACTTTGAGGTTCGCTGTGCGGATCGAAAGATATATCTTTTGAGGAAGGACATTGGCCCGAGGCTCGGGAGCAGGTGGTTGAGTTTCCTCGGGCGCCGCAGCATCACCGGGACGGTAACGTCTGTCTGAGCCCCAAGGGTCGGCACCTGCGGCTTCCTGGGAAGATTGTCCAATTGTAGCACCTTGTGTGTTCTGGGTAATGAAGTTGGCGACTTGATCCAGATAGGTCATAGGAAGTTCGTTATCTCCAATAAACTTGGTTGCAGCCTCATAAGGGTTTTGTGAGACATTATAGGGTAATTTCAGCGGGGGCTTGCCGTCCTCGATATCAACATCGAAGACGTAGTCGTAATCCTGACCATGATATTCGGTCTTACGACCACTGCTTCCAGCTGAATCCACAACTGTACCAATTGCAATCCATTCCTGTGTTGCTGATGACCAGGTGTGGGCAGTCACGCTACCATTAGCCTCTCGGATCATCTGGACCTGACCCTCCTTGGTTCCAGACTTCTCTTTGAGAAACTCCGGACCAGGTAACTCCTCTTTGTTGATCTTTCCAACCTGTTGCTCTGGAATAGCAGACTCCTTGACAGCCTGATCAAACTGCTGTATAGCCTCCGGAGCGGCATGACGCTCGGGGCTTCTGCTGAAAACACGTGTAATGCGGTCACTGGCACCGGTGACGATGTCACCAGTCTCACTGCAAGCTGCAACACTCCATACTGAGATTGCAGGATGAGTAATTGTCTGTACACATTGGGTTCCATTCCAGATCTTCACGGTGCGATCTTCACTGGAGCTCACCAGCTCACCGGATGGGAGCGCAGCAAGCGAGTAGATAAAGCTTTCATGACCGTGCAGAGAGGCAACAAGTTGACCCTGCAGTGTGTAAAGGCGAATGATTCCATCGTTGCTAGCTGAGGCGAATTGGGCACCTGTGGAGTTCGAGGCGGGGAGCTTGCACAAGGCTCGGACGACGTCGTTTGAGTTCTGTACGCTTCCGAGGAGGGTTCCCGATGTATTATATATCCGAATCATCTGATCAGCACAGCCTAGAGTATTGTTAGCATAAAATGTTCAATGGTATCATGTGAGGTTGATATACCTGTGATGATTGTGTTCTCGTCATAGGCCAGCACGGCCCAGACGCTTGCCTCATGCCCTTCCAGCACGACCTCACACTCCCATTTCCCTACCCTCCATAGACGAGCAGTGGAGTCCCAGCTGCCACTGACGACCCATTTGCCATCTGGAGATACATCGAGAGCACAGACATTGTGACCGTGACCCAGGAGGATAGCATCCGCATTGTCATCTGCGGCTTTGCCCGGCTGTCTAGCTTCAATTATTGCATCTTGTCCAGCCGAGAGAACAAGACCATCTGGGAACTCGGATGTGGGTGGAACATAAGCTAAGCTGTTGATGAAGGCGCCGCCGTGTGCAGCAATCATATAGTCGTATGCGGGGGGCGGAGTCGAGACAAGCTTCCAGAGCCGAACTGTGGCATCACGAGATGCCGAAAGAACGACATCGGGGGTTGGGAAGACCACAGCGCGAACCTAATAGAGGGAAAAAACAGGGGTTAGTTGACTGCATGGCTTGGATGCACGGAACAGCGTCTGGACAGACGCCGAGATTAGGAGCCTTACATCATCGCCGTGGCCCTCCAAAGATGCGGAGATCTTGAAGTCAGGCATACATAAAACTGTAAAAGGAAGATGAAGTGAAGAAAGAGGAAGCCAAAAAAGAGGTATCTCGAGGGTATCACCGCAAAATTAATGATCAATCAAGCTCCCCTGGATGTTGTTGTCCTTTAGTCGTTCCGGGGGATCGCCCCGCCGAGCATCAATGGACATATCACGTGGGCGGTGACGCGATTTGAGGAACCTGCTAGAACGCCGGGTTATCTGCATGCAAAGGGATAGAGAAGAAGATTATTAATTCCTAGATCTATGGACGGGCCAGAGTGCCTCTTGGCACTGAAAGTGTGTCGGTCCAGGTGGTGAATTCTCCAGGTGCGTCCTTTGAGTGACTCATATCCCATCATCATCTCTTTCATACTTAGGTGCGAATCCCAGAGGTATTCTTCACCGAGGGAGGTGGATAGATAGCCATTCCTGGCCCTCAAAGCTTGATATTATCACCCAGTCGCGTATTACGCTGTAGAAGGGAAGGTATCTACTAATTCTCTGTGGGAGAAGTCAATGCCCAGACCATGGGAAGAAACTACCAATGAAACAAACCCTATTCACGCCAAGCTCAAATATAGCATGAATCATATCACAACTTTCAACACTCAAGAAACTGACGAAAATAGAAACGTCTGCACAGTGAAGCCTTCCCCGGTCGTTCAACTATGAGCCTCACGTGTCATCTCAATTATACCTTCTTTAGCCTAGCGTGTTTCTGACTAATCTGTGATCGGCTGCCCGTTATTGTTCGAAATCGAAATTCAATATCCCATCAACACCTAAGTCAAGGAGTTCTGTGTTTCTAGAGGGCTTCTCTCCTGTTAAGGTGTCTAGCGGGAAAAATAAAAATCCCCAAATCTCACTTTCTCCGGTCCTTTGTTCTCGGCTGTTCCTCGACCCCACGTCTCTACTTGATGACTTGACGACCCTGACGAATCTCATAAAAGTATCTTCCTTAGACATATTGAACTTTCTCTGGGTTTACTTCCTGGATTTGTATCTTGATATCAGTGGACTTTTGGTTGGGCACATAGCATCTCGCTGATTTGATTGGCCCTTTAATACCTAACATCAAAACCACTGGAACCTCGGAAACCTCTTCCAACACCGACAAAATGACTGCCGGTAAGTGATCTGCGTATACGGGAATTGCAGGTCCTCTTCTGAACATATTGACTGATATACCCTTAACAGATATCCCCAAGGTAGTCCCTCTGACTTGCCACGGACACTCTCGTCCAGTGACGCATCTGAGCTTCTCTTCCACAGTCGAAGACGAGCAATATTACTTCATCTCTTCATGCAAAGGTGACAAACACCAGCAACCCTAACAAACGATGCCACGAGGTACTAACAAACAACAGATAATAACCCTATGCTCCGCGATGGCATAACAGGAGACTGGTACAGCAAATGCAACCCAAGCCCTCAGACGCCATTCAACTAACAAAATCCAGGATTGGCACATTCCTCGGCCACAAAGGTGCCGTATGGCAAGCAAGGCTCTCCGCCGACGCCGCCATCTCCGCAACAGCAGCAGCCGATTTCTCAGCGTAATTTCTCCCAAAACCCCTCTATCTCAAACACATGCTAACCCCGAAACAGCAAGGTCTGGGACACATACACAGGCGAATGCCTGCACACACTGCAACACGCACACATTGTGCGCGCAGTAGCATTCCCAATCCAAGCCAACCCGCAGGTTCTCGCGACAGGTGGCGCGGAGAAGAAGCTCCGTATCTTTGATCTAACCCGGGGCGGTAGCTCCAGCAACAGCTCCACACCGCCGCTGCCTTCATCGGCCAGCCCGGCTACTGAGAATGGGGTGACGAGCTACGAGATCGGCGCCGGTGTGCACGGCGGCACGATCAAGTCCATTGTCTGGAACCAGGATTACAATGTCATTACGACTGCCGCGGAGGACCGTAAGATTCGTTGGTGGGACCTGCGCTCACGCCACCCGATTGTGGAGTATGCTGTTGATGGCACGATTGGCTCCTGTGAGCTGAATAGTCTTGCGACTCGGCCCAACGATGCCGGCATCTTGACCGTTGCTGCTGGCAAAAGTGTCTATCTGTTTGATGGGGTGCAGCCTGGTCGTTTGCTCAAGAAGACCGAGTATGATTATGACGTTGCTAGTGCTGCAGTTAATAGCGAGTCTGGTCGCCTGGTTACCGGCAGTGCGAATGATACCTGGGCACGGGTTTATGACTTGAACACTGATGAAGAGCTGGGTATGTTTTTCTTTCTCTTTCACCTCTGCTGTTGTTCTTTTTCGTTCTTTTTCGTTTTTTCTTGATTTGGAGTGCGAGATTGATGCTAACTCGATTCTGCAGAGGTTCAAAAGGGTCACCATGGCCCCATCTGGTCTATCAGCTTCTCTCCCGATGGCAAGCTCTACGGAACTGGTAGCGAGGATGGCACCATCAAGTTGTGGAAAGCATGCCGTGAACCCTACGGATTGTGGAGATGAATTTTGATCGCAATTGTCACAGTGTATAGAAGAAACCATGGAAGAATCTCATTTCTTCCCCGTATCATCTGCGGTCCTTATACTACTTTATAAATGGAGGAGGCTTCTGTCGATTCATGCTCAATAAAATTGTGTATTCCCTCTATCCATTGCCCTAGCGTGAGCCATGGCCGCGGGCGCTCTATCATTCTTTGTATGCGGCCTACTATGACGTACAAGGAGCAGAGGAAACCTTCCATACGCTATCTGCTAGCGTTTGTCCACATTCTATTTACACCCACCCGGCAAACAAGAAGAGATATTGAAGAACGCAAGAAGAAATATCCCCAAGCGCTGAGCTCAGAGATACAAGCCGAGTCGACTCTCAATGCGCCAATATGTGGACATGAAAAGACGAAGATAATAGCGGTAAAGCTAGGCGAGGAAGTGAAAGTCCATCGATGGCAGAAGCAAGAGCAATGCGAGTTTTTGATATGAGCCCAATTACAATTTGGAGGTGGCGGTAAAGTACAGAGTTTCAGCCCTCATGTCGAGAAGGTTGAGCGACAAGAGCAGTGGTAAAAAAAAGGGTCGAGTATGACTTATTGCATAAAAAGACCAAAAGCAGTGCGCCAGGTAGAATTCAAATATCGGAATTGCGAGAGACAAGCGATTTTCCCGTGACTTGAGTAACTGTGAAATATTTACTCGATCATATCAATATCATCATCAGCTGCGGTTGCGGTGGGAGCGGGAGCAGTCTGCTGAGGGACATCCTGAGCAGGAGCAGTCGCTTCATCGGCGCCAGTGTTTGCACCGCCCCAGTAATCTTCCATCTCTTGGTCCAACTCTTCCTGGGTCTTGCGGGGGCGAGCGTTGGAACGGCGTTCAGTCGGTTGGCGGTTGTCACGTCCACCACGTCTGCCTCCGCTGCGACGGTTGGGGGAGCGCTGGCTGGAGCGTTGTCCGGGGACATAGCGGTCAATGTTGTCGGGTGCGGGCTTAGTGACGTCGCTACGATGACCACGGCCACCGCGACGGCGTCGGGCACCGTCTGCGTTGTCATCAGATCGGGGGCTCAGGCTGCGGCCATCGCGGGGGCGTTCGACGCGGTCCATAAGGCTAGATCTGGGGGGCTGTGCGTAGTCGAGGGGATTGCGCTCACGGCGCCCGGGAACAAGAGAGAGACGGATGGGCTGGCCCTTGGCATTGGCTCCGTCATACTCCTGAATGGAAGTGTGTGCATCCTTCAGGCGGGCATATGTGATGTAAGCAACTCCCTCGGAGCGTCCAGCGCGGTCATAAGAGACAGTGAGTTCGGAGACAGGACCGATTCGGCCAAAGAGATCCTGTCGAGGAAAAGGTCGGTTAGAGGTGTTTTTCGTTGTATGGGTTCGGCTCTGGGCTAGTTGAAAGACCTACATCGAGATCGGATTCGGTGATATCGTAGTGAAGGTTCTCCACACGGACCTTGGTCAATGTGCTGGAGCTAATAATCCAATTAGTACTTTGATCCGGCAAGGCATCGAATTTGAGTTTGTGGAAGGAGGCTTCATACCGGTCGGAATCATGTCCATCGCGGCCTCTGCGGCCTCCACGAGAAGGGCGGGCTGGGGAGCAATGTTGTTAGAAAGATCCCGGCGAAGGCACGGGATGGCCACATACATCTGTCGTCGTCAAACTTGTCGTGCACCCAGTCGCTAGAAACAAACCGGTCAGTACTGCATATACGACAAATAACCAAAGAGGTGTACTTACAGGTTCAGATCAACGCGGTCCGAGGTGTATGGCTGTTATTATCGAAAAGACTTAGTGTTAGTTCCAAGTCAGATGAGAAGTCGTGCGATGTTCTTTTCCAAGTCTTCACTGTGGCCTGTTCGTTGACCAGTCCTCACCGACCCAGAGGACTGGCTACGATCGCCACGGAGTAAGAGGAGAACTCGCAGAGGAGAAAGAGGAGGGCGGACCTAGTGTCAGAATGAACTATTAGCTTCGCTGCATTCCAATATAGCTCCAGAATAGAGCCTCATTCTCAACCGTAAATGTACCTTTCTGACGCCATCGCGCTCGTGGCGACGGCCAGGGTTGTTGCGACGACGAGGACCACCACCGCCCGAGGGGCGACCATGGTTTCGCTACCATGAAGTATGTTAGATGTATGCGTGTGTGATTCCATTATTCGCTGGTCCTTTACCGTGTCTTCAGCAATGATCTCGTCCAAGCTGCGGTCCATCTTGGAGTGTGTAGCGGAAAATGCGATTGGGAGAAGATATCAAATAGGGAAGAATGAGAGCAGCCGAGATTTCTAATTCCGACCACTACGTGAGAGAAAAAGTGAAAGGAAAGAAGGATGTTAGATCATGTAATGAGCCGCAGGATCATCTTCATCAGCTGCGACGCGGATCTGGGGACTATCACATGACAGGGGCCATATTAATCTGGCGGCAACCCACATCTACAGATCGGTGCCAAAATGGCTTTGTTCTTTGATATTAAGACCTTGCATATACTATATGCGATATTTATAGCTTCTTACTATCTTTGTTTAGGGGAGGGGGTTTAAAAAAGTTCTTTTATGATCCTCGCTTGGTCAAGATCGACTCCACGCCTAACGATGATTTCATAAGTTGAAAATGTTCACATGGTATCCTGATCATTACAAAGAGCAAAGCATAATCAACACAATATGTGTTAAGAGAGGAACAGCCACCTAACCCCAGGATGCAAGAGAACCAGAAAAACAGAAGGAGAGAGCCCGTTTCAACGAAAACATGAGAATCCTCCCTCGAAACACCAGAAACACAGCAACACCAAGCCAGTGTAAATCCCCCATTATCACCAGTAATGCCGCCCAAATATCACCCTTAATGATACCATTTATTGCTCATTTTCATTATTTCGGCCTACTTCCCTCATTTTTTCCATGAAGCTGATGTAGTCGTACTTGGGCAGATCCCGGTCCTCGAGAAGATCGGGTCCATCGTGTGCTGGCATCGTCTTGACCAAATGCTCAATCACTTCGTCGGGAATGAGTGAATGTCGGAGATCAAGTTCTGTCACATAAGGCTACATCGTAGACATTAGCCACTGTAGATTAAAGGGGGAGTCAAAAAGATTAAAGAAAGGCTTCACATACCTTGCCGTCGGCAACTTCCTTGAAACTCTGGAAGACCTGTTCGGCAGTATTTTGGTCCTCTGTCACGCTGACCATGAACCGAATGAACTGCTCGAAGCTGACTCCAGCATTCTGTGACAAGCGGGCTTCGCCGCAAACTTCGATGTAGACCTGGTGCATCTCGTCCTCATCATAGACCAATCCCAGACTGGCCAATGCTGCAGAGAACTCGAGCTCTAGGAGCGTGTTGGAAGAATCGCGATCGAAATGGCGGAAGACAGATTCAAACTCTTCCAATTGGATTGGAGTCAGGTTAGTCATATTACGAGCAACCATTTGGTTGTCGAGGAAAGCCAGCTTCTTTGAAATGCTGGATTTGACGAGGCTCAGTTCATATGCGAGCTCGTCCAGGGTGTATGTGGTGAAGTCGTTTTCTTCAATGTTGGCCTCGGCGCACTGTTGGTCAAGTTCTGCAATGGTATCGAGGAAGGCGTCAAGAGGGGGCAAATTATCATTTAACTTGTTGACATGTTCGAGTTGGTCCTCCACATCACCATCTAACCCGGAAATCGCCAATGACAAAGTCTTCAGAGTCAGCGCAAAGTCATTGGCCTTGTCGGCAAATGAGCGGCGTAGCTTGTTTTTGATGTCACGAATTGTTTCGTTTATAAGTTGACTGCGTTCATGTTCGTGCCGGGTAAGGATCTCCCACTCTTTGTCGCAATTTTCTGGACTCAGTTCTTGTGGTGGGTCATAAGGACGCAGACGGTATGTACCCAATTTGGTTTTGATATTGCCCAGCAAAGCAGCCAGATCTGATTTTTCGGCTACCCATTGGCGTTTCTCGGTCCGCTTGTAGAGTGAGAACTGGTACGATTGTTCTTTGGCGTCCTTGTATGTTCCTTCAAACGAGGAGTTTTTCCAGTGTTCGCGCTGACCGCGGATCAATCTCAATAATTCCTTTACTCGGCGCTCATAGGAGTTTTGCATGTCCCAGGCACCGTGCATATTGTTCACAAACTTTTCCACTCGGCGTCCAGCATTCTCGACTCGTTCCAGCTGGGAAAAAGCGTGGAACCAGTAGGCAATGTAGGTCATGAGGGAGCGTTCGTCGGGTCTGGGCACGTCACAGACATCGTCCACATCAAGCAGGTCAGGGATACCGATCTCGTTGGAAGCGATCTCGAAGGCCAGCTTCATGTTTCCACGGTGGTCGCTCTTATCCAGCGAGTCATAATCGATTAAGTCCGGTCGGTGGATATCGAGGAGCGCACAGAAGGCCAGGCCATTGTTCCAACTGGTTGAGAAGTCTCGAACCTCGACATCCTCGTAGCATGCAGTCTTTCGTTGACACCAGAGTAACAATCCTTCCTTGGCTGTCATACCTTCTGTATTGATGTCGCTGATGGTAAATCGCAGAATCAGGGTCCAAATTAACCCCAGGATAATCTTCTGATTGCCATCCACAATATCCTCGGCACCAATATTCGTCATCTGGATCCTCCTCCCCTTAATGAAATCAAGACTTTTGTTCACATTTTCGAATCGTTGGACGCGCAGCTTCGGTCTCGACGCATATCGACCAAGAGACTCTCCTCCTAGGATCTCAAGGAGATGAATGAGGATGACCTATATCAAAGCACACGATCAGCGATTTGATGTTGGCGGGGTAGAGGTGGGACATACACCGTCGGAGAGGTCAGTGACCAAGTCGTCGATAGACAGGCGCCGCGCCTTCAGCTTGTCATTCAGCCTGAGCTCGGTCGTTAGCTGGGGTCCCTTGCGTAATGCGGAGAGACGGGATCGATAGACGTACCATTTAGTGAAGGTCTTTTGCTGCACATTAATCCATTGCTTCTCAACCGTCAACATCTTCGATCACGGCGGAGACATTCAGGGCCGATTGGCAATGCTGGTGGGGGGGTAACGGGAAATGACCGCGAACAGGGTTTAGTGAAAAAAAGGGCTAGGGTGGTCAGAGAGGCTTGGAGACTCGGTTTCCGATTCGGACTGAAGATCAGACACTGGAGCACAAAAGGGGGGGAATAATCTTGAGTGGGGTGTGTTGGTCCCGCAAGTCGGAGTTGAAGATCACCCGAGCAACCACTTGTATCGTGCACCTTGACAATGTTCAAGTTCAGATGCAAATGATTTGAGAAAACCTTCGAGCAGTTAGCACCTGAGGATTGGGATATTTATCGTGACAATTTGCAGATGCATCCCTTGTGGACCCACTATTTCTAAGTATAGACCTCTCATTGTTCCCCCTTTGTCGTCGAAATGAACCTGCTAATTGGGCCTGTCCAAGATATCCGTGGACAATGACCCTTTTTGAAATTCGGCTCGGCATTTTACGAATTAACTAGGTAGATTTCCCCCCTTTTGTTTGGAACAAGATCGTTGAGGTCGATTTTCAGATGTCGGTTCTGGCACCGTTGGGCATGTGAATGTGCAGGCGGTGTTTTTCTTCTGCCCAGCAAGCAAAATTGGCCAAGATCAATAGTCCACGGTAAAAGCGTTGCTTATCTCCACGGGAGCAAGTTGCCAATGTAGTCCGGTGAAGGTTGATTCTAACTGCATGAATAGTTCATGGATTTAGTTCGAGGGTGCCAAGAGATTGTCTTTGAAGCCATCAAAGCCTCCTGATACATGAAACAGCCCCGTACGAGTAGTGGGTTTTGTTTGGGCCACTAACAACGAGCCCACCGACAGAGAACTTCATTTTTCTCAATGACAAATGTAAAAGAGGGGACGACATACGTACTTGGTCTTATCAAGCGCCGTAAGATCCTTGGAGGGCACAGCAAATAACCGATGTCTGATCTGCACGACTGAAAGCGGTTCGCTTTACTGTACACAAAGGAACATACCAATATTTGCCCTGAACGATGTGATCCCAGGTTGATTTGTACCTTCCTGCCTTGGCCGTTAACCTCGTGACAGGATTTCATCCGATCATCTTGTAGATACCATCTCTCATCCCCCTTCCAACAAAACGGTGTGTATTGAGTTCGAAGTTCCTGGCTAACAAAGATCAAGCCCTGTTAGTGTTGTACGTAGGCAACAGCATCAGACGGATACTATGGGATTCTCCAGAAAGTGGCCTAGCTGTCTTTTGAGAAACTCTTGAACTGTCAGAAGTCTTCTGAGAGGAGTATCGAAGATTATAGATTTACCACATAAGAGTCGATATGTTTTGCTTCGGGTTCCCTCCCAAGTCTTGGAATGTTCCATGGTTCCGCCCCCATGTGCCATCGGCACCCCACACCCGTCCCCACCAGCCCTGGAAGCCTGACCTTGGAACATTCCAATACGCGTGGTCCTTCGAGCAACTTTTGGAACCCCCATAATGTTGATCACGAATCTTGCAGTCGAGCTTCTGAGCCAAATCTGCAGCTACCTAGAGCTGTCAGACTGGCAAGCGCTTAGACTGTCATGTCCCGCACTGTACGCCAACTCGCTAGAGGCTTTCTCAGATCGATACTTCAAGAGCATCCGCTTCATGGTGACGAGTGACAGCCTTCTGGAATTGGAAGAGATTTCCAGGTCAGATACATTTCGTGATCGAGTTGAGGAACTATGGATGATACCCAATGCCTGACGTCCTTCAAGAATCTGAGAACAGTCGGACTGTCGCACTATACAACTTCATTTTTACTTGACCCACGGCAACACAAAGTACGACCTCTAGGTTGGCGCCGCTTGATTAACCAACTGGACTTCCGATTCTGTCCTATCTCTCTGTCGTCTCTAATAGTTGACTCGATAGCTGTGACCAACGCTTTGCCCTTATCAAAGCTTTTGGGTGCGCTCAGCGATTCCAAACAAAACATCAGGAAGCTGCGCACATGTAATGAGGACTTTTGCGGGAAGGTTGCTTTTAGTATCTCCTTAACGCAATCAGAATTCGATTCCCTTCTGGTCGTATTACAAGAGCTCGAATTTCTCCACGCATGCGTATTTTTCGACAAGGTGAACCAGGATGAGAACCGAATACCTCATACCTGGTTTGATCTGATGATTGCGGTGGCCCCGAGTCTCAAAGGACTGGCACTTTCATACAGCACGTATTATGGATATGATTTCCGACCCCCCTGGAAGCTTTTTCGGGAGACTCAATTCACGCAACTCAGAGAGCTGCACCTTCATTCAATCCATGTTACTCCTGACACGTTGGAGATAATTGTCGCCGCCACTAAGATGACTCTCACGACCCTGACACTCGTTTCTGTGGGATTATTCGGTGTCAACCTTTCTGATTATTCTACCGAAGATCAGGACAATCTAAATTTTGGTTCTCCTATCGAGGTTGAGGGAACTTTGGTATGGAAGCATGTTTGGGACCTCTTCAGAGACGAACTATTATTACTAAATAAATTCTCTATGGTCAAAATTGAGTGGTTACTTGGACCCATACTGATTCAAGGAATTGATGACCAGCTCGAAGCGAGAGATCGCGCGAATTTTGATGCTGCAACAGCTGGAATTTCATTCAGCAAATGGATCAATCGATTGATACCTGTGACACCGGATCGGTCTGTTGATTTCACGAGACCAATTATTGACAGTAAGTATTTCATGTCTTTCATCCTCTGAGGGGGCTGGTTTCTGATTGAAAACTAGTGGACTGGTTGAACAAAATGATACCTGTGAATAAGAGCTCACCAAATCGAGACCTGTGTTCTTGTAGGGACAGATCAGATCCCTGTGCTTACGGATACGATCGGTAGAGGCTGAGATTGGGATCTGGGTTTGGTGAGACGATCCTACAACAGCGCTTGGGGGAGACGTACTTTTGTACTCCGTACAAGGAGAGCAGATTTATGTAAAGACAAGTGGTTTGTATCTCCCGAAAAGTAGATAAAAAGGGAGGATCATCCTGCAACTGCCATATCAAGTTTGCTATCCGTGTAAATCAAAATATACTCTATATTTCCTTTCTATCGACGACGACACCACGTAATAATGCACACCTGAAAGCATAATATATCATACCAAAATCTGTTTCTTAAAATCGTGAGATTTGCTATCTCTTGTCTCCGTGGCGCAATTGGTTAGCGCGTCTGACTGTTAATCAGGAGGTTGGAAGTTCAAGCCTTCCCGGGGACGATTGTTTTGTTTTTTTGACCCGAACAGGGGCCATCCTAGACATCACCCTGCGACTGAATACAACCTGCATTCATCTCGTAGGTCGGTGCAGGACGGGTAGTAAACTGGTATTTCGGATACGATCATCATGAATGAGTTACCTTCGATTCCCCCGTGGGAGGTCACAGGGACACCGGCCGAGATTAACCACTACTACTATCACCATTATGAAGGGCAAGGACATCAAGCATACCAACAAGCAAAGCTCCAAACAAAATAATTTGAGAGAAGGTCCATGGGAGGTAACCACACACTTGCACTCTGAAAATTATTCTATGTTTGGTCGATAACACGGTGGGTGGATCTGTTCTTCACTTGAATGCCAGTCCCGCTGGGATCTAGAAGAGACAGAAACTGAAGCATGGAGCTTGCAAATATTGATGAGGAAACTCATACGTAAACCATGGCAATATATCCCTCGTCTTCATCTAGCTATGGAGTTCTCCGTACGGAGTACTCCGTACAGGGTTCTTATTATCGTCCGCTTTTTGCGTGCCAATGCAGGCCGGATTCGAACACTTTGTCAATTTCAAACACTTCATGCATTCATCTACTCCGTACTCCGTAGAGCGACCTGCATATACGAGTCAGCCCCCGCAAAGAGTTGATAGCCTCGACGGGTTTGCCGACGGTCATGCGTTGATCCTAGGTTGGGCTTAGCGTTCACTGTGAAAAGGGTAAAGTTTTGGATCCCAGAAGTTTGTTTGAACCTAATGCTAATTTGGACTCTATCTGACTCTATATTACAAGTAAATCTTCACTGTCATGCTGTAATCCGCCCATTCTATGCGCTTCTATGCATCCCTTTCAAGCTTTGGTACTCGAATCCAAGATATTCGAAGTTTTCCTCCTAAGCCGTTCTTTATTGCTCCATGCGTACCAGAGGCCAAGAGTGAGAACTGTTAGGAGGACTGTGGCAACGATAAAGACCCAAAAATACTTGGAGACGATGAATTCATCGGTAGTACCGTCGTCAAACTTGAACAAGTTCATTCCAAGGATCGTCTAGTATACTGGTTAGAGCAATTGTCACTGTGTGGGGACGAAAGACTGTTCCTACCGAGACAAGACTCGCGGGTAAATAGACCAAGGTCACCAATGTGACTACTTTCACCGTGGCATTGTCATCGAAGTTTTCATTTCCTAGTTGAAGTAGTTTGTTATTGACGGTAAGCAGGCGATTGTTGACATCAACCATCTTGCTATTCAGACGCAGATTCAGAGAAACTTGGAACTGCGAAGTATCAGCAGTGGGTAAATCCACGGCAGGTCTTGAATATATTTGCTCACTCTTCTCAGAACTTCCTGGACTTTGTACGAGATAACCTCAGTTCCGGCGATAAGGCCCTCGGCCCGTGTTTTATGGTATTGCACTTCTCTCACGAATTGTGAAAGATTGAGATCAGTCTTATCTGAGGTCGAACCAAGTGTCTTGCTCAACGAAGGTAGCCTTTGTAAAGTACTGATGGCCACTTTGAGTCGGAACTGAATGGGACAGATAATATCGCTGTATTGGTGAAGCTCTCTGAGCTTTCCGTCTCTGTCGCTCGTCCAACTCGAATCTTCCGTCTGTGACATGTTCATGGTCAAAGAATGATCCACCTAGGGAGAGAATTAGTCAAACGACAGCGAGAGAAGCAATTGCTAGTGACTAACCAGTTTCTCCACTTTGGACCCCAGATAGTGTATATAGGAGCGCCAGGATGGGAGGTAACTAAAGAGGGCGGCGGAATGCATCGCAGCCCAAGTAGATTGCACAGTTGGTTGAGAAGTCAGGAAGACATAGTTCCTGATGTGGTTCTCCGCTGGTGTCTCCTTTCCGACATGGAAGAAAACCCAGAGATTCTGTTGTTCCTTGGGATTGTGGCGATGGAAAACCCCAGTTTGCCGCATAGTCCAGGAGTCAGTCGAAGTTTCCACCGGAAAAGTGATATTGTAATTGATGTCTGAGAGATCGTACGTATTTCAGTACTTGCCAGCAAATGGATTCCAAGACTGCTCCTTTACCTTTGATACCGTTATCACCTGTTTGCACCATTATTCCTCCCTCGCCTATACTTGCGCTGAGAGGCTTGCCGCCGAATTTGCAAGCCAAATCCCATATTTCTGGACCGATATTGTATTTGATCGTCAGTGCTTCGAATGCGCATTTGGAAATTTTGAGTGGTCTTATTGACGTCTGGCAGTACAGTGATCTAATGATACCCAGAAATGATTAGCACATTATGATGCTCGAACATAGAGATCAGTTAAAACTCACACTATCCGCAGTTTCGGGCATGGACTGGTTTGTATGTGCTGTGTGAACTTCTCATTATCTTCGAAATTAGACTCAACAAGTGTGCCTTGTCCATTGTCTGTAATAGCATCGATTAGCAAAATATTGTTGATTGACACGTGAAACTAACCATCACTATCAAAAACCGATATGTCAACGGCACGCGAGGGCTCAAGAAAGGCCGGTCTGAATGTGGGTGAGCCCATGACTGAACGAGAAACTTTAAGCGAGAAATAGCTTGATTTGATCGAAATAGAGCATCATCCAAATGCCAGGGCAACGTTATATGAATAAAAGAGGGTGGCTGCAGAAGAAACGTGAGACTCGAGGGTATGTTGGGGGACAGGGCGGTGGTCAGCCAGAGCCTCCTAAAGGGACTGGGAAGCGTGCCTCGTGAAGCACCTCGCCCCGAGGCGCCTCCGGCTATCATAGGGCTTTGCTTCCTTCTTTTTCATCCAAGTAAGGCTGCTTTTTTCATTGGCTCAGGAACTGCTACTAGGCTGAGTGTCTGATGCATGGTGCCGGCGGCAAATGACAAGGATGAAACTGGCGGCATATTTAGCCATCCAATGATATGCTATATTTCTCGAGTTCAAAGCCACTTTGCGAAGGAGAGTACTGTCTTTTTATTGGTTAGGGGCCATACATGATTCAAGACTCGTTACATCGTAAGGCGCAGGTAGGCTGTGCCTGCTCCGTATTGCCCATGCACCAGCCTCATGGGTCCGGGAGCATTGGAACAGGACCTTGAATGGGGTTGATTCGAGGGATACGATTGATAGATCTAAACCGTCTCTTGAATTTGGAGTAATTTGACAAGCACATATGGAAATGATGGAACCTGCGCATTCTACGGAGTACGGAGTATGTACCTAATGGTAATACCTGTCATGCTAACTCCCGAGGTCTTAAGACCAGTCTCACGCCCTTATTAAAGATAGGCGTCACGCTCGACAGCCATTCGCAACCCATATTGGAGATGTATGTTGTAGAAGTCTCCAATACTCAGTTCTGCACGTGGTAGTCCTCCAGGATATCCCTATAACAATGACCAGTTAATTATTTGACGCGACAGACGCTTAGGTCGTTCATTACTCACTCAAACTCCTCCTAAGGTCCAAATAAATTCTGTTAGAGAACATTCTTGAGATAATGTCAGAGATAAACTCACCTCAGGGACCAAGTCCGGGGCTTCAAAACTGAATCGACCAGCTTCATACTTCAATAAATGTTAGCGTGAGCGAACAAGCATCAAGCCCAAAGTCTGCCTACCCGAACTGGGATGTCTTTCCCAAACATATTTTTTAGTCGGTTTCTCAATCGCTCAGCTTTTATGTAATTGCTAAGCCCCACTGACAGGACATTATGAACGAGCACCATATTCGAAAGCGGAGCGGAAGTACTCCGTAACAGTGAATACGAGTCGGTATCGAGTGTGAGACGAACTTTAGGTGTCGAGCCAGAATGAGTAAGGCGTCGAAATCATGAATGAGCACTGCCTTCGTGAAAGGTGATCGACCTCTGTGTACAGCCAGGACTGGGCCCCATCTTATGGTTGATAATGAGGCTGAACCAGAAATTCTCCATGGCGGCACGGTGTATAATGACATCCGATATTCAATTATCGTTGTTAGTGATCCAGGGCTGTCATGAGTGTCATGATGGAGCTCCACCCACCAATCACCACCTTTCTAGAGTGATTTGCCTGCATCCGACCTGCGCTGCTCATGCATGTTTGCTTCAACCACGCGGTCGTAGCCCATAGGTGCGGTCGGATACTCGTGAACGCAACATTAGACGGATCGGTCCGGGGATACGGAGTAATTGACACATAGAGAGCTTGATTGGACAGCGAAATGTTGACCCGGGGGGGTTGGTCCCATAACACCTTTTCTTAAGGTCTCTTCTATTGGGTCTTTTTGGACCGGGTGTCTTGTTGGTTCTCGAAGCGGGCTAGGTATTTCATTTAATGCATCAGCCGATACCAATGCGGTAACATGATGACGGGATCGACTCCGCTATTCGTTGCGTATCAAATAGGATGGATGCAAAGCATTCGAGATGACCAGACAGGGAATAATAATAGTTGGGTAAACTGGGTGACAGTCTAGTTGCGCTAAGATCACCTGGGCTGAGTGATCCCCCTCCTCCCCAAGCGCAACTCGTCCATAAATAGGTTTCAGTTTGTAACCGAGTTCTGTTTTCGATCAGTATTCCGATGACCCTCGTGTTGGTATGAAGTACTTGAGGACCAAGTATGTGTGCATAAGGCTTGGTTTTCAGACCATACCATCGGGTACAGATACAGTGGATATATCCTCTGCAGCTTACAGCTTCAAGTCATTTCCCCAAATTATGGACTGAGCGCCCAATGAAAAGCAGATGACGTACTCCGTATACTGTGCCAAGAACTGTTAGCGTTATTGCGGTCTCTTTACGGAGTAGGGGAGACGGTCTCGGGAATATTGGGTGCTGATAGGTTAGGGCATCGGAGTTCCCCGCGTGGAGGTGAATCACTCTGCTCTATTAACTCATCCGGGGTCGATCTTCGGCCGGGGTGCGGCTCTCAAGGTCCACGCTTTGGGCCAGTCCAGAATAAGCAGGGCTTATTGGAGCCTTTTAGAGCTGGCCAGGTACCCGGGTTCCCCAAGGCTCGTAACAATCCTTGATCTCTCCGTGCGTATGTCCCTCAATCAATTTTCGACACGTTGGAACCATCTCAAGCACGCTGGTCACTCTTCATCACACGAGCACTTGCATTTGATACAGCCTTGACCATGGTTGAAGACAGCGAGTCCCAGTCAGCCTATGGGGCAACTATGTAAGGATTCCCAAGGCTCAATATGGTTAACTAGGATAGGAAACACTTGCTAACCCATCAAACACAACAGCATAGACAATCCGCTCGCTCTAATATCTCTGGAACAACTATATAGTATCGTCAAGGAATTCCACGAACGCACCGAACTCAAAGATGTGGTTGAGATGGAAGTCCTCTTCAGAGGCGCCCAGTTAGCACGAGACTCAGACCACTATCCGTCGAGCCTTACCCCGTCCGAAGAAAATGCTATTTTGCACGAGAAGAAAGAACGAAATGCTCGATGGTTTCAACCGCCTGAAGGTCTCAGTGTTACTATCATGGCCGCAGCTTTCGCCGCGATTACGCAGTATGTCCTTCCCTTCAGTTGAAGAAAAACAGAATCCCTTTTAATATTGGCTCTGAAGAGGATGGCAACAATCGTCCATAAATGCCAGTCAGCTCTTTGGTTGGCAGGAAGACTTAGGGGTTAATGCTGATCAACAATATCTGATCGGCGCGTTGAATGCCGCGCCATGGATCTCGGGAAGTCTCATGTATGTCCAAACCCTGACAACCCTGAAACCATCGTTCTGTTATCTAACTTTTGTCAGAGGAGCATGGGTGAGCGATCCCCTTCAAGAGACATTTCTTGGAAGGCGACCTGCACTTTTTATCGCTGCAATTTTCTGTGTGGCTTGTGTGATAGGTAAGAATCCCGACCTAATATCGTCGGCTGCCTCGACTCACTGAGAATTTCTATACAGGCACCGCCCATTGTGAAAGTTGGGAAACGCTTCTTGCTTGCAGGATATTACTTGGGGTTGGAGTAAGTCATCCCTAGCCTTGATGTAAATGTCTTTTTTTTTTCTTTTTTCGGACGAGAGGTGATCTAACCCGACATAATTTAGATAGGATCAAAAGCCTCCATCGCCCCCGTATTTGCGGCTGAAGCAGCCCCGGACAGGTATCGTGGACGGGTGTTGATGATATGGCAACTTTTCGATGCATTGTATGTCCGAATCTACACTGTCCCGGTGGTTGCAGCTAATAAAGATATAGTGGCATATTCCTTGGCTTTGTTTCTTCTATGATCGTACGAGATAACTGGAGAGTGCTATTAGCCACAGCGATCATTCCTGCCGTTGTCCTTCTTTGCGTGGTCTACATTTGTCCAGAATCCCCACGGTTTCTTATTCGACAAGGGCGCTATCCCGAGGCATATCGAAGTCTCCGGCGGCTTAGACGAAGTGATATCCAGGCCGCGCGAGATCTCTTTAGCATTCACGCTCAGCTGCAGGCCGAGACAAAGGCACTATGGAACAAAGGCGAAGAGAGAGAATGGTACGAGGAGAACATCTACCAGAACTGGATCAAGAAAACCAGGGTTTGGGAACGAATGGGGTATCTAGCTGTAAAGCCCCGCGTTCGGAGAGCCTGTATGGTGGCTTCTCTTGTGATGGCAACTCAGCAACTTTGTGGGGTATGCTCTGATATCCTGCCATGGCATGGATTATCCTTCGGTTTTGCTTTGGCTAACCAGTCGATGAACAGATCAATGTGTTGGCTTTCTACTCATCTGATCTATTCAACATCAGTGATAACAACAATGACAATTCCGAACTCCAACAGGATAATTCCAAAGTTCAATGGTACAATTTCGGTAAGTCTGGAAGTCTGGATCGAAGGCTAAGCAATCTGAAGCCCGACTCTGATCCATAAACAGGTTTCGGTCTTTCCATGTTCCTCTTCACTTTGATAGCATACAGATATATCGACACCCGCGGACGCCGATTCCTTCTTCTGATATCCCTTGGCGGCATGACAGTGAGCCTGGTTCTTGTCAGCGCCTTGTTCTATGTCGCCGATTCTGGGGTTCGACAGGTTCTGGTATCAGTGTTCAGCATTGTCGTGTTTACTTTCTTCTATTCCCTTGGTGCTGGCCCAATTCCGTTTACTCTGAGTCCCGAGGTATTTCCTCTTTGCGTTCGCGGTAAGCATTTGGTTCTACTTCATTGCTTTGTATCATCTGCTGCTACGGAGTTAACAGAGAACTGATGAATAACAGAGGTGGGCATGAGCTTTAGCGTGATGGTCAACTTCCTCGGCCTCGGTCTCTTGGTGCTGTTTGTACCTCGATTGACCGAGATATTTGGACGTGGCAAGAGGTGCGGGGGTAACATTTATGGAGGCAAACCCCAGGATGATAACACATCTTGTGATGGCCAGGCAAATCTCTTGTTCTTTTTCAGGTATGTCGATCAGCCGATTCCGTACTGACTTCCACTGCTGACATGATATATAGTGGTTTGAATGTGTTGGCATTCATTTTAGTATTCCTTTTGGTATGCCTCATGATCTCTATCTATCTCCATTTCACACAGTTCCCTTTCTGACAATAAAAAAATAGGTACCCGAGACGAACAAAGTTGAATTGGAAAGGATGAACATACTATGTACGCATCCTCTCCCCGTGGTTCTGTCATTCACCGCCATATTGACTCTCTACTAGTTGAAAAAAGCACAAAGCGAAACATTGCGGATAACATTCGCAGCTTGCACACGAAGCCAGGTACGAAGTAGAGGAATGATGTGGGCGTGGAATCCACACCATAGACATGAGACACCTTGCGAATGCAGTACATATGCGTAGTGGAGATCATAATGTGTATATGATTATATGCGAATAATGTTATTTTGTTGTTATTTTGTTGTTATTTTGTTGTTATTTTGTTGTTATTTTGTTGTTATCTTGCCGATGCTTCATTTGACTCTTCTATCACAAATAACACTCAGGGTACAAGATATTGAAAAGATTGACAACAAAATGATTAGCTTGAGCACAATGAAAACAAATAGGGGGTATAAAAGACAAAGAATTCGAAAAATGACAAATAAAACATCAGGAAATTCTCAATGATGACATGGTCCTCCTAGCCTTGCGGAGGAAACGAGGTGGAGGTGATATGTCCTGGGATGGGAGTTTGGCCTGTTTCACAATATCCTTCATATAGGGCGAGAGATACCTACGTTTCGTATAATCTGCCGGCAACGTAGCTCCACTGGCAACAAGTAGATGAGCAAGTTTCACATCGTTCAGCGTGTCTCTCTCAATGATGGTTTCCAGAATGGTTTCTGAGGGGGATGATGGGTCATGATGTTGATTTCTGTTTATATCCGCGAGCTTTCCACCACCGGGCTGTCCTCCGGCGGTGAGGGCTTCCAACTTCTCGAGCCATTTGGATTGCTGGCTTGGGTGGTAAAGCTCAAAGCATTTCAATACATGTATATTGAGTGGTGTGGCGAATGTTGCCCCATTGGCTAGGTCGGATGGAGTCAAGTCAAAGTCCATGTGGCCCCGGAATGCTCTGATCACCTCCACCTCACAGCCAATGTTCCTCACTGCGTAGTGCAAGCAATTCAACCTTTCGAGTCCCTGGAAAACGGTAACATCTGCCTTGAATCGCAAGAGTTCCGAGATCATATCGGCATGTCCACGATGTGCAGCATGCATCAGAGGAGTCATCCCATCCTCAGATGATACATTGGGCGACGCACCGGCTTGAAGCAACAGCTTCACAATCTGCGCATTTCCTCCATAGATAGCAAGACAGAGCGGAGTCTGACCACTCGTTTCTTCTGAGAGGCGTTCCAAATCAAGTCTTGGCCTATGCTTCAACAACGCTGCTAAAATAGGAGGATCTCCTCTTTGAATCGCATAGATCAAAGGTCGCTTGTTTTGATAGACGTTCTCTAAATCGTGTCTTCCTTGGATCAATTGCTGAACTTCATCTGCGTTTCCGCTCTGAATTTGGGCGATGACCACACCCAGTGAGAAAATCACCCGCGGGGATTCCAGATGTTCCGGGAATTCCAGAGGCTCCAGAGGTTCCAGTGGCGCCAGAGGCTGCAGAGCCGCCAAAGACTGCGGAGGGTCCGGAAGAGTGATTGGAGTTGTAGCACTTCCCGACCGGTCGTTAACGGATTCTGGTTCTGTTTGTACTGTGCTAGGTCGACGAGGCCATTCGCTTCGGAGTAGTAGGCCTTTCAGATCTTGTAAGCCCCGGAAAACTTCATTGGACCCAAGCCGAACGTCTGGGTTGATGACAAGCATGGATTGAAGAAGCTGCTTCATTGCGTTCAAGAAGTACCTGTCATATGAGGCGGCATTGCGATCAGGCAAGGTTCCGATCCACAAATCAACGTGTGGGTTCAGTTTTGGAGGAGAGGTTCGCAGAAAGTGGTCATGGTTATAGGAGGCCACTCCATCCAGTGTTCCAATTCTGGATCTATCAAACTCCTCCAAACTCGTAGGATCAAATCCTAGAGCAAAGAGGCGGACTAATATGCACCCAAAAGACCAAATGTCGATTTTGGGATGAACAACAAAATCTGGGCTCTGGTAGGAGCCAATCTGGGGGGAGGTACACCCGCAGTACCGGCCCATTGCACAGAATGAGGCCCGTTACTTGCAGTGCGCTCCTCATCCATCTCCGAAAGAACCTCATGCACTATCTTAGATATACCAAAGTCGCTGATCATCCACATCCCTGTAGAAGGACTCTTGGGGTCTTTGAAGACTATGATGTTCCTCGGCTTGAGATCCGAATGACAGATGGACTTTCGCCGGCGATCAGGCGATTTACTGTCTGGCTGGAGTTTGTGATGCAGGTAATCAATTGCACCTGCCAGTTGTTCGGCCTCAACGATGATATCTAGCAAAGTGGGCATTGATTCCATTTCTTTGTAGCCACCACGCAAAAAGTCCTCCAAATCCATGTCTGCCCACGGGAAGATAATATTCAAGTTCTCTTCGTGGGAGAAGATGGCAAGGATCTTGGGGATGCGTTTGTGTTGGACGCTGTTGGACCTAAGGAGGTTCAATATCCTTTTCTCAATCACAGAGCGTCCCTGGTAGAACCGTTTTCGTGCGACTACTAGGGGTGCCTGCAAGCAAATAAATGCAAAGTCAGCGATTATGATCTTAGCTACCCACATATGAGAGCATTAGTACTCACGGAGCGCGGCGCACGCGAATCACCTGGAAGATCCTCAGTGATGATATGCCCGGCCGGGATCTCTTCTTTCGTGACGACCCCATATCCACCCTCTCGGGGCCTTTCCGAGGTTACCGGAACCAATGGAAGTCGTTGCTCCTTACTGTACTCCTCGTATGTATGATGATCCAACACAACCGGACAGTAAGTCCATCTTTCGCGAGCAAAATTGGTTGCCCAGGCGTTCTTCCCGAGGAAGGATGCGTCTTCGAGCTCAGCTATGTCGAAAGAGCGAATATTTTCATCGCGGCGATAACTGGCGATATGCGGTTCTGACGGGAAGAATATTGTTTTGAATCTTGGCCAGTCTGGCCAACCAATACCAACAAGGATAGATATTATTTTAAGCAACTTATCCTTCGCTGTTTTTATCTGGGCCTGGTCCAGTCCCAACTGGTGGTTATGTGAAAATCTCTCCAGGCGATCTCCAGCCCATATTTCTTGGATGCTCGCAAATGAAATGAATGCGTTGGTGGCCGTCTGACGGTGGTAGATCGAATCTTGGAGATTCTGCCAGATTTCTGTTGAGCTCATTTGGAAGTTGCTTGACAAAGAGGTGCGGGGAGAACACTTTGGCGAGAGGTGATTTTGTAGGGTATAGACAAGGGTGATCGAGTCACGGACTATGAGGGTTAGGCAGTGTCTCCCAGTTCCAGTTCGAATCCGCGCATCCTTGACGGAGCGAGTCCTTGTTCAAGTGTATGGAAATGATGAGCTTAAAGAGGTTTGTTGAGGGAGACCCCAGAGATTGGGAAGAGGACGAACACGAGGAAGACGTGGGCCCGGGGTACTCAGGTACTTAGTCTTCAGCTCTTCTAAAACGCGTCAGCCACACGTACTCCGTGACCAGGGACAGGAAAATTACAAGTGGCGTCGATTGTTGGGGATGTACTCCGTACATACCGTATTGTTATAGTGATTCGTCATATGGACGAGCTACCAGTCATCAAGGAGAGAGATGTTTATGGAGGATTCTGTGCTGGCCAACCTGGCCAAACGTCCAATTGGCGGGGCCCCGCGGGGACCCCAACGGGTGCAACCTCCTGCACTGCCACGGTGACATAAGGGTGAGGTCGGAAATAAAAAGATGATACATCGAAAGGGTTTTAGATAGTTCTAGTTCTAGTGTCTCTTTTCCATAGCAGGACATGCCATAGTTCAGTTTCATTGGTTCCTGAGCATAGCCCCGTGGAGCGCTAACCCTCCATCTTCAATAAAGCTTTCTTCCACCACTTCTCCTCCTCTTCCACCGCGTCTATCCGACTCTTTGCCTGCCTGAAACCATGCCCTTCTCCAGGGAAAACTACTAATTTAGCATCGCGGCCGACCTTTCTCATCACCTCGACCATTTCCTCGGCCTGGTTCAGCGGGACCACTCTATCCTCATCGCCTTGAAGCAACAGCAAAGGTGCAGTGATTTTGTCTGCTTTGAGGCAGGGACTGCGCTCGTCCAAAATACGGTTCTTCTCGGCTTCACTGGCGCCCTCATCAAAGAGTAGGCCGAACGCATATTGGCTCTCGAATTTATGCGTGTCTTCACAGAGAGCTCGGACGTTGCCTATTCCGTACAAGGAATTGCCGCCAGCGAAGAGATCCGGGTAATCGCAAAGAGCCTGGAGTACGATGTATCCACCCGCGCTTCCGCCTCGAATACCCACTCTATTTTGATCGATTCGTCCGGTTGATGCGAGGTATGAGACAGCGCTGGCAGTATCTGCCGTGTCGAGGACCCCTGCAGTGATTTGATTAGCATCAGTGTGAAATATAACACATTCACCGTGTAAAAGGCAGAGTTCTTACCCCATTGCCCATTCAAAATATCCCGGTAAGCTCGGCCGTACCCGGAACTACCGCCGTAGTTTACCCAAACCACGGCATAACCACGGGAAGTCCAGTATTGGTCCGTGATGTTCAGGCCAGTTCCAGTTTGAGAGGTTGGCCCGCCATGCAGACATACGACCAAAGGCGGCAATGTTCCAGGTGGGGCCTGGTATTCAGGATTCTGAGGTGGGTAGAATATGGCATGTGCCATTCCTTCCAAGTTACCACCGTGCACCCGTGGGAAAGAGATATGTTCCGGCTTGGAAACAAAGGAAACTGGCATGGGAAACTCGGAAGATGCCTTGATTGCAGAGAGCTTGACGGTATCTGCGATATCCAACGTGTACAAGGTGTCCAGGTTCGTCTCGCTGGAACCAAGAAGCGCGATCCTGGCATCTGATAGGGGACTATCTGAGAGTTTGATCGTGTCTGACACTGGCAGATCCATAGCATTCCAAGAGTCATCTGATAGATCTATCAGGATGAAGCTCCATCGAGCGTTCTTTGTGTAGGACGCGATCATTGAAGTTCGAGTCAGGCCGATGTAAGTGCAGCTGACAAGAGGGAATAGACGTCAGCATAAAAATGAAGATAATCATCTAAGTTTGTGTACGTACTTTCCTAGACGGAACTCCGGCTGTGAGAAGTCCACATCTTCAAGACCATGCAGGGCAAGCTTTTGGCACTCCAAGGTGTCAATGAGACACCGGTAAAGTTGCCAATACCCCGAAGAGTCGCTCGTAAAGTACAATGTGCCGTCAAGTCCCCATCGTGGCTGGCTAACGCTTTCCGTTTTATGCGTTCCAGCTACATGATGAACGCGTGAGACCTTGCCATTGTTCCAGTTGGCCACATACAGCCGAGCTCCTGTCCATGGCATGTCTGGATGAGTCCACTGAGTCCAGCAGATTCTGTTGCCATCAGGGGAGAATTGAGCAGAGCTGTAGAAGTCATCACCGGAGGCGACGTCAACTATCTCTTTGGAATGCATGTTGACTGCCACGAGTCGATTCTGGACTTCTGATGGTAAGGGTTTGGAGTGGTCCTCTTCGATTGCCAAGAGCCATCCCGCCTCCTTCTCCTCATCATTCCAAGGGCCTGTGGCGGATGTGCACACATAGCGAAGGGCAGGGCCAGTCTCAGTGATTTGCTCAACAACGCCAGTCGAGGGATCAAGTTTGTGCAGATCCTGTGTCTCACGATCGGAAAAGACAATATAGCCATTGTGAGCAATCATCGACGCGCCACCGTACTCATAGACTTTGGTCCGGGCATCATATCTAGAAGTCTCTGGTTATTTTTGGGCTTGTCAGTTGCTGAATCTCGCGCGCGTACTTGGTGGGTAAAATATCGCGCCCTTCACGACCAGCGTATTCCACAATGCAGCCTCGTCCCTGCTCCTTGGGCCTCCCCTCTATAACGTAGACCTTTCCATTTGACGTCTAGGAATGTTTTTGAGTATTCAGACGCGTCTTCAGTCATTAAACATCAAACATACCGCGATAGATTCGAACTGAACACCATCAGCACCAAGCACAGTAGAGCTGATTGGACTCTTCCACTGGCCGAACGGAAGTGTAACGGGGGTCTCCATGACGATCACGTAGAAATAACCCACAAGATCAGAGGTGAAATGTGGAGAAATAGAGATCCTGAAGTGCAAGTAAGCATTGGCGCGGGGTTATTAGGCGAAGTTGGAAAAAAGTTGCCCCACCGGACTCCGCTAGATCGAGATTGATCGTCCCTATCTTTAGTCGCAAGAACTAATAACCATACCCGTAACGCCTGGAGTGGTTAACACGGCCCTGTTCAAGAACCTCGACCTCTCCAACTGGGGTCTTTCTCTGGGTGAGAACCCTCGGTTAGCCGAGGAAGCCGAGGAAGGCGCCTACAATCAGCTCTGGGCCGCGACTATGAGTACTAAAACTCAGTGGGATGAAGTGGTTATTCAATAGACATAACTTGTATTTAGAGGACCAAAATTCCCACAAAGTAGTTAGAACTAGACCAATCTAGTTCAAGACAAGCTCTCCTATTTAAGACAAGGTGGCCGGGGGTATACCGTGTAGTTCCAGGGTCAAAGATCCAACCCCGAGCCACGCTCTCAGCTCATTCCTAATCGTCAACTTTCATAACCGCTAGTAACCACTTAAGGATCTTTCTTGATATGCGATGGAAGCCTTATTAGTTCTAATCAAGGTCTCGTTGTTGAACGCATAGGTTTTAACATAGTTTGATACTTTGATAGAGCTTTCACAATGGTTTTCGACTGGAGCTAATTATTTTAATCAGTGATTTAATCAAATCATGATACCAGAATGGATATTCTCTAGAGTGTACAGAGATATCTCAGTCCTCTATGCCATGGAGTCACTAGTCACCAAGTTAGTATACTAAAGGCTAGGGTTCTATAAACAAGTCACTCGAGATACCATTGTTTTTAAAGAATATACACTAGTTTTGCATTCATAGACAAGCCCCCCATACCTATATCATAGAGCCTTTTTCTTTATGGCCTAATTATAGAAGTCTAGGGGTGAAACGTAGATATGATATTCGAAAGCACTAGACTGAATAGTAAACCTAAATCATTCATCACTGACTTGGAAAGTGTAGGATCTTTAGATAACATGTTCTAAAATATGATATATCACATATGTCTAGTCGCATCTATCCCTAGAGAAATATATCAGATGTCAGAGGTTCACCCTAAGCGTTTATAGCGATACGCAGGTCACCAAACATGCAATTTTGCTTGCAGAACCATGTTTTAGTATTTCAAAAGGCAGACTAGGCGTTACCTCATATATCATTCCGTACTAGGAGGAGGTATGTGGTACCTGGAGTATGGTTATATGGGATTTTACACTAGATTTATCGAATATTATCACTATGGCAGGCAAGCACTTTAATAATAATCATACAATATTGTTATTTGGATCTTGGCAATACCATCCCCCACTTAGTACATTAGTGCTGGATGGAGCGTTCCCTTATCGAAAGTCCAATCCAGCGAGATATGCTCTGCAAGTTCCCAATCATGATTCTTCACTGCTGCCACCAGCTCCCTGACAACATGCTCTCTGTTGCTGGTCGAAGGGTTCTCGGGATCGACTAAGTCCTCATCATTGAACGCATATGTTCCGATACAATTGAATACCTTGATGGTATTCTCGCATTGACTTCTTGCTACAGGGAAATATTGATCAGCGATTGGGGATCTCCAAAGAATAGGCGCAACTCACCCAGTTCTCTTATGTCATCCAAACTCAGGCGGTAGATCTTTTCAAATAGCTCTTGTGAGTCATTTGCTCCGAGTCGCTCAAAGGCAATTGCATCCATGAGCACATTTCCACCGTGTACAAGGTGTCGGTTGAGTTGGTCAAGCCGCTTTTGGAGCTCCCCCTTGCTCGCCTCTGGCGTGTGTTATTCCTTATGAACGTCAATAGCTGGCGATACCGCATCTGGGAAAAGTCCTCCTCAATTGGATGTAGTCTTTGTTTCAACAGCTGGAGACTTTTCTCCACATGGAGGTCTTTCTCTTCCAGCATCTGATTTTTCCGGTCTATGGTCGTTTCCATTACCTTCATTCTTTCCTTCATACACATGACCTGCTCTTCGAGCTGGTGAGTGGTTTCCTTGAAAGATCTTATTTGATCAATCAGGGAGATGCCTTCTCGATTCCCCATGATGGTATCTTCACCCCGCTGAGCCACGATGGGGGTTTCACATGCCTCGCGTAAGTGTCTTTTTCCGGCCTCGACCCGATCAAGCTCAGGTCGGTTTGTGTCGATAAGAAAGGGTGAGTACACAACAGCTTCAACCGGTTGCTGATAAGGTTCAGGCATTAGCGGTGCCTCAAATCGATCATGGAAAAGACTGTCCTCATGGGGTTCCTGAGCATGCAGAAAGGGCCTCAAAACACTCACAAGCTGACATTTCATGTTCGATGTGTTTGCTACTCTATTTGGCAAGTAGAAGTGCATGAGATAGGTTTGATTTCAACGGTGGGATAGAAAAGAGACCGCTAGGATGATATCCTATTCTCATAATAGGGTAGGATAAAGATGGGTAGAGTAGAAGGAAACATTTCCTAGGATAAAAGAAGCTACTGTGATGCCAGCAAAGTGTCTAGTGGAAGAGTGACAGGCTACATATCGCCGCGCTATTATCAGTTATGTCTGTATAAAAGAAGAAAAGGTCTATAAATAAACAAGGAAGGCTTAGACAAATTTGAATTTCTAAGTCATCCCAGTTTTGAATCAAAGCCGTATACCTAGCTTATATGCCCTGATTGATATCAAAACAAAGCCATTTTGTTTAGCTTTCTATTTCCTCTCACTTATTTGACGTTCATACATGTTTCTCTCACCTATGATCTATCTCCTATTTCCCCCACCTCCTTTAACGCTTTACTATACTACGAAGGTATATGGTGTTCAGGGGTCAGTTTCGGTTGAAATCGAATTTTTTTACCTAAATACGCCTGACTTTGGAACGCTATTCACATCGCTAATTACTATATTGTGAAGTATTGCCTCTAAGTGAAGCTATTCATACCATAAATATCTTGAGAAGAGAAGAGGATATCTGAAAAAATGACTTTTAGAACGTAGTTGACAAGATTGCTTGAAAGAATACTAAAGGAATACTAAAAGCAATTGCAAGCCCACAAACGCGGCCGACTATATGAAAAGCTTTATCTCGCCTGCCTACTTTCCAAGGTTGGACCTAGGTACCTTTGACAAGGCTTATAAAGGTCTCTGTCATAGTGATTCAGGTGTTCGACTTTTTTCCCGCCCAATCCAAGCATATCCAAGGAAAGACTTCAATTTTGATTGAAACCAACCCCTGAGCGCTATACACCTTCGCTGTATAGACAAGGACCAATACCAGTGCTACCGAGCCTTTATGCTTTGGAACTCATTTGTACGAAGTATAGGGGTACTGGTCACAGCTTGATATGGTATTCGAAGCTAATCAATTTTATAGAGTCAATCGACCTTGCAATCAGCGGGATACTCGGATATTATGCTATAACGTTCATGTGTCCAGTAAAAAGACTGCCTTGAAATTTCCAATTGTCAATTCAGGTCATATCAAGAAATGTAGGGGTCCAATCAATGATGTTGAAACTCTGTATTTTTGTGTCCATTTTTCTAGCAGGATAAGGTATGACTAGATCTTACTAATATCACATTGCTGCACAGACAGGATAAACTGATCTTCCGGTATGCCGACCTCTTGCTCCGACACCAATATGGTGCATGAGGCCTCGGCGTGTTATCTTATCCGCTTATCGCTTATCTTGCTCTTCACTTAACTGGACGCGACTTTTGACCCGCGACTCCGTTCAAAGGAGCCATGATCGAGCTGGGTCCTCCCAGTTATTGTCATGATGTCCACACCATCATCATCTGCGCGTCTGCCTCCAACCTCCCCGCAGGTCACTGCCTCAGTTGTGAAGTTCCGCTGCCTATACACCCACGACTTACGCCGCAAGTCTAAACGATGGCACGATGGCTACCTACGATATCATAAATTCAACAAACGTGTCATGGTCTACGATGACCAAGGTAACTTCATTGGTGATCATCACTGGCGATCCACCGATGAGGTCCAGGATGGTGACGAAATGGAACTGGACAAGGGAGTCTTGATTGAAGTGACCGAAAACATGGGCACAACCGAGACAGATATCACCAATCTATATGAAAAGAAGAAATCTAGTCAAAGTTCGCCGCAAACCAGAGACCCGGTCTCTCAGGCACCCCGTGTCTCTGCATCCGCACCTTTTCGTTCCTCGGGTTCGTCCCAGTCGTTTCGCTCACTTAACGATTTACTGGGCATCAAAAGGACCCCAATAGGACATTTGGTGTCTCCATACGAGGAAAGGAACCTCCCACAGCCGACTTCCATCGCCCAAGGGCCCGAAAGAGCACCAAAACGGCAGAAGATATCCTCGGTGGCGAACCGAGCCCTCGCGAAAGATCCACCTGCCCGACATCAAGTGATTGATTTAACCGATTCAAATCAAGAAGCACCGGCGATGCCGGTGAGGCAAAGACCAACCACTTTCGGAAAGGAGTTATCCAGACCCGTTGTTGATGCTACAGCCGATACATTCCCAGCAACTCGTCAGCAGAGACCAACAGTTCAGTCAAAACAAATTCAGCCACAAACACCTGATCATTCTTCGTTCTCAAGAGTGTCTCCTTCAATATCATCTGAGCCGACCTCCAGTCTGCCCACACCGGCCGATCTAATTCGTTCAATAACTAGGGGCGTTCAGCCTGCGAGGCCCGCAAGCAATAAATCGAGGGTCGGACCGGTACCCATGCAGCTATCCAAACCCCCCGGTCCATCCTCAAAAACAAGTCTCCCAGCTCTACCACAAGAAACAGAAACCCAGATGCCCCAAGTTATATTGCATGTAAACGAACCATCGGTTAACCATGAAGATCAGTCGAAGGATGCGCCTCGTCCCCTCCGGCAACGGCGGCCTGACCCTCTCGCCACATCAAAAGGCTCACGCTCAGTTGCACTCAGACAGCCAGACCGTCTGTCCGTACCACAGGCCCCAGTACGCGTAGTCACCAACTATGTGCAACCTATTCAATCCGCAGATCATCAAGCTCCAGCCAATATGGCGCACTCCACCGGCGCGCGGCCTTCACCCGACGTTCCACCTCCTACCAACATGCCACCCCCATCCCGTCCATCTTCAGCGCTGCCCTCTGGGGCACCTACGACTTCCCTTCGCATGGTGAGCGGAAAGCCTCGCAGCAAACTGATGTATAGTGCTCTCTTGCCAGGCACTCCACGAACTTCATCGCCGGTGGCTTCAAATACACCGCTTAGTAATCCAATTCACGACTCAGCCACAGAAACCCGAGAGCAACAGTTAGTATGTGCGCACCTATTGACCAACATTGTGATACTCATATAGGTACAGGCCGAACGCCGCTCCAAGTGATTCCTTGACAGCGGGCGAGGAGTTTATGCCCTCAACATCAACACAATTTATCTTCGACGAGATGATAGATGGATCGGGGTTCAAATCACCATCAGCGATCAGAAGATCCACAGAAAGAAGACCCGTCGACTCACCGTTACGCAAGTCGTCATCGGACCCGACTGCATTGAATGCCCGTAATGCCCGGGCAGGGGGCTCATTGCACGCAGCCAACAAAGAAAACGAACCTGGAGAGCAAGGTCCCTGGACTTTAGAGGCGTTGGATTTGTTTGACTTTTGGCCTAGCGGTCGACCAAAACCAACGGGGTAAGACTACTGCCGTGCCAGAAATACGGAAATTTCAACCCAATCCCACGCCGTGAATGTCAAGTCCCTTCTCGTACTCCACGAAATCTACAGCCTCGTGAGAAACAACCTCCAAACCGCCGGAAGTCGCTCCTCTTTTCGAAGCCAATGTACTGAACAACGAGCAACTCTCTGTGGTGCTCCTGCAAGAGACTGACTGATGTTCAAGAAGCCATTCTCAGGTGCACATTTTGCGAATTTAAGACATCAACTTCCTGCCATGCCAATACCACTGGTGAAATATCTCTCTATAGAGATTATGTTGTCCAGTGTATTCAAATCAGGCCTCGTGCCCCAGGAATAACCCGATCACTAGGCTCATCCGGACGAGCGAAAATATGATAGAAACAAACAAAGATACCCATTTGACATTGATAAATGGACAGCTGTCAGATTACTGTGTGAATTGTGATTCGTGGGATTCCTTTAGTCCTCAAACCTATCTATTTATGAGGCAAGAATGTAATTCAACCATGCCATTATCTGGGGTCATCTATGGATTCATCGTAGGCTTCTCCGTGGTATGATATCGCTCGCATTCGTATTTCAAACGCCGAACCACCCGGAATATCCCCGGGTCACGTGCCTCTGCGCCCTAATTATATAAACTCATTTTTATATTCCTCTCCATGCCCTGATTTTCCTGACTGTATATTCATTGGACTTGGTGAAACTAGCAGATCCATCGTTGAACCGTTATAATGTCGACTGAACCCCCACCACCGTTCATTGGGCGAATGCTCGCACTGTTGGATCCTGCCCAGCTCATGGTGTTGGCCATGTCTCGTAAGTACAGACGCCGAGTAGACGCCGGACCGTATCAATCCCAATATAGAGGATACGATGCCGTTGTGGGTGCCTTTTCTCTTTTTGGATTTCCCTGTTTTCTATCAACTTTCCATTCTACCTCTCTATACCCTGTATCTCGTCTTACTTTACAAAGTTCCCTCTGTATCTTGTGCCATCCTCCGACATAACCCATTTTCCCGCTTCTGCCACGAAACATGCCACTAACTCCAATATCACAGACTACGTCCGTGTCTGCGCCGAAGCCGTCTTCAAAAAGGGTCAGGTGTTTGCCCCAATCACCCAGACCGGAAGACTCCGCGATGAGGCATTCGGTAGATTTTGGACCGAGTTCACCGGTGAGTGCCCCCATATTCAACAAAAGCCAAACCAACGCGAGATCTCTTGCCTTACTTGCTTGTATCTACATACTCTGTAAAGGGGGAGAAAAAAAAGAAGAGGACCTCCAGCCCGAAAATGAACATACCAAAATGAAAAGAAGCAATCCAAATCCTAACCCAAATCCCTGCCACAGCACCACGCCAAATGGCTTCAGGTCCAGACAACTCCGAGACCCCCGAGCTAGTCGGCTCCTCAGCCCTAATCCCACCCCTCCTCCGCACAGCATCGGGGATTGTCCTCGACATCGGTCCAGGGACAGGAACCCAGATGCCCCTACTAACTTCACCCGCGATTACCGCTTTGTACGGTGCAGAGCCATGCAAGAGCCTTCACGATGTGATCCGCGCCAAAGCCACCGCAGAGGGCATCTCATCCAAGTACCATATCGTGCCAACCGGCGTGGCTGCCGCAGAGCTCCTCCCCGCGCTGCGGAAGACAGGCACCGGAGTCACGGATAAGTATGATTCGGACCCCCGCGCTGGCATTTTCGACACAATCCTGTGTGTACGAGTACTTTGTTCGGTGCCGGAGATGGAGCGCACTGTAGGCGAGCTTTATGGGCTGCTGAAGCCCGGTGGCCGGCTACTGGTTACGGAGCATGTTATTAACCCGTGGCGACGAGCGAAGGGATCGCTTGTCGGACGGTTTGCTCAGATTGTTTACCACGCTCTGGGGTGGAGTTGGTTCGTTGGAGATTGTTGTATGAATCGTGATACTGAGGCGGCTTTGAGAGCTGCTGCTGATGTTGATGGTGGGTGGGAGAGTGTTGAGTTGGATGTCTCGTTTGAGTGGTCGGCTTTGCCTTACATCTCTGGAACTCTGGTTAAGAAGTCGGCTTGAAGGGTTTTGTGCGAGGATTGTGTGGATTGCGAAGATGTATAGCGCTCAAGGGTTGGTTCCAATTGAAATCGAATTAGCTATCTGGATATGTCTGCCCAGGTGATTTTGGACCGCCCTCGACGTTGCTCATTACTATATTGTAAATAATATTCCCTCATTGAAGCTATTGAGAAGGTCTTATATGCAGAATTTACTATTAAAAAGCCTACTAAAAAAAGACTACACAAAGCCCTAAACACAGCCAGCTATATGGACCTACGTGCCTTAGTTATGCACCTGTTGAGGTCTCTGTTATCGTAACTCGGGGATCCCGGTTTCTGTCAGCTTTAAAACAGACATATTCATGTAGCTAATTCAATTTCAATCGAAACCCAACTCCTGAGCGCTATACATTTTCGCAGTGGATGTTGTTGTCTGGGCCCTTGGACTTTTTGAACTACGCTAGCCGCGCGTTTCTTTATGGATTTTAAATATGTGAAGGGAGAATTGATCACGGTATGCAAGGCAATAGGGGGCAATTATTGATTCAGATCGACAAGTTTCACTCAGGGGCCATACTATAACACTATAGGGGAAGTTATAATATAGTCGGCACGAGCGAATCAGGCAAAACCGCACTTTCCTACCCTCGACTCTGTGTGTCCACAAATGATTCACTATATTACCCATAATGCATCACTATGGATGCTAATCGCGAACTTGCAGAAAGGACTCATGTTGAGCAATACATCCTTTGCGTCATCCATCATTATATTTGAGACGCCACGAGGAAGACTACGCTTCAAATGCTCTGCCTATGTGCGGGACTTGAGGGACTGGATGGCAATTCCGCGGTCACAGTCTTGTCTTATGACGGGGATTGATTTGTCCCACGAAATCAAAATTGATTATACAGTAATCCAACAGAATTGAACATGGACTAACATCTAATATCATGATCTGGTGCAAATAGCACAAATACTCAATAGATGATCATACCGAAGAATGAGTGGAGCCTATCAGTACAAAGACGACGGCAGGTGGTGGTCACACAAATTATCAACACAAAAGAGAAAATATAGGAGAAAGAGCAGACTCAGATTGGGAGGAATGTTCCAGCAGGACGCCAACTCGAATGATTGAACGAAGGACAGAGAGACAGGAGAGTATCTGTGGAGAGTAAAGAAAGAAAATATCGTAGATGAAGAGAAGGTATAAGGATTGGGGTGAAGCTGTCTAGGGGCTTTTGCAGCCCCAGAAGCCACAATCGCTCAAGAGTAATCCAATGGATCTCGGGTTTTGAGACGTGAGGAATTCCAAGCTCGTGGACAAGAAGACGGGTTCAAAACAGTATTAGAAGGGTTGTTGGTTGGACAAGAGACAGAAAAAAAAAGAAGACTCGTCAATTATCTTTGTAAGTGACTCGAGTCCGGGTTGAGGACCTGCCCACAAACCCTACAAGCAAATTCCAATCTCATAAGACGATGTTCAGTGATGATGGGGTGAGTGCATGCGGTCAACCCTCGGACTATACCGGCTGGTACGAGAAAGAGAGCCAACATCATGTTTGCCATCACAACAAGCGCGGACATTCTCAAGCCGATCTTGTTCTTGGGTTTCGATGACTTGTCGGAGATCATCAGCACTTTCTTGACCATGGAGACTTTCACCGCCAATACTGGGAGATTGGCCGTGTCGTCCCTTCAGGTTTGCGATGGACCCCCGAATCGAACTGGAGATGGTACTGAGCCTTGAAGAAGAGCGTTGGCGGGCTTCATCGGGGACTTGCAATGATGAGTTTGGGACAGGGGAGGTGAGCGCCGGTGATGCACGCCCACCGTGCGTCCCGTTAGATCGCAGAGACATTGCTGACGCCGCTCGACGTTGCTTGATTGTGCGAGCAGTGCGACTGTTGTGGGATGAGAATGACGTCCGCGCATTCGGTCGAGAGCTAGACCGCAAGCTAGGAGGGTGGAAATCGTCGATGCCGTCGACAGACACGCTATTGTCGTCATAGTTGTCGCTCTCCCTTAGAAGGAGATAAGAAAGAGCGTTGAACCATGTCTCGTGCCTCTGGCTTGTCGTAGCCGTAAACCGAACCCGTCGGCCAGGACTCACAACCTCCAAGCTTCTACAGTGAAGACCTGGCGGATAAGGGTTGTCATCGGCAACTACTCGAACAGCCTCGATAGGGACACTCTTGGTACGAAGCTCGGTTTTCCCGGCAGTTTGCGGGTCTTGTGTACTCCAGTAGAGGGTACGGGTGTATGGGTGAACCCAGAAGTATCGTCGGTGTCTAGTAGATGACATTTCCGACGAACCCGTCTTGCGAGTGTACTTCCAAAGGAACTCGCCAATCATGGTTTGAGTTATCGCCTGGATCATCCGCGGATCCGTGTTAGGACCATAACCCTGAGGAATGGGGCCAGAATGAGTGTTGATATTGAAGCGTTCCTCGATCTCTGATGCGAACGACGATACTGAAGATCGTCGAGACAGTTGACTTTGGCTTCCTCTCCTTACTCTGGCCTGGGAAGAACCGGTTCTCGAAGATGCCGCTCGCGCAGCATGCTCGCTTGGGGTGAGTGGGCGCTGAGAATTCATGCGGTAGGCAGAGGCAGGTGCCAGAGGTGGCCCCATGGCAGAGTTGGGGGACGGCGGCGCCATATCGATAGACCTCTTCTCGGCTGCCATGATGGCTTCCCGATGGTCGCAAGGGAGTGGGGGATGGGCACTTGCACCAGATGTTCCACTTGTGGCACTAGGAGGCCGGCGTTGGTTTGGCGTTGTTGACCTTGCGGTTTGAATTTGTGAAAGCCGGGGTCGAGACTGAGCTTTGGGTGTCATGTAACCGGATGCAGCAGTTGTAGCAACTGCGGCAATTTCGCGCGAGTTGTCGGTCACCTGGCTGTCGGAAGATAAGGGGCGTCCGAACCCACGATCCATGAGGATCTGATCGATCTGCTTGGATGACAGGATTGTCTGAGATCCCTGATCGGTGCTCACCGAACTAGATTTCTGTTTAGCAGAACGTGCGAGAGCGTTGCCAGAAATATCGTTCAAAGCCAGTCCAGCACCAGCGAGGTGTTGGCTGTTGGCTGTGTTGGGACGGCTGCGTGTAGTATTGGTGAGCTTGTCTTCGTGAACGATCACTGCAGCCCCTGCAGCCTTGAGCTCTGCTGGCTCTGTTTGAGTAGATAGGTCTGCCACCGCAGGAATGACAAATGGCATCGATTTCACTGGATGGGTTTCCACGGAGCTCACAGAGGAGAATGATAATGCCGGGGTAGGAACAACACGGGGCGTTGGAATGATAGGCTCCGTATATGATGGATCGAGGCAAGAGATTGTCAATTCTGGTACCTCGCGCTCACGTTCGACGTGTTTAATGACATCAACGTATTGAATGACAGGTCGCTCTGGTTCGGGGACAGTTGCTTTGACTGGTGCAGTAGATTGAGTGGCGATTGAAGAGAAGATTAATTCAGGCACCTCACGCTCACGTTCAACGTATTGAATGGTCGGTTCTGGCTTAGCAAGTTCCGCGTAAGCAGGTGTTGTGGATTGTGCTGTGATAGAAGAAAAGCTCAGCTCTGGCACTTCACGCTCACGTTCAACGTGCTTGATGACATCCACGTATTGGATAACAGGCGGTTCCGGTTCAGGAACAGTTGCCTTAACTGGCGCAGTAGATTGAGTTGTGATGGAAGAGAACGTCAGTTCAGGGATCTCCGGCTCACGTTCAACGTGCTTGATGACATCCACGTATTGGATAACAGGCGGTTCCGGTTCAGGAACAGTTGCCTTAACCGGCGCAGTAGATTGAGTTGTGATGGAAGAGAACGTCAGCTCAGGGATCTCCGGCTCACGCTCGATGTGCTTGATCACATCGACGTACTTGACGACAGGCTCTGGTACAGCAACAGTCGCCCGGACAGGAGCAGTGAAATGATTGTTGATAGGGGAGATTGACAACTCAGGAACCTCAAGTTCACGCTCAACCTCAACGTGTTTGATCACGTCGACGTACTGGATGACAGGCTCTGGCACAGCAAGAACTGCATGAACAGGAGCAGTGGATTGACTGTTGATGGTGGAGAACGTCAATTCAGGAACCTCACGTTCACGCTCAACCTCAACGTGTTTGATTACGTCGACGTATTTGATGACAGGCTCTGGTTCAGGAACAGTTGCTTGGATTGCCTGAACGGGCGTTGTCGACTGAGCAGCGACAGATGAGAAGCTCAACTCTGGAATTTCACGCTCACGTTCAACGTGCTTGATCACATCAACGTATTTGATTACAGGCTCCGGCACAGCGAGGGTTGCCTGGACAGGAGAAGTGGATTGAGCAGCGATGGAGGAGAAGGTCAGCTCGGGCACCTCCGGCTCGCGTTCCACGTATTTAATGACATCGACATGCTTGATGATTGGCTCAGGCACGGCAACCGTTGGATGAATGGGACTGGTGATTTGTGATGAAATAGAAGATATCGTCATTTCCGGCACTTCCGGCGTGGGCAGCACATGCTTCACTGGCGTAGTGGTGCCGCCGTTGATATAAGAGACAGTCAGATCGGGGCGACTAGGGGCACGGGGCTCCGTCTCCTGAGAAGCGATGCCCGCCATGGCCAACTCTGGTAGATCGGTTTGCGCATGGGCATTGGCCTGTTCGTCTTGCACTGAACGTTCGTCCAATGGGATCCCTGACGGGTTAAGGACGTTCGCTAGGGGATCACTCTCCACAGACAAGGGGTTAGCCGGAGTCGACTGGACTTCTGAGATGACAATCTGGGGAGTTCCATCTGCTATCTCAATGATATCTCGGGTTGACTGAGTTGTCTGGGGAGGAGCAAGAGCGTGTGTGACAGCAGCTCCCGCAGCAACGCCAGCAGCTCCAGCAACAAGGGCAGCGCTGGTGGGAAGCGTGGGCTCCCAGGGTTCAGTCATAACACCAGAATCCACCATAGCGGGCTTCGGTGTTGCATCCAACATTGCATCTGAGGGCCTCCGTGAACCCAATGCAGGCTCCATTCGTGGTGTTGAGGCTTGGGAGGTCGCGTCATCCTCTTCGGTACTGTCAAGGTCCGCAAGTTCTGCGAAGAGGCTCTGGCCTTCTTGAGCTGCTGCGGCCGCTGCAAAGCTGGGTGTTGGGGATTCGCGTGAACTCGAAGGTCGGCTAGTCGATGCGAATGGGGCCTCTCCAGACGGACGAATGCGTCTGGAAAAGCTGCGCTTGGATCTGACACGCGGTCGAGACATGTGCATTTGACTGGGAGAACCGAACGCTCGGTCATAATCCTCCTCTTCAGAAGAAGCCGAAGCAGTGCTGTGGTATGAAGTGCGATCGCGAGCTTTCGCCATGACCAGAGAAGATGGAACTCGGCGGCGAGGCGTAGTCTGCACATTGTTTTCCGTCTCGGTAAGATCTGCTGAATCACTGCTGTCATCTGCCATACTTTCTAAGCCAGTTTGGAACGCTTCACTCTCAGTTGCAGTTGCTCGCTCATTCGCTGTCTCAAATCCATCTTCTGCTTCAGTGGCTGTCTGATACACATCACTAGGTCCATCCGGAGACTCTGAGCCAGAGGGGCCTCTGATGGGCATCGACCTGGTGTGGTTCTGAGTCGGACTGACTTGGCTAGCGTTGTCTTCCCAGTCGGTATCTTGAAGCTCAACAAATGATTTTTCTTTGCGGCCTGCGCCCAGAAGATCTGGACGGGGGGCTTTCGTGATGTATCTGGCTTTGTCTTCTGGCGTTTGCTGGATGCGTTTGGCACAGTGCTCTCGCGGCGGCGTGTCTCGACTTCATCCCGGGCATCTTGCAGCATGCGCTTGAGTTCAATCTTCTCGGTCTTTTCGCGGTGAATTGTGCTCTTGAGGTTCTGGATCATGCGATGAGCATGGCCAAGTGAGCTCTTCAAGGTTTCCGACTCGAGATGGCCATGTCGAGGAGTGAACTTGTTGGGGGACGGTGGTGGGGAACTTTCAGGCGTGATGTGATCGGGCTCATTGTCCTCGTTGTCATATGAAACATCTCGGGAACCTTGTGATTCATGCTCCCGGAGACGCATGGTAACTATTTTGGCAAGCTCTTGGTTTTGAGAAGTCATTTCCAGGAGTTTCTTCTGGAGCGCAGACTTCTCGGCATCGCCCGAGGTCAAATTCCGCCGCAAAAGATGGATTTCTGCATCGTTTGCTTTCTGCGTCAGGCTTTGTTCCTCAAGCAACCTAGCATTGGCCTGCCTCAACTCCTCCAGCTCTCGTTCCACGGCATTCTTCTCCGCGTTGGATGTAGTTACAGTGCTGTTGAGTCGTTGTTCACGTTCCGCAGCATCCCTAAGAGCCGCCATCAACTCATGTGCCTGAGTCTCCAGTGCCCAATTCTCATCCTTGTACCGTTGCTCGCCATCGTCAAGCGCCCGGATTCTTTGTCCATAGCCCTCTGCCTCTAACTCAAGTCGAGATTTTTCCAGATTAACAAACTTGAGGGTCTCATCCCGTTCTGCGAGAAGGGCTTGAAGCTGGCGGACCTGGGCCAAGAGAGAAGTCGAAATCTCAGTCGCAAATTCGATGTCATGAACACGATTAGACGGTTGGTTACGCTGCTTGCGAGATGGAACGCTGACTTTGCTGGGGGAATTGGTTGCTTGGCTGGCGAATAAAGCAGCATTAAGGGGTGACTGTGGAAATTTGAGATTAGTCTGGCTGGAATCGAGGCCAAAGTCAGGCGCAAAGCTCAGAATTTACCTTTGTGTCGAAAGTGGGTGTCCCAGGCTGAGCATCCTCCGGGCCTCCAGCAAGACGCTTAGGCCCCAAAAATGCACGCGCCGATTCACGTCCAATCTCATTATACTCCTTTTCCAAATCTGCCAACTTACGTCGGAGCTCCGGACCCATCTCTCCCTCATCCTGTTGTTGTTCTACCTCCTTCAACTGCTCTGATAGCTGCTGCTGTTGTTCGATGAGGGCCGTTCCAAGCTTTGAGGCCTCCTCCAGTCGACGCTCTGTTTCTGCGAGATGCGCTTCGAGGGCCCGTTTGGCTTGGGCTGGCGATGATGCATTGAGACTATAGAGCTGCGTATCAAAGGACGAGTATCGATGGGAATCGCGGGGAACAGCGAACTTCCCAGACTTCGCAACGAAGGGGTCCTCCATGGATCCAAATGGCCCGGTGGCGTCAACATTGGATGTGGTCATTATATGGGAATCGGGGGCCTCAAACGGCGCCTGAATCCTCTAACTGGGGAGGACACAGTTGCCGTTGAGATCTCAGGAGAGGGGATTGCGCGGTGATCTTTGTTCGGAGTATCTAGGCCGCGGGCATCATCTGAATCACCGTTCTCGGTCAAAACTGTCGTCGCAAGACGTTTTTCGTTGAGCTATTTGCCGAGCCGACCAGCGACCAGAGGTTGTTCGGGATTACCGCGCGCTAATCTGGATGCAATGGGTTTAAAACGACACACCGTCGAAAGATGTGTGGGGAGGAAAGAAGAGGGGGAAAGTCCAATCAATTAAAACAACAAACACCGAGGACCTTTGGACGAATCAGTGTGAGCCTCGTGAGATTGGCCAGACAAGCGCGTAGAGATGCAACTAACCACAACAAAGTGCTCGGGATCTGCAGATGTCGACGCAAGCTGGTCAACCTCGAATCTGAATAAAGGAAGGACAATAGACAAAGGAGAAAACAAAAGGACTGCTAATTAGAAAAAGACGCAAAAAGGAAAAGGGAGCGTAGGGAGCGATTCGACAGGTCGAGTTGGGATGACTCGGGCGGGGGAGGAAAGGGAAAAGAAAGGGAATCAGCGAACGTGCTGTTATTATTGCCAATTGGCGCCGGTGTTTGAGATTCACGATCGAGAATCACCCCAGGCGGAGAGAACGAAGGATCGAGGGTATCTTTTTATCAAGTAGGAGTTTAGTTCACTACGATCTATAAATAATCCAAATTAGATCTGATTCGATGGCCCCCCTACCTACTGTCTCGTCGGATTTTCGCTATTAACCCGTCTTTAAGTGAGGAGGTTGTTTGTGCGGTTTGCATGTGCCAATAATCGCTTAGTCAGTCCGAAGAGGGCCCGCGCAGAGGACCATACGTCAATCTCCAAGCCCTCAACGGTTTAAACATCTTCTTACCCCCGTAAAGATCCCAGCGTTTACTCTGTTACTGAGAAGTATGGGTGAAGAGACGCAAACCGCAGATGTTGTGCCCCAGGTGGCTTTCAAGAAGCGATCCAAAGGCAAAGCCAACTTTCGCAAGAAGCCCGCAACGCCACCTCCAGCTTCTGACTCCGACTCCGATTTTGAATCATCTGATGACGGCGAAGGGCGACGGATCAAGAGACGACGTAAGAATGCAGCTGTGACTGCATCATCCACATCCAATACGACAAGGAAATACCGCACAGAGGACAAGCCTACAACTGCGACTCCCGCCCCACTGACATCGAGCAACGATGCGACAAAACATTCCGACTGGTATGACGAGGACCTGAGCGCAAAAAACCTGTTAGGCACCACCCGGGCGAAACCAGGCCCTCTTGCGTCAGGGCCAGACGGAAGCTACAAGGGTGCAGCCAATTATCAATCTTTTATTCAGAAGAATCCTGATGCACCCGGCAAATTTGGCCCTATCAAAGCACCAACCAATGTGCGGACTGTGACTGTGACGGATTTTGCCCCCGATGTGTGCAAAGACTGGAAACAAACTGGCTACGTGAGTCACATCCTTCACTCTAACTGCCTTGTACAAGATCAAGACTAACCTTCTATAATCAGTGTGGCTTTGGAGATTCGTGCAAATTCCTTCATTCAAGAGAGGCGTACAAGCAGGGTTGGGAACTGGATCGCGACTGGGAAATCAACACCAAGGGCAAGCAATTGACTGGGCGGGTAGTTTCACAGCGAAAGGGCGCAGGTAAAGCTGTGGAAGATGATGAGGATGACGATGAGGATGAGTTGCTGGAAAGCATTCCATTTGCCTGTCTCATCTGCCGGAAATCATATCGAGAACCTATCATCACCAAATGTGGTCACTATTTCTGTGAATCATGTGCCCTGCAACGATACCGGAAGAACCCCTCATGTGCTGCCTGCGGTGAAGGAACCGGGGGTGTCTTCAATGTTGCAAAGAAGCTCAATGCTTTGCTAAACAAGAAGCGCGAACGTGCACGCAAGATGCGAGAGGAAGCGATCGCCAATGGGGAGGATGTCAGCGATGAAGAAGAAGCTGACGATAGCGACTAGTCAGACTACATTTCTGTGTAATATAATGTGAACATAAGACGCAGCTGGACTGCAAACCTTGTTCTATGTCATAGTATCAATAACAAACGAATGGTTGCTAAAACTTCATACCGAAATGTGCATATTACATGTAATCCTGCTCATCGATGCGTAAAGCTTCATATTGGGTTCATACAGTACAGCGGTCGAACGGGCAAAACTGATGTCGGTTGATCACGAGACTCGAGATGTACCACATGGAAGAGAATAAGTTGTCATTTTGACCTTGTTAATTTGCAGTGAGATCGGGCATTTTCGAGGAATTATATACAGATTCAATTGTACGCACAACATTGGACACTTATGACGCTGGCATACGTTGTTCTTCCTCTGTTTCTGGGGTCCGTGTGCCCTAGTGCTCCTCTGTCCCGAGATCAATCACCATACCTGGTCAGGCACTTTCTCCCTGTTTAACTACAACAATACAGGATTCATTGAGAGTCAAACTCAGATCTCCATTTTTGTATGAATATTAAATGAGCCAAGAAATAATGGCCGATCATGCTGCAAGGTGCAATCATTTGCAATGCAGAGTTTTGGGGTATGGAGTCGCACCTCAACGTCAACCCGCAAGGATATGGCAACCATCTATGCACTTGATTCAGATGGCGCACATCAATTAAATTGCTCTTGGGAGCTCAGAATGACTCCCTTGAAAGTATTACCCTCGACGACTCGCTCAAAATTCGGTACCCTCGAGCATTATACGAGTACTAACATGTGCGTCTGGACCTGCAATCTATTACACCACACAGCATCGTCCAGACTTGCATTCTTTTGCGGATGAAACTACGGCATTTAAACAAATTCGTCTTCTCCCTTGGCCACGATAGTCTTGAAACCCTGATCTCATGCGCTCCGAGACATCATTAATGCCGCGCTAATCGGCCGATGGATGGAACGGATTCTCTCATGGCCCCACACTGCAATCAACGGACCCATGTGTTAGGACCCTGAATTCCCGATCGTTGTGAAACAAACCACTGAGTTACTTACTCCGGATGTCGTACATGCCTTCCTACTTAAGGTGGCTGTGTATTCAGGCCAGGTCAACCGAATTGAGTATTGCCCAAAGGTTTTACAATCGAGTGCGCTCTACAACCAATTCTAACCTGGCCATACAACTCACTAGTTTATATGCGGGACCACCAATTCCTCCGAAGGGCTGCGCACTAATGTAGGGATTGGTAGCGTGCTAACTTCCCGATACGAGAAAGGCCGAACGCCACGTGGATCCCGTGGTACGGAGAAAACACGCGTGTCGCCACAGTGGACTGCAGACGATGTTAGATGACGTTGCCCCTTCATGACTTTCCCTTGCGTGGCCGTCAATGTAACGGATCTGGGGGGCATTTGTTACCACTGTACTCCGTACAATACTCGCTTACCATCCTCAACTATCCAATCCATCATTATCATTGGTTTAGAAGCTATTCTTGTCATTCATTATATCAAGCTTTCCCGTCCATAGCTCAAGCGCGAGCTTCAGACTGAAAGGAGGCAAGCGCGCCCCAGAGCCAAGCTTTTGCTGCCAAGAGCCCTGGACCCTCTAAACACATCCTCCGCCTAAACACACCTCCGGGCCCCGGCTTCACATTAAGAGCGGCTCCCCTGAGCCGAACGCCTCCCAGTGGCCAATGATATGAGGATGACATTCTAACTTTGGGCTTGAGTCCACCCGGGGATATGAGGCTCTGATGGTTTACTTTGCTATTCTCAGATTGTCCAAATATATACTTTGTAAACTTCCGTCACCTCTTTCCTGCCATTTTAGGCGCCTGCATTTTGGATTTTATACTAAATCCCTGTGGTCATTGTGCCTCGCCATCTCTAAATACCTAGCTCTTGCTATCCTACAACGCTTGCACTTGGGTTCCGCATCATTTCTATACCTCAGAAACCATCTACGTCTTGCAAGTATATACCAATGGCTGAATAGGGATTGTTTTACCTACATATCCACGAACGGGATACCTCTGCAGAGGAGTTCCCCTAGGATTCGATTCCGTCTATTCATAATGAAAGGTGGACTCCGTGTCGCAGGATTTTGCGTCTCGTGTATTCTTCTTTTCTCGTTATACCTGTTTGAAGCGCATCTTCAAGACCTGTGCAACCAATATCGTGCCGGTGCATACATTTATGATTGGTTAGGTCACAATGGCGCTGTCTCAAGTCCGACATACAGCGAGACCACACCAGGGGATAGAGTGATCGTTATGGCCAAGCTGGAGGAAGAGCCTACTGAATGGGTAGAGCACGAGCTACCTGAGTGAGTACTTTTGAGATCCCTACTACCTCGCTCAAGATCCAGAACTAAGCCTTATATCCAAACAGCTGGCAACGTGCAATCTACGTTGTAAATCCCTCGCGAGAGACACGGCTTAATGCCAACGCCCTTACGACTCCGCGTAACAAAGGCCATGAGTCCATGGCCTATCTCACCTACATTATCGACAACTACTACGACCTTCCTTCAACCATCGCTTTCCTTCACCCCCACCGTGCTGGTTTCCTAATGGCTTGGCACGTCGATGCACCACTCCACGATAATGCCATCGCCATGCGCAACCTACAACTCGATTTCATCCAGCAGAACGGCTACGTGAATCTTCGCTGCAATTGGAATCCTGGCTGCAAGGGCCCGCCTCGCTTCAATGGTCATGTCACCGAACAGGTTTGGATGGAAATCTTCGATAGCACGAGTACGCCGCCCTTGAATGTTTCTTCGCCTACGCAACGCGAATCTCCTGGTCAAACATACCTTCGTCAACCTGCCGAGATTGGCGCCGCCTGCTGTGCGCAATTCGCTGTCTCGCGGGATCAGGTTCGGAGGCGTCCGTTGGATGACTATGTCAAATTCCGGCAATGGATTCTTGATACAGAATTAAGCGATGCTGCATCGGGGAGGGTGATGGAGTTCCTATGGCATATCATTTTCGGAATGCAAGGTGTATAGTGAGCTACGGTCGATGGGATCTTGCTACAATATCTGACTGACTTCCTTCGCAGTTGTCCCGATGAACAATTATGCTATTGTCAGGTATACGGGCAGTGTTGAGCCCGCTCTCGACTTGATAATCGATTTCCAACTCAGCCGCGTCATCTAGGGTTATGCTGTACATACCATGAGACCCCTCATGGTATATTATCGCAGGGTATGCGCATTACATACCATATGGCGTTCGTTTACCTCTTTTTGCCGCCTAGATCTTGGACTTCTCAGAGGAGAGGGTTTTCTTGCTTGTTTGTTATAAATTTATTGCGTTCAAGCGTCGAGTACAAGGTTCCTCGTGAGCATGACCTACTACTTCCATCGGTAGCATTCTGGATGATCAGAAAAAATCGAAGTACATACAAATTTTGCCTGGGTAAATCAATTCCCTGGCTTTTATAGTCATAAGAGAACGAAGACCATAGACAAAATGAAGACCCCCAAAATGGAAGCCGAATTAAGAACGAAGTCACGTTTGGGCAGCCAGAACCTTTGAATTTATGTTTGATTCGGTTTGTGGTATTTTTGAACAATTTTCTATTGATATTCTTATATACTCTAGCAGGTTTTGATTGCCTCAAACAGTGCGAATGCACCGTTTCAAATAATCTTCCACTCGCTGCACATCACCAAGACAGACAACAACACCAATATACCCATCGGGCCTGACAACAACTAATGCACCATGCACCGGGTCTACACCATAGATAGCATACGCATTATCCAATGCAGAGCCATCATAGAAGCGCATCTCAGCCTCCTGCTTCACACACACCGGCACATCATCCCACCCGAATGACCGATGCAGCTTGGGATGCAAGATAATCTGTTCGATGGTAGACTTGGGGAACTGCGCTATCAGCTCAGTTACTTTCTCTAGTGTCTGCGCAGAGGCGCTGTTCCGATCCAGAAGGTCGGTCGATGTGAGAGATAGAATGCGGAAGCGGCCAGTGGAGGGAGTGTCTGCAAGATTACTTGGTTAGACAACATTTTCCCCTGGAACTACGGTTCAGTTTGACGTACCATCGTGGATATCCCTCTGCCACCCATCAGAATGTCGCAGCAGCCGAACATTGAGCAGTCGACGACCTGGTCTGAGGATGCCAGATAGGTAATCTGTTCCTTGGACCGGACTTTTGCTCTTGGCATCATCCGTGAGACCATCCCGAACAACCAACATGTTCTCTGGATATTCCACGCCACAGCCACTGGTAAAACCATTACCGAGCTTGAAGGCTTGCTGGAACTCTTCTTGGGTCAGTCCTTCAGTCGCACCCATTTGGCCGGAGAACATGGTAGAGAACTTCCGGTCGAAGTCGATGAGCTGTTGAGCGATTTCATGTCGCTCCGTCTGGTATGTCTCAAGTAATGAAGATGGACCTCCGGTGCTTGTGGGTTCTGGTGCAAGTCCGTTAATATGATACATGAGTTTCCAGGCTAAGTTGTAGGAGTCCATCATGGAGACGTTCATGCCTTGGCCCGCCTAGTACAATAGGAGTTAGCAATATCCCCGAGAAATAGGTTGCAGTATGGACTTGCTTTCGGACTGTGTGTATGGCAGGCTATAGATGAAAATCATGTCAGTTCAAACTCATGCACTCCCCTTAAAGCGAACATACCGTCTCCAGTGATGAAAACCCTAGCAACCCCCTTCGAATCATTGACAATAAATTCAGGCGAAACACGCTGGCCAATTTGGTAAGCAGCCCACCAGTCGACCGCATCCTCCTTGGGCCGAAGAGAGTATGGCTTCATCGCATCGGAAGCCTGTTTCAGAATTCCCTCAAGGGTAATCTTACTCCTTCGCTGGCGCGCATCCTCAAGCTTGACGCCTTCTCCATTCGACAGTTGATCACCCTCGGGAGGCACTTCCTCAGGAACCTGAACATACAAACGAGTGAGATACTCGCCAGTAGAGATCCTCTCTCTGGGAATAATCATCACCGATCCCGCAGGCGAATGAATACCGCATCGTCGACGAATGTCCGGGAAATCAGTTTCAGCAACCATATCAACCACACCCCAGATATGATCCAAAGACTCTCCCTCCAAACGCAGTCCCATACACTGCCGGACGACAGAATGAGCACCATCCGCACCAACAAGATGCTTCGTGCGCACAACCTTCTCAACTCCATCTGTGACCATAGTCACAAGCACGGGGAACTCAGCATCACCCTCTTCGTCAATCTTAACATCCACAAGATTTGTGTTCCTCACAATGCCCCGCTCAGAGTACCGCAGCAACTCAGTTTCCATGATGCGCTCGATCCGTCCTTGGTGGATGGTAGCCTCGTACCGGAATCGAGCTGGAGGAATAACCTCTGGCACGACAGATGTGCGTTCAATGATCTTGCTCGGATCAGATGACGGGTTCCAGAATGCGAACTGCCACATCTGGCATGCTTCATTCTCAATCTCGGTAGAGATACCGAGTGTTTTGAAGACCTCCAGCGTGCGGGGCTGCACGCCGTCTGCTTGGCCTGACTTCAGAGTGCCGGGCTTTGTATCAATGCAGAGGAGGGATTTATCGCTGAGGCCATAACGGGAGAGGAGCAGGCTAAGCATTAGCCCTGCTGGTCCAGCCTAGATTTTCGATATTAGACCATCATTTCGTTTCGACGTGGATTGCCATGCTCATTTCGGGGGGTTCCAGGAGTAATTAGGACACATACACCAACCACAACTGCTTCATATTTCTCTCCACTTTCATCATCGGGCTCGAATGCTGGTGCCAGTCGAGGTAGTGGTGGAGCAAATGAGGGCAGTACTCTCAAATCCCGAGATGAGGAGGAGTGTTCGGTGAAGACCGGCATTGCTTCTATGATTGCTATCCTAGCAGAATTACGAGTCTCCGGTCAAGAGAATAATCGGCATACTTATAAACTAGCCTAGAACTAAGCTGTTTCTCACGGGGTACAGCTATAGTCCCCCGCGATTTCCCTCATGCGGGGGGCGGATCTGTACATTCCCCACGAATTGGGATGAATTGGCAGCTGTTACACTGATTATGATTGGATGTGGGCTGATGAGTAGCTCGTTTTTAACAATTCGCCGGCAGAAATTGGTGAAAGCTCTCGGATTTATGCACAATCGCAAGGATATATATCGTGTGGTTATATCTCCGAACTCGTGAACCCTGATGTATCTTACTCAATCATGATAAATGACAGTATAAACCATTGAAACCCCAATTATAAATGCTGATAGTCTATCTCTACCGTGGTAGATACCTCCTATTCTCGCAAGATACCAATCATTTGTCTCCAGTCTGTTGACGAACACCCGTGGACAGGTCCCACATCAGTGGGGCTTCACCCCGCAGAATATTGGGGCCGGTGGGGTGAGATTCGGATGTGGACATCGGCATCTCTAAGCTATGAGTAATCTACAACAGCCGTGAGCTTGTATTGGGATGGTTTGGTTATCATATCCACCAATGTAATTCACACTTTGTACAGGGGTAGTATACAGAAATATCAAAATCCCCCCGCTAAGCACCACCTTTGGTTTCATCTAGCGCCGTAGAAAGCACACTCGCAAAAGCCTGTGAGATACCCCAACGCCCACCCCTTTGTAACAAGTCAATCATCCCATACAACTGGTCCAAATCCGCAATAACAGAAATCTCTCTACTCTGAGCATACCCAGGGAAGCATGCGCCCTCCGCGGCCCCATCATCCAGCAGCTTCATCTCTGGCGAGGCAAATGCTTCCGCGTGTACAATATGTTTGGGGGCATACTGCGCAACAGACAGATATATCAATGCTGCTGAAAATAGCGCACGAGGAACATGAATTGCTGGCTCGGCGGATATGCTCATACGTTCGAGATATCGGGCAATGAGCGATGCGTGCACGAGGCAGCGGCTGGCATTGAGGGAACAGGCCCATTCCCGTGCTGGCGCTGATGCTTCTAGGGCCTGGATTCGACCATCTCGGCCTATTCCTTGTTCCAGTAGGTCCATGTCTGCATATAAGGATATGAAGATGGAATGCCATAACACGGGTAGACAAAACGGATCTGGGTCAGTCGTATTGTATGTCTCCCACCACTGAATCAAAAGATTAGACGTATTTTGGCTGATCAGATGGTCGAATTCGTGCGACTGTCTAGCATCTATGAGGCGAGCGCTGATTCCTTCAAGGATTCCATATGCGGTAAACCTTGAATCATGGCCTGTGACTGGGAATGGATCTAAAGACCGGAGTAATTGAGGATGGAGCTGTTCCTCAGCCTGCGATTGTAGAGTCTGACGAAAAATCTCGGCCCATTTGGATGCTGTAGGTGCAGAAAACAATTCGTCCGATGCTAGACGGGGAAACTGGCGGAATCGATGACTGCGTATTGGCTGATGGTGGTTTAGAGCTGCCAGCTCAGCATCGTGAACATTTAATGCAGCTTGAACTCGAGCTCGTTGTTCGTTATCAATCCATTGATTCCAACTTCTTTCAATATCTGTGGTTTCACGTATATCTTGTGGCTGACTGCAAAGATTACCAAGTCGATTTGCTTCACGGGCCCATGAGGCGACTGTTCCGTGCAAAACATCAGCTAGAACAAGGAACTTAGGCTTGCCAGCCAGAATAGCGTAGGTTTGGCCCAAGATAGCAGCTTGTACCATAGACAGGGCATCTGGTCGGCTTTCTGACAAGAATGATTCCCATGACGCCAAAATGGCTTTGTTCAATCGCTCAAATATTCGTGCACCTTGAGTCACTGCGCGAGAAGACCCAACGAACAAGCTCCCGATGGAGCAAATGGACAAAAATAGCAGAGAGTTTTCTGCTGTTGGTCGAAACGAAGGGGCATGTATAACCGGCAACAAAGGATGAAATCGATGGAAATATAGTTTCGCGAAAAGATTCAGCTGTTCCGAAGACGGCAACGCCTCATCTTCCATAGGTCGACGAAGCTTTTGTGAGAGACCAGCTCGATATGACTCATTCGCATTTGTTTGTCCTGGCCAACTTGGCCCTGTAGCTTTGAATTCCCGGTTAGATCGGGTCTCGTCAGATGGAGACATATGAGTGAACCATTTACGCTTGACTGAGTCTCCAGCCATATTTGATGCTTCGATCTCTGGAATAGAGCTTTGAATAGGAGTGAAACCATCATGGTTCTGCGTAGAAAGACTTGGTGCAGGAAACACATTTGGGATCTGTGCCCATTCGGATATTGTCGAGGTTATCGAGAAGTCAAGCGCGCTAACGTCAAAATCATCCTCGAGGAACCATGTCCCAGGCCCTGAACTGGGGGCCGTATCACCTTCACCAGTTGGTGCAGATGTGGCACGTTGCTCAAAGTCAACAGTGGTAGCGTGATGTAGAGTTGATATATCGGTGCTGAGAGACCTTTTGGGAGAGACATGAGTTGCTGGATCAGTAGGCAGCCTCGATAGGTTTCTGAATGAATCGGCCATGGAAGGAGGCGTGAGCATCGCAGAACCATCGGCGAACCCTCGAGGGGAAGCAGTGGTCAAGCCTTCCAATTGAACACTGTGACTTCTCTCATGTCGGCGTAGAACATCACTGAAATAGTTAGTACATATTACTATTAACTACAGGGGTAATTTTGTACCTTCGCGAATATAATTTCCCACAGACATGGCATACAAATGGTCTTTCTTTGGTGTGACCACGAATATGCCTGGTGAGATGCTCTTTCTTGGAAAATGTCTTGTTGCATGTATAACACTTCCGATCATCTTGAGACCGCACTTTGTTCATGTTTCTTTTTGCTGTAGATGACCTTGCGAATTGGTGGCGGGGTGACTTTGATCGCAAGAGAGGCACATGGATCAGAGAAAGAAAGACATCGACTCGGAGTGTACTGAGATCAATCACTTCGTGAACAGAATTCCTGGTCTCTAGTTTCGGGTTCAGGATATTTTTCTCCACCAGTCACTGCAATATGCAAGTAAATGCAGGGTACGTAGGTCGTTGTTGTTAAGGGGATAGTCTGGGGTTCCCCCACTTCCCCACATCCAGTTTGGTATCAGAAAACCGTTAGTCAGCGGGGTCCCCCGGGCGTGGACTTCATCGGAGTCTGTGTATAGCGCTCACAGTTTCGATTAAAACCAAAGAGATCGAAAGGAAGACGTCTAAATTGGGCCTCTTTGGCGAGGGCCACGGACATGGTTTGATCTGAGATGTATGGATGGACACCTAACACAAATACACGAGGATGGTAAAGAAAAGAAGAGCTATTAATGAGGGCTAGGTAGATTTGGGCCCTGATCCTGCCCTTAGATAGACCTATATAGGTAACACTCGGGGATTGTAGAAAATTTGAGGTCCCTCCGAGCTGAAACCCGAATGTTTTCCACCTAGCCAGTGTGGTCATTTCAGCCTTTTTTTTATTGATTTTATATTTTGCGGCCTGCCGGAACCCTGTTGATTGCTTTGCAATGACTATAAAATATGTGAATGAAGCAATAGGATACACTCGTAACTCATTATTTGGGCCACAAACTGCTGTAGCCCTGGATCCCACCCCCAATGATCCTAAGCAAACTGCAACCAGCATTTAGAACTTTTGCTCAAAGTACTGCTCAACCCGGTCCACGAGATCTGCTTTCTTCCCTGCTGTGGCGCGGCCATGCGCATTCAGGAATTCCTTCAATACGGCCACCGTAAGCTTTGTGTAATCATTAGCTTTGATCCTTGACCTCCACAGACAACTTAAATGCTCACCTTGGAGACACTTCCTTTCTCATAGCATCGCTTAACGTCGTCTTCCACCCCTGAGGCACCATCTTCAACCTTCACCCGCTTGGATGGGTGGTCGTCTGCAGGCTCGCTCTTTGCCCCTCGCTTGACCAGCGTGGAAGTGGCGCCTGGTCTTCCGCCAAACATCTTAGAGGCCTGCGCTTTGTGTTGTTCTGCCCATTCGAGAATATAGTCACCAGCACGCTGTGGTGGAGCCGACATCTGGTCAGTATATTCCGTCGTATTATTTTGGATTATGGAAGCAGCCAACCTTGTGAATTTGTCGGTATTTGGGCATGGTCTTGTCATCTGGTGATCCCGGCGCGTCTTCATCTAAAGCGACGGCCTGGAGGATACGATAATGCCATTGAAGTGCTTCACCTTGATCAGTAAAACCCTAAATGGATTGCAGTAAATGACTTACAAGGATTTGGATATTTGGAGGGTTCATACACAGCCTTCGGAAGCTGCAGCTGCCGAATCACGTCTCTCATGGCGTTGTTGAGTGGATCCTCCGCTCGGCGTAAGGTGCTGTCTGGATTCTGGCGCACGTCGTCCGCGAATGGAAGAGGGATAATCCACATGCCGGGTGGAATTTTCTGTACACCATTCTCATCGATCTTTTCGGCCCCAGCAATCATAGCAGCCAAAACTGGTGAGGCATTCTTGCGGGGAATAAACCACACCAAAGCAAGCTTCTGGGAATCAAGAAGCTTCTGCTGCAAGGCAGAAAATACCCGCGTGGAGCCAATATAATCCTCTTCAGAGGGATAGATGAATGACGGATGTTTGACATTGGCCCATATTGGGAGATCTGCTAGCGGCCTGAAACCAATGATCCGAATGACGGGATCACCAAATTGTTTTAGAGCCTGTTGCTCTTCGACTGTGAAAGAAACCTGTTCACCACCGAATTTGTATGCCTTGCGAATATCAGACTTTTCTACTGCTTGTGCTGTATCATCCGCAGTTTGAATTGTAACACCTTTGGCAATTTGGGGGGTCTCGCCTCCCTGCCAGACAAAGCAACTCCTGGCGGGCTGTTGCTTTTTAAGGAGTAGATATCCATTGACAGATATTTTGAAATCGGGACCTATCTCAAGCGGCACATTCGAGAACAGAGATCGGCGTGGGACAGATCTCGAGTTGATACTGGATAGTAGAGAGTTAAGTAGGGAGAGCCCGTCACCTTTAGCCGTAGACGTGTTAGTGTCCGGCTTTAAGTATGATGGTGCATCTCCATCACTAGGCGATGTTTTGTAAATTATGTCCTGCTTATTGTAAGTTTCACCGTATATGATTCAGATGACCAACTTACGTCGTAGAATTTAGAGGTATCGAATTCGTGGTCTGGGTGAGAGATGGGGAACAGCTCGATATTGACACCGAGATCATACAGATCTCTTGCTCGAACAGTCGCAGCAGAACGCAACGCTTTGTTGTCAGCATGGGGGTTATCGTTGTCAGTCACGACGAACAGTCGTCGAGATAAGAAGTTTGGGGCCTTGGAGGTAAAGATCTGATTTGCACAGAACAAGACATTGGCCATCGATACCGGCTCCTTTGATGGTTCTAGGACCTGGCGTACTTCATCATCAGCGTCCGCTGGAGATGCCAAGGACCGCAATTGCTTGACTTCCTGGGCCGAGGGAACATCTAGATCCGTGTAAAGATAGCAATGAGGGTATGATAGATCTTTGCGGTCCCCTTCGCTTTCATCATAGAACTTTGATGATTTTGTGCCATAGAGTAAAACACCAATCATATCACGCGGGTTCGAGATGATTCTTTGTTGCATGAGACTGTATGCGCATTTCAGGGCAGCAGAGGCGGGTGACTCGTCGCTGTGTTTCTTCGGATCAGGTGATGGACGAGGCGTCAGCATAGAGCTGCTAATGTCTATGGCAAATAGCACTGCATCCTTGACCGATTTGAAGCTCTATCAAGGCAACGGTCAACAGTTGAGAACTATATCTTCGGCTTTTGATACTCACGGTCTCATCAAGCTCCTCGTCCTCGTAATCTTCCTCCTCACGCGTGTAGCTATTGTCAGCCATAATTATGAATTAGAGCGATTTGGGAAGATAGAAAGGTTGCAGAAACATCAAATATGCCTACATCATTGGGACGCGCTCTCCGACGCGAGCAACACGAAAGTCAGGTGACGCTGATGCCTGAAGCTGCTGACATCCTCTCGCCGTGATTGGCCCGCGGGGCGGAAGCTCAGGAAACCGGAATTCCAAATTCGCCTCGGGACAATCCGAGGTCCAAGTAAGACAAGTCAGACTCTGGAAAGCGAAGGGAGTACTGTCGAATTATCACTCTCACCAATCAATACCTCGATTATATGATTTTTGGTCTATTCCCAGTTATACCATTCAATTGACTCAACTATGGCATTCCGCAGTCCTTTTGCGATACCCCGGCAGCTATTAACTGCCACCTCTCTCGGAGCTCGCCCGGCGATCAACAGTCGATTGAGATGCATGACAAGTCAAAGAGGTCTTGCGACAGTGGTGCCCCCAGTCACGCAAGATGCAACAGGCTCTAAGGGTCCAACTGCTATGGTCTTTATGAACATGGGTGGACCTTCCACAACAGACGAGGTGGAGGACTTTCTGAGCAGACTATTTGTACGCATCGATGAATTGCTGAACTGGTCACATTGCATCTCAATGCTAACATAGTTCGTGACAGGCCGACGGTGACTTGATCCCTCTAGGCCGACTCCAATCCTACATCGGACCCCTCATTGCACGCCGCAGAACCTCGAAGATCCAGAAGCAGTACGCAGATATCGGTGGCGGTTCACCCATTCGGAAATGGTCCGAGTACCAGTGCGAAGAGATGTGCAAGCTTTTGGACAAGATGTCTCCCGAAACCGCGCCCCATAAGCCCTACGTTGCCTTCCGCTACGCTGCTCCCTTGACCGAGACCATGTATGAACAGCTCTTTGCCGATGGATTTGGTAACGGCAAGGGAGGCCGTGCTATCGCCTTTACACAATACCCCCAGTATTCCTGCTCAACGACTGGCAGCTCACTTAACGAGTTATGGAAGTGGCGTAATCGTCTGGAGGGAAAGCGCGCAAATGGAGGATCTGAGCCGGCTGGCGCAATCCAATGGAGTGTCATTGACCGGTGGCCCACTCATTCGGGTCTTGTCGAGGCCTTCGCGCAGAATATTGAGGCCCAGCTCAAGACCTACCCGGAAGAGAAGCGAGACGAGGTTGTGTTGCTGTTTTCGGCCCACAGCTTGCCTATGAGCGTTGTGAACCGAGGTAGGCAGATTTCCCTAGGTATTTCATCGAGAATCCGCTAACCATTCGCTCTTAGGTGATCCCTATCCCGCCGAGGTTGCCGCGACCGTTCATGCTGTAATGCAACGACTCAAGTTCAAGAACCCCTACCGCCTGTGCTGGCAATCCCAGGTGGGACCTAGTGCATGGCTCGGTGCCCAAACCAGTGACACTGTTCAAGAATATGTGAAGCGAGGCCAGACCGACTTGATCCTGGTTCCCATCGCCTTCACCAGTGATCACATTGAGACTCTATACGAGCTGGATCAGGAAGTCATTCACGAAGCCAACAGCCCCGGTGTCAAGCGCGCCGAGAGCTTAAACGGAAGTCCAGTCTTCATCCAGGCACTTGCCGATATTGCTCACGAGCACTTGAAAAAGGGAGAATTATGTTCTCGTCAAATGACGCTGCGCTGCCAGGGCTGCACCAGCGAGCGATGCTTGGGCCAGAAGAAGTTCTTCGCAGGCCAGGAAAATGCCTCTATGGTAATTTAAGACGGATGAGCTGATGTTTCGGGGGGATATCTTGTATTTGAACTCGGAGAGTCGAGCCTCGTATGTGTATTGGACACTGGAAGGTGTTAGAGGCGTTGTTAGAGTATAAAATTTCGGATTTAATGTACGGCATAATGTATTTTCCATTCTCGCCCGGATGTTGTAATAGGTGCTATGCTTGGCACGGATTGTGTCATTCTCGTCATTTCCTCGTATCTAGTTGACCAGGGCAGTTGTTGGGTAGCGAAGACCAAAGATAAGAGCATAAATGAGCCAGCGCATCCGAGATTCGGGGTTAACGGCTGCCAATGGAATTGCGATGAGAGATTCCGACGAAACTAGCCGCTAACGTCCCCCTCTTTCATAGTAGACGAGTCATTGTGAAGTGTCCCGGTATTTGAATTACAAATCAATTATAGCCCTGGGGAATTTCAAGATTCAAGGTTGCACATTCATCGCCAATGTCATCAACTTCATCATGGAGAACGAAGCATTATTTGCGAACGAGCCCGAGGTTGATGCGCAGATGCGCGTCCGAGCTCATCGCACTGAAGATGTGACCGAAAACACACCCCTAATCGAAGGAACCGTAGCATCATTGCATCAGTCCAGTCATATCACTGATGATCGGCCGCAATGGAGAAAAGCCAGCGTGAGTGAATACGAGGTCGCGACAATGCTTCAGGAACAAATGTCTGACAGTTGCCGCAACAGATCTGGTGGCTGATGCCATTCGGCATCCTGTTCATGCTGGGCTTCGGTGGAATCGCCGTCCCCAAAATTAATTTGATCATGTCGCTCATCTGTCGAGATTATCTCGCCGAGAAGACTGCCAAAGACCCAGGGTTTACTTATCTCCCCGTTATATTCGGCGAGGACAACTCCCAGTGTCACATCCCGCAAGTTCAGTCGCTGGTCGCCCAGTTCCAACTCTATCTTAATCTTGTTGCTGGCATTATATCAGCATTGGTGAGTCCGCGCCTGGGCCACCTGTCTGACCGTTACGGAAGAACAAAGATGATCGCGCTGGGCGCGCTGGGTGCAGTACTCAATGAAATCATCACTGTAATCGTCGCTACATGGCCTGAGCGGGCCTCGGTCAATATGCTTCTAGTTGGAGCAGTTATGGATGGACTTGGTGGATCATTCACAACTGCGCAGGCTTTGATCCATTCCTATGCCTCTGATTGTACGCCAATCGAGAAACGAAGCGTGGCATTTGGTTTGTTCCACGGAGCTTTATTCTTTGGAATCGCCGCTGGACCAGGCGGTGCAGCATATTTGATTAAGCATGGAGGCACACTGCTCGTTTTCTACATTGCACTTGCATTCCATGCCACTTTCTGTTTATCGGTCTTCTTCGTTGTGCCGGAGTCCTTATCCCATGATCGGCAACTTGTTGCCCGCGAGAAACATCGCAGGAAATCCCTGGATGCTGAAACTCCAAAATGGTACTCTTGGCGCATCTGGAATCCCATGAACCTGATCACTCCTCTTGCAATTCTGATGCCCGCCGTTGGGAAGCCAAGCATCTTATTTCCCAACCGCCGCGGAGCCAGTCCAGCTCTACGGCGGAACATTGTTCTGCTGGCTGCTATTGATACTGCCGTGTTTGGAGTTGCCATGGGTACAGTGCAGATTATCATCATCTACGCCGAGTACATGTTCCATTGGGGCAGTGTGGAGTCCAGTCTGTTTGTCGCAATCATCAACGTGGCGCGAGTGGTCAATCTTTTCGTCGTACTCCCAATCATCTCCCGATTTTTCCGTACCCCGTGCAAGGAAGATGGAACAATTCGCGGCTCAGACACTCTGGACATTGTCCTAATTCGCACATCGATAATCTTTGATGTATTAGGCTATATTGGTTATGCCCTGTCCAACACGCCATCATTAATGATAATTTCTGGTGTCATCGCCTCGCTGGGTGGCATGGGATCAGCGATCCTGCAATCATCTCTGACGAAACACGTGCCCCATGAACGCATTGGGCAGATGCTAGGTGCTATCGGTCTTCTGCACGCCCTTGCTCGGGTTGTTGCCCCGACTGTCTTCAATCTAATCTACAGTCTGACTGTTGCAACGTTACCCCAGACAGTGTTTATGGCACTTGCAGCTGTGTTTGGTTTAGCCTTCCTCATGAGTCTGCTCATCCGGCCACATGGTACGTTTACTTAAACGGAGATGATCCCCAACAGTATGCTAATTGTTGAGCCAGTTACCCTTGATACAGAAGCCCCTGCCGATCTCGGAGCGGAAGAAGATGGTGCTGATGAGCAAGATGAGCTTTTGCGATAACCAGCTGGACTTCCTTTTGCATTGTATGTATGGCTTCCGTTCTTCGAATAGACGATTACGAAATCTTGTTTTGGAGAAATCCCATCGATACTTGCGTATGTAGGTGTTGATATATATCTTGTAGCGATAATGATATGTGATACATGCTAGCATTGTAAGAGAGAACAATGCGAGCTATAGAATCAGACACTGGCAGATAACCATCAGCATAGTCGTATAATATATCCAGGGCACCTTAGGTTATATCTCTAGCATTTATATTGGAAACATCTTACTTCCGCATATAGGTGATACTTCATCCAGCAATTCGAGGGGAGGTATAACAAAGCTGTTCATGAAACACCATAGAGAGTCGCTATAGATCGTGAAAGCTATACGTTCAATGAAGAACATAATCTTCTTCGGTATCGACCTCGCCAACAGGAGTAAAATACCCTACAAAGCGAGAACAAATGACAGGGGAGACCTGTGGATGGATTCATGGTCGTATGACCACGCTCCGGCGGGCGGCACGAGCCTAACGCGCAAGTTGACTTGCATTTGCGGGAAAAAAGAAGTTGCTCCGAAATTACCCTATTCGATCAGCTCCAATTGACTGTCCCAACACCTGATCTTGTATTATAGTTGATGATTGGAGTTGTGTGCATTTCATCTAATCGATCGACCGCTTTCCGCAACATTTATGCGAGCCGACTGATGCACGACTGGTGAATTCGCGCGCAACCGGCGCTCAGCATTTACACCATGCTTTCTCGCGCCGCCAAATCCTCCTCATTAATCCCCTCTCGAAATGCTCTCCGAGTTCTCCGTCAATTGGCCCTGGCCGGCTCAACAGTCGGCGGTTTCTGCACCGTTGCAGCCTTCACATACGATGCCAATCGCCGAGTCCGGATTGCCGAGAAAATCATCGAGAATAAACGAACATTACACAGCACCGCACCAAATTACGATGCAACATCTGCTGCCAAACGCTTGAAGGTGATGGTCGAGGCCGCGGAAGCAGGTGAATTCATGGGTATTGAATCCCTCAAGGCGAGGAACCGGAACGTACCTGACGGACCCCATGAGCCGGGGTCCGAGACAGAGAAAACAATTCACAATTCTAAGCCTAAACCTCTTGTCAGCTTAGAGAAACACCATGCTCGCACGAAACGTTCAATCTTGGGAAGCCAACCAAATGCCCAATTCAATTACAAGGACAAGATGGACGCCCCAAGCTTGGCTCGCAATGCCGAAGTCCTGGCCCGTGAGAAAAAGCAGGCCGAGATTGCGCGAGAATCAGGCAGACTCCCCTTCGATGCTGAAATCTGCAGATTGTTGAATGAAGAGCGGGAAATCACAGCTGCGAACTTGTTCCTGGCGCACACTCGGCAAACACCTGTCATCTCCTGGGAACGTAGAGAACTTGCGTGTCTCATATTCACGGCAAATTGTATCAAAGGCAATCTTTTTGTTGCCCGGACTTTGTTCAATCGCATTGACAAGGTCAGCATTGTCTCCAACGAGATGTGGGCCACATTGATGCATCTGCTTGCGAAGGAGGGCCACATCGATTCTGTTGGCGTCATATACGAGAAATACAGGACTAACTTTGTTGTCCCAACGCATCTCCTGGAGGTCATTCTTCGATGTCTAATCGAGTCCAAACGGCTGGACTCCGCCAAGTTCCTCTTCTTCCAGCGGTTCAAGGATGACCGTGACTGCGGTCTGTGTGGCGCCTATCTCGATGGTCTATGGAGGAAGACCAGGAGCATAGAGCTGCTGTCCTCCCAACTTGGTCTCATCCTCAAACGTCTGGAATCACTTGATCGGAAACCCACCGAGAAACTTTTCAATCCAATGGTCAAGGCCATGGTTGAAACGGGTAGGGGCGAAGAAGCCGAAGCCATGGTTAAGGCGATGTCGGCGCATTATGGCTGTCAGCCTGGATGCCGGACTATTGGCATGATTATTTACAACAGAGCCCTCAACTGCGAATGGGACCGTGTCATGGACGGTATGCGTGCCATGCATGAGCACGGGTATACGGACTCAAAGAAGGATTTTGCTATCGTTTTTGATCGCGTCTTTTTGGAATACTATCCAACTCATACGGGCCAACAAATTCTGGATTTCGTTATCTCTTGTATCAATGATTTCGACATTCAACCCGACAAGGTACTCCACCGACACATTCTTGAAGCGATTATTGAGAAAGGCACTGAAGATATGATCACAACCATCATGGAAATGGCCGACGAGCAGAAATGGAACACCGGTATCAATGATAGGTTCATTGAATCACTCGTCAAGAGCCGAAAAATCGCAATGACCGATAATCCAGTGGGAATCTGGCGGCTGAAGCAAGCCGCGAACCATCGACAGGATCACTTGTCTTCTTCCCGTCGTATCCTTGGATCTAGTTCTGATACCTGGGCAGTGCGGGGAGACAAGATTGCACCGATTCACGTCCCCGCGGAGGAAACCTTCCCTCAGACGGTGAGCGAGATGGTGGCATCCAAAAATGCCAGCTTGTATGTTCCACTTCACAAACGAATGGAGCATTTGATCAACATGGGCAAGCATACAGATGCTTTGGCGATATATGATCAGGCGACCAGGGGCGGTTACATTGTCAGGCCAGTTCATCTGACACTGGCTGTGATTGCCGCCCTGCTCAGTTGCAAAAAGACCGGTCTGGCAAACGCCCGACGCCTAATCACTTCTGAGTGGGAGTATTGGAAGAACGTTCCTTCTCTCCGTTATACCAAGCGTTATACTTCATGGACTCCCATCTTCTTCCAACGAGTCATGAAGGTGGATCCAGCAGCCGCTGGACGTGGCGGTTTGATCAAGATGGCTATCTTTGAATATTACAATGTATGTGCCAACACAAACGGTCTTGTCGTCAAGCACTTTTGTGCTGCTTCTTCGAGCCGTTACCTTATTGGCGGTGGAACGCCAGAACTTGCCGTCGATCTTCTCACAGCGATCTACCAATCTCGATGGCGACTGTCCCATGGCTTTGACCAGGTACTATTGAAAATGCTGATGCGTGCTTTCGCCAATCTTGACAATTTGAAGGGATTCTGGTGGTGCATAATGACGGTCCTCTCGCGGAATGAGTCCATCAAGCGAGACTTTATCGTGGAAGCTACCTCCCAGTTGGAGTCGTTGGAAAAGAAGCTCTTGTCCTCTGCATCCCATGACACTGCAGAGGAAATTGCAATTCTCCAGCGGACCGTGAAAGTGCTGGAAGCCAAATCCCAGGGTGATTCTCACTGGTCGGCCATCAGTGTTCACCCGGAGTGGAAAAAGCTGCGACGTTCCAATCCGATCAAACCCACTAAGAAACAAAGTCTCCTTCCCACCACAGATCTAGAAGATCTCGTCATGAATTTCGATGAAGAGTGGGAGTTGGATATGTTGCTCAAGCGCAAGCGGTTTGACACTTCCGAGCATGCAAAGTGGTGGGCCGAGTCCAATCTCGCGGAGGTGCATAGTGTGCCCCCGGAGGATCCCAACTACCCGTGGTACGAGCCGGAAACTTGGGATGGGTACTATGTGCCTGAGAAGTACTCCCCCGACTATCACCTCGAATTCTCACCAATGGGGGATCACGGGCACTATCAAGAGTACGAGGATTACCAGGGGCCTCGGGATTGTGTATAATAATGTAAATATGTACAATAGACTTCTCAATAGACTCATATACACGTATGCTTCTATACATATCAACCAATCTCTACTGAATGATGGGTGGTCTTGCGACTTTGCTAAACTTTATGGTCTCCAGGCCGCCTTCGTGTGCTTTCCTATGCTCTCACCGGTCTATATTATCTTATGTGACGATCTGCGACACCAGCCTCATCTTCTGTCATTTGTCTTCTTTATTGTCTTCTTTGGCTTCTTCTCGATCAGAACATCCCTGAACCATTTCCTCGCGCATGAAGCATTTAGGATCACGCCTTAGGCTATCATAGGCCTGTTTAAACCTTATATGAAACGTATACTCTACTTGGCAAAGGGCGTGCTTCTTTGCTAGATATTATGCTCGAATGGTTTCAAGCTGTTGTTTTGCGTTGTCGGATTATATTGTATCAGACTTTTCATTTGATGGGATAACCACAGCCTTTTATAAGGCCATAACCTTGTGGTGTAGCTATTCTTCACGCTGATTCACGGATAGCGTGCTCGCCGCGTCCCCCAATGAATTAGTGGATGTTTGCATGCAGATGCGCTGGTGTATACTCTGTACTCCGTACGGTGGTCGCTATTCAAAGTCTCGAGTCCCCTATAAAAGGTTGGCTACTCCGTATGGAGTATGTAGTGGATCCATATAGTTAGTGTGAGTACCTGGTATTATCCAAAGTATGATACTACCCCTCTTTTTAATTTCCATACTCCTTTTGGGATCTCTTTTTGATTGTCTTTTGAACCTCTATTTGAATTGCTCTTGAGCTCCCTCTTTAAAGTAAGCCATGATATCTAGGTATACATTGTAGCCGCACTACAGCTGTTATTCTGTCGATAGCGTTAGAGTAGGATAGGGACTTTTGATAGCGCCCTCTGTACATACTTACAGCATAGATAGCGGCCAGGGATTATATACCGCTTTGGACCTCTATACAGTGTATTGTAAATGAAGCTCCCATGTTGAAGCACCCGGATAATATGAGTTCCGTCTTCCTACTACAACCCTCTCCTCCCTGAGTCCCACATCCGTAGGCCTCGACAGATTATGAAGCCCGAGCTTCTCTAGTTTTTACCTTATTCTTCGTTATCAAGGAGGCAATGTTCATAATTTCATCTTTTGTTTTATTTTTTCGTCGTGCTGTCTCCTGCCGCGTAGAACTGAGAAGGCGGAGAGGACCTGCTTTCACATGTCACGCCACCCGTAGGCCCCTTTCTCCTCCAAAAAAAGTGTCAGCCCATATCAACACCGCCAATTGACGTTTCTTTAAATCAATTGCTTTCGTCGATAATGGTCCTATTTCTCCTGTGTCTATTCTGACAATTTTTTACTCTTCTAAACTACCACAATGGCCTCGCAGCTTAACGGCCAGGATTCGAAGTTATCTCCGGCCGCTCAACGCCGCAAAGACCACCACGAGGGTGATGTTGTCATTGTTGGTGCCGGAGTCCTCGGTTGCGCACTTGCAGTTGCACTAGGCAATCAAGGGCGCAGTGTGATCCTGTTGGAAAAGTCATTGGAGGAGCCCAACCGTATTGTTGGTGAACTGCTCCAGCCCGGAGGTGTTCAGGCTCTCGAGCAACTCGGCCTCCGGGATTGTCTGGAGAACATCGACGGAATCGACGTGAAGGGATACTGGGTCTCTTACTTTGGCGAGCCGGTTCTCCTTGAGTACCCCAAGTCTAGCCCGAACTCGCCCACACCGTTGGGACGCGCTTTCCACCATGGTCGATTTGTGATGAAACTACGAGCCGCCGCTCTGGCCTGTCCCAATGTCACTGTGATCGAGACCAAGGTCACTGGTCTGGTCACATCGCCCGAGACCCAGGAAGTCCTTGGTGTCGAGTGCCTCACTAAGGAGGTCAAGGACTGCTACTTTGGGTCTCTCACTGTGGCCGCCGACGGCTACAACTCGGAATTCCGCAAACAATACCACGAGTACGCACCCAAACGGCGATCGAAGTTCTATGGCTTGGAGCTCATCGATGCGGACCTCCCCGCGCCCAACACTGGCCATGTTCTTATCAACGACAACCCACCTGTGCTCATGTACCAGATCGGCACACACGAGACCCGAATCCTTATCGATATTCCGGATAATCTGCCTTTGGCCTCGGTGAAGAATGGTGGTGTTAAGGGTTATATGCAAAAATGCATTCTACCCAGGCTTCCAGAGGGCGCCCAAAAGTCGTTCTCCGATGCGCTAGAGAAGGGCCAGCTACGGTCCATGCCGAACTCGTTCCTGCCTGCCTCGGTCAACAAAACACCTGGATTGATGATTCTCGGAGATGCGCTTAACATGCGCCACCCTCTCACCGGAGGAGGCATGACAGTGGCTCTCAACGATGTCTGTCTTATTCGTGAATTGCTCAGTCCAGAGGCTGTGCCTCATCTCTCCAATACAGGTCTTGTTCTTGAACAGCTCGCAGAATTCCACTGGAGGCGCAAGAAGTCCTCATCTGTCATCAACATCCTCGCCCAGGCGCTCTATGCGCTCTTCGCCGCAGATGGTACGTTCTTCCTACTCTTCGGGTACTTCCACATAGCTAACAGTTTCTCTGCAGATCAAAGCCTCAAGGCACTACAGCGTGGTTGCTTCCGCTACTTCCAGATTGGTCCTGTCAGCGGCCCCGTCGGGCTGCTGGCCGGTCTGATCAAGCAACCTCTCGTGCTCGTCAGCCACTTCTTCTCCGTCGCCTTCCTTGCCATCTGGATGGTTTTCCGCGACACCCCTTTGACCCATATTCTCCTATTCCCATACTATGCCTTCATGATCCTCTACACAGCCTGTGTCGTGATTCTCCCATACATCTGGACCGAGATCTGGTACTGATTCGGCTTGTTCCCACCCGGCGTTCTGATTCTCCTCTCTAAAAGCGACAATGGAGGACCCCAGCATATCAAATTTCCTCGCACCCTCATCTGATGAACACACTCGTCCCTACCCGAGTCTTTCTGTTTTAATATCCCACCGGCCATTTTTGCTTTTTTATCAACGCCCTTATGTGACTTAATTCTGTCCAGCCTTCCCCCGCATCTGATAGCATGAGACCTGTGTTACAAGATTTACTGTACTTATATATACCATATATGCCATACCATCATCCCAACGATGAATGATGCAATGTCAATACATTCCGAAATGAAATTACAAACCCGCTTCTTTCTATCCGCCAATGCTACATAAAGTAATGCCCAGACAAGTCTGATCTCAAATCATTTTCTCCGTATTTTCCCCAGCCCCACGAAATCCCCTTCCCAGTATGCATAAACCAGATATCATCGATAGAGATACAAACAAGCCCCCGTTAGACGAGATTACCGAATAGCTGAAGCGCCAGAACGCCGAAAAGAAAGGAGAACGAGAACGCAGTAAAGTTAGACATGACTGGCGCAACGACCGTCGCACGGCCGAACCAGGGTATGCCGATCATGCGAACCCAGTCGAATGTGAAAATGGAAATAACGGCGTTGCCGGAGTCAAACAGGCAATCGAAGATGGACGATATGAACGAACCGGCGCCCGAGGCGGCTGAGTATACGATGAAAAACCAATAGTACAAATACGCCATGAAGGAGACCAAGGAGATGAAAAGCATCGTCATGGTGGCTGGCTTTTTTTTGGGCGGGTACACTTCTGGTTAAGAGAATGGGTTCTGCTGTGATTGTTCGAGATGCACTTCTGGGTTATGCAAAGGGATTGTTTTTGAGTTTCGTGAGATGGGAGGTTTCGTGTGGTTGGAATGCCGCAAATGGGGGTTGGTTGAGGATTCGAGGGAGATGGGTGATGGAAGGGAAGATAACGAGGACAGAGAATGATTCGAAAAGTCGACTGGCTTCTTTCCTTTGTTTTCTTTGGTCTTTGTTCGTTGTGGTCCGGTCTGCTTTTTTTGGATTAAAGACGCCATTGAATGACAACCAACGACTAGGACAGACGGGCGAAATGAGTTAGAAGTCGGGAGGGTAGGAAGAGCAGTCGAGGACACCCCGGGGGAAGAAGAATGGCTGCGAGCAGCAAAGACAAAGGAACTCTTTTTTTTTTCGAAAATTTGGTTTGTTTCTCATTGGCAACAAGGCAGGTTAATCTCTTTCTCTTTTGTACAGAACCAGGACCGAAAAAAAAAGAAAAAATTTGGCATCATAAGAAAAATGAGAAGCATCATACACAGAACCAGGTCTAACCATGAACACAAAGAACTCCAAACAGCCGGAAGGAAATCGTCTCGATGCGTGGGAGGCGTTTTTTTTATAATATGAACCGGCCAGTTTTCCCGATGGCAACGAATGCATGCAAATGGACCCTGAATCCCTCGTGGGGAAGGGGAAATGATAAAAGCAAAAGAGCAAAATAACGCATTTCAGAAGAACGTGAGTTCGTTTTAGTTAAGACATGCCGTAGAAATGGATACCGAGCAATGCCCAGAATCAGAGGGCTAGAAGTGAGAATCCACTTGTTCCTCAATATCACAAGCTGGAGGATGGCTTCGGAAGCATAGGACGAGAACTTGTTCAACCTCCTTTTCGCAAAGATTCATCGGCTGGAACAAGCTCAGGGCCACCGTTGATCCCAGTTCGAGACTCTGTTGAGGACTTGGTGTTTTTGCGGCCCTTCTTCTTGGTTGTTTGCCATCCATGGCTGCTATCGTTCACACCATTAGCCTGTCCGCCTGATCTCCGAGGCGGGTCTGTGTGTCGATCTTTCGAGCCCGGCGCAGCATTGTGGGGATCCTGTCGGCCTTGGCCTTTAGGCTTATTCTTGCCATTAACACCGTTAGCCTTCTCGGAATGGTCTCCGTTTGTCCGTCGCTTTGAGTTGGTCGATTGATGGCGGATCTCATTCGGTCCAGAGGCAGTAGCTTTGTCGGCTGTCTGCCCTGTGTTCCTGGTGTGACCGCCTTCCTTTGCTGTGGCTTGTGCCATGCCATTCCGTGGTCGATCTGGACTTGTCTTGGCAGGTTGTTGCACAATTTTCTCCGAATTTGAAAGATGGTAATTCTGCAGCCGGCTAGCGAGAAGTTCGGTTTGGCCGTTGATATCTGACTGCTTTTCCGCATTCGCACCATTTGATTGTTGTGTTTCCATAGACGGCCGAGTATAGACAGTCGAATGTTCCAAGTCGAAGGACCCAGAGTCCTGGTAATCTTGTGACAAGGAATCGGAGAAGCTTGCAGGTGTGTTCATGTTGTGGTCATCTGAGGACGTATAATGACTAACCGCAGAGTAAGGATCAATCAAGTCAGACGCATATGATGAGCGGGGCTCACTCGGGCGCACCGAACCATCAACAATCAAGGGACCAGGTGCAGCTGGGCGTGGAGCAGATTGGGCCGGTTGCGACGGAGGCTTGGAAATTGGGGTGTTCTCAGAGCGAGCCGTGTCTGATGAGAACGATCCAGGGCGGTAATCTTGTCGAAGAGGAATAAACGAATATCCATTCGAGACCACACCCATCTGTGTGGCTAATGGCGGGAGCATGGAACCTTGCTGGAAGGCCTGAAGTTGTTGAGGAGTTATATAATAACCCAAAACATCTTGCTGCCGGTTCTCATCCACGGAATTTGAGCGAGATCCATTGCTGGCAAGACTGTTCGATCGCAAGACGTTCTCATCTCCACTGCCTTCTGCGCCTTCTATTGACTCGGTGGCTGGCCTCTGTTTTGACCAGTTCTCCGTGGGTTGCGGCATGGTATAAAGGGGGATATAGTTGGGAAGAGGTGAGCCCTGGGGCCGGGCAGGTTGTGAATGCGCCCGAAGAGACTTTGGGGATCCGTTGGCAGCGGACAATCGTCGAGAATTGCGACGAGTATCAGGCAAAGCACTAACGGCAGATGGCGAGGGAGGGTTGGCAGTAATCGCTTGAGAGCTAGCAGCACCCACTGCGGCATAACTTGGATTATAAATTGTTTGCTGTCGTTGTGTGGGGCTAAGAGTTGCGTGGCTTGCTGTTCCTGTTCCTGTTCCTGATCTTGGCCGTGAGGTCTCTTCTGGGAACTCCTGTTGTTGAGGAACGGGGAATTGGATGAAAGGCTGGCGGATGAACACCGGTGGTGGCCTCCCAGTGATCAATGCTTGATTGTGCAGTTGCATCCGCAGTTCTTGCTCCTGCGCTTGCAGAAGCTGGATTTGCTGATACAATTGATCATGTAAGAGGTACTGGGCCTGTTGCTGCGCATGCAGCGAAATTTCCGTTGCATTGCCCGTGTTTTGCTGCCGGAAATTTGATTTATTCCCGGTGTTGGACTGTCGTCGCCCACCAGCGAGCCCACCCCGAGAGAACTGATTGTTATATCTGCCTCCTCGATTTCCTCCCCGTCCACCTCGGGATGGAAGGGAAGGGGTAAGAGTTGGACGTGGTTGAGGTGGTGGTCGTTCCCAAGTCCGTTCCTCTTCTGGTGGGAACTCAAACTGCTCACAACACTCTTCTAGATCGCCTTTTGCAATGCACTTGAAAGCCCTTCGCAACTCCAAATGTAACCCTCGGAATGAAGTGTCATCTGCGGTGTTGCCCAGGTTTCGCCCCGTGTTGAACGGCTCCTCCACGCACAGTCGGTTGTTCATCAGCAGGTGCCAGCCCTTAGCCTCTTTGTTGAGCAAAACGCCGTCACGTACGGAGATGACGTTCTTCTCGTAATCAAGTTCGTGTCCGTAATACCGGAAAAATTGAAAGAGCAACTCGCCAACTGATTGCTTATTCTTGCGGCCAAATTGCGACAGTGTCTTCAGATCGTCATCAAACGAACAGACCAATCCGTCGTGAGTCATTCTTTTCTTGTGAGGACGCGCTTGCAAACTTGGGAGAACCGGAGGGTCCCTTGTCTGCAGGAAACTAATAATCAAACAGATCCAGGTGTACGAACTTAGGGTTCCTCCGAGCGCTGCGTCATTCAAAATCCGTCGCTTCGTCCAGTACTTAATGGCCATCGCCAATGGCCGCACCCGTTCGTCCACCTCGACATACGTCCGTATCATTCGAGTGTTTTCTAGCGCCAAGGTATTATTGACATTCATGTCACAGGCTAATCGAAGCTCCGGATCCCAGATCTTTACAATGGGAACTTTCGCATGTGACACACACACCACCCGTTGCATACCATCTGTTCAGGTCAGTTTGACATTCAATCCAATGGGGTCAACAAATTTTCTTACGTTTTGCCAACACCTCAGCCAACAGACACACATGTTCCAATTCCTTGTAGTTGGTCGTGATGCAAATGTCCACTGCTCCAGTCAGTACTCTGTTTGTTATTGCGTTTGTATCCAGAACAAAACCTACCATCCGAGTCGCTAGAACAAAGCTTGTTCCCCGACGAGCCAAAGATATTCGCCTTGATATTGTGACCGGGCCATTGGTCGTTGAAAAGTTTTTCCAATTTCCGAACGAGCTGTCGTCGTCGATCATCACTCTCTGCAGATGGTAATAATCGATCGTATAGATCCATGATATCAGCCGACAATTTTTTCTCCTCGTCTGGATCGAGCTGCTCCTTCAATCCCTCTTTCTCCTCCGGCAATATATCTGCCCCCAGACTGTACGGTATCCGTCGTCGAAAATACGCCATGGCAGTCTCATATTTACAGCCCCCGAGAGGTTTTCGAGTGAAGGGGGGGAGATGTGTGGCCTCGGAGTGGGTGGATCGAGGGGAGGTGCTTCCGCGGGCGGGGGACGGCGACCGGGAGTGGAACGAAAGGTTGCGCGCATGTTGATATGGGGTGGAAGGAAGGGAATTAGATTGGTGCGAGGTCAATGGAGGCCGAATGGCAGTCTCAGGCACGGCGGATCGTGGCACATCGGATTGCGGCATCCATGCCATGGTGGAAGGTTGCGCCGACGCTATCGAGGCGACGTCACCGTGGTGGGAACACTTCGCATTCCCATCGATGTTTGCGACCATATAGCAATTCGCAGCTCCCACACCGTTGTGGTCCTTCCGTTCGGGGCTCGGCAAAAGAGATAAGAGTCCACACCCACACACCACACGCACAATATAATCCGTTCAGTTTCCGCTCAGTTGTAAATCACCAAGCGAAAGGAATTTTGCTTGTTATCGGTTCGGATGAGAGAGGTATGCACGCGTACAACACGTCGAGGATTCGTTGATATGTGAAACAGCTGAGAAGCAGATCGTTGTAGTGGGAGAGTTTCAGTCGCCCTCGACCAAAGTCGCGAAAAGCTGGATTTTTCTTTTCCCTCGCAAATCACTCGGGACCAGTGGAAATAGAAAATAGACTGTAAAAAAGACAATGCCTCGACCAGGAGATGAGAATAAGACACGGAAATAAAAAAAAAAAAAAAAAAAGGTCTGAAGTCAGAGCCCGGATGATCGAGGATTGGATCAAAGAGAAGAGACAAAAGCGGACCAAAGTGATGAAGGAACCATGCAGTGCGTTCTGAAGTCCCTCTGAGCGAATTTGTAGGAACCAGCCTGGGTTCCGATTGTATGAGAAAGGAAGCGTAGCCAGAGAGGGGGATTTGAGAGTTGTGAAGATGATTGAAGGTCAGCCCCTGTCGGCGGTAAAGACACTGCCGACCGTCTCCTCTCTTGAAGAACACCGATCTTCCCACCGCAACAGCAGGTATGAGTCGAGATGAGAGGGTTTTTGACCACGGTAAGTGGTTTCGAGTCCCGAATGGATGTGAATTCGAATTAGCAACCTCGTTCGTTCGTTCTAACGTCGGACTTCGGCGGAGTAGAGACTATTGGGGAATAGCTCTATCCTCTTCTTATGGCAATCAGGGGCTGACTTCGGTCCTTTGTCGCTATTTAATTAATATAATTTCTCGCTTATCTCTTTCTACTCTCTTCTTTTTACCTATTGAGACCCTCCCAAGCCCCGAACCCGGAAGCCAGGACGTGGTAACGTTGAATGTCAAGGTGCCCGCAGTATCACCGAGCTATGCATTCATGCAGGTACCATGACGACAGGTAGCAGGCTATCTAGAACATGGGTGGTATTGAACACTTCTTGGGTGAATGGCTGCCATCCGGGCATATCAAGCCCTAAAGACAGCCCTATCATATTGAAGTATACCATGTCTGCTCTCTTTTTTTCCCTCCTGATCGTCGTTCTTCACTTCTCCCCGCGATCAGCGTGTGTGGCCCTTGCACGTGCTGCTCGAGTGCTCACTACCAAACCTAATCCATTTCGGCCTGAGGCAGACATATGGTTTTCCTTTTCTCCGTATAAAGCTATAGATCTGACGTTCCAACTGAAGTCAAACATACGGTCTCGGTGATCTCGCTTAGCTCCCTCGTGCAGGAGTGCTCAACCAGGATACTTCTTTGTTCGACCCTTTGCTCGCTATGGACCCGCCATGCTTCATTCTAGAATCCAAATGCTCGGATCCGACCATGAGGCTTGACAAGACAAACCTTGTGAAATAATAGCCATTGGGCCGTTCATCTCCGAGGTTGATCCAGAGGCTAGCCATCAGATCGCACCCTTTGTTTATTAGGGCTTGTGGTCGCTACACTCAGGACCTGGGGCTTGTCTGGTGTATTTCTTTGTCAATACTCTATACTGTGAAGGTGTATAGTCCTCAGGGGTCGGTTTCGATTCAAGTTGTACTTGCTGCCTGTATATGCCTGGTTTTAAGCTGGCAGAAAACGAGAATACCTGAATTTCCATGACAGATCTTAACACGGGCCTAAATGAGGTGCCTAGGTCCAACATTGGAACGTAGACAAAACCAAGCTTTTCATGTACTCGGCCGCGTTTGCCTTGGAATTTCTTTTTAGTTGTCTTTTTTCTAGATATTTTCTTCCCTTCTCAAGATTTATATTGTAGGAATAGCTTCAATTACGGACTATAATCTGCAATACAGTGATACCTGGGCAGTGTCAACAGCAGTCCCAACACAGGCGTATTCGCGCAGCAAATTTGATTCGGATTGAAACTGACTCTTGAGGACTATACACCTCCGTACTATACCACATTTAGGGCATGACTGATACATACTGAACAGTCATCGAGCTAGGTTGGGCAGAGAGCCCAGGCCCGTGACTTACAACATAACGTCCATCCCCAATAGAATCAGGCACAGGTATGATCAGGACCGGGCTTGGCCGAGCACAGTCCCATGTATGACAAGTGGCGAGTTATCAGGCTCGAGACTCTCAAAGTAATGCGACGCCATGTCCAGGCGTATCGTGCCAGTGATACATTTCCGGAGGGTTTAAGGGGAAATACCCAATATTCTGCCCTCTATATGGGCTGAGCAGACCACAACCGGGGTAGTGCTTGGGAAAATTGAAAATTGAAACTCGGGTAGGGGACTATAAAAGGCAAGGCGAAACCCTCGCTGTATGCGTACACCGGAGGCCCCCAATCTCCTAGTATCAAGTCGATTCACCCCGACCACTCCTATGGAAATTGTTCTCATGTACATGCGGGGGAAGACTCGGGCTTCTGACTGGCCCATTAAGCCGGCTAAGTACATGAACATTGCAGCGGCCAATCTAGCAGGGGCGCGGACGTTGCGGAAGAATATAAAATGAGGGCCGACGGACGTTGCCCCACCTCTCCTGAATTGACCGAGCTGGTCATAGCACCGTGCAAACTGTATTCTGGAAGCAATGTTACGATTGCATCGTGTGTACGGAGTACTCTCACATGTAGATATAGCCCTTAATGCACTAGTGAAACTTTCCAGGTATTTATTCAAACCGCTCTCCGCGGGCCTCTGCGAGGCTCTCCATATTCGATCTGGCTGCAGCACGCTATAGATATCTATTGCATGCGTTTGTTCTGATCACCATACATCACCGTACATAGAGCTGCAGATCACATTCCAGATGCGACTAGACTGTTCACTTGCAGCCTCCGATGGCGCCCAGAGGGAGAGGATCCTTGGCAGGCTGACTGCATGCGAGTGCAGAGAAACCCCCAAGGTGGGCATCATCATACGTTGGCCACTCCAGGAAAATCCTTGTTGGTTGGATATATATCATGACCACAGGGATCTCAGGACATAGAACCCTTGAATATGGCGCTCGACTTGGAGTATACAACAGAAGAACGTTATAAAACAATGTCAATGTACGGAGCACACCGTTGTAAGTGTGGAACGGGCAAGTTTCCAAGATTGAAAGCACTTAATTTCTGTAAAGTATAAGCTCAGGTTCATAAGAAGTGGTCCAATACATAGGAGAGTAAATAATAAGGAATTGCCAGTATCAGACACGAGGGAAGACGCTTAGACACACATGCCCCCGTGTCTCCATCCAATCTCCGGTGACCGGCCCCATCAGTGACGAATGAGAGGACTTGGGTTGCCGGGAATTGCCGCGTACTTGGATATTCGAGGTACAGAAACAAAAAGGAAAGTGTATTAAATGGGAGTACGGAGTAGTGGACAATGAAGATGATTCTCAATGTTGAGTGCTCTAAGAGAGGTATCTAGCCCTAGATCGCCCAAAGTTCGACGCCTCCGTCAGAGCCCGAGGCCGCCATCAGTGTGCGAGTGAAGATGTGTTGTCCTACTTTTTTTAAAAAAAAAGAAGAAAAGAAAAGAAAAACGAGTCTCCTTTTTTCCCGTATTTCCTCTTCGTACAGAGTACATTACAATAGGGAAAAACACCCCCTCCTCCCCTCCATAAGGTAATACACCCACACCCCCATACGTTGGACCCTCTCTCCTTTTCCTCTTTTCCTCCAATTCCTGGACGCCCTCTGCCTCGTTGACTCGTGGTAGACTCATCATTCTCGGAGGCTTCATTTCCCGTAAGTGCTTTTACAATTCTTGTTTGCCCAGAAAAATATCGGCGAATTTTATTCTATAGACGTGGGAAAGAAGACAAAACTGGTCAAAGAGAGCGGAAAAAATACCCAGTTTTTACCGAGGGATTTTTTTTCGGCTCCAGAACTTTGATGGTTTCTTTACTTGCGTTGAAAGAAATCTGGAGAACGGTTGAACTGTGTGTGTGTTGTGGATCGAAGCTCACATTTTTTTTTCTCGACAGATCGCCTCTGACCGGATCATCTTCCTCGCCGCCCTCCCCCCTGAACCGTTGCACTTTCGGTCCTTTTGATCTCGACAATGTCTTCGTACTACGAGCCTCAAGGCTGGCAGGCACCCACTGCGCGCCAGGCCTCTTGGGAACAGCCGGCGCCTCCTTCCCGGTCAGGTACGGGATTCAACGGAATCAACTCCAGTAGTCGGAGCAAACACTCACCATCTGATATAGGATCGAGCTCGGTCTCCCAGCGCGAGGATATCCCGGCATTCTCCTCTCAATTTGACGGTACAGACACCCTTTTTCTCGAATTTCCTCCATTGCTCCGCCCAAACCGCATCGCATAATCCATGAAAAGTTAGCTTGGAGACGAGGCGATTGTGGAGATTGACTTTGGCATACTTTGGCATACTTTGGAATCTTTTGGAAATGCTGATCTTTTGTTTTTGTTGGCAGAGGTTGACCGTGCGATCGACAATCTCGTCAAGAGCGGAAAGTTGTGGAATGCTCCTCGGCGGGATTCGATGCCCATGATGATGGGCCGGCCCTACCCCGACTACGGTATGTTGCGGGCACGGATGGCACCCAGAACGCGTTTCTGACTTGTCTCTTGACAGACCCTCGCATGGGTGGTGGCCCTCAGCGACACCATTCGATCAGCGAGTTCGATGGCAACCGGATGCCCCCGTCTGGCAATGCCCAGGGTTTCTATGCCTCCCAACGGTACCAGGGTCGTCCCAACGAGGTGGAACAGATGATGCAGGCGAAGCGTCGGATGGCGGCACAGCGTGAGAGGGAGCTCCGCAACTATCACCAGGAGCAACAGTACAACCGAAGTACGTGGTAGCGTCTGTCTTCTTCTCTTTTTTCTGAGCCTTGCTATATTCCCCTGTCGGCTTTCTTTTCTTTCACTTCCTTGCATCTATGTATCCGTCGGCCTGTGTAATATATTTTGGTTTGGCTTCTTCGTTTTTCTTTGAACACGGGGTTTTAATACTTTTCTTCTTCCTTTCAAGGCCTCCTCGCCGAGATGTCTGCATCCAAGTCCGATCGCTCCACCAGCCCAGCTGCCGTTAGCGAAGACAGCCGCCGTGAACTCCTCGCCCGCCAGCACCGCGCCTTGTACGGCAACGAAAGCCCAGCCTTCTTCCCTCCCGGTGCCTTCTCCGACGATAATTCGCGCCCCGATAGCCAAGCCGGCGGCGGTACTCCCTCGTCTGTCGGTGTCCGTGGATCCTCCCCAAGAGCCATGGACCCATTCGGCCTGACACAGACCGGTGCCGCGACTGCCGATGCTACTACGGGCTTGCAATCTCCCTCGCGCGCCAACAGCACCTCCTCGCCTAGCTCGGCCATCAACGCCGGCTTCGCCGAGCAGCCCGTAACTTCGGCCTCGTCGCCCGGAGCCGACTCGCCCTCCCGCCAGGCCTCGTCCAAGCCTGGTGCTGGTCCTATCGGCTCCGTTGGTCCTATCGGCTCTCGCCCGGCCCCCGGACAGACCTCCACTCCTCCCACCAACCCTGCGTTGAACAAGCGGTCCATCACTCCTCTCCCATCGCCACTCGGGCTCGGATTTACCCCCGCTGAATCCGCCGCTGGGGCCGCTTCCGAGCGCACCTCCTCGGCTGGACCCACCCCTGCTGTGACTTCTACGGCTGGTGGGCCTGGTGCCAAGGAACCGGCTGGTGGCGTTGGCCTCGGATGGAGCAACGGCAGTGGTGTCTGGAGCTCCAAGAGTGGACTCGGCGTGCAGGCCTCTGTCTGGGGCTAAACAAGAACCCTTCTATATTTTATGATGGCATTACTCCGAATGGGCGCTTGTTGCATATTGGACTTGGGCATTTTCTTGCTTGTGGCGTTATGAAAAGAACAAAAACGGCTTCCATTGCTCTGACCACACGGACTCTGAGCACGGCATATGATGAGATGGGAGACGGAATTTCATCCTCCCGTCTTTCCTCTGGCGCTTGACCCGGTTTGATGTCTTTTTTGCGCTTAATCTGTTTCTCTGGGGTTTGGGCTGGCTTGTCACTACGCGGGGAAAATGGGGTTTATTGGGTTCGGGATATTCCCCCAGATTCGTGTTATCTGTCTGGATGATATGATGTCTTCGGCTGCTTCCGTTGGGTTTTCCGTCAGTCTGTGGTTTTTATTTTGATCCTGGATACTGTTTTTTGCTCTTTCTTTGCTTTTCCTGTCCCGGTGCCCGTGCGAATATGGTCGGAAATATGGCGCTTTATCTGTGATGCTCGCGGGGTATGTATGGGCTATCATTTTCTCGGTGTTTTTCATGTCGGATGCGAAGGTCTTGTCTTTTATTTTCTTTCTTGTTTTTAACGGGGTGGTTCGGGAAACTTGCACATTTGAGTTCTGGTTTTATTTTTCTCTTTTAATTTTGGACACTGGGTCTGCCTGTTTTACTATATCTCCATACGGAGAGGATGGGGAGGCGAACCGAGGCTCAAAACGGATGTTTCTTTTGGATCATGGCCTTTAATATTTCCCTTTTCTTTTATTTCCTTGAAAATCAAGGACATGTAAAAAGGTTTGGAGTCTAGTCTTTATCTTCAACGGAGGTTGAGTTTCATTTTTGCCTCTTTGGGCTGCTACGGGCGTTCAAAGGCGAATACTCCGTCCTTTTATATCTATCAATTTCTCACGCAACTAGGGAATACCTCGTTGAAGGTAAAGCTGTTCATTTAGAGCAATTACTGCTCTTTTCATTGCCGACGTATTTATATTATGTTTAAATAGCCCCATGCCCGAAAGCTACACAGACATCCACGATAGCGATATATTCTTCTTATAATTGACTATGTATATTGGTCCAATAGGCCCGGAGACCAACCATGGCAGCCTTATGCCAATGACGATAGTGCCAGCCATCGTGCCTCTTGAGCATGAAACATATTATAATCCTCTGCATCGAGAAATCCACCTCCTGGAAGCGGAGTGACCTCGTTCACTGCTAACGACACAGGCAGCAGTCCAACAGAGTTCATCCGCCACTTATCCCACAAGAACGCACCAATCTGTCGATATGGTTGGATATTGCAAATAACATGTCTGCTTGCACTCCGCAGGCACAGTCGCCGATACAGAGCCGTTTGTCCCGACGGCAAGTACCGCCGACTAGCAGTAAGAAGCCATGCCAGTGTGATTGGCGTCTCAATGGGTATTGGCGGCGGACGCCAGAGCGGCAAGTCCTCCCCAACCACCCTCGGCAGCTCAAACGAGGCAAAGAACGGCATTGGCGTTTCCAGGGGCAACTCCCACGCCGCCAAAGACAACCCCGAAGCTGAATTCGTGACGAGTCCTAGCTCCGCTAGCACTGCGGCTACAGTCCAGATTTGCTCGAGCGGATAATAGCTAATACCGTTCCAGACGGCATACGCGTCGAATTTGGCGAGAGATTCCGCCGTCCACTTCCAGGTGTTTGTGGCAGGAGTTTCGCTCTTGTCATGGGGAACTTGAGTCTCTACGGTTTTCCGAAGATCAGAGTAATGCCGGAGATTCCAGAGAGCCCAGTGAACGCGATACTCCTCTATCCAGGAGAACGGCTCTGCGGTATTTCGCACTTGATCGGGGCTGAATAATGTGTCTGCGGATGTGACGGCGGTGACGAAGTTGCGTCTCATCGTCGATAGACAGAGACATGCGAGGCGTTGGATTTGAGCGGCGATATGAAGCATTTGAAGCGATAGGTCTAGGGTTGTCGTTTGGTTTGGAAGAACTGAGTCTGGAGTGCTTTCTGCGTGTGCTAGGTGCATGTATTCTTCGAGATTTGAGCAGTGAGTCGAGGGACAATGGATGGATGCAATATTCCGGAATAGATCCCGTATATCGGAGATTGACGTGATGGAGTTTGATGATATTGTTCTTTCGAGGATTGCATGATGATTGGCTCGGAATATGTCTTTGACTTGGGGGGTTGCTGCCATGAGGTTTTCGAGACTGACGAAGTCGGATATGTATTGGATTATTTCATAGATCAGCTCTGCTGGGAGTTGCTTGAAGGGATCCATGGTGGAAGATATACTAGACGACGCACTTGGGGAGTCGGGTGTGTCGAGGTCGCGATTAATGGTGTCTGGAGGCGCAAACTAGCTGGGGAGGCCGCAGATGCATGATCTAGTGGGCTAGGCAGTGTGATATATGCAGTTAGTTCCATAAACCCAGCCAATGATGCTTAGAGATCGAGGGTCAATCTTTTTAGAGGGCCTAGATGTTTTTTTGATCCTCCTGACCAGGGGAGAGAAAGCAAACAGATGAAAATGTAGCGGCTTTTGAAAAGCGTACTTTGGTATCTACATCTAGTCAGGGCCTAACATCTATGCCGAGCTAATGAGATAGCCGGATTAATGAGCTGGTAGAAAGAGATGCCCCGAGATTACCAATGCAGCTGACTACATACCTAGGTCCTTAATATATGATTGTAATTCATCTCTGCTGCCATTTCGGGGGTTTCTATTCTAGATACCATCGCCTCGTTATGGAGTGTTGTCCGACAGCCCTCTCGCAGGATAGAGTCTCTCTATCCAAAGCCTGCAAAGAGGTACAAGGTTTCTGTTGACCTAGAACATACGAGCAATAAGAAAAGCACCATAGGAATTCATAGACAACACGAGAACATTCACACTATCCGTGTCTTTCTTCAACGCAGTTCGCACCCATATAGAAATAGCCCTTCTCGGGAGATCCCGATGGCTCTGGCGATGAATTCCGAGTTTCTGGCAACGAGATTGGAGTTTCGTGATTCTCTCATCCATGTTCGCCATCTCAGCAAGAAAGCCGAAGCCGCCTTTGTTAGAGTGGCTATTCCCTGCTTAGCGTGGCGCATCGCTGGTCATTTTGTCCATGCAGGTATCAGGGAGACTTTTCCCTACCAAGGAATGTTGCATGAATTATTGATGATCGGAATGTGGGTGTATCGCGCCAACACAGTAGTGGAGGTTTCAGCGAAACTGATCTCTTTTCTTTCGTCTGCGCGGACTCCTGATGAAGCTCACCAGTCCGTCTTGCTGAATAGTATCCCTCTCCATTGGCGATGTACTGAGTGTATGCGCAGATGATGTCATCGCTTAGTTCTTGTAGCGCAACATCTTCAGCGAGGCCGATGGGGCTTCCTTTGCTAGGATCATGTTCGGTGATCACACCTTTGCGATCCTGTTGATTGACTATCAAGAACAGCCGGCCGCTGAGCCGACTGGGTAACCGGAACTGCTTCTTCTTCTCTCAACTCCTTACAATTTGTCGGAGTCGGCTATTTCGTAATTTTGTCCCGATCTCGTATAGAAGGCCGAATCCCATCCTGGTAGCCTTCGAACCCCACTGTTTCCAAGGATGTTTCGAACTTTTCCTCGGCAAAGGAAATGGGTGCCAACCGGGTTTGGCCCGTCAATTTGAAGAATAGAACCGGCTCGATTGACCGAACGCTAGACATCGCCCCGAGAGTAGCCCCGTGGAAGCTACCTAAAGTATTTCATCGCGTGCGACAGAACACACATCAATGAAGTATTGGAGATGCCAGAAGATCTCTTGAAGATGATGCACCTCAACTATGGTAGGGGATCTGGGTGTGGCTGTGTTAGCTGAGCATTGCTACCGAGAGGAGATGCGGAATGGACTTTGTCATTCGGCTCACCTGGAACCCGGGCAGGGTTCGGATTTGTGCTAGGCCTTTTCTGAATCCCTCCTTAACGTTCGGGTGGTCTTTTCTTGCCATCGATACCACAGTTCCGGTCGACATGGGGTATGTGTTAGCAGCTGCCCTTACTGAGGATGGCTGAGATGGGGATGCTTGTGATGGAAGCGCGAAAAGACAGGAAGTGAGAAAGATGTAAGAGCGCAGGCAAGAGGGGAGGCAGCTGCCCAAAGCGATACTACCCCTTGATACCTCCTAATCTAGTTGATTAGGTGTGTAGCAGGCTCTGTGGCCTCCATCGTTGCGCTTGACTGTAGTACCTATCAGGGCTACTAGGATGAATAGTCATATGGTGCCAGTGCTTTTTTAATGGAACAATAAGGATTACTTGTGTGGGTGTTCTCTTGTATATTTTGTTTTATTGTATGAAATGTCTTGTTTATTGCTTCTAGTTAACAGGACTCCCGCGAAACAAAGTCTTGATCATCAGAATAAATTAAGGATTAGAACATGCGGTAAAAGCACGCAAACAAAATCATTTTTCTTCTTTTTGGGTTCAGCATCGAGGACAGTTGAGTGTCTGTTACCTGCCAAGCGGCAGAGGCGACATCGATGCAGGCGCATTCCATCATGTACAAGAGACATAATCTGCTAGATCTTTTATCTTGGGTAGGAAATCCGGTCTCATCAGGACGCACAAAAAGAGAGGAGAAACCAGATAGCGGGTTCACCACGGCAACATCAGACCGCGCTGGTATTCGCTGGCAAAGTGCGCTCCGGATCATGATCGCTGTATTCTGCAGGAGCAGGGACAGCATGCACGATCTTCCTCTTCGCAGTGAAGAGGCCAACAACACCACGCTCCTGGTTGGTCCCCAGCCAGGGCTTGCGGGCTTCGCTCAGAACCTTCTGCGCAAGGAAGTAGATGAGTTGACCAATGATAATAAGAACAAAGGCAATCGGGTACATCCAATGGATACGGTAGTGGAAGACCTCAACGCCAATGATCACACCCCAGAAGTTCATGGTGAGCATGGAGACGTTGAAGAAGGCGGCGGACGAGAGCCGGAACAGCAGCGGAGCGAGACAGTAAAACAAACTCAAACAGAGCGTGTAGCCAGTGAGATACCCGCCAACTTTGCCGTTCCAGTGCGCATTGTGGAAGGCGGTCCGGTCGAAGATACCCGCCTGCACGCCGTTGATGATCATTCCAAAGAAAGACATCTGTCCTAGTACTTCGTATACCGGCCGAGTGCTGACGAAGTACTCCTCTCCTGTATTGGTGAGACCGTAGAAGGAAGCGCCCAACAGCGCGAAGAGGTCGCCTTTAAGCTGGTTGCCCGAAGAAATGTTTCCGCCGTTGGCACCGGTGATGTGATCCGAGGCAATGAGGACACCCATACCACCGATACAAATCACGATACCTAGTATTTGAGTAAAGTGGTAGCGCACACGGAGGAAGGTGAATGAGATTGCCACGACGACAACAATGGCCCAGAAGTTGATCAGTTGCGCACTTAGCATGGTTGTATATTTGTATGCCAGCACGATAAAGTAATTGCCTTCCACGTCGCAGAAAGCAAGGATGATGTCTGCGGCGGTTAGTTGAGTTGTATACCGAATATATGGAAATCAAGATTACGAAGCATACATTTCCAGCCGTCACGGTACACTAGTCGGAACCAGCCCTTGAGGCCGTAACGGTACATCGTATAAGGAGTAAAAATGGCGTTCAGAAGCACATAGTTTAAGAAGGTTTGGAACGCAGGGATTGCCCAGCCCTCACGGCCCATCAGTGTTGTGAAGGTACCTGTCGAGGTATTGGCGATGGCGAGAAGTTGACTATAAGCAAGGAAATTAGGACTTGATACTTGTGTATTTGTAGAGGTACATGTTTGTTACCCTAGGATCACAGTAATATAGAATTCCTTGGTCTTGAAGTAGGCGAAGGAGCCTTTCTTTTGTTCATTGACCTGGTCCGCAGGCTCCGCGGGGGTGCTCGGAGTCTTCCGCCTGGGAAGACCTTTGTGTGCCCACTATCGCGGCATCCTTGGGGAGTGAGTGCACAGAAGAAGAGCTGACACGACCTGTAGCGAGATGGTCCATCCCAGATGCCTGGATGTTGATTTGGTCCTTGGATTCAGACATGGTGCGACGTTGGGCTGTAAGCTTGCAAAGCGGGGTTGGCCGTGAATAATGCTGTGCGAATGGCAAACCAGTTGCAGATTGGGGCCTAGATTGATTGGTTCACAATGTAAGGGAGCTTTATAAACCAGAAACGAGCGCAAAACTCCCGAAGTCGCTCGTGTATCGATATACCGTTTGGTGAAGACTGGTAAGAAGAGGCAAAAATCTCTAAACATCAAAGATCCAAGGCGTCTGGAACCTTTCCCCATTGGGTCTATCTTCGATAAGAATCTTCCACGTCGGTGGTATCCAGCCAATCAGCAGGGGGATGGTGGGGGCGGTGAGGGTCTGTGCAGCGGAAAAGCCCGTCCCCTGGCCCATTACGTCAGCAGATTGAAGGAAGGCCAATGGTACATGACAGGTACTTCCATTTAGGGCTGGCTACCCGTTTGACCGAAAGTTCTTCCTGAGTACCCCTCCGGTAGCTTATACTTATGTGGAGATCCATGCGTTGAATGGAATATGCAGAGAATATTTATAGAATTATAGATTGAGGGATGAATCTTAAATTGGAATGACCTAGGTACACGAGAAGTCTGACTGACGGTAAGGTGTGCCGTCATTGTACATTGCCCTGGTGTTTGTTATATGGCCCATCGACTGACGCCATATCACAACCCCTGAGAGAAGGATGTTCCCCAGCTCTGCTGCCGATCACGGAAGAACACCAAAATGACGAAGATAAAGTAGTCTAAATTTTAGCATGCGGCATTCCTGACAATGGTCGTATCCCTTTATGTACATACATCATTGACAAAAGGCCCGGAGCTTCAGGGACTTGGCTCGATGCACAGGGGGCCAGTGATGGGTACCTAAGGTTAGAGAGAGAGATGTTATTTCTGGACCCGGAAGTTCCCACTTTCTTCCGAATTCCCTTTTCTGCAAAGAAGCTTCCTTGAATGCCAAACTCTCGGGCTCAAGGGGGAAAAGATAAAAAAAAACCAAATCCTTAGTACCTGCCGAGGCCGTCAGGTGGACCTGTTCCCGATCGTCATCCCCTCCGCAGACTCTTTCATCATCCTTGGGATCTCCACCTCCATTCCCTCTTTCCGTCCCTTCCAACCCTTCGAGAAAAGCTACACAATCTTCCGATAACTTTCTTTTCATTACATTCCTGTTTCCCGCCGTTCGGCTCTCCTCTCGCGCCGGTGCACTCTTATCAGGCCCGGAGTGACGAGACGCCTCTCCCCGTTTCTGCCAGATCATGGCGCTGGAAGTACAGCCGCCCGACGGTCGCAAACGAGTCAAGGTCTATGAGCTCAGAGATAATGATTGGTTTGATCGAGGAACTGGTTTCTGCACGGGTCAAATCTTGGGGGTGAGTTGTCGCGCGTTGTGCGCGCACTGGGGATCGTGCGACGATGTTTCATCGCGCGCCCCAATCTCGGTCGCATCCCCATCATCATCAGTTACTGATCGCTTTGGTTTAGGAGGAGCCTCGCATATTTGTCGAATCAGAAGACCTTCCCAGTCGCGTGTTGCTCGAAACGCGAATCACCAAGGACGATGGCTATCAAAAACAGCAAGGTACCGAATCATCCTCACCGCATCGATCCACAGTGCCTGTTTTGGCTAACAGCATCACGCGACACAGAGACTTTGATTGTCTGGACCGAGCAGAATGGTACCGATATGGCGCTGAGCTTCCAAGAGGCCGAGGGTTGTGCGGTTATTTGGTGAGGAATCAACAAAAATCTTTGCGCGCATGAACTAATCCCATCAAAGGGACTTTGTCAATGCAGTCCAACAACATCTTCTGAGTCTCAATTCAGCCGGTAAGCCTTGACGCGTGCTCGAATGATGATAGCTCTAATCGTTTTCCCAGATGACGCCTTGTCCGATGATCTCGACAGCTACCAGTCCATCGTATTACCTGCCCCGGAACTCGGAAACCTACCTGAGATTGAACAGATCGTACGAGCTGCAAGCATGACACAAGGCGGCCGCGATGCGCTATCTAAATTTATCATTCGGGACGAGTACATCGCCAAATTGGTACCGCTAGTGGCAATGGCTGAGGATTTGGAGAGCTTGATCGATCTGCATCGCTTATGCAACATCATGAAATCTCTCATTCTATTAAATGACAACACCATAATCGAAACTGTTGTCGCCGATGAAGTCATCCTGGGAGTGGTTGGGGCTCTGGAATGTATGCTTCGCCCAGCTTCACCTTATTTAAAGCTTTAATGTTTTGTGACTGACGAAAACAGATGACCCTGAATTCCCCACACACAAGGCAAATCACCGGCAATACCTCTCAGACAAATCGCGATACAAAGAAGTCGTCCCTATCAAAGATCTGATCATCCGCCAAAAGATTCAGAGTACGTGGAGGCTGCAATATCTGAAAGACGTGGTGCTGGCTCGGATTTTGGACGACCCGACATTTTCGGTGCTCAATTCTCTGATTTTCTTCAACCAAATGGAGATTGTGAACCACATCCAAGCGAATGGGCCGTTCCTACGAGAGCTATTTTCGGTCTTCGACCCCAGGAATTTGGACCAGAGGCGCAAGGATGACGCTGTGCAATTTCTCCACCAGTGCGCTGGCATTGCGAAGAACTTGCAAGCACCGTCACGCGCCCAATTATTCGCCAATTTCATTAGCCATGGTCTCTTCGCCGTGATTGCCTTTGCTGTCAAGCACTTGAATCCAGCTATGCGGACGACTGGAATTGATATCCTGGTGGCTCTTTTGGATCATGATCCAGTCATGATGAGAAACTACATGCTCAAGGCTGTCAACGATAAGAAGACACCACTCACAGATACCTTGATTGACCTGCTTCATGTGGAGACCGACCTCGGCGTCAAAAACCAACTTGCCGATGCTATCAAGGTTCTCCTTGATCCTCAGATTCCTATGCAGGATCCGCTTGGTCGGGCTGGACCCGATTACCTCAAAGTTCGCACCAACAATCTTCTGTCTGATGCATTTGTCCAGCAACATTTTGATGAGTCTTCTAAACGGCTTTTCCAACCGCTTAAACAGCTTGCAAATCGCACAGCCCGTAAGTGGTCACCTCTGCGAGGGAGGATTTCTTTTGACCACAAAGTTGCTAACATTGAATTTAGTTAATGATTTGACATTCCAAGAGGTCACCCTCTACTCGCATCTTGTTGATATCCTCACCTTCTTCGTCCGCCAGCACCTTTTCCGCACACGTAACTCCATTCAAAGTGAATCTCTCGCACCACGCGTTGCACAGCTCCTGCGAGTGCCCCAGAAACACTTAAAACTTGGTCAGTGTACAGTCTTTCATGCCCCAAACCCATAACTAATGCCAACGATAGTCGCCCTAAAATTTTTCCGTACCTTGATCAGCCTCCAAGATACCTTTTATCAAGCTCTCATGACACACAATAACACGTTTGAGTTGATTCTTGACATTGTTTACGAGACAATGCCTCGCGACAACCTACTCAATTCTGCCTGTCTTGAACTTTTCGAATTTATCAAGCGGGAAAATATCAAGCCCTTTATCCTTCATGTGGTTGAGAAATATCGCGAAAAGCTTGAGAATATCATTTATGTCGATACCTTCCAGAGCTTGATTCTACGATATGACCAGATGCAGGGATACGGAGGCGAGGCCGACTCGGCGTTGTTTAGCCATGATGAACCACCCACTCCTCCGCGAAAAATTCAGATGAATAATCAGCGCTGGCAGGGTGTGAGGGAATTGGATCCCGCGGAAGAAGATTACTTTAACACGTCTGACGATGAAGATGAGGTAGGTTCCTTTTGGATCGAGACTGTTGGGGCAAAGGACTGACCAAAGAAGATAAAGTGGACGCAGGACCGTGTGGCCATTACAGTTGGACCTCCAAACGGGTCCGCCTCTGCAGTTGTCAAACCATTGGTTGACTACCCAGATGACGACGATGAAGACATCATGGACACCAAACCCGAAGGGGTACAGCAACAACCGGTGGCCAACCCAACGGAGACTTCGACTGATGCTCCGCCCTCAACACCTACTCAGACCCCGCCAGCACCAGAGCGGCTTTCAGAGAAACGTCGCCGCGAGGAAGAGGACGATGATGAGCTTATCAAGCTCAGCGCGGGACCTAAACGAAGAAGTTCCACCAGTAGCAACTCCGGTGCTGGTATTCTAGGTCGGAAGAAAAGCCTCACAGACAAAAATGCCTCACCGGGTGTATTAAACACTGTGACGAGCGCCGCACCCAAGAGAATCGCCATCAGCATCGGATCAACGGTCAAACCTCCCGCTTCCGAAGGCGACACTACTTGCACCGACGTGACAACCGAAAGTAATGAGAAGGAGAACCGTGATGATAGTCAAGGCAACGAGGGTGGATAAGCTATACCTCATAAACCAGGCGTTTTTGTTTCCTGAATTCAGTCTTCTTTTGCACGACCTAGATACCAGACACAGTTGCGGGGTTTCCCATCATTTCATCTCTTGCTGCTGTTCTTTGGGCAATTTCCTTTCTTCTTGTTCCATTTCTTCTTTGAAGATCTCCCCGCCTGATTTCTTGGTTTTATGAAGTGTTTTCTTCTCTCGTGACCTGAACTAGTACATGGCATGGCGTCTGGGCAATGCATAGGATCCGGCCTTGTGGTGTCTATCCTTTTTTTTCCTGGTCGGACTAGATACCGGCCATTGGAGGGTCCCTACATCCGGGAAGGGAGTCTGGAAATATACTCTGCTATCTTCATGGTATTCTCTATTTCCTAGTATTTTGTCATGTCATACTATAAATCGGGCCTGCCACCTATTTGCCTATCTATCTGTGTACATTCCTATACTCACGGAGACGAATCTTCGCGGGTTTTGTTCTCACTCTGTCTTTCTTATGGACCTCTGATATATTTACTCAGATGTTTTGCTAGTCAAGGGGCTACCGTTAGTTCTGAATTTCACATGGGGACCCACCAGCCAAATCCGACTTCACCTCCCTATCAATTCCAACGAATTTCTTTTCCAAGGGGATCAACACAGAAGGGGTATCAAAGAGCACAATTGGGTGTGTGGATTTCTTCAATTATCCCACAACCCCCTGGAGAGTCACTAACCAAGTCCCAGACCACCCACCAATCTCGTAGCCATCTATACCTTGGATAAGATCTACATCAAAGCAGCTACAAGAAGCTCCAGGATACAAGTCCAAGCATAAATATGGACCCTCAAATCACCCTAAACACCTTCCTCACTACCACGGGATCTTCATCAGACCAGAAAACGACTATCTTCTTCATCTCGGGCAACCCGGGTCTGATCGGCTACTACCATCCATTCCTCTCACTGCTCTCAAAGCACCTAGACGAGTCGAAAAATGACGCTTCACCAAATCCCCAATCATTCCAAATATATGGCTGTTCCCTTGGCGGTTTTGAGATTGACGAACAATCCTCGTCCTCACCGCACAACGGCGCGGACCTCGATCTCGAGAGCCAGATCTGCTTTGTGCAAGAAAAGCTTGCTACTCTGATGGGAGACACGGCTATCGATCAAAGTAACCTTGATGTCAAGCCTAGACGAAAAGTTATCCTGATTGGACACTCCGTTGGCGCATATATCGCCATGGAAATCCTACGCCGGCATCGCGAGGCCAGCCCGAGAAGCAACTTCGATATCGTCGGCGGAACAATGCTGTTTCCGACGGTCAAAGATATCGCGGCTTCGCCCTCTGGGCAGAAATTGACGGTACTGCATTACCCTTGCTGAATGATTTGTTCTTGCTAATCCGGGCTCTGGGCGCTTAGACTCTACTATCGATTATTCCCCGGCTGGCTGTGGTAGTTGGTCTCTTCGCTCGGCTGCTTACATTTTTGCTTTCGGCATCTCTGTTACGATCTGCGGTTCGGTTCGTCATGGATGATCCCCCCGTTCATGCTTTAGATGCTACGTGTGCCTTCTTGAAGAGCCGAGGTGGTGTACGCCAAGCTTTGTATGTGTCTTATTCTTGTCTTTCTATCTATTGAGATCTTTTCTAATCGCTTTTGGGCCCGGAATCTAGACATATGGCCGCGGATGAGATGCGCACTATCACCTCCGACAAATGGAGTGATGATGTCTGGGGCGCTGCATCGGCGCGCGAGCCTATCGCCAAGTTGTTTTTCTATTTTGGTCGTAATGACCATTGGGTCGCCGAGCAGACGAGAGATGAGATCGTTGCAATTCGGGGACAGAAGGGAGAACAGGTAGGGCCGACGATGGTTGTTTGTGAAGAGGGTCTGCCTCATGCGTTTTGCTTGAGTAAGTCGTGGCTGTTCATCGATTTTGACTACGTAGCCTTGCTGACATCATCTAGAACACAGCGATGTGATGGCTCGGAAGGTTGCAGGGATGATCGAGCAGATTATGGGCTGAAAAAATGGGTCATGCTCTTTCGTCTAATGTATGCATAGAATTAGACAGAGAATAGGGACCATGAACTTCGTCCTCGGCGCAGATTGTAATGGGTATATCAAGAGACGCTGTGCCATGACAATTGTCATCTGGATCACACATAATCCAAAATAGTTCAAATTGCATATGAATAGATCGCGAATCGGGTGCCAGGTGAGAATGACCAGGGAGCCGAAACGACCAGGAAAAAAAAGCATCCATTTGGTATCCATCTAGTATCCCTGCCCATTGCCTTGTTGGGCCAGCCCTGCTCTCCGGAACAGATCTCCTAGCACATCGGATTGTGGCTGTGGCGGGGGAGTAGGCACCGTCATCTGCTGAGGTACCATATTCATGTTCTGATAGTTAGGTTGGGCGGTCGGCTGGGGATGCTGGTTGGGGCCCAAATGGTGTGCGCGCACACTCCAACCGTCGTCCTGAGCGCGCTGCTGACCAAACAAATCCTTCAGCGAAATCTGGCGTCCCATGGGCGCACCGGCCTGGACTTCATCGAGCGGGGCAGCTTGTGCTGAAGCCGCCGCTGCAGCAACGTGCAAGCTGTTCTGGCGCATGGCTTCGAGGCGCTCGCGAGCCAGCTTCAGGCTCTGCCCTGCGTGTGTGGCGCACTCGAGAATCATCTGGGCATTTATGGTACGACTCTCGGCGGTGGAGTTTGGCGGTGGCTCTGAGTAGATCCAAAGACCGTAGATGCGTACGTTGTTGGTGCCGGTCTGGGAGTTGGGGACATTCTGTGGGTGCAACGGATCGGCGATACCATTCTGTCCAGCTTCTCCTTCAGCGGTTTCTTCAGCTTTGAGAATCACATATTCGTCTGTGATTTCAACATTCTCGCCGTCGGTTAGTGGGAGATCGAAGTTGTTTAAGCCACGGCGGTTCAGCACAAAGGCAGTGTAGCGTTCTTCGCCTAGATCGCCCTGCGATTCCTGGCAAACGAACAGAGTTCCTTCAACACCGTTCTTCTCCCATTGTTTTGTGGTTGGGCTGAAAATGTAGACGACCGCGTAGGGCGCGAGGGAAAGAATGGAGGTCACAGTGGGCTTGTGTCGTTGGATAACGGAGAGGTTAAGCTCCTCGTTGGAGCGGAGTGGTGGTGCAGGCTGTTGCTGCATGTCGGAAAAGTATTGAGCGTCAGATTCATAGTCCGTGAGGTGTACGGAGTTGTGATTATTTTGTCTTCGAGGTTTGCGAGAAGCCATATTTTCTGTGCGGAGTGTGTGACCTTTGAACGAGCGGAGGGAAGGAGCGGACATATCGTCATTGTCCAAGCTCCGCCTTCGCGCTTATCCGGCTCTCTACTCTCTCAACCCTCTCCCCTCTTGAACATCCTTCCTTGGGATATTTGGACACGGCACTATAATTGGCTCATTGCTTCCTCTTCCATTACTCGCTCTGTCCAGCCACTTCTCTTCTTTTTGCGTGATGACGATCTCGCCCGTTTGAATATTGGTGGGATGACCTATGCAATGAAATGACTGAGCCATTGTCACCTTATACAACGGATGTTCTTATTTCCTCTTACTTATTCTAAGAGAAACATTACCACTTCATATACCCATTGCAGGAAATTTCTTGGTGTATCCTTCCTCCCCGGAATCAAGAACCGCGCAGGCGCGCACACGTCCAAGGCTATACATACACCGCGCCGGATACATACTGTTTTACAAGACGGAAGCAATCATCAAGAGAGCAGGTAGAGTTGCAGCAACAGCTTATCTGCCGGTACATTCTTATCCACCATGAGCAACAAATCGCAGCCATCATCCTCGTCCGAGTCGGATCACAAGCGCCACGAGTCGGAGTATGCGGAAGAGACTAACAACCCAGGACTCGACGTCCTGTCACTCTCACGAGCGCTCAAAGCAAGAAAAGCCGAGTATACCCGCCGGCGATCTATCCGAGTCAAAGTTGGGACCTGGAATGTAGCCGCCATTCCCGGGACCGAAACAGACGTTGGGAGATGGTTTGCTGAAGGAGAAGGCGTGTGTGAGCAATTCTCCGGGACTAAAAGCGTACCACAACCGGAAACCCATGGCGAGCCGAAGGCGGCCGGAGATAAAACGGCGCCCTTTCACTACAGTCCCGAAGAGATAGACCTCTACGTCTTGGGGTTGCAAGAAGTTGTCGATGTTTCTTCTCCTGCAGAAGCGCTACGGCCATATGTTGATCCAGCACCATCAAGGAGATGGAAGGAGGCAGTCGACAAGGCACTACCCTCGGGGTATCGCCTTGTCTCCGAAGTTCAGCTCGTCGGCCTGCTACTTCTGATATATGCGTCACCCTCCATTGGAACCAGTGTCTCTTCTATCAGTAGCACCTCTGTTGGAACAGGCTTGATGGGCTACATGGGAAACAAGGGCGCTGTTGCAACGCGTCTTGTTTTGGGTGAAACCACTCGTTTGGTCTTTGTCAACTCTCACCTGGCAGCAGGGTCTGATAAGAGTAGCCTGGAGCGACGTAACTGGGACTCTTCACAGATCGTTCAGCGGGCTAGGTTTGACCCTATCATTTCATTTGAAGGCGAACCATCAGATGAGTCGAGCGAGGCGATTGGAGATGAAGATTTCACTTTCTGGTTTGGCGACCTCAATTACCGCCTTGATGATATTCCCGGGGAGGACGTACGCCAAGTACTCGCCCGGCACACGGCCAATACTTACGATAGAGATCGCCTAGCAAAGTTGGCATCAAGCCGTTCTGGGGATTCGGGGGATTCGGGAGATTCGGGCGATTCGGGCGATTCGGAAGATTCCGAGGCCGGTACCGACGACCAGTTACCCTCTCCCCCAGCTGAAGAAGAGACAACCCCAGTCACCGAAGAAGAGATAGATCCTCATAATGACCCCGCATCTCTCCAAACCACAATTTCTTCACTTCTCCCTCACGATCAACTCCGAATTCAACAAACCAAAGGAGCAGCTTTCCACAAGGGGTGGCGAGAAGGTCACATCTCATTCTTGCCGACGTACAAATATGACATCGGAAGTGTGGCCATGTTCGATACGAGCGAGAAACAACGAGGTCCGAGCTGGTGTGATCGGATCTTGTTTCGTACCCGTCAGGATAAGCTGAGGCACGAACGGCTCGACCAGGAAGCCGAGGAAGCTCGAAAGAAGGACGAAGAGATGAAAGCAAGCGGATTGGACAAGGCTGTTGCCGACGATAATGTTTTGTTTGAATATGACCCCGATACAGATGGTGCACATAGCGAGGAGTACATATCAGACGAGGATCAGCATGATGATGAGGATGATGCACCAACAGTTGCATCGCACGATCTTTCTCATGATCCAATTCGTCTGGATCACTATGTGTCATATCAAGGCATCCTATCATCGGACCACAAGCCTTTGGTTGGCATTTTCACATTGAACTTTGATGCGGTCAACCCCGACCTCAAGGCGAAGATTCATCAAGAAGTGGCCCGTGAATTGGACAAGGCCGAGAATGAGGCTCGACCGAGTCTGACTGTTGTAGTAGATAGACATGGTGATCAAACCGTCTCAGAGAAAGAGCCCGATGCTGTTGATTTCGGCGATGTTGCTTTTGATGTGCCCGTTCATCGCTCCCTAACCATTGCCAATACCAGTGGGACTGCAGCGACTTTCTTATTTGCAGAACGGCATAGTGATAAAGACAACACTATTGCCCAACCGCCTTCGTGGCTCGACATCCACATTTCCTCCAAGTCAGCGGACACTGCCGATGGCAGCAGCCAAGCGATGGCTTCTTCGTCTGGAGGCCATATTTTGCTCCCTGGAGAAGTAGCAAATGTTGAGGTCATGGCTCACATTCGAAGCATCGAACACGTTCGGCTACTCAACATAGGAAAGGTCAAACTTGAGGATATTCTGGTTCTTCATGTGGACGGTGGGCGCGATCATTTTATTTCTGTGCATGGCCATTGGCTACCCACCTGTTTTGGCTGCAGTATCGACGAATTGACTCGCATGCCAGAAGCGGGTGCTCGCAGTTTGACTGAGTCCGAAACTCATCCCTTCAGCACAGATCGTCCCGTTGAAGTCCGCTTGTCGGCCCCCCGCGAACTTTTCCGCCTGACTGAAGCGATTTCCGAGCTCACAGAGCGCGCCATCGCAGAGTGGAGCATGAAAAATGGTGAATCCGAGGAGCATAAGGCCCCATGGACAACGGAACTTTCTGGAGGAGCATGGCCTTTCCAACCTGATACATGGACTCTCAAGGATCGGCAGGAGCGGTATGCCCTACAAGCCTCTGTACGTCAAGCCCTCGACACCAATGAATCCCTCGCCACTGTCTTTGCTCCCGAGGTCTCAGCGCTCCACCGGTTAGAGATACTCTCCGAGACCCTCCTCACATTCCTCAATGCCCTCGAAGACGGCGTTGTCACCGCGAAAGTATGGCAAGACATGGAGCAACAGATCATCGCGCGCGAGAAATCCAAATCCTCGCCCCGAACCTGGGACGAGACCCAGGCCTGGGTGCTTGAGCATCTAGCCTACTCCCCTGCCCACAGCGTCTCATTTACCTTCGTCACATTTATGCTCGCTCGTATCGCCAATGAGGTGGCCCCAATCTCTTCTAACTCATCGCGAGTCACTTCTCCCAACGAAGGGAAGCCAGCCAATTCCAAAGGACCTACAGAACAGCAACCTGTACCTGTGAATCTGGATCAAACCCAGTCGCCTACTTCGGTTTCCGCTACCACATTTATTACCAGCGGAAGTTTCCGCCGCAAGAATCGAACCACCAGCACATCCACTAGCTCCAGTTCCGATGTGACTATTCAGAACCCTTCTATAGCTCACCGACAAGCAGTTGAGACTGCTCTGGCATCTATCTTTTCGCGCGTGCTTATTTCTGGCTCCGCTCCGCTGCCGACCAAGGAGAAAGAGCGTCGTATATCTGAAGAGCGGAGACGATCGATCATTGAACCATTCTTGAAGATGGTTGGAGTGGACGACCGAGGACCTTCTGGAGGCCGGCCTTGATTCTCTTTGATACAGTCGATACACCTTGACGAGAGGTATCTACATCTACGTACATAAGATCCATGGATACCTAGACTGCTTGTCTCGCAGAATGGCTCTGTGGATCGTTTTGGGGTGCTCTGTTTGTGTGTATAATGTTGTACAAATTCCATGTTTTTCATGTTAGTCTCGTGTTGGGTGGCTGATGCAGGTTGAGAAACCTCGTATTTGAACTCAAACCAATATTTAAATGCTTTAATATATAGTAGGTATGTGATAGATCCTACACAGAGAGTCCCTAAGCCCTTGCATGAACACCATACCCCGTATACCTGTTCCTTGTCCAATCGCTTCTTACCAATAGCTCACTGTCCACTGTGATATCTCCGGTCGTCAATAAGTTAAAAAAAATATAATCAAAAAATCCCATGCATGATCTCTTCACATCCCATCCCCATTCCTCACAGACCGCCGCTGCGGCGCTAGCCCTCCCTGACGATACACGGCCGAAGACCCAGTCCCCGGAGCCCCGGCCTTTCCCTTCAAACCAGATTTGGTCTTCGATCGCGGCGCAGCTTTGCGACCCGTCAACATACGCCGTGCAGCATCCCAACACCCCAACACCGCCCGGCCGGGCAAACTAGCAGCTGACAGCGCAAGTTGTGCGGGGATTACAATGCATGCACAAGCCCAGTCTAACAATACGAGCGCATAGTTCGGACGACGAGACGCAGAGCTCCGCTGTGCAGCCGCAGCGAGAGCAATCGCATCCCCAGCCTGCGTTTCTAGATGCGCGAAGCGCTGATCAGTCTGCAGCGTGAAGACCGCGGAGCGTTTCTCGTAGCGGCGCACAGCGCGATTCAGGGCCTCGATGTCTGGCTGTATAGACTTGCGGGTCTCGAGGACGGACTGTGCCACGAGGGACGGGGTTTCGGGCTGTTCCTTTGGCGATAAAGGACGGCCATCATGGGATTCGGCAGAGCGCGCAGAAGCGGTTTCGGCGACGTGTGCTTCTAGCTCTTCGAGGCGCTTTGTTAGGTCTTGGATGGTTGTGGGGTTGACGAATGGTTCTGAGGAGGCTACGATGCGTTGCAGGTGGAGGGTGCGCTTTTGGATTAGTCTTAGGAGGTGCGCCACTGGGCGGACTTCGGAGGCTAGGAGGAAGATGGTTAGGTTGTAGTTTGATACTAGGCCCTCTGAGGGTCTGGAGAGGCTGGATCGGATGGCGTGGAGGAGCCAGGTGCCGATTACGGGGAATATGAAGCATGCGGCGAGCGCGGCGAGCTCGTGGATTTGGAGCTCGGAGCGAGCTGATGCTGTTGCTGAGTTCCGATGTGGCTGGGTAGTAGTTGGGGACTCTGCTTCATCTTCGTCTGGCTCGAACGGGGTGGGATCGTCGGGCGCTGGGAATCCACTTTCTTCTTGTCGGATGGCCTGGGCCGAGCGATACCAGTCCCTGGATTTATCGTCAGTACTTTTGGTTGGGGTTTTACGGGGTTAGTGTTAGGGGCTATTTACCAAGGCAACCGGACAGACCAGTTGAGGAATATAGCAGCCAGTACTAGCAATGTGACATCGGTGACAAATGCACTGCCTTCGTGGAAGAAGATGCCTGCAATTGCAGGCAACAGGGCCAGCCCGAGGGGCGCAGAATGCCAATGCGATTCTTCGGTTGACAGGGCATCGCGACCTTTTGCTACACGAGGGAGAAACAACCCATCGGTGGATGAGCGAATGGAATTACGGGCTTCGGACAGCGAGTCCGAGAGAGTCGAGTTGCGACGTTGATACCCCTCGAAGGTCGTGGCACGTGGCAGTCGACGTGTATTCAAGCGTTGAGTCGGAGACGAATCCATTGTGTTTTGGATAGTCCTCTGCAATGCAGTGAAGGGGGAAGTTGGAGTTTCTGGTCACAGCCCTGCCGAGGTTGCGCTGATCGATGATGCAGTGCCACCAAACAGGTTCGCAGATCACCTTGATTGGTACCTAACCTGGTCGGAGGAAAGTGGCCGGAGTATCTGGTAAGATAATCCCATTGATTGTTCATTGTCCAAATATGCAGTTCTATACCCAACCAGGTATTGTTTTGCGTGAGGGATCCTCCTCTCTCCTCTCGTCTCTTTCCTCTGAATAACCTCTAGACTCATAATGCACAACTGAATCAAGCTTAAGTGCAAAAAGAAAAAAAAGACAGTCGACAAGAGACGCTTGGAATGTGGCGCCGATGAATAAAGTGCCCGGCTCATTGGCGTCTATTGACCCCCAAATGCGGACTGGGGCCTGTTCACTCTATTCGCTCTCAACAAACCACCGGCCTGTTGACCTCGCGTTTCTTTATTCTACTTCTTTCAGCTCCTTTATTCTCGTTATTGCGAATTGTCAATGCTAATTCAATGGATAGGTTTCTCTGTCTGTCGCAAACTATGTCAAGGTCCGGTACCCCAGCCGCGGGTTTTGCCTTTGCAGCCCATACATTCTTCATCTACAGTACAAGATCTAGTTCAAGTCACGATGTCTTGAGCTGTGAATCAATCCCCTGATTCTCGTTATTCAAGCGTCAATAAGACATCATTGCTCAATTGCCTTCTCGGGCTTGATATACATCGTCGAGAGAGAATGGTTCTAATCCAATCTTCTTTCTCTTTTCCTATCGTCTCTTTTCTCTCATCGGACAAGCAACTTGAAGCTTCATGCTACAGGTTTAGTACTTTGATCCCTGTTCTTCATTTCACACATCCACTACCGACATGGATGTTCACCAGCGATACCCGCAGGCCATTGTCCTGCCAGCTCTATCATTTTTCTCCATTGCTCTCGCTATTCCACCTCTGATACTACATGGAAAGAACCGTAACTTTTCCGCTACCAGTCTGATATTCTGGTCCATTCTTCTCAATCTCTTCAACATCATCAATTCCCTCATCTGGCCCACGGACGATGTCGATTCATGGTGGGACGGCGCCGGGCTCTGTGATATCGAACTCAAGTTTATGGCAGCCAGCTATATTGGTATTCCCGGAAGCTTGGTATGCATTTTTCGAAGTCTTGCAGTTGTTCTTGATACAGATCGAGCTACATTGGTCCCCAGCAAGGGTCAACGTTGGCGAAAACGGTTCACGGAGATTCTGTTCTGTGTGGCTGCTCCAGTCCTTGCGATGATCACCCAGATTGTCTGGCAAAAGAGTCGATACTTGCTGTATGGCATCTCGGGATGTGTGAATGATTTTGACGAGAGTTGGGTCAGTCTCGTACTTGCATGGATCTGGCCACCGGTCATCTGCCTCATCGCCACATATTATTGCTGTATGTATAACTCTTTGGATTCAAAAGATTCAAAAGCACACTGAGCTGATAACTACAGGCCTGGTACTCATTCGCGTGCACAAATATCGAAGCGACTTTGCAAATGTCTTGCGCGCCTCGAGCAGCAACCTTAGCAAATCCCGCTTCTACCGCCTCTTCTTCCTCGCCCTGTCCATGCTCATCTGCATACTCCCTCTACAGAGCTACGTCCTCTATAGAAACATCGATCTCTCCCTTCCTTGGTCTTCCTACTCATGGAGCAAAAACCACGGAGCTAAATGGCTTGTAATCGACAGGCGAGCATCCCACGGTGAGGTCTTCTTTGACCGCTGGACACCCGTCGCATCGGGCTTCATGATCTTTGGATTCTTCGGCTTCGGCCGCGATGCCACCCGCATGTACCGCACCGTCTTCTGGTACTTAGGACTTGGATATTGCTTCCCAAACTTCGATCCCCCAACATCCAGCCAAATCACCCCGCCCCCTGCGCATGCCTCGACAAGCACAACCCTCGTCGACTCCATCGGTTCCATCAGCTCCCGCGCCAAATCACTCTTCTCCCGCAAGGACTCAGGCACATACACCGGTCCCTTTTCGTCAAACCGTGCTGCCTACAACGATCTTGAAAAGGGAACTATCACTACTGCTTCGCACCTCTCTCGAAGCCAAAGCTTGAACCAATCCACCGCCAAAAAGTCTCGCTGGACCAATCTTCCCTGGTCACTCTTCAACAGACCCCGAGTCTGCCAAGATACAGATGGAACCCAGCTGTGCAAGCTCTCTCCCCCCTTGCAGACAGTCAGCACAAACGCCTGGGCAAGCCGCCATGAAAGTCTGGATTTGTCTACTGAGCATGTTCTGCCTCAGCGCCCTGGGGATTTCATTCATGTGAGACGGGTTATCAGCCAGCAGAGCGAGGTTGAATTCCAGATTTAGCGTGGCTTTTTTGTTGCTCTTAGGCTTGCTGCAGCCTGTTGCAATCTTCTAATACCCTTTGCTCGATGCTCACTTCAGGTACAACGGAATACTTGAATACATGTCATAGTAATAATACCATCACGTAATTCGCAGGGTCTTGCATGGCTCTCGCGCAAAATGAATCTTTTATTTGTTTGAACTTGTTTCGGTGTAGATGCTTGTTGATACACACTTCTCGTAAGTCTTTGTCGTTCATGTGATAGCCCAGAGTAATTGAACGAGAGAATCATCCAACCAAGTACTGTGGTAGAAGTGAAGAGTTGTCCAAAGCATAGTTTTGCTTGGTGTGCAAATATAGAAATAGGTGTGAGCACCCTACTTCATGTTTTGATCATGTTTTGGATAAAAAGAAACCAGCACACGAAGAGTAGATGGAAATCACACACAATGCAATTCCCTGCAACCGAATTGAAAGCTAGATGTACGGATACTACAGCAAATATCACTAGAATAGTATACATCCCCTACAGAAGGAAGTGTATTCAGGGTATAGTCGTACAATAAGATCACATACTGCAAGGGACTCAATCAATCCCGCCAGCTCCAAAACGAGACCGGCAACAAACTCAGGTTGATACAGAGATGTGATTAAACCATCCACTGCAATCTATTTAGCGGGACTCGCCGGAGTGGTTCTCAGGACGCTTGAGGACCTCGAGGGTACCTAGGAAAGGGTTAGCTTGGGCTTCTTTCTCCTCTCCTATTTTCTTCTTCTTCCTCTTCTTTTGGTCCGAGGAAACAACGGAGGGAACATACGCTGCACAACGCTCAGCGAGGACCGGGTGTGGCCCTCTGCATCTTCATAGGTGTTCATTCTAGCATCGCCTTCAACATACAGGAGGGTACTGCGGGAGACAGAGACATGTTAGCTCATCCGTATCAAGCTCGAAGTCCTGAGGCAAATCGGCAGGAAAACATGAAATGATATCTCATGCACAGATCAGTCGCTTCACCGCCAAATGCATGTGTCATGCAGGACTGGGTCTATCTGTGCAGTGCGCATATCCAGAGCTAAAGCGCCGGCTCCAGCTTAAGCTTTGCATCTGTGGATAGCACGCACGCGCGGACCCATCGGACACATATAAAATGATGTAGCGACGTCACCCACACCAGACACAATCCAATGCTCCACCATTGTCCCACAGAAACCGAATCCGCCAGTACAAAGAGGTCACGACGAGCACTTACCCCTTCTGCAAACCAAGGATGTAATCGCGCTGGGGACCCTCGGGGACGAAGTTAATAATGCGGAACCAGCTGGTCTGGCGGTTGTCCTTGGAGCCGTGGGAGGTGGCGACGTTATACTTGACGACCTCCTGGCCGGAGGAGGTAGCATGGAGCTCGGGCTCCGCGCCGAGGCGGCCGGTGAGGGTCAGGCGGGCGATGGAATGGGCGGGCGAGGTGCTGAAGGCGCGGGCGGTCTGGGCAGCGTTGGCCATGCGCAGGCCTGGGCGCAGAGAGGAGAGGAAGGCGGACATGGTTGAATGTAGGATGTGTGGATTCGCTGGAATTGAGAGTTTGTTATGATAGTGGACACGCTTGGGGTGTCGATCCCGGCACGTGACCTGGCATTGGCCCGGCTTACGGATGTGATATGGTGGCAGATGCTAGTCGGGTTATTGATTTGTGTTGGCAGTGCACGAAGTAGTTGCAATCGATGTCTCATTTTTTTTTGGTCAATGCAATTCGGTTGTCCACGTTGTTTTTAGTGAAGCTCCTAAGGTCGTGTTAGAGCTATAGCCCTACCCCGGAATCCTCCTGCAGCAATTTCTTATTTACGGGCCTAGACAGCTATAACCAACATGGGCATGGTCTTAGGATCACGGACCCAACATATCAAGTCCCCGGCTATAAAAAGGCAAGGGTGGACTGTAGTAAAGCAATTAGACAGAAACAATCGAGCCTAATCGACTAGCCGACTCCTTTCAAACGTTTCATTGGACGCCATCGTGAATGCCAACGGGACACGCCAACGAAGATGTGGAGGAAAGCCCACGCAACGAATCAGGAAAAAATCAAATAAAACAAGGGAAAAACCGCGCGATCAGCCTGATCACGTCACAACCGATCACATCCAAGGTCAACGGGACGGAGTAGGGAGTACAAATGTACTCCATACTCCGTCCACGGTGTGCACACCAACCTGGGAATGGAAACTGATAGGAAGATCGGCTAGGGAGCAGATCGCAGTGGAGAAGGCAGACGTTGGCAGAGTCACCGCTGATTGATCGAACCACGCTGACCAGATATTAAGATAGCTGCCTGTCTCAGATGTATTGGCGGCTCCTTGCGGCAAACGAAAAATCAAATAGCGGCCCAACCATGTTGTACGGAGTACGGAGTACGGAGAGGTGTCGGGGTCAACAATATCTCACGCCCACCTGCAGATAACTGCGTGGCAATGGGAAATTGCTTTCTGCCATATGGAACCAAATGGGACCGAATGGGACAAAATTGGGCAAACTTGGTTAAATAGTTCGTTCGATAGATCCGCTGCGATAGTTTTCCATACGGCGCCACCCGTGGGAAACACCTGACTCTTTCTCTCTCGTTCTCGTCTGTCGCGCTCACCGCGAAGTGGAACTGATATGAATGACGGTGAGAGCCAATGCTCACAGTTGCAGTGCCATCTGACAGCTCAGACAGCCCGCCCTTCCTTGGATCTGCAGTTGCGTTGTTCAACAATCACACCAGAGGACAATTGGACAACTCCCCCTGTTCAACTCGGTCATTGGCACCGCAAATAGCACGAACCCTCTATTTGGAAGGGCAATATTCGCCGAACCAAAGAACCAGAGACGATGGAGGACTCCACAATATGGAGACCTGGGCGGGTGCGGTGCTCTGTATGGCCTTCTGGAAATGCGACTAGTCCGAGTTGATCCTTGCTAGAGATCAGCAATTTCCTCGATCGGTGGGGCGCAAGTAGATAGCTCACTGCAACTCGCGTGGACGAACAATTTCTCTGTTTGGTGGAATCGGACTTTGTGCCAATAAAACTCAATTCACCATTCAAAGCCTTTCCTGTTTCGTGGCTCTCGTGTGGCCATTTCGTTTATATGTAGGGAGGCCTAGGGCTGTCACTCCGCTTGCTTCCTTTTTCTTACAATTCTCTATCATGCGTCCCTGACGCAATTATATACTCCTTTCTTTTTTTGTTTTAATTATTAATCGCCTTCCTCCCCAGAGCTTGTTATTGCTCTCGCGTGCAGTCGTGCCGACTAGCATCGCGTGCGGGATATGTCAAGGCGTGGGCCATACATTAACTACCGATATTGCTCTACGGAGAAACAAATCTATTGCAGAGGGTCACTTGCAAACCCACAATGCGGTGGTCTTCACTGATCGTCCTGATCCTGTCCCTGTTCTTTTTTGCAGGGACATTGGCCGCGCCGGTGCCAGGCCTAGGACGACGCGATGTTGAAGCCACCAGCCTCAAAGTCAGACAAGAAGAGGACCCTAAACCGGGTCCTACTACGACAGAGGTCCCACCGAGCGAGGCATCAACGACAGCAACCCAGAAGGAAAAACCGAAATCAGTAACGGATGCTTCAGTAACGGATGCTTCGGCAACGGCTGAGGCTACAAGCACAGGGACTACGGTCTTGAGCACTGCTTCAACTAGAGCTACGACGACTACAACTACGAATGCTCCGACAACTGCCACTACTACTACTACTAATACTGCTGCTTCTGCCACTGAAACTGTGCCCTCGCTCGATGGAACAACTGCATCGTCTCAGCAGGAAGCAGCGGACGCGACAAGGCCAACCTATTCCGGGGGTCTGCCGATTGAACCGAAGATCACTCCAGCATGGGGTGTAGGAGGATTCTTGCTCATAGTCCTAGGAGCCGTTCTTGCCTTCATCGGAGTCCGCAAGCAATGGTATTTAATTATTAATTCTGCGATAATGATGGGCATTTACTGACAGGAACAGGGTCCAAATCTTCCTCGCAACAGGATTCCTTAGTGCGTTGGGAGTTACCGTGAGTTTGAGTACTTCGAACAGAGCACGAGGCAAATATTAATCAATTTTTATGACAGGTCCTGATTATCTATGTGATGAGTCCCCCGGTCAGCAACGCAGTGCAGGGTGGCTATTTGGTCGCCGTGTTCTTCACAGGCGCCGTCTTTGGTGGTCTGTCCCTCGTATTCAGAGAGATCTGCGAGGGACTGGGCTGTCTTCTGGGCGGATTCTGCCTGAGTATGTGGTTCCTCGCTTTGAAATCAGGTGGTCTTTTGACCGAAGGCGGCCCCAAAGCCGGCATGATCATTGCTTTCACTGTGGGATTCTACTCCCTGTCATTTAGCCACTATACACGGCCGTACGGATTGATTGGATGTACATCTTTCTCCGGGGCAACTGCCCTGGTCCTTGGAATTGATTGCTATAGCAGAGCTGGACTAAAGGAGTTCTGGCTCTATATCTGGGGTAAGCTTTTGCTGTTTGTTATCAGACTGTTACCTCATTGCTAACGGGCCTAGGCTTGAACAACAACGTTTTCCCGCTCAGAACGAACACCTACCCCGTAACACGTGGTATCCGTGTTGAGCTCGCCGTAACAATCATTGTTGGCGTGCTAGGCGTGATCTCTCAAATCAAACTCTGGAATGTCATCAAGACACGCAGAGCGACGGAGGAGAACTCTCGCCGGGAACACGATAGGAAGATCGAAGAAGAAGACGCAGAAGCTGGTCGGCGTCTCGAAGAGAAGAATATACAAGAGCGTGCCGAATGGGAGCTTATCTACGGTAACGGTAAGGCTGCTTCAGTCTCAGAGACTGTTGTTGGAGACTCTCGACAAGGTTCGGATGGCTTTGAGTCCTCCGACAACGAAAAGGATGCTGCCGAGATCAAGGAAATACAGATCTCTGATACATCTGGCAGTGTCTCTGACGGCGAGAAGAACGGTCAGGGTGAGAATGATGCCCGGGAACTCGAGACTGTGCCGGAGGAATCATCCCAAAAGGAAGGAGAAGCAAACCACGACCAGGAGCCGCGGGAAGATGGCCAATCCGACGAAAAGACCCCAAGACCTACAACACCTGTTGTTACTCATGTTCTTGGCGAGGGAAATGACGACTCCTCGGAGATCGGTGCTGATATCGGCTCGGAGGTCGGTACGCCGCGCTCCAAACGCTTGTCTGGCACAGAAACCTTGAACCGGTCATCCTGGAGGAGCAGCAATGGCATGATGGTTTCTTCGGAGTCCCGAGCGGCTCTGGTGGCTCATGGCGATGCTAATTCGTCTGTATTGGGTGTTGCGGACGATCTTCATGTTATGAGCGTCGGTTGCCCGAGTGTTGCCTCGGATGCAGATGCTCGCGATCAAGTCAAGGAAATTCAGAAAGAAACCAATACCGCAGAGCCAACCCCCGCAAAGGACTTGACTGATGTGGAGACCAAGCCGAATTCTGTTCCCCAGATTGTTCAAGACTCTGCACCCATCCCCGATCCAACCCCAGCCAAACCTGCTGTCGAACAAGATGTCAAAAAAGGGGCGATGGAAGAGAAGCCTGTCACTCAAACCATTCGCAAGGTGTCTTCTGTTCAAAGCGCTATCCTTGCTCTGGAGCAAAATGAAAACTCCAAAACACCGGAGCGACTCAAGCCTTCGGTCAAACCGGCAACAATTCGTCAAACTCAGGTTGCTGATACTCCCAAAACGACAGTGGAAGTGAAGAAGAAATCAACACTAGAACCTTCGCCTATGGGTGATGCAAAGTCCGAAAAGATGAAGGATGGTAATGCCATCCCTACTGCTAAATCGGTCAAAGCCGAGTCCATCGCCCAGCCCAAGGTTGAGGCTATCCCAGAACCCAGAATTGAGCCCAAGGCTGAGCCCAAGGACAACCCGAAGGTCGAACCCAAGCTTGAACTGAAGACCGAGCCAAAGGCTGAGCCCAAGGTCAAGGTGATCAAGAAACTGGATGCCTCATCTGTCAAGTTCATCCCAGAACAAACATCACGAGTGGTTCATTCATACCGCACGAACGAATGGGCCAAGCACCTCGCAGATGCAGACACTCCCGAGATGGAGCCTATTGAGTTTGAACCTGAACCTGAACCCGAACTTTCAGACGAAGTTCACGAGGTTGCGGCAGTTGTGGATGTCGACGGTCTCCTACAAACCCCCTGACCGCACAACCACCGCCAATCGTGAACAGGCCTGAAACCTATGAGGTTGATAATCAACAATCTGCCTACGTTGCATCGATGCCCTCCCCAGATATTCCGCAGTCAAAGACACGGACCACCGCCCAAGGTCTCGCCAAAGCGAAACCAACGACAGTAACCCGCAACAACTCGACAAGTTCAGCCAATTTGTTACGGTCAACGTCTGGTCCACTTCCTCTAATCCACGATCCAGGATTTACGTCGACGCGCAATGGATCAACCCCGCTGTTGACAATCAACACAACCATTGAGCCCAAAGAAACAGAGCCCTCACCACGCTGGAACGGGCCACCTCCCCTCCTCGCAGTCCGCGAGAACATGGTCCGAAACCGCATGTCCTCGACATCCAATCGCTATGACCCCTGGGCCTCACGTAATCTCTCCCGCCAGTCCCTCCCGGAAATTCCCCCGCTGAATTCTCCGATATCACCACCACTCCCCGTCCCGGAGGAAAGGAGCGAAGAGTACCAACAAGCCAAGTCTAAGGATCAAGATGATATCCCCCTTTCCAAGCGCCGCACCCTGCTGCAGCGCCAGGTCATGAAGTCACCGTCCATAGCCAGCCTTCGCAGTCTTGAGGCTCAATCCCCCGTGATTTCTCAGCTTGCCCCCGCTGGCGAGCTCAACAGATCTGCCTCGAGAATGGCCGCATGGCGACAATCCGTCCGCGAGGAAATCTCTCAGAAGCGGGATCCTTTGGCTCTCCAGTCACCACCGCTCAGCCCAGCCAGCCCCGATCGGTCGCGCAATACATGGGGCTCCGTGCAACAGATGCGCGAGGCTTCGTCTACCCAGCTGGGTAACGCGATTGCCGAAGGCATGCAGCGTGGAGGCATGTCCGACCTTCACCGTCAGGCGATGCGGCGTATGCAAGCTTCGGCGAATCGAAAGCTGTAGTTGCCAGTTCATGGATCGGTTATTCAGTTTACTCGCTATACCCTTTGATTTGATTTTTGATTTTTATTTAACCAGGTGTTGTTATCACACGCCATGGCGAATGTGTTTCCCGCACGATTTTACGAAGTATTTATCGCATCGATGTCTATATAGTCTTTGACATAATGTATATTGTGCCTTCGGGTTAATTTTGCTTATTCCGAAACGCGCAAGCTCTACTTCGAGTCATGCGGCTGGAAAAAAGGACTTGGAGTGAAATGAAACAGAATCAGGTCAGAGTTGCCCTTGCCATCGCCTTGATTATCATTCTGCATGTATCTATTAGCGTTTGCAATAGTGTGCCTACTACCCAATAAAGCCCAAGGATGAAACAAGGGACGGCGGGTTAATCACAGTGAAACCGGGGCAAACGACTCGCATATTATTGGATTTTAGGCATCCCTTCGAGTTTCTTGCCTTTGACATAAGAGGTAGGAGGTGCCCAATGGAGGTCCAATGTCCAAATGTCCACCGTTGGATATCAATCGTCACTGAGACTGAAATTTGTATACGCCAAGCTAGCTTCTATAAGGATTTCGCCTCAAACTTGAGCTCCGAGACAATTCGCCTTTTGTCGTTTCCCTTGAATTTATCAATTTCTAATCCATCATTCTGTTATTACATTCGTTCTAATATTTGTTGCTGCATGTCCTCTACACAGAGCTTTTTTTCCTTGGCCGATCTCCATCTCCGACCTCGAAGCCTCCCCCTCTCCTTTCTCCCCTCAAAACGGCGTCGTTCACAGCCTACAGACCTCTTTCGAGGGAGGAAGAAGCAACTTGTAATCCAGTACGCCGTCAATATTCCCTAACACGGCCATCCGCCAATCGCGCCCCCGTGGAGCCCACTCCGTCATTCGTTCGCGCGCAGCGACGACAGTGCGTCCCGATCTCTGGCCCGCCATCGCTCCTCCGCCCTGCAGCAGTCCGGCTCGCAAACCCAGTCAACCACGTCCCACGAATTACTCCAATCACCCTACGCGCACAACAATCTGACGAAAGCCTCCCACTCGCCTTCGGCCACTCGCGCGACGCTTACCCACTCCTCAGCGTCCCAGAGCGACGCCGCAGTCGCCTAACCCCGTCCCCGAGCAGCCTCCTCGTCGAGCGCAGCCAAGAGGAGACAGAAAGTGGGCGGACGAGCATAGCTCTACCCCGACGACACCGTCGCAGCGAACAATTCTCGCCGACGGAAATGGCCGCCGCCTTTGCGGGCAGCGCTGCACGGGAAACCGAGAACCTGCGCCCCCCCGCTGCAGTGCATATCTCACAAGATGGGACTCGACAAAATGACCGGCCTCGTCACGCCCAGTCGCAGACTTCTCCGCTCTCTCAGTCCCAGATCGCTTCCATCCCTTCGCACACCGGCCAGGCGCCTGCCGATGTCGCAGAGGAACTGGCTTGGGGCCCCGCTCACCCCTGTTTTCCTCATGTGAATCCGCATGTGCCCATTGGGTCGCGGGAGCACATGACCACGCGTGTGATTCGTATTCGGCGTGACTGGATGATCAAGGGCGATCTGGCGCCGACGTTTTCGAATCTGTATCCCGAGATCCTGGACCCGTTGTTGTCGGAGCATGAATTCCGACGGGTGATTTCCACCGTCAATGATGGTATCATCAAGGCATTTGATCCGTTCAGTTTCCGTAATTGGTTCGATAGTGCGGTGGGACTGTTGACTGGTTGGGTATGGGATGATCTCAATGCTCCTGCGGTGAAGAGCCACCTACAGCAAGTCGAGGCCTGGTTGGAGAACTGGAACCGTGAGGTCGGGGCCAAGGATGGTGTGCATATCTGGAGTCTGAGACGAACTGCATACATGTCGCTCGATATCCAGATCCCCGACCCGAAGGTTGGAATTATACCCAGCGAGGCACCTTCAGTCACCAATACTAGGCCCAGTACTGGTACTGGTATTGGTGCTGGGGGTTGATGGCGCTGCCCTGTTGGTGCGCGTCTTTTTTCTCCCTCTTCCCCTTTTTTCTCTTTGCTTTCGGTTTGTACATGTTTTTTCTTTTTTTTTCTAATTTGGTGCCTTTCCCCCTGGGACCCTCTGCGTGATATCCATCCCCCGGCAATTTTTCTTCCCCAAATCCCTTTCCTTACCTTCGTTGTCTACGTCTTGATATGGAGGCTTGCGTTCTAATCTTGGTGTGGCTTAATCCTTTTATTTTACCTTTTCTTCTGTCATCTTTCTTCTACATATCCCTGTCCATTCCCCTACGGGCTACTTTACCCTGCTTTCTTATTGTCATCTGGCCTCTTTGTCCATATCTGGCGACCATGCTGCAATTTTACCATAGACTTGCTAGCTTTTCACAAAAGGAATATATTGCGGACTTTCTTCCCTCCGCTTTAATGCTCACCTTACGTCTCTCCTGAATAGAAGTAAAAATAACTTTTGAACGAGTATGCTCCTTGATGGGGCTTGGCCTAATATGGGCGAGATCTTCGGCAGTATTATAACACCGAGGCAGCAGATCTTTGCAATCGCTGAGCTGTATCGAAGGCTGACAACAATAATAGTGGCTTAGACGGACACCAGCGATTGAGGCGTTATGTCGTTAAACACAACAGCAGAATAGATGCCCTTTCTCCACAACAGCTTCTGATGAATTGCACCGAGATGTCGATGGATGCCTCCACATCTATCTTCTGTTATTGTGATCTTGGCCCTCGAGCCTTCTTGTCGAAATATCGACAGGAAAGGATTTCCCTCATTGGGGTGGGAGTTCTCCAAGGGATTAACGTCGTAGAGCCGCTCAACATATGGGAAATCTTAGCTGTAACGATGCTGTGAATTCTTGGAAGTTTCAGGATAGCTACATAGTAATCATGCCCATTGCGAAAGACGGATTCCACTCTTCTGAGGATTTCGCTGAATTAAATGGTCTCACTATACTCCCACAGTACTTCACGCAAGATTCATCCAATACCATTATCCACCCATCAAAACTCTTCGGTCACTGTGAAACCAAGATCAGTCGAATCATTCAGCCTCGCTCCAAAGATCTGTTTGCTATATTCAAAATAGTGCGCAAGTGTTGCGTTACTATTGTTGATATGTCAATGGACACTCCAGGAAGGAGCTTGGGAGCTTCAAAGGCCCCGGATTTCCCAATTTCCCTCTTCCGCCTACTCCATCTCCCCCAGGCTCTACATGATTCCATTTCCCTTTGAGGTATCCAAAGCGGTTGTCTAACAGACTAAGGCCGTTCACATTATGAGACTTCCGACATATCTCCAGGGAGATAGAAGCAACTAGGAAAAGACGAGGCACAGAACCGAAAGGATGTAAAGAGAAAGATGTGGCTCTACCGAAGACATTCTCCCAAGTGGACGCCATGAACCAAGTTGAGGGGAGTTCCGGCCAAGTTCCTGACCTTTTGTTCCTTCTGAAGCGAAATTACCAAAGAAACATGAGACAACTGCGCGAGATCCGTTGTCAGCAACGGCATACGCTGAACCCGCTACAGACTCGGCTGTCGAGACTCCCACGACGAAAAAAACCTCCTGTCCTACCTATGTAACTTGACAGTTTCGTTTCATTGAGTAATTCACTCTGAATCCATCAACCGAGATTCCAAAGAAAGCCTATGGCAGGTTGGTGGCCAAGCTGCGGAATGAGCAAACGAACTTTTATTGATTCAGAACCCCGGGCCCTTTCAAACGCTTCATATAAGCGAGGAGGCAACACTTGCTATTGTCGGACGCCTCGGACTAAAGCAGGGCGAGGAGTTTATCAAACATCAGTCATCATTCATGGCCCCCAGTCCCACTTGAGACAGTGGAGCTCCCTAGTGCTGCCCGTAAGTCATTCCCCTAGATATTTCCCTAGGCAGATCAATATTTTTTATAAGATTGGAACTGATAGCTCACAGACGAAATGATTGGCATCACAAACAAGTACCTAGGTCTCTGCGGCCAGAAAGAAGCAGCTACGCGTTGCACCACAAGTACCATTATTTCCGGTATCCTTGACAAATTTAACTATGGCAGCTGGTCTTTGAGCCGCCAAACTGAGGCTTCTTTGACCTCTTGTCTGTTCACTATCAGAGGAAATGTATACCAAGCAAAGGAAACCTGTGACTTAGCCTTTGGTACGGAGAGAAGGATGGCCGGACAAGCCCATTAACATGAGTCTTGTTGGAGCAAAGAAGCTATATGCTAGCACAGGTGGTGGTCAGGCATTAGGATATATGGGCAAGACTGTATCGATTCTAAGCTAAGTTTGAAAAGGTCTTTGCTAAATGTGAGAGAAGCATCCACTGGTCTTCTTCGGTGGACCAGCCCGGCGAGGGGGCCCCGAGAGAATAGAATCATCTTCCCGATATCTCATTGAGCTAGCCATAACTGTATGGCCCTGAATATGTCTGGTTTTGAACTAATAGAAAGTCAGAATACCTGAATTGCTATGACAGAGGCCTTAATGAGTAAGGTACCTAACCTCCTTAGCATATCCCCTTGGAAAGCTGGTATGCAAAATGAAGCTTTCATGTAGTACGGTATAAACTTGAACAGTTGGCTGCGTTTACGGCCTCGGTACTGAGAGAGTTACTCAGGTCTTGATGGACTATATTCTAGAATGCTTTTCATCCTTATTAGCTTACCCCCATCCAATAAACCCTTTGCGTTTTCCAACGTTAAGCACTACGAAGTTACACTTTAAATCCCATCAAAGTACAATGGATATTCCTAGACAAGCAGCACAAGCCACATATGAGATTCCCATCTTCGCGTATTTTTGTTATTGCGGCAAGTCAAGAATTGAACAATCCAAGTGATCTGGAATTGAACGGCCAAAGCGAACCTCCTTTTTATACTCCAGGCGGTGTCCACCACCCCACCCCTGTTTCCGCAGCTCTCCAGCTCCAACTCCAGCACTTCGACTCACTAACCCAACATGCTGTCGGGGATCCTCGTATTCAATCAGAAGGGCGAGAACCTCATTTTTCGCGCCTTCCGCAGCGATTGCCGTCCACGTCTGGCTGATATCTTCCGCATCCAAGTCATCTCCAACCCGCAGGTGCGCTCGCCGATCCTGACTCTGGGCTCGACGACATTCAGCCATGTCAAGCACGAAAACATCTACATAGTGGCCGTGACCAAGAGCAATGCCAATGCCGCGCTGGTGTTCGAGTTCCTCTACCGGCTGATCATGCTCGGGAAGAGCTATTTCGGGAAATTCGACGAGGAGGCCGTGAAGAACAATTTCGTCCTGATCTACGAACTGCTCGATGGTACGAACCTCCCCCTAACTCAATGGCCCTGAATGAGAAACTCACAATTCCTCCCCCAGAAATCCTCGATTTCGGATACCCGCAGAACACCGAAACCGACACCCTCAAGATGTACATCACCACCGAAGGCGTCAAATCCGCCATCGCCAACTCCCCAACCGACTCCTCCCGAATCACCCAACAAGCCACAGGCGCCCTCTCCTGGCGCCGCTCCGACATCAAATACCGCAAGAACGAAGCCTTCGTCGACGTAATCGAAGACGTCAACCTCCTGATGTCCGCAACAGGCACCGTCCTACGCGCCGACGTCAACGGCCAGATCGTCATGCGCGCCTATCTAACCGGCACCCCCGAATGCAAATTCGGCCTCAACGACCGCCTCCTCCTAGACACCGGCGACACCTCAAGCAACGCGAACGGCCGCGGCAACATCAACGGACTGGGCACATCGAAAGCGACCCGCGCCGCGGCCGGCTCCGTCACACTGGAAGACTGCCAATTCCACCAGTGCGTGAAACTGGGGCGCTTCGACGCCGACCGGATCATCTCATTCGTGCCGCCGGACGGCGAGTTCGAGCTGATGCGCTACCGCGCCACGGAGAACGTCAACCTGCCGTTCAAAGTGCACCCGATTGTGCGGGAGATCGGCACGACGAAGGTCGAGTATAGCGTTGCGATCAAGGCGAATTACAGCTCGAAGCTGTTCGCGACGAATGTCGTGATTCGCATCCCGACGCCGCTTAATACTGCCAAGACGACGGAGCGCACGAGCCAGGGCCGCGCGAAGTATGAGCCTGAGCAGAATAATATTGTTTGGAAGATTGCGCGCTTCTCGGGACAGTCGGAGTATGTGCTGAATGCTGAGGCGACGCTTACTTCGATGACGCATCAGAAGGCTTGGAGTCGGCCGCCGTTGAGTCTTTCGTTTAGTTTGCTTATGTTTACCTCTTCCGGTTTGCTGGTGCGCTATCTGAAGGTCTTTGAGAAGAGTAACTATAGCTCTGTGAAGTGGGTACGGTATATGACTCGTGCGGGAAGTTACGAGATTCGGTATGTGTTACTCTCTCCTCTTTTATATGATAGTTATGGTCGCTAACACAATTACTTTTAGGTTCTGATTCTCTACAATGTCGAGGCGGGTTGGGCTCGTGTGGGATGGAGTCCCGAGCAATGTTCCAAGATATCCATGGACCTTATTCCCTCTTCATCTTCTTATTTTTGATTTTGCGCAGCACAATGGGTGTCGGGCGTTGGATGGAGCCATATACATACTGGGTTTTTCTCAAAGTATCCGAATTCTTCACTGTATCTTGCATATGTGTAATTTACTTGGAACTTCTTTGTAGCATTGCTTTTTTAAGAGTGACTACTTTTCTAGAAGAGCGAAGCAATCTGTAATGGTAAAAGCAGTCAAGTTCGTAGTAGTAGATAGTAGTACAATTCCCAAATAAGCATCAATGCCAAAGAGATATAGCAGATGTGTAGTAGTAAATCACACGAGTTGAACAGTATGAGCAGGCCCAGCTAGGGGCGGAATGTTGGACAGGAAGAGCAAAACATATTCACATAGCCCGAGAAAAACGGAACTTGACAAGATAGAAAACAAGCAGTTTGTGCCGGCCAATGGACCAAAAAAAAACCGAAAGAAATGATGATACAGGGGGTGTCTTTTGGCATAGGAAAAACAAGGCCGTTCGGGCCAATAGGGTCAGTCACAGGGTAGTGTACAAAGGTCATATATGATACATTAAGAGAACATTGAGGAAAGTGAGGTAGGGAAGGTTCAACGCCGACGCGAGTGCAGGCCGACACGACCCTCGCCGACGAGGGACTGCCACCTGGACCCGGCGTGGCTGCGGCCCATTTGGCGCGCACACTCGTCCCATTCGGCTTGGGAGAGGCGGAATTTCTCGAGGACCAGCTCGATGAGACGTTGATCTTCTTCGGGAGTCCACTTGTCTTGTGGAGCCGAAGTGGCGCACTCTGTGCCCTCGATGGAGGGCAGGGGGGTGTCGGGGTCGATTTGCGAGCCAGTTTGGATCTTGTAGTCCATCCGGCGGGGAGGAGAAGGAGGAGATTCGGTGACGGGAGGGGAGTGTAGAGAGTAGAAGTCTGTTGAGGAAAGGCCGAGAGGCATGTCGTGGGGAACGTGGCAGTGACGTTTGGGAGTCGCAAAGCGGTTGCGCGGGCGACTCATCTCCGCGTCACTGTCATCATCGAAAGTGTCGCGGCGGCGCTTGTTTGCGCCGCGTGCGGGTGCAGAGGGAGGAGGGGGAGGTGTGAGAGCGGCAGTTCTGGGGGGTGGTGTAGGTCTGGGAGAAACGGGTCGGGCGGCTTTTTGCGATCGCGGCGAGCGGCGGGCTGTGTTGAAGGGAAGGGGGCTCTGGAGGCGTTGAGGTTTTACTGATCGGCGCGATGGAGGTGCGGGCGATCCATTGAGTAGAGACTGTAGTGCGCGGCATGTGCCGAGGAGGCCGTTGCCTGACGCAGATCCTGAGTCGGAGGGGGGAGGTGTTGAGAAGAGGCGACTGGGTGTGAAGCGAGACGACCGGCGCACATCGCATGGGAGGGCTGATGGGAGAAGCATGGTTGTAGGAAATAATTGATGGCGCGAGTAGAGCGGTTTGAAATTGGTTTGGAAAGTTGGTCAAAGAGAGTCAACGTCGAGTGATCGAGGCGTGGCGCGATTTGTGGGCAGACTGCGATTGCGCCGGAGGCAGTTGCAGTGCGCGCTGATGGAGTTGGGATTGCGAAAATGAATGGATAACGTTGTGGTTGAAATGCGCTTCCAATTCCACCTTTTCCGGAGGATGCGACAGCAAGTTGTAAGATTTGATTGTTTGGAGGGAGTGTTGTCAGGGAGAAGAAGTTGGAGGGCAAATGCCGAGATAAAAGAAAATTGGGGCCGCAAACGGTCAAGCGAATATCTCCCGTACAACCTTCTGGCTATTTTGGTCACAAAGAATGTGGGATCTGAATGGATTGATTCCAAATGAATTGCAAGACGTTCTGAAAGAAGAAATGGCCAGATATATCTTGCCTAGATAACGAAGATGATGATAGCAGAGGATACTGAGAGATACGGAGTGGAATGAAGCCCTTTCTATTATACTACTTGACTCGACTATCTAGGTACACACTCTGTTTCAGTGAGACCGTGTCCTAGGGCGTCTAGGACAAGAGGGGTTGCATGCAAGGACAGAGACAAAGAGAAAACAGAGGGAGAAAGATAGGACCCCTGAGACACTTTTTGTCAATTACACTTCCTAATTGGGAAGGAGATCGGCCACGAGACTGGAATCTCTTTGAATTTGCTGCATCTTCAGCATTGTATTGGTGTATTGCCTGTAAAACGAAATGAATAGTCACCTTAATGGCGTGCATTGGGCTGCATCCTAGGGTTCTGAACTGAACCACGAGGGGGAAACGCGCTTAGATGTCATAGTCTTTGTCTGAGCCTGGATTTCTGATTTTTCTTCGCCACTGGGGGCGAAGTCGCGTTTTAATAGTGATCTCAAAGAGGGTGAAGATTCCCTTCCATTCCCCTACCCTTCACCAGCCCAGGAGGTGTTCGTTTCCTGCCCTCTAGGACATCTTGATCCAGGATTCCTGAACACCTGGATTGTCCTTCGCTGTTCTTAGACCTTGGACCTTGGAGAATGGGAGAATGGGGGAATGGCGGACTTGATTTTTTCTGCGCGCGACGCGTCGCGTGGTTCGCGTGGCGCGTCGTGGCGCGCGACAAGATTTAGTGGCGCATATTTGATGCGCTCATACTCCGTACACTACTATGCTCCATACATCCGGAGTACTCTATACTGTATTTCTCATCATTCCATGTATAATGTATGGAGTACATACTCCATACATACTCAGGCATCAAGCCCCGCGTGGGTCAATGCTTAGAATGCCATGTGTAGGAACAAAGAGGGTCACTTGGGCTCGGACCTTCCGCCCTTGACATCGGAGGGTTTTGTATACTGTAATGAACCTCAACCGCCCTTGCTTCTCTTTGCACAGTATCTACGGTATACTCGCATGAAGATGTGACTTGCAGCATCCTGCAGAGCTGCATACTGCAACGGATGAGAGTTCTCTATTGAGTGTCCATACACGCATCCATATGTGCCTAGGTCATTTCATGCTCTTGCAAAACGAGTGTCACTACAAGCAATTGGCAGAACCTCAATACACTTCTCATGAAAAACCTGAAAGGGGCCTGATCCTTGAACCCCGTTTGGAGCTAGGAGAGCTAGGTATGCCTCCAAAGACACAACCCACTAAAGCGGATCTCGTCGTACCTGCGGTATTCTGGGGGTGGAGCTCGGAAAGGATCACAGAGTACTCCGTACATTCCAAGAGGCTGGTAAGGCCATGTTCGGAAACGTGTGTTCCCAGCCACCGATCAAAATCCCCTCTGGCGCAAGGGATAGCCGAGGTCGCCGAGGGCACTTTCCGCAACAAAGAGTCATAGGCACAAGCTTAAGAAGTTTAAGATTGCAGGATCTAAGGCTTCAAGACACGAAATATCCATATTTACTATAGCACAATCCCAATCCCAATCTCAATACCGATGGAATGGTTTCTTGCTAGAGTCTACGGAGTACCAGTTTGGATGCTATCTAAGCTTTCCGCTGCAAGACACTGCGGCAATGCAAGACACGAGCCCCTTCCCACCACGGGCGCTAATGTCGATCCCTCGATGCTCCCCACAAGCTTGATTCCGTGCCCTAATGTGGCTGGGGTGAGATCATTGCTCCTCTGGACGGCCCCGCTTGGCCTTTGAGCTTCCCCCAACGGGCAAAATGCTCGTAGCTTTCATACCTTCACGTTTGCAGTCTGATGGTCTCAGACATTGCTCAAGAAGGGACTCTTGGCAGATGTCTTTACACCATCACCCTCTCCTTGTCTTGCTTTTCCTGCCAGACTATAGCATTATCTCCGCATCCTTCCGCTGGCGATCACCCCCTCTATAATTCACCGAGTACTATTAGCTTCTCCTTGGGATTTATCGAGGGCATTATAGAGGGGTGTTGGGAGAGGGTGTTTATGATGTAGTTCTCAAGGCTGTGTCCTACTGCTACACTCCCGATCAATGGTTGTTGGAAATGAATATCTCCAGGCGTATATGGAGCATCCTCAGCTATGCATACACCAATCAGCCTCTATAATCGACTATTGGTCGAGAAGTGAAACCAACTTGCCAGATATCGAGTCGATCATCACTCCTATTTCTATATCGAGTCCTCCTCCTTCTCTTCTCTCTTACACTATGTCACGCGGTAGCTCTACCCGAGACATAGGGATACGAGTAAAGAGGCAATCCAGGTTAAAGGGGACTGTGGTGTGTAGCTCCTGTCTTCATAGTACCCAATAGAAAAGGAAAGCCCCGCTCCCTTCCCTTCTATCCTTGTCCATCTGATCGTAGCAGTGATACTGGCCATGCCTTGCCGCCTCTTACTTCATTGTGGGCCGTGAAGTATACCTAGGTAGATCGAGGGGCCAAGAACTATTGCCACTGTATTTTGCCACCTATCTGTAGGGATAGTCAATGGGTATGTAGCCATGATTTACCTGTATCCTATCAAAAGCTCACTCACAGCAAGTCGGGTTCACTTAGGCAGCACGATTCATTGACTGTTGTCCCGGGCTTGGTTGGGAAAAAGTAGCTTCTCGGATATTTTCTATGAAAAAGGCCGTGTGCTACAGCTCGGTTTGGACTATGAAGCAGGTGCACAAAATAAGTGATTGACTCGCTGGCGAGGAGAAAAATGAATCAAGCTTGACGATGAGTGATATTTTCTTCGCTCTCATTGTGAGTGTATCGAAAGATGATATCTACATGAAGGAATAATTTCCATGGATGCTCTGGGGGTATACAACAAGGCCTCATTGACCTTGCATTCTCCGGAAGCGCTCTTCCGCAGCTCTTGCTCTGCGCTCTCTCTCCAACCGCATTCTCATCTCCGGCGTCATGCCTCGCGTCTCCTCGTCTCTCTTTTCGGCAACAGTCTTCTCAACAGCACCAACAGTACGACCACCTGACTTGGTAGTTCTGGGCTTCGCTGCCTTCTCAGCCTCCTCCCGTTTCAAGCGATCCAAACTAGCTTTACGCCGGGTTGATTCTTCCTCCTCGGCAGTTTTGCGTTCCTTCTCGGCCCGAATTTGTGCGTCAGCTTTGGACACCGCTGATGGAACCTTGGCTGCTTCCCAGTCCCATTTTGACTCGCCGAGATCGTGGCGGGCAATGCGGAAGGCGTCGCGGGTAGCCCGGTCACCGGTGAGTTCGAATGGAGTCCGGCCCTCGTTGTTGACCACCGTTGGATCAGACCCGGCTTTTGTAAGGAGGGCCGTGACCACGGCTGGTGCGTCAAGGTTTGCGGCGAGGTGAAGGGGCGTGGGACAGCGGAAGTTTTGTGGCAGATCGGCGGGCGTGAAAGTGAACGATGGAGGTATGGAGTTGTTTGAGATATAAGACATTAAAGCAGGAATCTTTGAGCGACGGATAAGTGCTTGCAGTTGGGAAGTATGCAGCAACGCAGCTTCTTCTTCTTTCGATAGTTTTGGCTTTTGGGGTTGCGGTTTCGGGGTAGGTGTAGATGGTTTTAATTCTTCCTCGCGCCGCTTGGCTTCGGCCGCAGCCAGTGCGGCTTGGTCCACTTCGCTGACCTTCACTCGGGTCAACTCCTTGAAAGAACGCATGAGCTCGCCTTGAGTCGCGCGACGAGTGTTGAAAGGGAACCCGCGCAGTCTGGGGTCGTTCTGCCTGAGAACCTGTCCATCATATTGACCGAAAAGAGTCTTTCGATTCTGCTTTCCCGTAGCTCGGACAAACAACAGCTCGGCGGTGTCAATCATCTGGCGCCAATCCGAAAGCACCTCCCTAATATCCTTTTCAAGTGCCGCCTCGTTGTACCGGCGCAGACTCGAACCTGCCGAATGGGCAGCTCCACGGGATGCATCACTGGCAGACTGCGAGCCACCCTGCTTTCGCCGCGTCGTGTATCGGTGGAAGGTTTTGTGTGCAATAACCCGAGCCTGTCTATCTTCTACTCCGCCTTGCTTTCGGTGAATCTCTGGTGCCAGCGAGACCAACATAGCCGCGAAATGGCCACCGCCGATCATGCACATAAAGATATGAGGGCCTGAAGCGGCGGGATCTTGCGCCTTGCTCGCGTTGTTGGTGCGCGCCTTAATCGGCGCAAGCTGCTTTCGTCGCAGGGTATCAACCAAGTGAGCGGGCTCGTCTTGCTCGGCATTTGAAAAAATGGCTCTGTAGATCCCCAGAGACTTGTTTGACGGGAGACCCGAGCTAGATAGCCAAAAGAGGGGATGTTTCGGAGTACTTGGTACTCCTTCTGTATCCAAATCCTCATTCGGGTGGGACAGCTTGGCCTGCTTTTTCAGCAGGGCTGACAGTGTTGTGCCTGGGCCCTCGTTCGCATCCTCCTCCTCTGTCTCTGATGACTCGGACCCAGATATAGATTCATCTAGTTCTCCGATGGCTTTGGCAAATTCAATTTCCTCTAACGGCGCATTTCCGCGCAACTGGGCTTTGATGTTGTACCGGTGGTGGTCTGAGCGGACGTGGCTGCGCTGCTCCTGCACATTGTTGTAAGAGACTTTGCAGAGGGAGCATAGGTTGGACGTTGCGATCGCAGACTCCTGCGCTGCTAATTCGAGCTCTGCCGGGGTTGGTTCGGGTTCTTGTTCGGTGACAGGTTGGCTGGTAGTCTTGGCCGTTAAACTGGCAAGAAGTTCTTGCGGTAGATCATACACTAGAAAGATCAGCGGAATGAAGCAATGACCACATGGGGAGTTGAAAGCGCACCATAGAGCGGCCTTTTCAAAAGCTCCTCCATTTGAGTCGTTTCAACCATGATGGGCTCGGCGAAGAATGTGTATTGAGATCGTGCTGCCCCTCCAATGACGCCGATGAGTGGGTTCTTACCGCCTAAGAGCAATGCGGGCACTATGCCAACCCCTTGCGCGGTCGCTTTTATATCTTACGAAGGATCTTTCAATTAGGTTGACTCACAGTGAGATACCTCGCTCAGCCACCACTAGGTGGAGCTTGGAGACCATCCACCTGAGGACCTCTTTTATATTAGTAATTCTGAGGCAAAGTTGTCCACTGGGCTGTGCTCGCGGATATCAATGAGTCGGCCTCCCAATTAGGCAATTTATTCAGGGATTTCCTTTGCCCAGGCCGTGCTAAAGGATGTTGCATGGTAAGATAATTTTCTCAATTCCCACAGGTATTCCCATACTTATCTGTACATATTCGAGCCTCGGGTTCGGTCACGTGGTTCTATACAACCTCCGTGGTGATGTCATTGTGTTTGCACTGTTTACATTCCGATATAGGGCTGCCTTTCGTACGTGTCCAGGCACCCATTTCTAAGCCTGTCTAAGTGCCCGTGGGCTTCTTTAGTCAATGTAGGGACTACAAGGGAGAAGCAAAGTTTCCGCGGTAGGCATTTCTCTCGCCTAGCAAGTTTCACTCGTGGCTGCCATAGGCAACAAACCAATCACGTCTTTAGTCAAGACAAGCTAACCAAGAAGATTTCACAACGAAAAATTACCAAATGCTTGAAATGCAGTTGATGAAACAGGGTTCAACTAAAAAATCTCAGAAAAGGATGATCCTGCGGCGAAGGTAAATCTTTGGACATTGGTTATATCCCTGAGTCAGAAGGAAACCCCGATGCCAAGGCTATCAATGCTCGAACCTCAAGGGGAATTAGCACAAGTGCTACATAGGCTGGTATGGCCAGAAACCTGCGATTGAAAGGAGCCCCCAGGAGCTGTGTTATGCGGAAGCCAGAAGTCCTGGTAGGTGATCAACTGATCCTCCACCCACAGGCGCCAACGGCCGATTTGAAGACCCGCAGAGTTTGAATCACGGGGAGCAGTGAACCATGTTTGAAAAGGTTCTACCTCCAGAATGACTCGTCCTGCAATGCCTGCTTCCTGGCTCGATGACTGTGGGCTTGTACGTGTATAGCCTACTGTGATTCCATTTCCACCAGAACCAGGAATAATGCCAGCAATCTTTTGTGCGAGAGCTTCAGCCCTGGATTGATATCTCAGAGTGGTGGAGATACCGAAGTTTAGTCGATCCCATTCGGTGGTGAACGGCGTGAAGACAAACACTTTGGGTGCGTATATTGCATTGAGGACACCAGGGTTCTGGTCAGTTCCAATCAGAGCCGCCACGCTTTGCACATATATGGTTCCGTCTCGGAGGGCATTGAATGTATTCATAGTGAAAGAGTCGTCATCGCTTGGATTGAAGTTATGGTCAACGAATACAGGTTCCTCCCAGATATGCGAGATGTACCCACCCTTTTCTGAAATTACCATCATCACCGTGCATCCGTAGATACCCTTGATTCCTACCGCTGAGTATCCAATCAATGGATGGTAAAACCATTGTCCGGATGTTAATCCAAATTTATCAACCCAAACTGGGGTCAAGCTCTTGACATAGCTGCTGGAAGAAGAAAAGGGATTGTCAAGCCCATATCCAACTGACGAACGCCATATCAGTGTCTATCTTGGCCACTAGAAATATCTTTTTCGGGAAAGGACTATAGTGGACTCACAACTCCAATGACCCCAACAATCACATAACGTCCAATCGACAGAACTGTGACATGGCTCAAGGATATCAAGTTCCGGTGCTTTGCTATCGTCATCATTCCCGTTCTGGTGCCACTCAAGGGATCTGTGCTCGCAGTGCATGATTCTCAACGTGTATCGAATTCAGAAGCAACCAGGACCTGAGTATGACTTGTTGAGGTTGAGCTCGAGGTTAGGGGTTCCAGTTTTGTTATGGGCCATTCAATGGAGGCTGGGAATGTCAAGTGTGAGCAAGTCGTTCAGAAACAACAGAATTTCCATCCTGGAAGTTATCACTGATGAACGAGATGCTCACGCGGTCGAAGATGATGTAGACGATGCTGTATAGAGGCAAGAGTCTCTAAATGGAGTTGATGCGAATCGATCAGAGCACAGATCAGTCTCGAATGGTTACTCTTGATTATAATCATCGGTAAGATTATCGTGTGCCTTGGACAGCCTCTGAATCCATTAGTGTCATCCGAGAGCAATTTTCAGATATTCATGGAACTATTATAATGTGATTTTTTTCGCTAATGGATTCTATAGACGCTTTTCTTCTTCCATTGAATCATTCTTTGAGAAAGACAAACGATTACTCAAGTCCTACTGTAGACAATGGAGCGTTTGCTCGACAACTAATTATTTAAATATTTTGATCAATCAAAGACGGCTTAATGTTGAGATATGGGATACTTTTATGCAGATCATATGTATGATTTCTGCATAAGACAATATGAACACTGAACACAGCTAGACTAAAGCGGGATACGCTTATGACCAGTTTTGTAACTAAGCCAGTCCCTGAAAACCTGCTGGCTTTGTTTTAAATCAGAAACTACTTGTACATAGGCGATCTTTGTCTGAAGGTCTAGGGTACCTAATGTGGAATTTCTTATTTCTTATGTCGGAAGTCTAAATCCTTTCCTAGTGGATACCCGAGCTTTCATTTCTACCTACATGTATGTATCCAAGTAGGAAGTTATTGATGGCTCAAATACGAAGTGACAGAGAACTAAGTCTTATATATGATCATTACTTCTAAGATCCATCGAATTGAAAGATAGACTGGGATTGGGCCTTTTCTTTGCTCGACTTCTAAGTTGGTCTAACCTAGCTCTTGATATACTCTCGTATTTCGTTCTGATTATCATATATACAAATATGAAAAGAAGCAGTCCAGAAACCTCAAAAGACTGGCATTTTGTTTGCTAATGATTATGTTTGGAACACGGGTCTCTCCTCAGGAGTCAGGGTACCACATTAGGTAGACGTTATATCGAGTCCTTATAACTCAAATCAACCTCGCGTATTTGATTTCCCGGCTAACTTACCGCTAACATCTTTATTGGTCGAGACTGTAAACTCGAAAGTCCCCTATCAGTATTAAATCTTGAATCTATCACATGACTGGTCTTATTATGTAGGACCCCTGGTCACCTTGGCAGACAGCTGTGCTCACCATGTGCTGAACATTACATACTCGACGTCCACAATAAATACAACCTCCTGTCATCGATATTGACAAAATTTCCTCGCAACAGCAGCTTCAACAGCAGAGTATTATGGCTGCACGCCGACGGCAAATGCAGATGATGACTGCCAAACAGCAACCCGATAGTGACAACAGTAGAAGTACTCCTTCTCGGCAACAGATACAACCTCAGTTAGAAATAATGGGCTCCAAGTATGATCATCTACCCATACAAGAGCCGCCGATATCAGCTTTTTTGAACGCCTTAATTTGGTTGGTCAGGTTCCAGAGGTTTTCGAGTCTTTTCAATCTGCCTGCCGGCGTGGCCTCCTTTCTATTATTCAATCCATTGTTTCATCCAATAACCTCACACCCGCTTTTCTGCATAATGGCCTTGCATGTGCCCTACGCCCAGGTAGTATTGGAATTGTTCGTTGTCTCCTCTCTAGTGGGGCACTGATCCTTCGCAAGACTCCGTGCATCATCTTCTTCGCCCCTTTGGAGCGTCAAGTGGCTGTTAGAACACGGTGCAGACTCACATGCAAGAGGGAACTTTGGTAGCGCATTTTGAATAAGCACGAAACTCGGGTGATAAAGACACAACAAGGGTTAAAGATACGTTCGTTGGAGGAAATGATTGAACTATGAGGCCCACCACAACATAAATATATAGCACTCAACTAAGAAGATATATCGTGCCATCAAGTGTTGTTAGTTGTAGATCGAATTATGTTATTGAAACCAATCAATTTGAATTAATTCTTGAAATATGCCCCTACAAGCCAACAATCAAAGCTTTCAAGTTGAAATATGCCGATAACCTTAGAAGCAGCCGCATCCCGAGGTCGGTCTTAGTGGCAGCTTATCCCCGAGGATTACGTCGTTCCGTGTCACGTGAACATGACTTCAAAAATTCGATTCGAAGCACTGGAGCATAGAGATATACCCAGGCAGTTGAACCATATTATACAACTCTCATGCAAGAACTTCCAAGAACCATGTCTTCATGTGTACTTACATCTTGTAATCAGTTCGGTCTCATAGGTGCGCATTGGCTCCGTAAGCAGCCCCGATTTCCCCATTAAAAAGTGGAGCTCGGTTTTGCTTTTACTAAGCAGGCTAGCTCTCAAGGCGGCATCTCCCTCCGTCTTCTCTGCAAGTTAGTTCTCTATCCTTTCTTTGTTGTGCATAGAAAGGCATACAGGGACGAAGTCGCTACGAAAAATGCTGGATGGCCAATCCCAGGTGGTCCTGGAGGCGTCCCGCCCGGGGGACCTCTTGCATTCCCTTGGATCAGCACTCGACTCCCGGCGACAGCCTTTCTGTACCGATAGCGAGGGCTGGGGCCCTCTCAGCCCATCAACATTCGATATGACACCATGCTTCCTTGACGTGATTGTGGCAGTGGTGGCTGTCTGGGGCACGTTGGGTGGACTGGGGGCCTTGTGGTTGTTATTGAAGAAACGGGTTCCGCAGCCCGTATCGAAGAATTGGCACTTCTACACCAAGTTGGTTAGTACATACCGCACACGTGCAATCCCGTGGATGCCATATATAGTTTATTGACTGACATTCCTGCCACTATAGGCTGTGCTCGCCGCTCTCATCCTCGTCACCGCTCTTCAAGTAGCGATTCAAGTCCAATCAGACCTAAAAGCCTTTTGGGCTGATTTTCGATTCTGGTCCACAGTCCTGACGATTGTCTCGCTGGGTGTGATCTTCTCGGTGCAATACTTTGAACACTGGCGGAGTAGACAACCTAATGGAGTTGTCCTGTTCTACTGGCTCTTCTTCAACATCGCCTATGCCATCAAACTCCGATCCATGGTTGCGCGACATGCATATGTCGACCGACTCCCTTATTTCATTTGCATCAATGTTAGCTTGGGTTTAGCTTTGTCCGAATTCGTGCTTGAATATTTCGTGCCGAAGAAGCAAAGTGCCTACGATGCGCTGGGAGACGAGGATGAATGTCCCTACAACTATGCCGATATCTTCTCGATTCTTACCTTCGGTTGGATGACACCAATGATGAAGTATGGATACAAGAACTACTTGACCCAAGATGATCTCTGGAATCTCCGCCGTCGCGATACCACTCAAGTCACAGGCGACTGCTTGAAGGAGGCATGGGAGGAACAGCTCAAGAAGAAGAACCCGTCTTTGTGGGTCGCGCTTTTCAAGGCCTTCGGTGGTCCGTATATGCGTGGCGCGATCATCAAATCCGGAAGTGATATCCTTGCTTTCGTGCAGCCGCAGCTCCTCCGACTTCTCATCAGCTTCATTGACTCCTATCGACGCCCAGACCCGCAGCCTGTCATCAGAGGTGTCGCCATTGCCTTGTCCATGTTTGTTGTTTCGGTCTGCCAAACTAGTTTCCTTCATCAATATTTCCAGCGTGCTTTCGACACTGGCATGAGAGTCAAATCAGCTTTGACTGCCATGATCTATGCCAAGTCTTTGAAACTTTCAAATGAAGGGCGCTCGACAAAGACGACTGGCGATATTGTCAACCACATGGCCGTTGATCAGCAGCGTCTTGCAGATCTGACCCAATTTGGTACTCAGCTTATCTCCGCACCTTTCCAAATCACCCTGTGCATGGTCTCTCTTTACCAACTTGTTGGACCGAGCATGTTTGCCGGTATCGGTGTTATGATTCTCATGATTCCTCTGAACGGTATCATTGCTCGGATGATGAAGAAATTGCAGATTATCCAAATGAAGAACAAGGACTCAAGGACTAGACTGATGACCGAGATCCTGAACAACATCAAGAGTATCAAGCTCTACGCCTGGAACACGGCTTTCATGAACAAACTCAGCCACATCCGAAATGATCTTGAGCTGAACACACTTCGCAAAATTGGAGCTACCCAATCCGTTGCCAACTTTACCTGGCAGTCTACTCCTTTCCTCGTGTCTTGCTCTACATTCACCGTTTTCGTGTTGACGAGCGATAAGCCTTTGACTACTGAGATTGTGTTCCCTGCCTTGACATTGTTCAACCTGCTCACATTCCCGCTTTCTATCTTGCCCATGGTCATCACATCTATCATCGAGTCTTCCGTAGCCGTGAAACGATTGATAGATTATTTCACCGCAGAAGAGCTGCAGACCGACGCTGTTCTCTTCCAAGATGCCGTGGCCCACCCCGGTGACGAGTCTGTCCGTGTGCGCGACGCCTCATTTACTTGGAATCGTCATGATGGAGTCACCGTGCTGGAGAATATTGACCTTAGTGCACGTAAGGGTGAGCTCAGCTGTATTGTTGGCCGAGTTGGCGCTGGAAAATCTTCTCTTCTCCAGTCGCTATTGGGTGACCTCTACAAGACTCAGGGAGAGGTCGTCGTACGTGGTCGCATCGCATACGTCGCCCAAGCGCCATGGGTGATGAATGCCAGTGTCCGTGAAAATATTGTCTTTGGACACCGATGGGACCCAGCTTTCTATGACCTTACAGTGGAAGCCTGTGCTTTGCTCGATGATTTCAAAAACTTGCCTGACGGTGACCAGACCGAAGTCGGAGAACGTGGAATTTCTCTTTCCGGAGGACAAAAGGCACGGTTGACACTCGCCAGAGCTGTCTATGCCCGCGCTGATATCTATCTCTTGGATGATGTTCTCTCCGCAGTTGATCAACATGTTGGACGCCATATCATCAACAATGTGCTCGGCAAAACTGGTCTTCTCAGTGGCAAAACCAGAATTCTCGCCACGAATGCCATTACTGTCCTGAAGGAGGCTGATTTCATCGGCCTGTTGCGGGACAAGACGATTATTGAGAAGGGAACTTATGAACAACTCATGGCCATGAAGGGTGAAATCTCCAATCTCGTTCGCACTACCATGATCGACTCGGACGACGAAGGCACTGTTAGTGGCTCGGAGGATCTCGCTAGCCCTGAGAGTTCAGTCACGACTACTATCATCCAGAATGGTGCCACTTCAGACAGCGAAGAGGGAGAACAACCAGGTGATCTCATTCCCATCAGAGTAGGTCACAACGAGGCTCGCAGACGGACCAGTACAGTCACCTTGCGCCGTGCAAGCACCGTGAGTTGGCAGGGTCCCCGGCGCAAGCTGGGAGACGAGGAGAACGTTCTCAAGAGCAAGCAGACCCAGGAAACATCCCAGCAAGGCAAAGTGAAATGGGATGTCTATGGTCAATACGCAAAGGACAGTAATGTTGTGGCTGTGGGTGTTTATTTGCTTGCTATGATGGCTGCCCAGACTGCCCAGGTCGTGGGCAACTTCTGGCTGAAGCGATGGACCGAATATAACGAAGCCCACGGAACCAATGATCAAGTTGGCAAGTTCATCGGTATCTATTTGGCACTTGGCTTGGGATCATCGCTCTTGGTCATTGTACAGAACTTGATCCTGTGGATTTTCTGCTCCATCGAAGCATCTCGGAAACTTCATGAGCGGATGGCGTTTGCGATCTTCCGCTCTCCCATGAGCTTCTTTGAAACCACACCCTCTGGTCGCATTCTCAACCGTTTCTCAAGTGACATTTACAGAGTCGACGAGGTACTTGCTCGCACCTTCAACATGCTGTTTGCCAACTCTGCCCGTGCAATGTTCACCATGGTTGTTATTGCGACTTCCACTCCGGCTTTCTTGATCTTCGTCATCCCCTTGGGCTATGTCTACTTTAGTTACCAGAAGTACTATCTGAGAACCTCTCGCGAGTTGAAGCGCCTAGACAGCGTCACCCGAAGCCCGATTTTCGCCCACTTCCAGGAATCCCTGGGTGGCATCTCAACCATCCGTGCCTACCGGCAGGAGAGTCGTTTTGCTCTTGAAAATGAATGGCGCATGGATGCTAACCTCCGGGCTTACTTCCCTTCCATCAGCGCTAATCGCTGGCTTGCCGTTCGACTCGAGTTCATTGGTTCAATTATCATTCTTGCATCTGCTGGACTTGCTATCGTATCTGTTGCGAGTGGGACTCATCTTTCGGCAGGCATGGTTGGTCTGGCCATGTCATACGCTCTTCAGATCACGCAGTCTTTGAACTGGATTGTGCGCCAGACGGTCGAGGTTGAGACTAACATTGTGTCCGTTGAGCGAGTGCTTGAATACGCCGCCCTCCCGAGCGAGGCACCCGATGTGATTTTCAAGCGCCGCCCTGCCATTGGCTGGCCAGCTCAAGGTGCGGTGGAGTTCAACAACTACAGCACGCGGTATCGCGAAGGACTCGATCTTGTGCTCAAGGATGTGAACCTCAACATCAAGCCCAAGGAGAAGATTGGTGTTGTTGGTCGAACAGGTGCTGGAAAGAGTTCGCTTACCCTGGCTCTTTTCCGCATCATTGAGGGCACTCAAGGAAATATCAAGTAAGAGGATATCGCTGCGACCTCTCGTCTCTGATTTCTATACTGACACAGCAATAGTATCGATGGACTGGATGTGTCTACGATTGGATTGACTGATCTTCGTGGCCGCCTTGCTATCATTCCTCAAGATCCTGCCATGTTCGAAGGCACCCTGAGAGACAACTTGGATCCTCGTCATGTTCACGACGACACCGAGCTCTGGAGCGTCATTGATCATGCGAGATTGAAGGACCATGTCTCCCAGATGGAGGGGCAGCTGGATGCTCAGATCCAGGAAGGAGGTAAGTCAACATTCGAATCTGAAGATTGCCTGAGGCATTCGGCTCCTAACACTATGATACAGGCTCCAACTTGAGTCAAGGCCAGCGTCAGCTGGTATCACTCGCCCGCGCTCTCTTGACTCCCAGCAACATCCTTGTTCTGGACGAAGCAACTGTAAGTTGATTTTGCCCCCTTCTCGTTATGATCAACAGTTTGAGCTAACAAGAACGATAGGCCGCGGTTGACGTGGAGACCGATGCACTGCTACAGCGGACTCTGCGCAGCAGCATCTTCTCTGATCGGACCATTATCACCATTGCGCACCGCATCAATACCATTATCGACTCCGATCGGATTGTCGTTTTGGATAAGGGGCGAGTGGCTGAATTCGACACGCCTGCGGAGCTGATCAAGAGTGGAGGCAAATTCTACGAGCTTGCCAAGGAGGCTGGCCTGCTCGACAACGACGGTGCCATTGCCTCCTCGCAAATAGCGTAAAAGCTAATCGGGAGCAGTGGCCTCAAAGCTCCCCGCATTCCCTAGCTATGCCAAAGGATTGCTCAGCCAGCCTGCCACTCCACCCCCTGAAGATATTCCACCAACTTGCTGCAGGTTTGAATGGCTCGGAGAGGCCGGGGGCGCTTTTTGGGTCGCTCGGGCCGATCCTAACAGCTTCTGGATGCTCATTGCTCCGTTCACAGTGCCGCCTGCATGGATCTTGCTCATGAGCAACCTCCGTTGGCCATTCAAACAGGCCTTGGTGGTTCTAGTGTGGCGCGGGCGTCTGTGCATATCTGCATGTACATGCACGGAGTACTCCGTACTGAGAGAGAAAAGTTTTTCATTGCACAGCTCAGGGGGGGGGGGGAACTCCTGACAGGGATGGGTAGGCATAGACAAACGGAGATAGTGGCTCAACTGTTCCGATTTTCCTGTTATGTAAATTATTATGCTGTCTCCAAGCCTCTTTTGTTTTGTTTCATATTGGGATGCTGGTTTGCCTCCATGTACGATCGAGGACATCCGATTGGATTGGCCCTGCGAACCAAAAGAAGTAAAAAAAGCGATTCCCTTTCATCTTGCCTTTATTGTTTTCTTGACTATGTGATCAAACTATGACCATGCACAGTGTCTTTTTTTCCTTGTTGATCTGTGAATAATAGGGAGTTTACGGACATAACCACGGGGAACAGTGCCTAGACCCCCAGAGAACAACGTAACTCTGCATAAAACTAGATGGACAAACAGCTCTCCTCTACCGCCAGCCAACACTTGCGATGATTATCTGCAGTAGCGCCGAGTACTAAACGTGGCGGTGACATCTTGATATCCCATCAGAACAGCCTCTGATTGTAGCGGTGAAACCCCGCCAGCTGGCTGCTTATCCCGGGTGTCTGTTCGCCGACCTTGGGCTCAACATTCGCTCAATGTATATATATCGGGCTTCTTTAGTGTGCTAGTCAGCATGGTGGAAAGGATGGTATGATGTCCAGATTGTTGCCAAAATGCGAAACAAGCACACTGCATCAGCATCGACGCACCTAGGCCCTCACCCGCCATATGACCATCCACCGTCTTCTCTCTGGTTCGACGATCACATCCTGGAAAATCTGTCGGGGAAAAAAAATGAATATACCGAGTTTCAATAGTATACGAGCCACCTTGACCTCCTTGCTGGATGCAAAACAGAATCTCCACGCGGCCGTTCGTTTCGTGTACATGCAATGTGGGACTATATGTAGCCGAGATGTACGGATCAGGGGCAGTGAAATTGCCACATTTTCGTTTTTAGCGGATGGTTTGGATTGCCTTCTATTCTATAGATAGCCGAGAGTAAAGTGGACGGGGATGTGTTCGGAGTCCTTCCGTGTCGATGGGCGATTAGCTTTTTGCCCTTGAGAGGGGCAAAGGAGGGGGAACTGTCATAGTCTCGCCCAAGCCCTATACGGCGTCAGATTGCCCATCTAGCGTAGATCATCCCACGCCCTCTGGACTCCGTGATGATTATCAATCTCGAAACACAAGGAATGGTGTAAGCGTTGGATATAGGCCATGATTGAATGCTCGCGTGGGAGATGAGACCTCCCGATCGCACGGTCATCCCCTCGACGGCTCTTTTCCCCGTCTGAGCTTTGTGATAGGAGATTAATTGGTCATGGACCTGCGTTCAGGGTATGTTTCAGCTCTCCAGGACCAAGGTAAGGGGTGTGGATGACCTCGAAAAGACAATCCTGCATGACTGATGTCTGATGGCTCCACCGGGGAAGCGGCCGCGATTCCTTAATCTTGTTCCATGGACCGTGTTGTTTCGATGGGCCAATAAGACAGGCGCAGATCGAGATCTTCAGATCTTCGGGTGACGCCAGGTTGTGTACCTCGACGAAAGAGGCAATGGGGGGTTCCTTGGTGAGGAGATCGATCTGGCATGGACATCATGATCAAGGTTTGCCGGTATTCCCGTACGGAACAGAGGATCAGTCGGGGGAAGAGTTGCGCTTTGGTCTCATCTGTGGACGCCTTTTTTTTTTTCTCTCTCTCTCTCTCTTTTCTTTTTTCGGATATGTACCGCTGTACGGAGTACACTAGCCATTATCCACATGCACTTTTCGCTCTTCGTTTGAAGTCCAGTCCTTGAAACAAATAAGCGCCGTAAGTCCCTGTCAACCGAGAGCGAACGCCGATATCCCCGCTTGGGTCGATCGTACATATGTAAGTGCGGTACGGAGTCCGACAGTGGCCGACGATGTGGAAGCTGCTTGTATGACGGAACGGGGATCTGTACGGAGTAGAAACTGTCTCGTAGGCCCACTATGCGCGCTACTGTAGTTCAGTGGTCCTCTGCAAATCCAATATGTATATGTCGTTTTACCGTCAGCAATCTGGAAAAGATTTCCTGGAAAAACGTAAAGAAGTTGTCAGACTTCAGATCAGCCTGCATGGTACCTGCTCCATTTCCCGATTGCTCCATATTAACCCCTCTATACTCTGGACCGTTTTTGGAAGACGTTGCAGGAAGGTGCATAGGATCTTAGGCTTGACAAGTGTCACTTGCGAGGCTTTTATTGGTAACAATATACATACTTCTTCCCAACCTAATGGCTTGAATGACCCGCAGCCTTATCCACAGAACCAGCACGGAAAACTCCGTTCTCCATATGATATGCTCCATCCACTGTTCAAATCAACATTTGGAATTACTAACCGAGGAAAAATTGGAACGGCGGCTCCTGCGTCACAGCTATGATCGACTCAGCCTTGAGGGGAAGAGAGGGGGATCCAGCCCTGGTGGGACATACCCACAGCACAGCGTACAGCGACAATCTCATGCACCATGCGGCCAACTTTGGTTTAGAAGGCCAATGTGGCGGATGGAAGGATCGCTTTTCCCGTACCCCGAACGTCTTGGCCCGCCTCGGGGAACAGGAGGAAGTGGGAACAAGATGATGATCATTGAAATGGGGGGGGGAAGGCAATGAAATGTCTAAAGTTTGATTTCGCTTGACGTAGAAAGCATTCGGGGTTTGCTCGGATCCACGGGGTGTATTCGGCGTGGTTTGGTGAGTTGGCAAAATGGCAGAACGGAACATAATGTGGATAAATCCTTAGTTGTACATTGCATACGGAGTACGGAGTACTCCGTATTCAGATCAGAAACAAGTTAATTTAGATAAATGGAGCCGCGGAGATAGAAGTGGCTCATGGTACCCTCGATGCTCTTTGGGAGAGGGGGGAAAAGTGGGAAGCAGTGCTCCGTACGGAGTACTCCGTACTCCGTACCGATGCAGCCCACAGTCAGTAGTTGGTAATAATGGCTTACACCTTAATTATGGAGCTGGGAAGTTCGAATATCTGATGCATGTATTTGTCGCTCCCAAACCCGTCTTCCCCAGCCACTGATCGCGTGGGAATCGGGCCTTCCCGGTGACGTGGTGCAGAGAACCGGACTCCCCGGGATCGGAGAGGAAGAGTTGGTGCGGAATACGGAGTCCTCCGATAGGATTTTATGATATGGCCTCAATTCTAGTCCTTTTCCCTTTTTTTCCCCACTCGCTGCGAGGGCGTTACCATCGAACCCGACTTGAGGAAGTAGAGAAAAGACGTTCTCAAAGTACATATGTACAATGACATCGCTGCAGCCATACCCATTCGATCGGGACCAAACACAGATCTCGGGATCTCCAGGGACGATCTCGAGACGCCGTTTCGGGAAATTTCTCCGTCTATGCAGGCGCCTAGAACGAGACTGGACCACGGGAGTGTCGTGGCAATGTTGACATTGGCCCGCGGATGAGGAATCGAAGCACACTAGAGACTAGACTGGCGAGCTAGCTCAATTGCTGGGAGGTGATATTCTGCGAAAAGTGGAAACGGAAACAGACAAAGAACATTGTCAAGGCGCGAGCGATCAGAATGCAGTTGAGTGGGTTCGCTAAGATCTTTTGAAACCAGAGTGGCCCGGGGAAGATGTCACAGTTCCTTCCAGCAGAGTTCGCACCAGAATGGAGAGTTTATTTCCGAAGGATGGCGCAATGATTGGCGGCGGGTGCAAGTTGTGAAGAAAGTACGGAGTACGATGCAAGGACCTCTAAATTCTGAACCCCCAATGGACGGGCTGGCCAAGCCGCTACTCCATCCATCCCATCCAGGTATCTGGGATTCGGATTTTCTCTTGAATCTGATGTAGGGTCTGGGGCTGAAGACCCTCCCCACTTGGCCCTGTCGCAGGGAACTTAGAGTCTAAGTCTCCCAGGAGAGGAAAGTTTATCAGCCCTGAAGAGTCCCCAAACCAGCGCTTCGGTTCAACCACCAAACTGTATGTTTAAGCCTCCTTTTTGATATCAGACCATGTCCCGGCCTCCCCTTACATATGCAGAGAATTTCCACGTTCCTTCCGATGAGCCCATGGGAGGCGCGGAGTAATTCCCCGCTGCAAGGGTGTCTCCTGACTATCCCAGCACTACTCCGTAAGCGAGTCCAGGCAATGGATAATGGGCCCACAGGCTGGCGTGGACCGCGGACCATAGAAATCCAACCGACCAATCTGAGCAGGCACAAAATGCGAACTGTGCAAGGTCCATGTGTCATGGCCACGCTCCTGGGCCTAGTGCGCCAAAGCTTGGGGCATTCCGCAGCCATCCGCCAGAGTCGTATTATCGAGATCCCTACGGAATGGACTACTCCGTAGCTTCAGACACATACAAATCTCGGTTAAGAGATTCGTGCGACGCGAGTATTTTTTTTACTCCGTACAGCTACATTGAGGTCTATACACAGAACCGTTCTCCACCTGCAACACCACGGAGGTGAACAATAGCTCAACTGCAGTATGGTTGCCCCGACCTGTAGGAACGCTCGATGGTATGAGCGGCCCTTCGGCCCGTGCCACACTGGAGAAATAATTTGTTGGTTTCATATTGCTTTTTTCTTTCCCTATGATATGTGTCCACCCGGAGAACAGAAGGAGTGCATATCCATTTCATGTATTTAGTATTATCGAA